TTTTTAATACATACATTATAATTATAATTTGATGGTTTTTTCTATATTTTTATAATTTTCAGTTTTCAAATACAATATAATCAAAATTTTATGCATAGATTGGAATTTGATAATAATATGACTTTGTTTCTTAAATACAATTTAATTATAACTTAAAACATAGACTATAATTTGATATTTTAATGTAGATTTAGATAATTATAAGTAATTTATAGACAAATTAAATAATAATTGAATACATAGATTGTAATTTCTAAATTGAATCTATATTTATGTAATTTTAATAATTCAAATTTTTTTTAATTGTAATTTAATACATAGATTATAATTTGATAGTTTAATGTAGATTTAGATGATTATAATATTTCATATACAATTTAATCATAATTTAATACATATATATATTATATTTTGATATTTTAATTAAGATTTAGATGATTTTAAGTATTTCATATACAATTTAATCATAATTTTATTATAATTTTAATAATTCATATACACTTTAATAGTAATTTAATGTAGAGATTATAATTTGATATTTTAATGTAGATTTAGATGATTTTATGTATTTTATATACAAATTAAATAATAATTTAATTCATAGATTGAAATTTCTAAATTGAATCTATATTTTTGTAATTTTAGTATATCATATACAAATATTCTTAATTTAATGCATAGATTATATTTCATAATTTAATCTTTATTTTTATAATTTTCTATTTTTAAAATACAATTAATTCATAATTTAAAAATATAGATTGTAAATTGATAATTTAATCTTTATTCAAATAATTTACCTTTTTCAAAGACAATTTAATCATAATTAAATACATAGATAGAAATTTGAGTATTTAATATTTTCTTTTTTCAAAGATGCCTATATTTAATTTTTGAAACATTGCATAATTTAATAGTTGAGCTTTAAGATTGTTTTACGATCCTATTTTGGTAAGTGACTTTTCAATTCTTTTCAAACATTCACAATTTGATTTGAATTGTGGACTAGATGGAGGTTTGTATATATGATAACTTATTTTAGGACCTCATTCTAAATTAAGAATTCCTTATTAGCTGATGCATTATTTAAGATAAGCATATAATTCCTTAAACCATACTGTTTAATACATCATGAAATTTAATCTTATCAAAAAATTATTATTTCATTTTGAGTTCTCATTGCCTCTAACGCATTAATACATTTAAAATATCCTCTATTGCATCAATAATATTAATTCTTTATGTAACTTAAGCTTTGTCAAATTTTAAATGTAAATATTTTTGCTCCTTACTGTTAAATTGTATTGTTCATTACCGATTCCTGATTCATTAATATACATTGGTTATCTAGACTCCCATATGTAATATAAAAATGATAATGCATAGAAGAATTGCTTACTTATATTCTCCTTGAAGAAGCTTTAAATTGATCTTATATGTATTCTTGTATGTGTATCCAAGCTCTTTAGTTAATTTTCTAAATCTTAAAGAGATACATTGTCAGTTTGCAATCTAAATGTTTAACGAAAATCATTTTATATATTTTTTAAACAACAAACCTCTTCTTGATTTTATTTATTTATATATTCATTCAACCAGGTTAAATGTTTTTCTTCGATAGTAAATAAGTAAACCATCTTAAATCACAATTTATTTTTTTGACATTCCAAAAATGGATGACGAAATAGATTGAGGATTATGTTGTCTATGCATTTATCGTAAAATTTATTTAAATTTTAATGCAACCTAATTAGTTTTTGAAAAACAGGGTATTTGTTTGAATTTTTTATGATTTTCTTATCAACTTTGTTATTTTTAATTTAATTATTTAGGCTAACATAATGGTTTAGATAATTTTAAGGATAGTATGTTGTGTCTACACATGATTTTTAAACTAATTTAAGGTGATTTATTTAGGAATTAATATGATCCTGTCCAACAAAATTTCTTAGCAAACTATTCTTTATATCTCCTCATCAAATTTTTTTCCTTTAGAAAAAAATTATTTTCAACATGCATAATTTATTTATAATTTAATTCTTATCAATCAATTAAATAATCCAATATTTTTGAATTATCAATTTCATAATCAAAAATTAATATGCTAACTTAACTATGTATGCAGTTAGAATTAAATCTTCTATTACATAAAATGTAATGAATTTCGAATTTAAAAATAAAAGTTAAAATCAAAAAAAAAATGTGTTGAATAATTGATAAATAGCAAATTCCAAGAAGAAAATTGAGATTATATCTGTATTTTTAAAACTTAAGAATAACATTTTATTAAAGTATCAATCAAGAATGTGATAGAGGAAAGAAGATTTTGTTGGAAGATATAAATCTTATTTTCCTCCCCAAAATCCATTACAATTAATTATTGAACTTAAACAGTTAGTTTTCATTTCAGTTATTACATATTTAATAAACAATTCTAAGTTGTAAAATTAAAAAACCTACTATTTATTTTAAAACTCAATCTATGTAGAGTACAAATTATTTTTATGGTAAAATTGAACTTTCAACATCGTTTAGAAACCAAAAAATCAATTTTGATCATCAGTAAATATATTTTAGTTAAATTACAACATAGAAAAATTAATTTTTTAACTAAATAGCAAGTTATTGTTTGTAAGACTAGTTGGGAGGAAAGAGTTTTGCATCAGAAAAAATGTGATTTTAAAATATGCAATTAGGATAATTCAGCTAAACAAGGTAGAGACATCTATTGAAGAAGTACTTTTTCCTATATTGTTTTGTGAAATTTTTAAGGCATGGAAAAATCAAAATAAGAAGTTAATACATTACTTAAGAATAATACGTCAAAGTCAAAGTGAATGTAGAATACAAAATATGAATAAATGAAATGCTATTTTGCGAGAATATAAAATAGTTTAAATAGAATATTTTGTTGAAATATTAGATTTTATTAACTATTAATTTGATTTCGAAAAAATGATATGAGGTTTAATTTTTTTAATAATAAAACGAATAAAGAGAATAAGGAGAGAATAAAAATATTATATATAATGAAAATTCAAAGTATCAAGATTAAATGGAAATGTGTTGGGAAATTTATTAGATTTAAGAAAATATTAAAATATAAATGAATTTTACATTTTCATTTAACACAAAAGTAAAAGAAAAATCAATTGTATGAAAAATAACAGAATTAATAAAATCTGAATAGAAACAAGCCAACTTAAAAAGAAAAAATCAAAATAAAAATTAATTTGATTATAATTTAATACATAAATATTAATTTGAATTGTTAATGTATATATTTGAATAATTTTCTTAATACAATATCATAATTTAATATATTGATTGTAATATATTATTTTAATTATATATTTTAAAATTTACACATTTCAATTAAAATTTAATCAAATTTAACATTTTTAATGCATTTATACAATTCTATAGAATTTATCTGAAGCATATATGCAAGAAAGAATAATTACTGCTTTTGAATAAAGCTAAAGCATATATATGTCAGAGAAATGCAAACAATTGTTATTAGGTAACATAAATCAATTTTATAATCTTATTAAAGGGCTAGCTATTATTATGAACTAACAAAGAAGAAAGGGATATTTAACTATTACGTAGATGATGACTATAAATTACATATTAGGAAGAATGCATTTACAAATATATTCTAAGTAAATATTCTAAATTAAATATGAACTCACTCCTATTTCTTTTCTCAAAAAGCTAAGTTAAGGAAATACCTAAGAATTACAAAGGTTAATGGCTAACGACAAAGCCATCTTAAGTTGTGATAACACATTAATTAATCGAAGATTTTTAGTGGAAACTGCTATAAAATTTATGGAGGCCAGATACATTCCAAATAAACAAGAGATTAGGATGGGCAAGATTGCTACACCTAAATATAAAGCATCTAAAAATATCTTAAAAAAAAATGACTAATTTAATCCACTATTAATATAAAGCCCTTTGTACAAATTTTTAGAATTAAGATTCCATTCTTAATTAATAGAGTATCTCAATAATGATATATAAAAGCCTTAAACATAATTCATCGATAGGCTAATAACTTAATTAAACATATTTATGATACTTAACTGGAACAAAAACATCTTAGGCAAGGGTAATAGGATACTAATCTTCTTTGATTTCTCAAGTGCCTATAACACAATCTGCAGATCACTATAACACAATCTGGAGATCAAATGGAATATTACAAAACAAAATATTTTGAAACAAAATGAAGTATAGTCTTTGAAAGGTCTAAATAGCGAATAGTATTTATTAATCAATATAACATTAGCGAAAAATTTTACTATTCAAAAGGAGTGCCCTAGTACTCTCCCCTGCTTTGTTTAACATTTAGCTCGATGAATATTTTAAAGACCTTTTTCAATCTAACCTCTTATAAAGTCATATTTCTGGGACATGCTGATGACTTAATACTAGAGACTGTATATGGAAATTTTAGTAAACCTAGTTGTCAATAAAAAGAAAAGTGGCATCGTGCCCATAAATTTTATTCTTTAAGAAGAGCATGCGAAGTATTTCCAATACTCTACTCATAGAAATATTTGGGAATCTAAATCAATAACAAAGGAGACGCTTATAAAATTATTAGAAAAATAAATTTCATAAACCTAAATTTACTGCAGCTGTCCTCTAAAATGAATTTCTAACAAAGACTAGCGCTCTATTAGGCATACATTGAGCCAAATTTTATACTGGCTTATTATGACAATCAATAGTTATCCAAATAACTAATCACTTTGAGGTAAAAGGACTTTAAATAGATTATGAGGTTACCATTAAACACACTAGATAATTTCGTTAAATTGTAATGCATAGAATATGATAACTTAATAAAATTTATATACGAATTACAATCAACAAAATTTGATGAAGAGATCTAGAAAGCAAAGTATTAGATATACCAAAACTGATCGAACAATCTAAGATGAATCAGAACTTGAATGGATTTCTGATAATATCCATTTACTATTCAAGTTGTATGGGCTATATTTTAATAACACTAATAAGAATGACATATAAATATAACAGAAGTTCATATATCCCATACAATGGATGAATTGATTACATCTGAAAATTCCTTAAAAATTAAAGTAGAAACAGAATTAGACAAATTAAATATAGTATTGATTGAACCTTAAAGAAAAGAAAGCAATCCTTAAACCAAGACAAACGAATGAATGAGATTTTGAATCTATTTTTTATCTTAATTTCGCTTATAAAAATATTATAATATTAAATTTTTTATAAAATTAATATTGATCGATCTTGCATTTTTTTAATGAATATTTTTTGTTCAAACATGAAATGAATCCAATTTTGTTTCAATTTAATTCGACTGTTCTAGCAATATCATCTTTAATTATATAGAATAAAATTTAATAATTTTAATTATTTTTTTATTGTAGATGCTCTGCTTTACTATAAAGAGTAGTTTCTTCGTTTACTTTTGATGTGAACCTTGTGATTATCAGATGCAATAAGAAAACGATAATGTCATTGGTTTCAAACTTCTTAATTATCAATTAAGTGCTTATTTGAACAAATATTTAAAATTTGCGTTAAAAATAAAATAATAAGGATTGATAATTGCTAAAGGAAAGGTAAAGAATAATTTAATTACTTAATTTGAATTTCTTGACAAAAAAGTTAGAATTATGTTAAAAGTATATTTTCATTTTCTTATAGTGATTTGATTTTGGATAAATTGAGTTATCAATACAGTGAACTAAAATTTCGAATGCAACTGAAATCAAATTGATAAGTGATTTAATAAATTAATAGTTATTATTTATTAAATTGAATAATAAAATATGTTTTTAGATATAAATTGATCACAATTTATCAATTATAGCTTTGGTATAATCAGTAGTTGTACTTTTACCACCAAGATCACCAGTCAAATATTTGGCTTCTTCTAAAACTGAGTATGTTGCATTTTCGATTCTTTGAGCATAATCATTTAACTTCGTTGCTTTTAACATCTACATCATTTATGAATGAATGTTACCATAATTCCTGATAATAGTAATGCCGTCGGATTTGCAAGATTTTTTCCTGCAATGTCAGGTGCAGTTCCATGAACAGCTTCATACACTTCACAATCTTTTCCAATATTTCCTGATGCAGTCAATCCCAATCCTCCAATTAAGCCTGCACAAAGATCAGAAACAATATCGCCATAAAGATTGGGCATAACCATAACATCAATCCTAGTTGGATCATTTGCTAGTTTAAAAGCCATTGTATCAATTTATTCTTCATTAAATTAAATTTCTGGATAATTTTTTGCAACATCATCACAAACTTTCAAGAATACTCCATCCCCTTATTTCATAACACCTGCTTTATGACAAGCCACTACTTATTTTCTATCTACATTTAGTCTATATTATATACTATTTGCTCTTGCATATTCGAATGCGTATTAGGCAATATTCTAACAAGCATTATAGGAGACAATTTTGAGATTCTCAACTACTCCAGGAACTACTTCATGTTCCAACCCACTATATTCCCTTCTGTATTTTCTCTTATAGTTACGACATCAACCCCTGGATAGGGAGTTTTAACTCCTTTGATGGATTTACAAGGCCTAACATTAGCAAATAATTATAATCTCTTTCTTAATGTCACATTTATTGATCTATATCCCTTTCCTATTGGAGTTTCGAATGGTCCTGATGATACTTAAGGATAGAATACCTTTCAAAGCGTATTTCAAGGCTTTTACTTATTTAAGGGTTTCCTCTGTGATTAAATCGCCTGATTCAGTTACTCTCTTTTTATGAATCTCATGAAATTCCCATTCAATTGGAACTTTTGCAGCATCAAATATATCGATAACAGCCTTAGATATTTCAGGGCCTATTCCATCTCCCGGAAAGAGAATTACTTTTTAATAGTTGAATTAAGGTCTCAATATTGTAGTTTATGCTTTTCTTATAATATTCATCTTAAATAAATAATTTATTTTATAAGATTTAATTAGTCTTTAATTACTTAAATTAGATATTCATATTTTTTTATAATAATTATTTTTATCAAATTACATTCATTATCTTTGTTATATAATTTATTAATTACATAAAATGTTAATTGTTTGCTATAAATTAATTAATCGCAGTGTTAAGAATTATTAAGTAATTAATGATAAAATATTAAAATTAAGTTTATATAGCAAAAATACAAAAAATAGATAAACGGAAATATTAGTAATAGGATATTTATTAATAAATGAAATAATTGTTTATATCTATCAAAGATATCATCTTCCTGACCATGATGCAACTTATTTCTTGAACATTATGATTACTTCATCTAAAATGGCATTCTCTTCATTTCTTTTAGCTTTAGCTTCTTCATAATCAGCTCTTTTTGATTCCAAATCAGCTTGAGCCTAATCCAATGCATCTTATGATTCTTATAAAATGATCTTAGATTTAGCTTATTGAGCCAAAGCAGCTTAGATTTACTTTTAAAATAAAATTGAATAATTACAGTAGCAGTTCTATCAGCAAAGACTTATTTTCTTTCATATTCAACTTCCAAAGAAGCAATTTCAGCTTCAGATAATGAAACCCAACCTGCTAATTCCCATGAGGCATTGATTTCATTTTATTTCAAATTTTCTAATGAGCCCTCTAATTCAGAATGTAATCCTTCCAAGACTGCTAACACTTTTTCAGCCAATGTTGATCCATTTCCTGATGACTATTCCTTAATTTTATAAAACAAAGATTACCTATTATTCCTAAGCTAAGGCTAAGAAAGTTTTGATTTGATGTTCTTGGAACAAATTGCTGTATTACTTCAACTTTTCAGCTATACAGATTATGCTTTAACTTATGTGAATTCAAATGAATCTCCATTAATAATATAGCCAGCAACATCTTGTTTCAAAAGCTTGATAACTTCAAGGGCTTCTTAATTATGTTTGATGGATTTGACGAATAATTAGTTGCTGAAACATTGGTTGTCTTAGAGTGTTTCAATTTTTGCAGCAATAGAGTCTCTTCTGGCTTCATTCCACGCCAAATAGCTTTTCGTTTGTTATAAAACATTTTCATATTCAGCTCTATTTTCAACTGCTTATTGGAATAACTTTTAGTTCAAAGACTTGATTTTAGTAAATTATTCAATTGTTCTAAGGAATTGGAATATATTATTACTATGCTCCAATCCATTCATCTGTTTCATTCTTTTAATCAGCAGCAAATTATGCATCGATGTTTGATTATTTCAAATCATTCAACAATCCAAAAACTGTGTCAATAGCATCGCTTGCTTTGGTTCCTGTCTAATTTATTAATTACACTATTTACTTATAATAAGGCTAAAATTTAGTCTTAAGTTTTTGAGGCTGAGCTTGTAGCTGTTAAGGCTAACAAAACAATCATGATGTATTTCATTTCTGATAATCTTAATAATGAAAAACGATTTATATTAAAAACGACTTAATAGCATATTTATTATAATTATGATTATTTCAATTGCAATTTATTTTTCTTTCATTTTGAGGAACAGCTCTTTTGTTTCACTAAAATTTGCTTTTCTATTTTGAATCCTTAAGATAAAAGACTTACTAAAAAATATTTAATTATTTACCAATTTGTAGATTATTTTATGAATACTCATTCCAAAATATTCACATTATTTAGTTTGATTGAACTTTCCAGTCCTATTTATCATTATTGAACTAAATTTTAGAGACATCCATTTCCAAAATTCCAAATCATTATAAATTCTATATAAAGTAACGATATCATTATAGGTTCTTACTACTATTTTATAAGTGCTTAAAATATTATTATATGTTTAAATTATGTTTATTAATCTATTGTGTTATTAATTTAAATTTATTGTATAATCAATTAATATCTATCAGACTTTTATTTAATACTCTATCAATGAAACTATCTTTAGTATTAGTTCAAAAATAATTTAGGTAGATCTTTATTTTTATTTTAAAACTTTGTAAATAATCTAAAAAGAGTTTATATTTATTTTCTTAGAAATATTTTTGGATAATAATGATCAAATGTTAAATGTTAAGACAAATTATTTGGCAACCTTTCCCTTTTTCTATCTTAGAATATTTGTTATTTCATGTGGATAAGCTCTCTCATTGACATTTCCCTTTCTATAGAAAAATACATAATCGTGAGTAAAGGCAATATCAGTTTTTGGACATCTCTCTACTTAAACAACAAGTCCTGATAACTAAGACTTAATTCCATTTTAGTCTATCAATGGATGTATTTTAGCCTATTCAGATATTTGACATGAGTACTTTAATTAAAGACTAAAATCCAGGAGGATAGATATGATCCTTAAGCAATGAAACAATGGTTTATTGGATTTCTTGTTTTGTATTTGGTACTAGCAATCCTTTAATCTTCATATCTTAACCTAACCCAATCAAACAAATTCCACCATCACTATTCAACATTGCACATACAGTTTCTCCAAAGGCTCTTGGATTCTACTTTAAGTTATCTAATGTTGCATAATCGAATCCAGCGACCCTAGGAGATACTGTAATTGGCTATCCTACCTATGGCATCAAATCTAAGTGAACTTAAATTTTGTCATTTCCTCTTTGATGTTAATTAGCAACTTAAGCTATTGTAGTATTTGGAGGTAGCAGTTCAGCCTAAATTAACATATTTTAGGAACCTTTCCAAATTAGTTTTTAGATTGACCAGGCTTGATCTTTAATCCTCTTACAGCATTATAATTTAATAATGCTTATGAGCAAGCATTTCTCACTAAAGTATCAACATATTGGTTATCATCTATTGTCACTGTTACGGGGAAATTATTAAATAATGGCCAAGCATTGACAACAAATTACACCTCTATTTTGATTACGTAATATTTTACATCTCACTTATGGTTATGGATATCCGGTTTATGGAGGATATCCAGGTTATGGAGGATATCCAGTTTGTGGAGGGTATCCAGCTTAAGGAGGATATCCTGGTTATGGTGGATATCCTGGTTAGGTAGGGTATCCTGGTTGTGGAGCATAGCCAGGTTATGGAGGGTAATTTGGTTAGGGAGGATATCCAGGTTGTGGAGGATAATTGGGTTATCCTTATTATCCTGGATAACCTGGAGGTGGATATGGAGGCTGATTCATTAATTAAATTAATTCATATAAAATATCTAATGTTATTAATACAAATTTTATTAATATAGAAAATCTTTAAAGTTTATAGACTAAAATAATTTGTTAACTTATTCTTAAAACAAACTTTTCCTTATTATGAATATTGAAATTTTTAATTTGGCAATTTCTAATTATCCCTTTCAAAGAATTTGAATTTCTTTTTTATTGGAATTCTTGTGAATTTCCAAGAACTTTATTTTCTTTAAAAATAGTTCTAACTTAAAATTCTACAATTCAATTTTTTCTCATAGAAAAATGTTTATGGGACCAAACTATTATATTTTAGTCAGGAAATACTATCTCAAAGCTTGATTTCCGCCTAACTGAGAAGTTCCTTTTTAGTTAATTTTCTATGAAGTATTAAAAATAAAATAGATATTTTGAATATTTAACAAAAATTATATCAAGAGGAGTAACCTGAGTCTGAAAGACAATATTGATATAAATCAATTGATGCAATTGTACAAGAAAATAAAAATATGCTAAGTACATAATAGTATTTAAAATATGGTCATAGATGTAGTTTATGAAATTCTATGTTATACTATGGCCTTAAAGTAACTGAAGAATACCTCTAAATTTCAGATATCTAATATTAGAAAATAATTAAACATTGATATGCAATATATTAATAAGGTTTAATTTTTTAATTAGAGAGGGATGTAAAATCACTGAATTTAATTAATTTTTTATTCACTTTCATTAACTAGAGGGTTAAAGTTTTGTAATAAAATGAGTTTTAAAGTTTAATAAATAATTTATTTTTAATTTTCTATCTTTCTAAACCCATATTTACTTGGGTTGATCGATTTTAAATGTAATAAAGAAAATTGGAAGATTTTAATATTTATTTTATAAAACAACTAAATCTTATATCTGATGAATCAAAACGATTTATTTCTTATTGAAGGGATACAATTTTAGAGGAATAACAAATAAGAAATCTTTTTGATTCCTTATGGAAATGGATTAAAGATGATTGTAAGAATTTCATTAATTTAGAACACTCTCAATCATTCCTTATTATTAAACATAGATTTTTGTGATGAAGAAGTAATTTTTGATTGGAGTCTTTACAAAAGTAAAAAAGGTGATGAGAATCTGTATTTCATTATACATTTCCATGGATAGTTATTCAAAGTTTTTGGAACTCCAAATTAATTAGATTCAATGTATGAATTTTCTGCAGGAAAATTCATTTTCAAAAGGAACGATATTTATTCTTTAGATTGCATAAATGAGTCTATGTCCACATATCAAGTATATATAAGTTTTATACTAGTTATTGACAATAATTAATAGACATAATGGTAAAAAATACATTGAAAAAAGAATTAATTAAATATATTCTTAATAAATATCCAATTCAAGTATCACGGATTTTGGATAAGAACAAATACCTGAAGAGATACGAGTCATCTAACTATTAAACATCCAACGTTGTCCTTACATCATGAAAATAGACTAACTCACTTACGATGGAGAATGCTATTCGATTATATATTAAAGTTCAAATTAAATATCTCTAAGATAAATATTGAAAAAATACAAGAATCCACCAATATCCTTTATAATTGAAATCCTAGAATAACTCCTATTAGGTATTAAGTAATCCTAAGTTTAGTGTTGAACATATTTGAAGAGCTAAAAATAATTCATAATGGAATTACATTGGACAATATCTGTTATTCTCAAGAATTCAATTTAATATTTTTGTGTAATTTCTCATTTTCAATATTTGAAACTCAGAATCAATAACAAATGTATTATGAATCTAACTTTTAGAAAAGGTAACTCAATTGGGTTTGTTCCACCAGAGCAATATTAAATTAATTAGCGAATCTCCACTTCAGCCAACACATACTAATTAGGAGTTCTTCTATACTACATGTATGTATACCTTACTATATTAGGCTATTTAACGAAAACCCATTTGGAAAAGATTAAAAAAATATATTCTTTAATAATATTGCTGGAAAATATTAAATTCCAAATACAAAATAGGATAAGAATATTATTGAAATAATGAAATCTATGCTTTAAAAGAATCCTTAGAAAAGAAAAGCCTCAAAGGAATATTTGACATCGAAGATTTTTATGCCATCCTATCGATCTAAGATGTCAAAACATAGTTTCTTTACTTTTTTTTAGGAAAACTTTAAATAAAAAATTGATGAATATGAGGTTGGGGATGATCTTATCTATGCTTAAAGTGTGAAATCATTGTAAATAAGTAAAGGGATTAAGAAATGAATTGAATTATATTATGTGGTAGGATTATCATCATCATTCAATTTATTGTTATTTAGATATATAATCATAGATATTGAAAATTAGCTATTAATTTATAATATATATTTTATAATGAAAATAAATAGAGATAAATAAATGAATGAAATGAGATCCAAAATTAAGTAATCTCTATTTACTAAAAAAGAGATAATAAGCAAGAATGTAGAGAACTCTAAAATGGTTAAAAGATCAACAAGCAATACTTAATTAAATATATAATCCTCAGCTAAACCAAACTAAAAATAAAAGCCTTGTATTTAGAATCGTTTTCATGATATATACTAAATTGGTTCTATCATTGGCTAAGGCTCAAATGGAATTGTTAAAGTTTGTTACAAAAAAACATCATCAAGTCAACTCTTGAATTTTGGTCATATCCCAACCAAATATGCTGTCAAAATAATACCAAATGCTGATGATCCTGAATTAATTAACACTATCACTTAAACTTTTATTATAAACAGAGAGCTAAATACTTTACCATAAATAATATAGGTTTTTGATCTATTTATAGATGAAAATGAAAAAGTTGCATATTTAGTTATGGAATTTTGTGAATGGAAGAGTTTAGAATATTATCTTGAGAAAAACTAACTGACGATTAAATAAATTAGAGAAATTATTAGAAATTTAGCAATTTCTCTTAAAGCTATACATAATAAAGGAATCTGTCATAGAGATATTAAACCAGATAACATTTTAGTGAAATTATGTGATCAAACTGAAATTAAAATTATTGATTTTGGTGTATCTAAAAAGTTCTTTAAGAAGAATAAAAATGGTATAATCATACACGAGATGTGGACAAGGACAGGCACCATTTTATTTTAAGCACCTGAAATCTTTCTATGTGGAATTTATAATGAAAAAAGTAAATAATTAATTAAATCATCATAGTTGATATATGGTCATGTGGAATTATTTTGTATCAATTATTATGTCACAAATTTCCATTCTTGGCTGATACCATAATAGACACGATTGAAATTATTACTAATTCGAATTATAATCCATGGAGATAATAAGAATTTTTAGATTTGCATTATTTACAATAAGATTTGTTAAAACGTACACTCACCAAGGATCCAAAAAATCGATTGTCAGCAGAAGAACTATTGTTACACCCATGGATTTCGATGAAAACAAATTAATATGATAAAACTATGGATGACACTTAAATTTCTAAAAAAAAATCTAAACTTCGTGATTTTAAAATTGCAACCTGTCTCTAGTTAAGTGATATTTTCAATCCTTATAAAAATTCAAGTCCATTATATTTAAATCCAATGCAAAATGGTAACACTATTAATGACAACAATAACATGAATCATGTTTACTTTAACCATAACAATAATAAAAATAAATTAGACTACGGAAATTTTAAAATTAGCGATTTTATTGTTAGAAGTAAATAAATTTTGAGTGGGAAGAGCAGCTTTTTATTTGCAATAGAGAGTTCTTAAGATAATTCACCTAAAATGAATATCGAATAGTCTGAATTATACTTGGATGATAAATAATCAGATGAAGTCTTGTAATACAGATTGGAATCTAGATTTTTAGATTATGATTGCTAACATAGAAAATTTTCGAAATGAGTCTGATAGTTTTGTTTATTTAATAAAGAAGTGAACTATTTATATAATTAATCAAATTATAAAATAAGTATTTAGTCAATTTTTTAGCTTTAACCTAATTGAGTAAATGCTATTTTGATAGCTAAAAATTCAGTATTTTTATTTATATTTAAAAATTGTAAGGGTTATTTATTTTGGGAATTTGTGTGAGTGATAATTATCAAAATCTTAATTAATAGAGTTATAAAAGAAGTGATTATAAATTTTAGTTCGATTGATTTATTTATTACAAAACAACAAATGACTATAGATTTTTATATAATTAGAATTAAAACAATAATGAAGAAATGTGATGAAAAATAATTTAGAAATAGTATTTATAATTTTATTGAGAATATTTATTAGCAAACTACTTTCCAGTCATCTAAGATACTCATGTATATTTTTAGGGGAAGGTTAAAACTAGCGATTATGAATCTCCATTTGATTCTTTTGGATTGAGGGGTTTAGGGTTGTTTATGAAATGGGCTTGAGAATAAAAGGCTGAAATGCTCTTATTTTTTGAATGACTATTAAAATGAGCCAATATTAGTTGAAGGAATAATATAGGAATGAGGCTATTTTTAGGGACTTAATAAATACATAATTTGTTGAATGTTAGTGCCATAAATTAGATCTTTGATATTTCCTTTTGTAATTCAATATTTTAGATATATTAATTGATCTCCTGATTGTTTCAATCATTTTATCTCTTATTTTCCTCCAAATTTCAACTACATGGCATCTTTAATACATATATTTATTATTCCTATAATCGATTCTAACCTGAATAAATTAAGTTATTATAATTAAATTAATAATAATTAAATAAAATGATAACAGCAACTAGATCATTAAATGTTAGATTGCCTTAATTAAGCATGAAAAATCTTGAAAAATCTCGAGAAAAGTCGAATAAACCTACAATTAGATCCATAAATAACGTTTATGATTATTCTAATTCCCCACCTAAAACAAGAACTGATAATATTTCAAGGGGTTCCCTTTCCACTCCTTTATAATATTGCAGATATTCCTGTTATAATATATGTAGAGTGGATTCCTCATTTAATGACTAAGAAATCTTTAGTGCATAATAAAGAAGTGTTTAAAGAAATGAAAATAGTAAAAATACATATAGTGATTAAATTGAAAAATTGTCTTAAAGGATTAAAAACCTCAGCAAAACAAAAAAAAAAATGTAAGAATCTATTTCCACCAAATAATATAAAAAAACTGAACCTTATATTCAAAAATAATCTAATAAATATTAACCAAAAAGTCCCAAATTGATTCTCAAAACGGAAGAAAAAAATGATGAAGTCAACTTTGAATAAAAATAATTAATCCAAGAGAAAATGTAAGAAATTTACGCATCAGTATAAGCCATACTGAAATCGCATAAAGGATATGTTAGATAAGTTGAAAAAAAAAATGTTTAGATTCAATTAGTCTAACTTAAAAAGGAATTTAAACTTGTTAATTAAGATTATAATGAGTTTTATAATAATCATACTAACGAACAATTCAAATGTAATATATAATACGTCTATGATTAGTGGATTTTGAATTAGTCGATCGAATAGAATAATTAAAAAAGTTATTTGAAAATAAGAGACCAACTAAACGTAATTGTGGTAGTCTTTTTGATGGAATGGATATTTCAATTGTAATTCAAACAGAAGCAGATGAAAAACCTAATAATATTGATTTTAACGAAATTTCTGAAAAAGACTTTGAACAATCTTAAGATCAAATTGGACAATTTGCTGACTAAATAACAGACTGCTCGCCAGCCAACAGCACTGCAAGAAGAAGAACTACTAATTTAAATAAAAGAGCAACCAAATAATATTCTATTTAGCCAATCCAAATTTAGTAAGAAACGACCTAATAAACCTAAATTAGTAGAAGAAAGAGCAGTGTAAAATCAATTAATACTCCACTTACACCTAAAACTCCTGATTCTCCATCTTCTATGACTTCTAGAAATAACAAGTTCGCGGCATAATAAATTATTTAAGAAAAATTAAAATTGCCAGCTACACCACCTAAAAGGTAAGACTAATAATAATTCTAAGAAGATTAGACTAATGTTCTAAAAAAAGAAATTTAAAAAAGATAATCAAAACTCATTTCACGTAAGGCTACATTAGAAATGTCTCAGTAACCAAAATAAAAGTCGAGATTAAATTCAAGAAATAGTTTAGTAGAAGTAACTGAACATTCTGAATATGAATAAAAAATACTACCTAATAATAATACTACTAATTAATCTTAATCTTAAATTAATATTGAAAATAATCCAGAAGTCAATTAAAATATACTAGATTAATTAGAAAATAACAAAGAATAAATAGCTAATTAAATTTAAACATAAAAATAATCATAAAATTAAATTGTGCCTCAAAAAGAATAATAAAAGTAAAAAACAAAAAAATAAGAAATTAAGGAATCCAAAATCATTTAAGATTTGTATTAATCTGCATTTATATATGATCAAGATATCTTGAATAAATATAGAAAAAATAAACACAAAAATGAATGGTCTTAAGATATATAATCAGTTATATCTAACTATTATTAATTTTTTTGATTTATAAATTAATATGCTATTAGTTATATAATAAATATATTTCCAAAATCAAAATCCGTAGTCAAAACAGTCTCTAGTTTATTATCCATTTTTTATAATTTCCTACTTTTTACCTGCAAATGGTATCCTATGTAACCAATCTGCAGGTACACCTTTATAATTCTTTGGATTGAGTTCAATAGGATCCATTTATTACAAATAGTTGGCTGGTGGATTTCTGATGATAATAAATAATGTTACTTATCATCAAAGGATTTAACTTCTTGCAAATCATTTGTTATTTATTTTTTTTACTCTTATTTTGGTGATGATTTCAATAGAGAAGGATTAATTTCATTGACCTTACATGTAAGTCTGTTGGCTTTCTCCTTTTTCTGTTTCAATTCCTCAATAAATTTATTATTTGCCTTATCTGGAATGGCTAATTAATCATCTACTTATAACTTAGATTCTGATTATATTTAAACTTTTTTGTCTTATTTCTTTTTGGATTCCTTTGTTTTCTAATCATTACTAATCTTCGATTTATTATCATCTTTATCCTTTTAAGATTTCTATGTACGATTATCAATAACAGACTAAGGTCTTTTGTCTCCTTTTTATTTTCTCTATTATTTCACTGGCTTGTCTTGCACCTGGGATTCCCCTTAAACACTGCCTGCTTCTGATGCAAATCGTAACGTATTTGTTAAGTCAGGCTTTTTAATATTAAATTCAGGAATGGTTGATTTGCCTTTTGATTCCAATTGCTTTTTCAATTCTGAATAAGGTTAAGGAGTCAATTGATTTCTTTGTTTTTAAGCCTCCACTTATTCAGGATTTAATCTATCTTCTTCTCTGCAATTTCTAGGAGGTTCAGGTTCTACATTTGCTACCGCGGCTCCTTTTCTTAATGCATTCTAATAACTTTAGATATAAAAGGGATCATTTTTATTCCTGTGTGGTTAGACATTATGAGAAAGCATGTGTTAACCATATACTATACCTCCAACTGATGGATTGATATTATTGAATCCATAAGGACCCCAAGCTGGCTTACCAAAATAAGTAGTAAATGCACTGTCAGCTATCCATCTGGTTTCTCCTTGAAATTTCTTAATTCTATCTTTTCTCCTTTATAATTTTGCTGCATCTTCAGGATCATTAGGATCAAGAGTCTTAGCTTTCTTAATGAATTTAGTATTCATCTTTTTTTATTGATCATCTTCTTATTCATTTTCTAAATCGTCTTCTTCAGATGAGATGATATCTTCTTCCTCTTTTTTAGATTCTTCATAATAGAATCCACTAAATGGATGCTAAACTTTATATTCGCCTTTAAAATTTTTATTATTTTATTCTAACTAATACATTAATTCGTTTGTATCCTTGATATCTTTGATTAGATAGTTATCCCTATAGGCAGTTTATAGTTTAGGGTTCCATTAAACAGGTAATTTATATTGGTTGTTTTGATCTTCTTATAATTGAATGGATGGATTAGGTTATTATTAAGGATTACGGCAATCACAAGATTTCGCAATATTTTTAATTGTTTTTTCATCTAATTCTAATTAAAATTAAGAATGCTTATATACTTTATACAAGGATTTATGAATCTTCTACTTTTAATTTTTCAATTTTTCTAAAATTATCTTTATTTTCAGTTAACCAAGGTTAATTCTCGTGATTTATTCTAGTTATTAACTTTTTAGTTTCAGGTTCTCTTTCAACTTATATTTTCTTTTTGAAATCCCATGGTTCATCTTACTCGACTGGCCATTTCATCATATCAAACATATTAGGTTCTTAGTTTCTTGGTTTATTTTTTTTTCCAAATACTTTATTTTCATCTTGATTAAAATTATAAATTACTTTCATAGACTTATTTTAAGACTTATTCTTTATTTTTCATATGGCTGTTAAGATGAGTAATAAATAAATTTAATTTTAATATTATTTTCAAAACTACTGTTAAAAGGAAAATATTTCATTTTTATTATTAATCAATATCATCACTTTGTTCTTCTTAATATTACTTAACTTATCTTTCAATTTATGATTATATCTATTATTCAACAGATTCATCCTATCTAATAGTTTCAATTTAAGATTCCTCATTTACTTATTGGATTTCTGATAATTGTTGTTTAATCTATTAGTCTTTTAATTACTCAGTTTCTTGTTATTATTCAACTTTGACTTTACTTTCCTTTAATTTATCTAAATCACAAGCTTCAACAGATTTTACTTTATAACTATAATTAATTCAATACTAATGATTACTTAATAATAGGCTACAACTAAAATTATAACTATTGTTTTTCTTTCTTTTTTGAAGATATTGAACTATTATTTGTAGAATCTCTATAAGAATATGTCATATTATTTCTTAATTTATAATTTGATTATTGTTACCTGATAATATTCATATAATTTTAACACTGCTGATATCGTTGTAATCTCATCATTAACCTCTTATTTTCTTTATAAGAATGTGAAAATTCTTCAATTTTCAAGACTGGTTCTTATTTCATTAGACGATCAGCTATTTTAATATTTTCATTTTGTATTTATTAAGCTTGATTCTTACGAAAGGTTAAGTTTAGATTATGAGGGTGATGTAAATTTTCATCTTCATATTTATAGTAATCTTATTACATGGGTCTATTGCAAATTTCTGTTATTTTTTAATACAATTGGCTATTGCCCTTGTTTATGCGCTCAGATTATTCTATTCAAATAATGGATGCATTTGTACCATTTAAATCAAAACGTCTCCTTTGCTATCTCAAATTATTTCTTTTTTCTAGGATTTCCTAATGCTAGACTCTCTATTAAGATTATGTTTTTTTGCTTTTGATTTCATTCAACTTCTTCAAATGGAGATCATATGACCTATTTACTATGAATAGTTACTTCTCTCTCTAAAATATTTAGTCTAATTTATAATTATAATTGTATTAATGATTAGATCTCATATTAATAAAATAAATAATATAATTAATAAGAATGTCACAACCGTCCGAAACTAAACAATCAATTTAAAGTGGCAGGATGGTCTTACATCCATCTCTAAAGTTAGATAAATCGGCTGCTTTTTTCAAAAACACAAGAGTTAGTTCATGCTCTTATGTAAGAATGAAATAAGGAAATCCAGAAGTAAGATGTCAGTTTTGATATAGCTAGGCTGTTCCCTTCTATGAAATAGCCAATAAAACGCCTGCTGAACATGAAACAAAATCTACATATACAACTTCATCTTATGCGTAATTCAATATAGTAATAGAAAAGAGATGATTATAAAGTGAGACCTAATTTACATGTTGGATCTACTAACAAATTATTAGAACCTTATAATACAGGATCATTTAGATCCAGATTACCTGAACCAGATGCTCCAATATTAACTAAAAATGCCTCTCAAATTGAATTAGGAGATAGACAGTAAATAAAAAATAAAGACTTTTAGTTTCAATGTAAAAAGACATTTCTTAAGCACTGCTCATAATGTCTATGGAAATTTCGGAAAACCAGGGAATATTACAAATCCAGGAATATTATCAGAGAAAACAAAATGGCACCATCATTTATAATAAAAATGATAAATTCGAAGATAATATATTATTTCATTAATCATCTTCATCATCTGTATCTTTTTTAGGGCGGCATTGTGGAATTAGAGAATTCACTTTAATATTGTCTAAATTTAACATAGGGTTTTTATCTTCATTTTCTGTTTTATTTTTAGTTCCATTCTCTTTTTGTGATTTATCTTTTTTATTAGTGAGATTTTGTTGTTGTAATTCTTACTCTTATTTTTAATATTCTTTAATTAACTATTAAATCTTCTCATTCTTAGGATCATTATCTTATTCATTCTATTTTTTATTTTTTGTTTTTGGGTTCTATTTTTTATTAGTATCTTATTGAGCATCTTTGCCGTTTTTCTTATTGGATTTATTTTGTTTTTTGGTTTCAGGTTCACCTTTATTAAAATTGAAAATTGCTGTTTTCAATTTTTAAGCTTTCTTTTCTTTTTTATTAGCATTATTTGATGCCATATCTAAAGAATTTGGATCATGCTTTTTGTTTTCAATGGATTATTCTTCAGATGATTATTTATTATTGAATTTTGTTTATGTTTTTGGTTTATTATTTTTTGTAATTTTATTTTCAATTTTTAAAAATTATTCATATTCTTCTTGATTATCATCATCTGATTCTGAATCCAAAGTCCTTTTAGATTATTTCTTTTTTACAGCTGCAATTTATTTCGATTACTTCTTGGTTACAGTATAAATTTCTGAATTAGAATAAGAATCTGATTCAGAATCTGATTCAAATTCTTATTCAGATTCAGATTCTGAATTTAGTGTTTCTATTGGTCTCTTTTTTTTTTATTACTTTCTATTTCTATTACTATTACTTTTCTATCTGGTATCAATGTTGTTTGAAGAATTCTTTTTATTTACTTAATGATTCAGATGAACATCACCTACGGGCAAATTCATAGTTCCAAAAACATCATCAAAATTCTAATCATAATTGTTAAGGAATTCGGTCATAGATTTTTTAACGATTGGTTTCTTGTTAAATTGTTTAATTTGCGAATCTAAGGCAGTGAACAAGGAGGTTTAAAATAAGGATTGGGATTAAGCGTTCAATGATTTTTTTAACGTTTCCTCTTATTCAGATTCGGAACAATTTTCAATGTTGGACTTTTGTTTAGTCTATTTTGAATGATTCATTTATTATTTTGGTGATAATCATTTTTAATTATATATTACAATATTTCAAAGGATTTTAATTTTAATTGGACCTCAATAATTATAATTATAATTTAAATGATATTAGAAAATCCAAGTAAAATCAAATGGAAATAATAATACATAAAAAAGTACAGAGCCTTGTTGGGAATTTCAAAGTATAAATATATCAAACATAGTCTCAAAGTAATACCTCCAGAACCTACAGAAAATAATATCACTCCATTGCATCTAGATTATATTAATAAGTAGAGATCAAAATCGTTAAAATAAAATGACGAGAGTATCTTACAAAGTTCAGATAGAAGATCTTTACATACAAAAATTTATACTGCATGTGAAATGAACTAAATTATTAATCATGCAAGAATTTGTGGATTATTGAATGATAAATAAAGTTTGAATTCTTAAAATAAATAAAATCAAAGTTTATTAGAATAAAATAGAAAATACTTCTAAGATGTTCGAAATCTAGAAAACAGTTGGAATTACAAAAGAATACGTTAAGAAGAACAAAATAGGTTATTCAATTCCATACCTATGGAATAACATTATAAAATTAAACTGAAATAAAAAGAGACACATTTAAACATACAATAATTAATTTAAGAATAACGTACTTTGTTTTTAACTAATAACACGCAATAAAATCATGATTTATCTGGTTCTAGCTCCCTAGAATGAAAACTTAGAATAATTTTGTTTATGATTTAATCACAATATAACTTATGTTAAACATTTATTGAAAATGAAAATCCCAAATATTAAAATTTAGAATTATAAAATTAAAATGGCAATCAGGAAAACTAACCTCTCCTCAATTACTAAGAATTTATTCAATAATGATTATGATTAAGAGTCTTTATTCTCCTCTCCATTGAAATCACCTGATAAATCTAAGTCTAAAGTTTCCTCCAATCAGTCACCAATCAAATTAGACAGTATTGACAACTTAATTGAAAGCTAAAATACTTTAAGAACTCATATACCATCAGAATTTAATCTTAGAAAAATGTTATCCAAAATGGATAATGTTGATATTATCCATCAAACATAATAACAATATAAAGCCTGTAGATTCAGAAAAAAAGAAAATTTTTAATCTCAACCTAACTTGAAAATAGAAGTGAAGAACGATGTTGAAGATTTTTTTAATAACAATACTCCAATTAATACTTAATTAAAATAAAATAAAGAGAGTAAGTAACATTAATTAATTACATTCACTGATTATGTTGAAAACATTTATGGCAAAGATTGGTTTACAATACCATAACGAAGATTTAGAAGATAAACTACAATCTAAGAATTCTTTAATATCATCGAATGACTTCTAATTAAACTATTGATTATATCTTATCACATTTTTAATAATAAGAAATAAAATTTATATAAAATTATGAAGAAGTACTCATCCTAAAGACTCTTATTAACTAATGAAGAACTTCTACGCATTCAATTTCTAGCCAAAAACTCTTACAGACCCTCCTCCAAATAGAGAATCAAAGAAAAACCTCTTCTAGAAAAATATCAATTCAAACCTGAGGTATTATCTCCATTTATTCTAGATTAATAAATAATCTGCAAATCTATAAAGATCTATAAATGATTTATTAAGGTGGAATTTAAATAAACAGATGAAAAGACAACAGATCTACGATGATGAAGTACTCAACCCTCATTTATTTCTAGTCAAGAGAATTTCTCAACAATGCCAATAGATTAACTCATGAATTAACTAACAACTCTGTCTTTGATAGATTGTATTAGGTTCGAAAAAACAGTGAAAATGTTATATGTAATTACTCCATTCCCTATTTTTAGAACAATCTAAAAGGAACACTAGCAATTTTGGACCTTATTATACTAAAAACATGACTAGTTCTATGTATTAAGAATATCAACGCTAATAGTAATTAGATCTATCTTCATTTAAAATCTAAAACAAATGCTACTGATAGCAAATATGAATTATCACATCAATAAACTCCAAATCCTAAATTTGTAGATTCAGAACAATTTCCTATAGCTGTAAATGATGTAAATACTTATACTTATAATTTAAAATAGCAAATCAAAACTTCATAAGTTGTACGTCAATACGTAGACTTAACTGAATAATTGAGCAATTCTATGAATGAGCCTGATTCCCCTGCGAAGTCGCCATTGCATTAGAAGGATATTGAAGTGATGGTTGAAAGGTATAAAATACTTGACTACCAAATAGATTAAATAATTGGTAGGCTAAGAAATAACAACAAGAACAATAAGGATAATAGGAGGATTAATATGTGAAATCCTAAATAAAACCTAATTTAATCAATCAAAATAGATAACCCTCGTTCGGTAGTCAATAATCTCAATCGAAATCATATTCGAATATGTTCCTTAATAACAATTAAATCAATTGATATTTAAGATATATTATTATTATACTAATAATTATCTTTTGCTTGAAATTGCCATTGAATAGATAAATATGTATTCTTACTTGCAAAAATTCGAAATTTCTCTTAAATTACACTTTTATATTATGATCCTTATATTGTTGTTTAACTTGCTCATAATTAATTAGTGTAATATATGAATATTTCATTTTTCAAACATTTTTAAATAAAATGGTCATTAAAAAAGCTTTTCAGGATTTTTACATTCAAAATTTCCTATAAATCAGAGACTCATTTAAGCGAAATAAATATTTGAGTTTTGGATTAGTACTATTCTAAACTCTTCAAATATAAGGAATATATATTAGTGGAAGCATTTTCGAATCAGATGAGAAGGGAAAAAAAAGAGGAATAATGGATGCGGTTATATGGATACTCTAATCTGCTAAGTACATTTTAATATAGATAAAGAGTATTCCCCTTATTCTAATCTTCAACGAGCACAGATAAAATAATTTTTATTGACTTCAGCTTCATCATTTTATTAATCGTAATTTCTTTTATCGGATTGCTAGCAATTTTAACAACAAGAAGTTAGAAATATATGAAAAATCATAAAATCAATGGGTTATATCAATTAGTTTTTACTGATTCTGCTACTCAAGTAAATTTCATATTTAATGATAGTTATAAACATAGTAAAATTTGTTAATGAAATTTATAAAATTTATAACCTACATAGTTTCCATCTTTTTGTAAACTTACAAATACTTGTTTCATTGGAGCATCATTTATTGCTCACTAGACAATATTTATAAATTTATTAAGAATCCATCTGAAAATAATGGTAAAATTAATAATTGAATTAGATTGGATGCATACATTGGGAACAACAACATCAGTCATTGTACTTTTGTTTTTCTTATTGTTTGATAACTTTATGATGTTCCACTTTTTTGATTATAAGTTCAAGAATCCAGACTTTTTGGGTTAAAAAGAATCCAATCTTGAACTCTTACTCAATTTATACATCTATTCAACAATTGCTATAGTGGTCTTCACACAATAAGAATACCCAAATTTACAATTATTACTAGGATTGCTCTTCACAATTTATTCATTGTTTGTAAGCTCATTTCTATTTCTGAATCGTAAGTAAATGATCAATTATTTCAAATCTTTAATACTTGGGTAATTTATATTTCTCTATATTGCTCAATTTTGTTATGTGAATGGAACATTTTCTAATGAATTCGTAAATCTAATAGTATTCATCGCATCTCCTATAATCATAAAAATACAAAATAAGATCTAAGAATTGCAAGTCAAACAATATCTTTAATTAGATGATAAACATTTTATATTTTTTGAATCAAAACTAAGGAAAATCTTTGATTTAATTAAAATCACTTATTATAAGGAATGGAGAGCATTCAGATAACCAGTAATTAGATCTTATGTGTCTTTGTAATTACACAGTTTGGCTGCTAATCATCTAAGAAATTGTTCTGGAAATTAAATTGATATGAATTATTAGAATAATGTGGTTAAGAAATGCTTTTGCAAATAGTATTTTTAATACAATGAAGAAAAATCAGTGAATTTTTGGAAAAGAGAATTAGATGCTGAAACAGAAAATAAATACTTTGCATTCAAAAGTGAAAAACAATTTAAATAGTTTCTATTTGATTTAATTAAGGATAGTTTTGAAAGATATCTCAGTCAAAAATCAATATTAGAAACTAATGTATAGTTTTCATACATCTATTTCTTATTTTAAATTCAAAAGAAACCAACCAAAGCATTCTACGAGGCTATGAATTTGAAATTTAAAATCAAAAAACTCTCCTAAAAGAAAATTATGATAATTGAATAACTTATTCAAGACGCTAAGTTTAATTTCAACTTAATGATTGAGAAAAAAGATTTAAAAAATCAGAAATATAATTTCAAATAGGTTTTTGATTATGATTAGAATTTGGATACTACTAAGTTAAACTTTTAGATCATATTAACAAATTATAAGAAATGGTACAACCAATTATTGAATTAATAATTGTAATTATAAATGATCATCAAAAAGGGAATTGAACTTCAACAATAAATATAATAATTAGAGTAATAAATATTCAGTTTATATTAATTGAATCCAGTTTCATCTGAATTAGATACAATAGTTTATCTTTTTTATAAATACATACACTTTAACCTCAAAAGACCCAAATCAATTAGAAGAAATTCCTCATATGCAAATTAATTCATATAGTCAATTAATCAATAAGTATTTGAAAAGGAATCTTGTATCATTTATATATCACTTATGAATTAGAGAGGATCCATACAAAATTATACCAAATCTTTTAAATCATTAATCTTAGGAAATGATTAAGACATCAAAAATTAGAATATCAAACATTTCATGCCTGATTCTATTGCCCAATACCATGACATGTATTTAGATAATTTCATTGAATTGGGTAGGATGAATATAGTGATGGCTGAATAAAGATTTTTGATTCTTAAAAATAAGCAATAGTTTATAATCCCAGTATATGCAAAAGTCAGATTGGAGAACTATTCTAATAGCGATTTTGGATCATCTGCACTGATAACATAAATTAATCAATAGAATTATTACATTGTCATCAGTAGATATGGCATTTTGGAAGAAATGTCTTAGAATTTTTACTAAGAAATCATTCAAAAAACTCTGAACTGTTATCCATATTAATTAAAAAATTTGAATCTACTTAGACTAATGCCTTGCTTGTTGAAGGACTTGCAAAAGTTAGAATTGAATTAGTAAAATAGCAATGAAATAGATTTCGAATTTTCTTAGTAAAATAAAGATTAAATTAATTATGACATTCTAATGGAAGGGCATATTTTAATTCCTAAACAATAGACTTTGATAGATTAGTTATAGATCTCAAATAAAAATATATTAAACGTCGATGTTGAAAATTACTTTTTCGTTTAATAACAGAAAAATCATTTATTCTACCAAAATGTTTAACATCTATTTATTTTTTATGTTAAATACAAGATTCGATTAATGAAAACCATTAATTCATTACATAGAATACTAGAAATTTAGACTTTGAAGATGATTAAATCTGAGCATCAATAGAAGGCTATAAGAATAGTCCAGAATATTTGCAATATTGAATAGTCTTCTATATTGAAGTTTTAATAGGCACCAAAAATACATTATTATTTGTAAGATTCAGATGGATATGATGTGTTTCAAAAGGAATAAATTGAGGCATTCAGGAAATCGTAATCTTCTGAATTGTTCGATAGAAAATCATATGATTTAGAAAACAACCTAATAATGGAAGAGGACAATATGATAAGTCAGAAATAGAGAAATTTTGAGGAGCATTATTCAACTAGAAGAGATTTGATACAATAAACATTGTTAAATACATTGGATTCTCATGTGTATTAAAAAACTAAAGAAAATATTCAACTATTGTAGAATGAATCTGATACTTCAAAGTAATTAGTGAGAAAGAATAGTTTTAATATTTTAAGTAAGGGTTAGATTGATGACATGGAATTATCAAATAAATAATCAAAAGATTCAATTGATTAGGATTCAGGTTCAAATTATAAAAATCGTTAAGCTACAATTCATTAGAATGATGGGAGTTCGATAGCTAGTTCCCAATAGTAGAATGATTACATTAGCAAAAGGAGAATGATAAGAGATGTCTTATTTTCAGATCATTAATTTTAAAATAATACTACAAAAACTAGCATTCTGGTTTTCGGCTTAATTTTACTTATCATCTTATACTTAGTAAATCTAATCTTTATAGTTATAACACAAAAAGTATATATATTCTTTATATAAATTCTAGAAAGTAGAAGAGATTGAAGCCAACAAACACGTATCGATAAATATACAAAACTCTTTGAATCTATTTATCCTATCGAATCAGTTTGAACAAATTTAAATATATCAAAATAATACATAGATTTGGTATTAACAACTTTAGAATCTTTCAATTATTAACTATCAAATATATCTAAGATAAATTTTAAACTCCCAGAACTCAATTATAGAATAATCAATGTTTAATCAATTAAGTAATTATTAATATATTAATCAAAAGAAATCATCTACTTTGAAGAAACAATTAAATATGAATTGGATTAACTTTTTATAATCAAATTAATAGGAGAATACATGATAGATTATATTAGTGACAAAGATACACACAAGGACGGAATAATATTTCTAATTCGTAATTTTTAGGTCATTGTTTAGGAGATGTTAGTCGAATTTAATAATACTACTTTTATTAATATTCAATAGTAAATTGACATGATAGATTCCTAAATAGAATTAACTATCATTTTATCTGAAGTTACTTTAAGTTTAATAGTCATTATTCTTTTACCTGTATTTTTAATTATTAATCGATAAAAAAACACAATTTTGGAATTCTTTATGACATTCCCTTAAAATGAACTTTAATAGTAATATGATATTTATTAGATTCTATTGGATAAGTTAGAAGAAACAAAATTTGCTTAACAGGAAACTAATCAATATGATATTGAGAGTTCTCATATTAAATAATTTGTAAAATCTATTCGCTTAGTCAAAGATTCCAATTAAAGTAAATAATAATATGGAAAGTTAAAGAAAATGATTGGATCTAGTATTTTAATATTTTATTCTAGATGCCACTCCTTTGATAATATTCAGTATCTTTTTAGTTTTACTCTTGTTTTCTATAGTTTCTGCTTACTTTATAACCTCATTTATGATTAAATATCAATTTCTGAGTGATTACAAAAGAATTAACAAAGAAATCAAAATTTATGATTCTCTACAATGTGAAATATTAAAAGAAAATGCTATTTAAAATTTAATTCTCAATTAAATACTAAATCAGAATATAAGCGATGTAATTAAAAATACAGGTAATTTTAATACTATATAAATAGTGCACTAATTGTTTGAAATAGAAAAAGCAAGTCAATATCCCACAATATTGTATTATCAATAAGAACTTACCTAAAGATTTTCAGATTCAAGCAATGAAGTGTTTTATAATGTGTTATCAAATAATACATGTGATATATTCAACTCTGAATTAATTGACCACTTAGAATTGGAATAATTTTTAGATTTTTATAGTATCCAAGGATGTCAGACTATTGGTCAAGTTTAACAAGGAATTAGCATTTCTATAATTAATTTTGTAAATCAATTGAAATAATTATATTCGACATTGTAGTTTTATGAAAGTAACTATTTCAATATATTACAGGTAATAATGGTTATGAATACAAAACTCTGTATGATAGTATCATATTCCTAAAAGACTAAGAAATATAATAATCATATCTATATACTGCTTTTGCACTTTAAGTGATAACAAACTACCAAGATTAGTAGCTAAAGACCTTAGTCTAATAGCATTATTTAACTCAAATAATAGCCTTTGTTGTTGGTGCCAGCTTTATTAGTGTATTCACTCTTATAACAGAGAAGTGCTTCAAGAGTCTGATTTCGAATTAAATAAATTAATCCAAACTGCTACTTACTTTAATCCCATTTGAAATCTTATAAACAAATGCTTATGTTATGACTTATGTATTGCAAGAATCGAAAAAAATATATTTATGATTTATATTAGTATATTTGAAATAATATTAATTATTAATGTTACTCACCCTCAAATATTTGAATAAGATTAAACAGATTAATTTGGATAAAAGGGTAAATGTGCAATCTTTGCAAATACTTTTGGCATAATTATTTACTATCAAAAACAGAATAATAGGTTTGATTGATTAAGATGGTAACTATAATTGTTAATTATCAAGGCAACTTCTACGATTTATCATAATTTATCTAATTATTGTAATAGACAAGATGTAATATGTACACTATTGTAAGTGAAGAAAATTATAATTAAAAAGACAACAAATTATTATAAACATCTCTCAAATATAGTTAGATGTCAGATTACAACAATAGGCTTTCTTTTATTGATTTCATCTATGATTTGGAGGAATTCCAGTAGATTCTAGGTGGAGATCAATACACTTGTATTTACTTGATCGATGAAAAGGATTATCAAGGGTTAGATTTTCTATGTGCCCTAGAACCTTTGATAAATAACTTTAATAATTGGATCAACTTTTTCTATTCCTTTAGTAACAGATTACAAGATTAAGCCAGGGAGAATGATTTGAATGTTAAATTACTGTGGATCTACAAAGGATCTAAGAAAATTGTTTCCTTTTAATTGAATAATGATAAAAAAATGAGATAAATGGATGAAATTATACAAAAATTAGTTTAAGCCAAATTACAAGGCACTAGCACAAGAACTTCGAATATCAAACAGTAATCTCAAATCTCATCTCAACAATCTCCTAATAACAGAAGAAGCAAATCTATTCGTAAATTAGTTGAAGAATCTTAAACTTCTAATAACAATTTGTATATGAATTCTAATTTTGGGCCTTCAAAATTAATCACTAGGGTTTAAGCCAAACTCATCCAAAGGGATCCCTCAAGAGGCAGTGAAAATTTTGAAGATTATCGATCTTAACAATAACATTCATCCTAATATCAATAATAAAGCAATATCTATCAAAACGAATCAATAATCAGTTAATAAGATATGCTTTTTGCTTTGGTAGGAGATTTAGAAGTAAAAGAAATATTAGATGTCACTATGGCAAGATTAGTAAAGCGTTTGTTAATAGAAGAAAACAAAGAAATTATACAAGTCTTGTAAATATATTTGTAGAATCATATCAACATACAATAATTATGTGAAAGATTGAATAAAATTATTGAGAATTGCACCTATCAAGAGAGACCAACATCTCCTTTCTAAACTCTTAAATAAACCAAACCTTAAATGAATTCTTAAGACTCTAATCGTTCTGCATAATAAGATTCACTTCAATCTCATTAGACTTAACTATTAGAAGACATTAAAAATAAAGTTATTGAAAGAAACAATTACAATTATACTTCTGAGTAATTTGGAATTATGAATGTCTTATGGAATCAATAGGATCAAGTTTTATTACAATTATGTACAGATATTTATAACAAGATGCAAAAAGGCGAATAACCCTCTCTAAAACCATTATAGATTTATTCTGGTTCCAAATTTAATCAATTATTGTAGTAAAATTTCAAATTATCAGAAATTACAATGATTCACGAATATAATAATAGTCATCAAGGGTCAATCTATGCAGTCCTACAATATTTTAGATACTAAACCAATATAGAATAGTTTATTAATGATTTAAGAAAAGCTATTAATTCAGTTTAAAGCTAAAATCAACATCTTAATTAACCTTAAAAATAGCAAACCCAAGAATCTAAAGTAATCTTATTATTTAAATAAATTCCAAAAGCTCCATCGCCTTAGAGTGTGTTAATGCCCAATTTTTAATTATAAGAAAATACATTAACTTAAGCTACTGCTACTACAATATAATAGTAATAATAATAGGAATAATAATAGGAACACTAGTAGGAATAATAGTAATAATTAAAAAAATAAAAAGAGAATTAAATAATGGTTGTGCATTAGACATAACCTATTCCATAATAAATTGATAAAAAAATTGAAGAAGTATCAGTTATCTAAACATCAGTTTAAGAATAGCCAATCTTTAAAAAAAGTGATATTATGAGTAGATCTGAGTAAATTTCTCCGTAAAAGAGAATAAGTACACAAGAAGTTGCCGCTAATGTTATTTTTTTAAATGAAGAAAATTTTATGTAAACCAAAAAAGAAAAAAGACTTGTCAATATGGGAAAGATCGATTAATTTTATTCAATTCAAGTAGAAAAAGAATTAGAACAAATATTTAAAGATATGCTTTGGGATATGGATTTAGAGGAGCCAAAAGTAAGATAAGTAGAAATGTTATTTTCAGAACATAATCAGAATCTATATGAAATATTATAAGGTTGGTAATCTTCTAGAAATATTAATGGTACAAGAACAAAACTTATGTATTATTTAGTTATATGATAGAAAATTATTATCTGAATAATAAGTTAAAAAAGATGATTATAGAAAAATAAAGATGTATAATTTATTTATGAATTAAGTGAGGTAATTTACATTGTAAAATCATCTATAAGATAATGCGAAAAACTTTTTATTAAAAATGTTTATGGATAATGATTTATAGGTTTTAGGAACTTTTGAAACTTATTTGTAGAATCAAGATGCTGAAGATATGTTAGAAAATTTAAAGTTGATAATCAAATAATATTCGAAATTCACAAATGTATAATATTATAATCATTATAAACAGATCAATTCACCTAATACAGATGTGGATCAATAACCTATTATAGAGCCAATCAAGAATTAATTATCTGCAAAAGAGATTTTATTGCAAATTAGAAAATATTTTTCAGCAGAGGAAAAGAATAGATTAGAAAATACGCCAAATGAAGAGAGAGATTTGAAAATTGTTTAATTATATTAAGACTATCTGTAAGATTAAGATTTAAATGGATTTATTTCTGCCGTCAGAAAATTAAGTCAATAAGATTAAATAAAAAAATAATTTGAGGACTTATTATAAAAGTTACAAAAGGAAGGATAATTAAAGATAGATGATTACATGTTGTCTGTTGTTAATTAGAGAAGAAATGAATAAACAATAAAGGGCGTTTTTGAGTTATATCTATTTAATAAAAACATCGAAGATTTTGTAGAAAGTATAAAAAGCATTTCTAAAATATTATAATAAGGTAAGACAGTTGAATTTTTAGTTTAGAATTGATTCTTTAGACCTTGAATTAATTTGAGAAAGAGAAGCTATTGGATGAAAGAAAGATAGCAATTTTGAAAGAGAAAGCATATGATTATCACAAGGATTATCCAAAATTACTGGGTGCATTTGCTTTATATTTTGAACAAGCTTCTATAGATTAAGAGGAAGCCAAAAAAGAAATATTAGAAACTTTAAGTCTTTTCAGTTCATGAATGAATATATCATGTTTATTATGAATTTGGCAATAATATTTATTAATTAAATTATGTTTACGGCAATCTCAGTTTCTGTCTAAGAATTTAGGGGAATTCGAACTGCCTCAACCACTGGTACATCAAGTTATAGAGATTTCTAAAGATTGCCAGCAACTAAAACTAATTACAAAAGATAATATTTGAAAGGGGCTTCGAATCGCGTAAAATCATTAAAAGAGGAATCTCACTTTGTTTAATTATGCAGTGACAGAAAAAGCAATGAAAAATTATTTAAATTTAACAGATAAGACTAACTCTTAAACTATAGAAATCTTCATTTGAATAAGTTGTAGCCAATTTTAAATCAAGAACAAAATCTCGAAAATTAATTACATTAAGACTAGTAAAATAAATCATAGATAAACTCTCCAAATAATAATGTAAGAAGTTCTGGCATCTAATTAATTACTGATTAAAAGAATTAACTGATCGAACTAATTTACAACTCATAATCAGTGATATAGAAATAGAAGAAATCGTATTCTAATTAATAAAAGACTGAATGTTTGCAAAGCGGGAAAACACCTACTTAGATAACAGTTTCATCACCTTTAAAAAATCAACCTTAGATTATAGGTCAAATAATCGTTTCAAGTAGAAATAAAGGTGATCTTTTTGTAAAAAGTACTTAACTAACATCTTATGGTTCGCTTAAAATTACTACATAAGAAGAAAAATAAAGCATTACTCCAAAACCAAAGATACCAACTTCTTTGGATGGGACTAAGAAATTCTTAAAATAATTTATTTGAATCAAGCAATATTCATGTTAATTCTCTTTTTTAATAAATATTAATTTATAGAATCAACAACAAAAATTGGACTTGGCTTACTAGTGTGTTGAATCCAGTTTAATATTTTATACTTTTTCTTCTAATGACATGACATCTTTAATTTATTTTGAAATGCATTAGAAGGAATCAATTATGTTTATGCCTTCTTTTGCAGATGTCTCAAAAAATTTAATGCCATAAGAATCTGCTAAATTTTTTCCTTATTCATATTGAACTGCTCTGTCATTTAGATCAGATTTGTTGGCCACTAATAAAATAATTACACTTTCTGATGCATTCTGTCTTATTTAATTCATCCAATTTTAAATGTTTTGAAAACTTTCAAGATTATTTACAGCATAGACCAATATAATACCCATTGCTCCTTTGTAATATGTTGAAGTGATAGTTCTGAATCTCTCTTAACCAGCTGTGTCCCAAATTTACAATCTCATTAGTTTTCCTTCGACTTCTAAATCTCTAAATTTGAAATCTATGCCTGTTCTAAATTTAAATTCATTAATCTACCAATAGTTGAAACAAAGCTTGGGGTGTATTAATTTTCACAGAATCTTTTTAAAATGTTTGTTTTGCCAACAGCCGAATCTCCAATTATCAGTAATTTTATTATTGGTTTATCACATGTATTCATTATAATTTAATATAATAATTTATAATAACAGATATTAATTTTTATTCAATTTGTTCATTTTATGAATGGGATTGTTAGACTTAAAAAGTATTATATAAAATTTCATTTTCTGATATAAGCAATTCACAGGATGTTTATTATTAATCTAAATACTTATTAATGCAGTATGTAGTTATGAGTTATTTATATAATTATTAATTGAATTGATATTTTATAATTTAATTCTGACTACTACGCCATTTGAATGAGTTATTTCGAAATAAAAAAGATATTTAATTTTACATCTAATTTTTTTTAAATCATCTTATGCTTCCTTTATTATATGCCCCATAGTATATGAATTATCCATAACTCAATCTTTAATAGTTCTATATGCTTCCAACTACCACGTATGCATTACAAACTCCTAAAAAAGAAACTTGTGATTAATCCTGCTAATTCCCAGAGCCTTGCTTAATAGAATCATAACTTTCATGTAACACTGAGAAATTCGAAGAAGCAGCCGAGAAAGAATTAACAATCCTCCTCAAATACTTATCCAAACATATTTCATTATTAAAAGACAGTGTATTTGATGAGTTTGTGTTTCAAAATTTAAAAGTATTTCATCTTGTATAAACTCTAGACCTTGTCATCTTTGTCAAAAGACCTTCCTAACATGATTAAAAAACGATATATCTTGGTCAATAAAACAAAAGAGGAAATGACAAAGTTTATCATCAGAAGATGTTTTCTCTTCATCAAAAGCTAAATTGACTATGAAGAAAAAGAAGGAGTCTCTGCTGAAGAAAGAGATAGAATGTTTTATAATTCTTTCTTTTCTGATGATAAAGAATTTATGAAATCTCTTCATAATCAATCCATTGATGATATGATCCCATTTAGAAAAGATTCTAAAGTAAAAACTATGAATGACAATTATTTAAAAAGACTATTTGAGTCAGAAAGATTCTCCAAACATTATTCTTTGTTTTTAAGTATTTATTCTTATAATTAAATAGATCAATTCAAGGATATATGCTAAAATGAAAACGAAGAAAAGATAGACAACATGACCAAATAATTGATCAAAATCATCATGACTAGAGATTATGGAGTACTATTTAATACTAATTATTTTAGAAAATCAAAACTTATAGGAGATTTCCTTGGAAAGACCATGAATTGATCAAATGTGAAGAGAGAGCCAAGGACTTATATTCCAAGTATTCAAGTTCTCGCATTAAAAGTATTTTATTCATTCAAGTTAGAACAAAATAAATATAGTTCAAAATGTGATTCGCATACGTCTGATATTTTGGAAAAGTACTCTGAATCTTAAAATTGATATTGCTATCATTAATATCATATTATCTTTGTTAAAACATATCAATTTTATAAATAAATTAAGATGAGTTTACTCATTGTATTTTCTATATTTCTAAACATACCTTCATGCAATCCATATACTTCAATTCTCCAATATTTTAAGCACAAATTTCATTCAAGATTATGTCTAAAATGTTTACATAATGAAGCATTCAGTAAATAATTAATTCATTATTTATAAAATATGAATTAGTGCAATTTTTAAATTATGAAAATTAATAAATATAATAGTTTTATTAATTCTGAATTATAAAATAAATAGATAAATTATATTAAAATAATGATTATAATTTAATTGAACCATTAAATTGCTCATATAAGCTAATTTAACAGAGATTCGTTTAATCCATAATCTTAATTCTATTTAAATATCAAAATATCTAACCACATACTATTAATCCTCTAATTGAATTGATTAATTATAGATTTTTCTAAGAATATTAATAAATTTTGATAAATTAGGGGTGGTAATTCATATTTCTGCAGGGATTTATGAATTCCATATATGGGAAGTCAGTTATCATTAGAGGATTTACTTGATAAATCCAAATCATTTGAGATTAAGAAACCATTAATATAATAAAAAAGTAAATGAGAGGTATTATTCATCAGAATAGTAAAACATGAGAAAGTAAGTAGAATTTTGAATTGTTTACTAAAAGATCTAATTGGCAATACTATTCATAAAACAATAAATTAAATTATCTGTTTAAAACACTGATTTAAATGTAGATATAATGTTTTAAATTTAAAGAGTACCATTGGCAAAAACAAAAAAGGATAAATGATAAACACAATAGTATTTAGGAAACTTATTGAATAATTTAATAGAATTAAACGAATCCTCCTAATTATACATAATTAATGATTTAAAAGAAAACCATTTGTTGCTAAATAATAATTTATACATTATAATCAACTATATAGTAATAATTTAACCTTTTCAAAAATGAATAAATCTAAGATAATTATATATTATTTATGCTACTGAAAAAGAGTCTCAATTGTGTTTACGATTAATAATAGTCTCACTAATTTTAGTAATTCAATATTTAAATACAAAATTGCCTTGAATTAGGGGATGTATTCGAAGAAATTACTGAAGGTGTTTTGAACAATTGTTGTAAAATATTGATTAGGATAAAAGTGGACTAATTTTGATTGTTTGTTTATAAATCGATGAATTAACGATCGTAAAAACTTGAATATCTATTTAATTTAATTTTTGCTAAAATAAATAATAAATAAATGTTTAAAAATTTACTAAGAATAGGTGTCAATCTTTCATTATTAAATACAACATATGTTTTATGTAAGTCAATTAAGGATGAAAAGCTTCCTCATTATCATTTTCTTAATGAATAGGATTTAAATAAACTATTAAAGAAACATTAGAATTTGTCAATAATTGACAGAAGTTACACTGAACACATATTATCTATAATAAGAGATGTAGAGACTGATACTGTGGTAATGTGATAAATAAAGGTTAGGAATTCCGAAAAAATTCAGATCGTTTAATTAGAATACTTATTGAATAGGCAATTTCATAAATTGAAAAGAAAAAGCATATTAAGCAGTCTCCTTTAGGATATTATGATGCTCATGAGGTGAAATTTGAAGATGAAGAGTAAGTTTATTTCTAATATTAGAATATGTTTTGTGAGTATTTTAAGATCAGGAAATGCATTTCTATTTGAAGGATTGAAAGCAGTATCTGGAGCATCGATAGGTTAAATACTGATATAGAGAAATGAAGACACAGCTTTACCATCATATTTATTTTAGAAATTACCCGCTAATATTAGGGATTAGCAGGTAATACTAATGGATCCAATGTTGGCTACAGGTAATAGTGCTACATTGGCTTTGAGGATCCTGAAAAATTAAGGAGTGAAATAGGAAAACATAACATTTTTAACTTTAGTTAGTTGTGAGTAGGGCATAGAGAAATTATTTAGAGAATTTCCAAAGATGAAAATAATCACAGCCCAAGTCGACCCAATATTGTTAAAAGATTTCAATTATCTAGCACCAGGCATTGGAAATTTTGGTGATAGATACTTTGGAACGGTTAAAAAGAGCTAATAATTGGTATAGCAATAATGATAAAACACCATTGCATTATATCTTATTAATTAATTATATTAATTAAAAAAAACAAAATATATCAAATATATTATTCAAAGCTATTACTACTACTAATGTTGTTGTAATTTATTATAAAATTTGAAAGCTGAGTTTTTTTTAAGTGGAGTAGTTTCAAATTTTAGTTTGCTCAAACTTAAATTATCTTTAAATTAAGAATGCTGAATAAAGCTTTTATTTTCTGATTTGAGATTAGGTGTTTTCTTATTAGATTAATGCATAGCCTAATGTTTAGGAGTAAGTAGATTTAGTAATTTGGAGGGCGACTCAATTTGATGTTGGAAGTGATCATCATACTTTACTTCTAAGCAGAGATTGCTGGGACTGTTGGTATCATTGTTTGCATTGTTATTGTTATTATTATTACTATTATTATGTTGATGTGGATCAACCTTTTCTTTCAAGGGAGTTTTGAATTGATTCAGAGAAGGCAATTAATATTCATCACTATTATTGGTTTATTCATAAATTCTACTTAAATTCTTCGAAACTTGATTTGCGCTGTCCTACTTGTATTTATGCAAGTAATTATAGTAAAAGGAGGGTCTTTGTGATAAAAAGTCTTTAATAACTGAAACAGTAAAAACGTCTTAACACATAATCCAAAAGTTTTTTATCCATCTGTCTACTTTTTCATCCTGGTCATATCCATGAGCACCTACTTTTTCTTGAATATACTCGTATAAATTGTTTTAGATATCATCTACTTTGTCTTCATTCCAAAAAATGGAATCTGCAATTTTAGCGGTTTTCTTGAGCATTTTATTTTCCATATTAAAACTCTCAATTCCGTCAATTTTGATTTCATTCATCATTTTAGAAATATAAGAATTAACAGAGTTGGGATTTAAATAGTTTTATTGTTTATTGGTTCTTCTTCTAGGAATATTATTGGGGGAATAGGATCTAGGTGACATTTATCCATTCTATTAAGATGAGAGTAGTTTTTATAATAGTTATCTTTCAAGAGAAGTAAAAGAGTTCATTAATTCAGAATTGGACATGCCTCAAAATTATTTATATCAATTTACCTCCTCTTTTGCGAATATCCTTCAATCTCTCCTCCATCTTCAGGGATACGTTTTTTCATAGCTGAATTCCAATGATTTTTAATGGAATTATCTGTTCGCCCAATTAATTATTTAGCCATTTCAGCCCATCTATTACCCATCACTCTATGAGATAAGAAGAGAATCCATTCCTCATAATCACCCCAATGGGATTTTTTGATTTATGGATTCAAATGATTATGCCAACGCTCTCTGCATTATTTGCCAATTCTTCCTGGTAAATGCTCAGCAATGAATGTCCATTTCTGTGGACCATGCATTTATACTAATTTGATAAGCAAATTATCCTCTTACTCTGACCAAGGTCTTTTTTTACCTTTAGACTATAAGATTAATAGGGAGGGATTACATGAAATAGAATATCTTCATCATCATCATAATCTCTCTCTTAAGCATATTTTGGTGTAACTGTCAAGGCGAAATTGGTTAAGCTCTTTTATTTGGTCGCTGCAATATCTTATAAGAGATGCTATTTCTTTTTATCGGTGGGCTCTATGATTTCGCTGTACTCATTCTTATTTCTTAACCTTCTTTTGATGATGGGAGGAGAAATGGATTAATGATTTTATGATTTCATTCTCAACCTCTAACTTCTATACATTTTATTAATTAAAATAATATTTTTTGAATTTGAATTTCAAAATATAAATATATATTTTATGTCTCATTATGATAATAATAAAATAATTAAGAGTATATATAATCTGCTTGAGTTGATGCCCCAATAATCATCAGTATAAATCTTCTGAATGCATTCATCATTAAACATGATTTATGATTATAGTTCATAGAACTTTACAGCCTTCTGATAATCGATATACTCGTCTAAATAAAGAGAAGAGCAAGGCCCATATCTCAAAATAGTATGACAATACTGATTGACCTGCAATAACCATTAGAATAATTCCAGTATCTTCAAATACTCAGGATCTCCTTCAGCCAAACTGCAATAAGAAAACCCGCCAGCATTGAATCCACACTGACATTCAGAATATCCATATAACTTCTCATTGCTATCCAATAAAATACAATCAGTGTCAGTTTCACATGGTTTACTCTTTGTTAAACTATGAGGTCCGTTTTGACAAGTTCCATTGGTTGGATTTATATATCCATAATAGCATGCCTTTGGGTTATCAGCTTTGATATTGTTTTCTAGAGAATAGTAATATGCGCATTTCCCCAAATTACACACACAATTGTTAGTGCATTAATAATCATTTGAACATGACTATTCGAATTGAACTTACTCTTTACAATATGTATCACAATAAAAACCCACATCACAAAATTGATGGCCTGAACATTATTGATTCAATTTCAGTCCCAGACATATTCCACCTATACAACTATTCGATAAACAATCACTGTCCCCACTACATCCTTCTCCTGGAAGAATCTTATCTTTGGTTGGCCTGTCTGTACAAAATATAGGTTTTTAATAGGCAGCGTCTTGCCATAAACATGTTTTATCATCAGCACATGGTGATAATTCATGAACCTTACCTCTATATTCTGACACATTTACACAGACATTGTTCTGATTCTCTTCTCCACATTTGTATCTTTTACCTCCACATTTTGTATTTGCAAATGCGTATACCAAAATGATAAAGTATAATAATAATAAAAGTTCTTTAATCATTAAAAATTATAATTAACTTTATTAATTTCTACTGATTAAAGATAGCAAAAATTGCTAAAGCTCTGTTTTCTCAAGTTTATAAAATCCATTATATTTTGGAGGTATTAGATACTTCACTTTTGCTGTTTAACTCTATTTTTTACTTAAAATGAGAAAAACAAAGAAATAGATAAGTTTTTAATTATGAACCAAATTTATTAAAAATGAGAAGGATATTTTCCCTTCAAATTAGAATTAATATCAAGAATGATAAATGGAAATTAGAGGTAAATTACTGCATTATGTTTATAGAAATATGTGTTATTTAATAAAGATAACATGATTAAATTAAGTGATATTTCTTTATATTCTTCAATTATTCTATATCAAACAGGTACAGATTACATGTCTTGGGATTTAACAAATTAATTTATGAGGAATAATTGAAATGAAATTATTACTATGAACAGCATTACTTTTATAATATTTGAAATTGTCAATTATTTATACAGAGTTATTAAGTTTGTATTGATTGTTTATTCTCTATGATATGATTCCTTTTGGAGCATTTAAATCCATCTGAAATCTGAATCGATTTAATTTAAATTCATCTTTGTTTATAACATATCATTCTTTGATGCATAATTTTTATCAATTCCTAAAATGTCAAAATCGAATTCAACCAAGGTTTTGCTTGATCCATTATTTTTAAAACAAATCCTATACTTTCCAGTGTAGAGCGCCTTGAGTTGTTGTTCATTACTCTCAAAATCATATTAAATATTATAAGGATCAAAAAAAAATATCTAAACATCCTTTGGAACGCCATCAACCACTAAATATTTAATTGTTATATAATCATCTTTCTTAGCATTCATGTAAACACACTTAGGCTTCTTGTCTATCAACTCTATTCCTAAGCACTCAATTTATTCGATAAATAATGCTAAAATTAATATCAAATACATTATAAATAATATTCATAGTAAGCAATATATTTCTGATGAAAATGAATTAGTAAAATATAGAACTTTATTTGAATTGTGTAATATTTAGATTTAGTTTATATTTATTTTATAAAAATGGCTTAAGTATTTAATTCAAAGGTCAGCATTATCACCAAATCGGAAATCAGATATGAAGGTACTATTTATTAAATTAATCCTCAATAACAAACTATTGCATTGAAAGATGTACGTTCATTTGGAACGGAGGGAAGAAGACCTGGTATTATTTTTAAATAATTATTTAAGATCATGAAATACCCCCCAATTAATAAAGTTACGATATTTTGGTGTTCAAGGCAGCTGAAATTAAAGGCTTCAAGACTTTGGAAGAGAACAAGCCTGAGGATATTAAATTAGAAAATGTCAAATAAGAAAACCAATCCCAATAAGCATAGCATTTCCAACCACCTTAAAATATAGAATAAATAGAGCAGTAGCAAGAATAAAAAGGGTAATTTCAAAATAATTTCTCATAAAATCAATAAATAAAATCTAATGGAACAAATCCCAGAGCTTTTAATTTTGAAGAAATGCTTCAAAAAGCGAATGAAATTGAGAAGATTAAAAAGTAAGAGGTGAAACCTAAGTATAATCCTACTTCATTTTTCGATTCTCTTTCAACCAGTACTCAAAAATAAGAGAGATAAACTCAATAAAGAAATCAAAATTAGATTGACACTGATACTTTTGGTAATTTTTATAAATAAAGATAACATAATAACAATAATAATAACAATGGATAAAGGAGAAATAACAACAACAATAATAATAACAATAATTATGATAAAAATAATAATAAAAATTATAGAAGGAATAATAATGATTAATAAAGAGTTGTTTATGTAGAAAAACAATCTTTAGAATAATATTAGTAATAATCATAATAACCACAATAATAATAGCAATGAATATCAAATTTGTTATTATTTAAATAAAATATACAAATCAGTACTAAACTTTAAATTGCCTATAATTCTTTCATATTTTAATCAATATATAATTTAAATAAATGGTAAAATATTGCTAAAGTTGTAATACATAGAAAGCCTTTATGGTAAGACCAAAGACTGGAAACCTTATTTGCCAAAATTGCTTTTTTTAAGCATTTGAGGATGAGATTCATCACACAATCATATCTACATAAATGTTTAAGCCTGGTGAAAAGATTGCCATAGCAGCTTCAGGAGGCAAAGATTCCACAGTCTTAGTTCACGTTATTACTCTACTAAATAAGAAGTATAATTATGGATTGCATTTATACTTATTATCAATTGATGAAGGAATTAAGGGATATAGAGATGATTCTCTAGAAACAGTTAAATAGAACTAAATCACCTATGATTTGGAATTAAAGATCTTATCCTATAAAGAACTCTTTAATTGGTCAATGGATGAAGTTGTAGCACAAATTGGTCTCAATAATAATTGCACATATTGTGGAGTTTTTAGGAGATAATCATTAGATAGAGGTGCAATATAATTGGGAGTTGATAAAATTATAACTGGACACAATGCGGATGATATGGCAGAGACATTTCTAATGAATCTTTTAAGAGGTGATATCTTTCGATTGCCAAAATCTACTGCCATAATCACAGGTGATGATGGAGACAACGGAATTGCCACATTGCCTAGGTGCAAACCTTTCAAATACACTTATGAAAAAGAGATAGTAATGTATGCACATTATAAAAAACTCATTTATTTCAGTACTGAATGCACTTACTCTCCTAATGCTTTTAGAGGACATGTTCGAGAATTAATTAAGAATTTAGAAGCCATAAGGTACATATTTTATTATATATTTTATAGACCTAGTGCAGTAATTGATTTAATTCACTCTTGCGAATAATTGGATGCTCCAAACCAAAACTAAAAATTACCTCAAAAACAATTGTGTTAAAAATGTAATTTACTATCATCGAATAAAATATGTAAGGCATGCACATTACTCGAATCATTAAATTAAGGAAGAGCTAAATAAATATTGTAAATTTAGGAGTGACTCTATATATAAGTTTTCAATAGAGTTATTTTTATTCTTAGTTATAAACAAAAAAATATTATAATCTATCAAAATAATTCAAAAGTAATAAAAGCATTATTAATTTTAATCAAAAAATTTTGTATTTTGATAGAAAATCACTCAAGATGGATAATTTTTAAGTATAAGATTTATGCTATGATAACATTAAATGTCATGATTGGCAATGTTAGAAAAAACATCCTCGGTGCTTTGCAGGGATTTGTATTTAAGGTTTAAATGATGATGAAGAATGTAATATTCAAAATTGTCAATTATTTCATGTGTCCTCCGATACACTTTCTAATGAAATTATGATAAATGGGTTTTATAGATACAATATATGTAAAAAAAAAAATTGTGAGGTCAACACTTGTAGGTATTTACATCCAACTTGGATTAAGGATTATTGTGTAGATTTTTTTTAGAATAAATGTAAATAAAATTGTAATAATCATCTAAAATGGGCTTAGATGAAGAACTAAATATATGAAAAATATGAAATTTAAAATTTAAATCCAGATGTACTCTGCAAAAAAGATAAGTGTAAATGTTAAAAACATTTGGCAAATATCGATGATTTCTGCATAGATTATTTTTAAGGTATATGTCCTTTAATTGAATGCTCTAAAAAACATGTATTTTGGGAAGAACTCAAATCGAATAGGAAATTATAATTTGAGGAACCAAAACTAAAGCCATGTAATAAAAAGAATGTCATACTTAATTAAGAAGGGATTGAGAATAACTCTTAAATTAAGGTTATGATTGATGAATAGGAATTAAAAAGAATGCATAAAGCATTATAACAATAAAATATTATCGATATTATATTTATAATGGATTGTACAAAAACTATGGATCATTGGATTTAATAATGCCATTCACAAATGGCTAGTATAATTGAAAAGTTTCAAAATTAAAACAACAAATACATAACTCGAGTTGGGTTTGTCGGATATCGCGATATTATTATTAAAAAATAAAAGAGTATTATCTAGTTGGATAGAAAGAGTATGATTTCTTCAGAGGTGAATGATTAATTCAATTAAAACGATTTTGAGATTGTTGATAAAAATCATGTTGTTTTTCATGACTTAACTGATAAAATTGATTCAATTAAAGAATTTATTAAGCAACAAAAGGCATATGGTGGGGGAGATGAAGCTGAAGATGTCGTAGCTGGAATAGAAAAAGCATCATAATTAAATATTTCCAAACATCAAGATACTGTATTGATAACATTTTTATTTGCTGACTCTCCTTGTCATGGTAAATAATATCATGATATTGACGATGATGATTTTATGGATAAAATTCCACTAGATACTTTAGAAGATGTAATGAGAAGATACAGAAAAATTAAAACGAATAATTTTTTCTTTTGTTCAAGAATTTCATAAAAAACAGATAAAATGTTCACCATTATGAAATCTGTATTTCCAGAAGTTTCAATAACTGATCATATTACCCCAGAGGATTTTCCTAATTTGATAAGTTTTTCATTATAAGATAGCTTTTCAAAAATAAGCAAGAGTCAACTATTCAAGCCAATAGAAATCAAAGCATAATCCATAAAATCTAAGTATATTGAATATGATTGTAAAACAATTGAAGATAGGATAAAATTTTGGGGGAATTTTGTTCAGGTTTGTTAATCACAAGAGAGAGTTAATCACACAATTATAAAAATTAATTAAAATTAAGAATAAATATTAGAAAATGAAGACGGAGTTAATTCATATATATTTAAAGTATTTGATGTTATAAATAATCAAAATTTAGTCGCTAAAATTCCTAAAAAGATAATTCAGGAATATCAACAAAAAGAATAAATTTTGAAGTAAAGTAATTCAAATGAAAAAGTAAAATTGTCAGAAGAGTCAATATAAGAAGCTAAAAAGTTCGCATAATCAAGATTTATTTCATAAACTATAGCTAAGCAATTGGCAAAAATTTATAGGGAAAAAGTCTAAAATTTAGCTGGATCACCTCCCATCTTTTATGTATCACCCATGATATATGTTCTTTCCTCGCCCTTTTATGGTTTGGACTATATTTATGCAGAATCCTATATCAATCTACCAAACATTTAATGGAAAAAATATTCAAATAACTTATAGTATATAAGCCCAGAGTATTATTACCTTTCTTCATTCAGTCATTTTACTTATGAAGAAACAGGTAAATAGTTTTTGATCGCAGATTTATAAGGGAAATTAAATATTTTTAGCGATCCATCAATTTAGAGTCTTGGAAACTATAATCAAAATTTAAATAACGATACAACTAATCTCAATCATGCAGGTATTGCCAATTTTATTCAGGCCCATGAAAAATGTAGCTTCATTTGTTAGAAATTGTAGTTAGAAAATACAGCTGCTATAACGTAATTTGATGAGACAAAATGGGAATTCAATGAGACCTAAGAATTATCAATTATATGTGAGACGTGTGATGAATATTAACAAATTAAGCTTATTGATTATGTCAATAATGGCCATAAAAAATGCTAATAATGCAAGGAACTCGAACAAGTTATACATGAAGTATAATGCAGGTGTTGCTATGAAAATTTTAAAACTCCGATGAATCAGTAATTGAGAATAGGAACATTAGTAGGAAAATGTGAAGGTTGTAAGGTAAACTGTAGATAACCAAATCTAATTTGTTGCTATTGTAAAATTCATTGCAAATTAAAGGTTTCATCTGAGAATATTGATGGCAAATAGATTTATTTATGCAAGGAAGGAAAGTAATATTTATCTTCATTAAAATGTAAAGTATGCAATTCTTTATATTCCTTTGACAAATTCCTAACTGAGACATATTATGAATAAGGTATATATAAGTGCCAAAAGTGTAATTGATGTTTTTTATAATCATTATAAAAAATTATGATTCTGAGTAAAATCTTATTATTATTCACATTTGTTTTAAACGACTTCTGAAAGGAATTACATGTCACACCAACAACATTTGCTCTATTGAAGGATTTAGTTGTTTCTAATTTGTAATTGAGTAATTGAGAGATCAATAGAAATGAATTTTACGATTACATTGAATATTCTCAATTGAAAGGATGAAAATAGAGGATTGTCACAGATGATATATTCATCTGAATCATTCGAGTATTCCTTATTGTTTTATAGAAACAGTAATGTGAAGTTGGGTTTGAGATTTATACTTTAAATAACACACTGTTATAAATATTATATATAAAATGTCTTATTCATAAAAAAACTTTCTAAATTAACCATTCTACTCTCCAGCGAAATTTGAGAATGATTAAAAGGATTTGATGATTTCCTAATTGAAAGCCGAAAACTTTGAACTTAAGCAAAACGATAGGGATTACTAAGAATTAGCTACTCATTTGAAATCGTTAGAACATAGGTGAAATCACATTTAATTTTAGATATAATATGTTACATGAAGAAAAGATGAGAAATGAAGTAGAATATCGAAATAGAAGTGATTAGACATTAAAGACTATTGCTAATTTGAGAAATGAAATTGATAATTTGAAATCCTAGTTAACTGAAAAGCATATAGAAAATTAGGAAATGAAAGCAGAGAATTTGGCATTTAAGGAGATAACAGAACATAGATCTTAAGAAAATCAGAGAGTGAAAAATGATATGGCTTTATTGTAAGAAAACAATAGAAAATTGTATGAAGAAAAGCTTAGATTAGAGACAGAATTATAAGCAGCAAAAGATGAAAGAAAGAGGTAAAGAATAAGAAGTATTAAATGATAGACTGTTGCATGATAGAGAGTTATTGAATAATACATATGAAGATGTATTGGATAAATTGAATGAGAAGGAAAAGTAATTTTCTTAATTGTAAACTGAATTTGATAATCTTGAAAAGCAAGCCCTTATTTATAAAGCAGATGTCGAAAATGTATTTTTTATTGGATTATCAAGATCAATAATGAGGTTAAATCTAAGAGTGAAAACCTCAAATATACAAGGATGCAATATTAAGAAGCTCAGAATTATATTTCGCAATTGCAAAATGACCTAGAGGAATTACATAAGCAGAAGGAGAAGTTTAAATAGGAGAGTTTGCTTTATCAAAAAAATTACTAGCAAGAGGCTGACACTTGCATGGAATTAAATGCCTAAGTGATTCAACTAGATCAAACAGTTAAACATCAAGAAAAGACAATAATCGATTAGAGGAATGAGATTGAGAGATTGAAGTCGATACATATGGAATGTCTGGAAACAACGGAAGAGTTGAGTCATGAATTAGATTAAGCCAAAAGGATTAATGATTAATTGGAACATCAACATAGAGATGTATTTCATTGTACTTATGAATAGGTTATGGAGGAGTTGGATAAGTTGTCATTGACAGAGGAGTAAGCTGCAATGGCTAGGGCTAGCAAATACAAGGAATTGAAGACCAAATTGATAATGGGAACTAAGCAATTATAGTAGTTCTAATCTCCATTTAAGAGATTTTCTACAAACAAAAAACCTTTGCTGAAATAATATGATTTTTGAAAGCGATTAATTACTATAAATATTTTAATTTTTAACAGCTTTTGAATATGATTGAAATACGAAGACCACTCTCAGAAAAGAATTTGGGAAATAGATCAAGCAAAGACTTGTAAAGACCAAATTCATCCAATTCATAATAAAAATAGAATTTGTAAACCATGAAAAGTTCAATATAATTACAAAAACAAAATCAAAACTTTTATTCCAAATATTTTAGTAGTAAGGATTAAAAAGAGAATATGGAGATTCGTTCCAATGTCGAAAGAAATCCATCAGCCAAATCAAAATAGACACCTTAGGATTATAAAAAATTGTAAGATAAACTTCTCTATTTGGAAAATAAAATTTCATCAATCAAATCTCACATCGATAATAGTTAGAGACAATCAAAAAATAGTATAGCTTCTAAGTTTTTTTCATAAAACACACAAAATAACCACAATTCCCAATCTGTCTAAAAGTGTGTGTAAATTGATTTCACCAATAGAGGATAGAAGGAACAGAGAGAATTCACTCCTCAATAATAAAATAAATTAAAATCAAGTACTCTAGTTAATAATAACAATGAATACAAAACTTCCATTGAAGGAACAATAATTAAAAAGCCAAGCCTATCAACATTTGTTACTTAAGTTAAAGCCCCATTGACTGACAATAAAACGAATTTTAAAAACTTAAAGCCAGATTCTGCCAAGGCTGGTAGTTCAATTAAGACCAATTTTAAAAGGAAGAACTCTCAAGAAAAAACAGTAGAGTCCTCATTTTTATATTATATCTCATCAATTATTAAAGGATATATGCAACCAGAGATAACAAGGCCAATTGAATTGATTAGAGAACATTTACTTTAAACAATGTAGGCATCCTTGTTTTAGAAATCTGTTAAAATAGTATCAAGTGTTGAAGATAAGAAAGTCAATTTACCCTCCACAAATAAGAAGACTATTGTTTTTGATTTAGATGAAACTCTCATCCATTGCAATGAATCAATTCAGGTTCCAGGCGATGTAATTCTACCAATTAAATTCCCCTCTGGAGAGATTATTGAAGTACAATATTTAATTGATTTTTAGGCTTCAATCAATATCAGACCTTATGCTTAACAAGTTCTATAGACTTTGCATAAACATTTTGAGATCATAGTATTTACTGCATCGCATTCTTGCTATGCAAATGTAGTCATTGATTACTTGGACCCTCATAAAAATGTGATAGCTCATCGATTTTTCAGGGACAGTTGCATGCAAACTGAAGAAGGAGCATACATAAAGGATTTACGAGTAATTGGAAATAGATCATTGAGTGACATGGTTTTAGTGGATAATGCAGCCTATTCTTTTTGTCTTCAACAACTGAATGGCATCCCCATTATTAATTATTATGATAATAAAATGGATTAAGTATGTTTTTTGTAGTGATTGTAGGAATTACTATATTTACAAAACTATTTGATGTCGTTAAGAACAGTCAGAGATGTTAGATAATACAATAGTTAAAATCTTAAATTAGATAAATTTGCACAATTCAGCGATCCTATTGATTTATTGCAATCTCTTCATAAGGATTATATCCCTTGATTAATATTAAAAATATATAAATTTAATTAAAGATCTATGTAACTCGCAAATCGAATAACGTTTATCGTTAAAATGTGAATTGATGGGTCCTGGTGATAATTTTATTACAAATTAAAATTGTTGATTCAATCTTCAAAGTCTGTTTTGCACATTCAAATCGCTGGTCTCAATAATTGCAATTTGCATCAATAACCAGATGAATTGAGTGTGATCAAAAGGTATTCAGCCTTCAAGATCAAAATGATATGTTTATTGGATGTATTATTAAAAATATTTATTGTAAAAATGGAAGAGTTCGAGATATTAGATTTTAATGAACTTCAGAAGGAAGAGAAGGGAATAGACAAGGCAGCAAAATTTTTGTAGAAGAAGATATAGAATGGGTTTAAAATCAGTATAGTGATTAAAAAATAACATAATTTTGCATTGCCTCCTTTGCAATAAAAGAAAAATGATTTATTCTCTAAGCAACACCAACCTATGGACATAGTATAATTTACCTTAATAATAGATTAGTTAAAGTTCTGAGCAAACCGAGAACATTGATAAATAAGGTTCTTCAACATCTTCGCATTCTAGTATCAAAATGAATAAAAAATTAACTGTTCCACCAACTTAACATGAAACACCCCAATAAGATTAAGATGAACAGAAAAGTGAAAAATCTGAAGATGACTAGATTTCCTTCTATTAGAACAAAAATAACAGTTTTGAACATTGTCTCAAGGATAATTTATTAACTCAAAAGATACAAACAGGATTGTTATTCATGAGAGATGGTAATTCTAAATTAGCTCTGGAGAAGATGATGGATGTGTATAAAGAAGGAAATGAGTAATTAAAATAATGTTCGGATTAATAATAAATCTCAGTATTAATAATAATTTGCATTTAATCTCTTTGCTATGCATCCCAAGTATTTAGGGAGTTGGGATAATTTAGTGAGGCATAAAAGTATTAATTCATATTTGAATTCTAGATGTTTGGATAAATGTTTAAACTAATTTGAGATTAATGACTTTGATTTATTATGCTAAATATATATCGCAAAGGCACAATGTTGTTTGTTCAATAATTAATACTTATAATCCCTAGATTATTACACCAAAGCATTAATTCAATATGAATAAGTTAATTGGAAGTTGGAAATAGCAAAGTTATTAGTTAAAATCTCTTTTGTGTATGCTTTGTTAAGTAAAGTTATATACTTATAAAATAGATGATTTTGCTGATGCAAAAAAGATTTGTTATGAAGGATTGTCCATTTTACAGGGGAAACTCTCAAATTCTGATCCAAACATATATGAAACATACTATACTCTGGGATGTATCTATTATCTTGAGAAGGAATACGACTTCGCCTTGGAATATTTAGATTAATCGAAAGAAGGACTTATTAAATTGTAACCTATTCAGACCTTATGTAGATATGGCGAAAAACATATAAGCATCATAAAGATTCTCAATTTACAGGGTGTGATCAACCATTTGTAAGGAAACAGTAGTAATGCCATGGAACTCTATGAATAAATTGTTTGTTTATATGGGTACAATACATTCTAAAATGGATAGCGACTCCTAAAATGTTGGATTAGCATTAGTATTGAACAATCTAGCCTTGGCATATTTGGATAGAATGAAATTTAAAAGTGCGAAGTTGTCATTTGAAAAGGCAACAGCTATTTTGAAATTATATCTCAATGAATAGCATCCTACTTTTTAAAGAATCGAGAAGAACAAGAAACTCGTCGTTGCGGCTACTTTATCTTATATATGATTTTAATGATTCTAATTTCGTAATTTTTTCAAAAATTATATTAAAAGATTTCCATTACCTATGGTATAAATATTCATCTATTATACAAAAGCCAAAAGCTCCAAAAACCAATAAATCAAAGAAAATTTCCAAAAAGATTGCAGACAGAAAGAAGAATCCTCTCTTTGTTAAGGATGCTAAGAATTTTAGAATTGGAAATGACGTTCAACCAAAGCGTGATTTATCAAGATATGTGAGATGGCCTCGTTACATCCTACTCCATAGATAAAAAAAGATTTTATTATAAAGAATCAAAGTACCTGCAGCTATTCATTAATTCAGCAAAACTCTTGATAAAAACTAAAGTAAGCATAATATTCAATTTTAATGATAGGTTCCAAAATTTACTTTTAGTTAAGAAAATATTCTCCAGAGACAAAAACTGAAAAAAAGCATAGATTAATCAAAGCAGCAGAATAAAAAACCTAAAATTAAAAACCTGATAGCAAAAAAGTAAATGTTCTTAAATTTGGATTAAATCATGTGACAACTTTAGTCGAAACCAAAAAAGCTAAATTAGTTCTCATCGCCTATGATGTCGATCCAATTGAATTAGTAGTTTGGTTGCCACAATTATGCAGAAGGTAAGAAGTACCATTTGCATTTGTTAAAAGTGAAAATATATTTTTATATATTTTCTAGATAAGGCTAGATTGGGCACTTTGGTTCATTAAAAAAGTGCCACTTGTGTTGCTTTGACTGAAGTGAGAAAAGAAGATTAAGCTGAATTTGATAACTTAGTATAAGATTATATAATGTGTTAAGGCTAGAGACTTAAGATAACACTATAACGAGAATCATGAATTATTGAGAACTATAGGAGGTGGTCAAGTCGGAATCAAGTCTAGACATTAATAAGAGGCTTTGAAGAAGGCTTTCGAGATAGAGGAACTCAAAAAAACAAGCTAATGATGTTTATTATTAAAATATAGAAAAATAATTTAAATGTATAAATGTCATTGTTACTTTTTATCCCTTGTTACTTAGAGATCGTTGAGGTCTTCTGCAAAGTCATCAAATCTGCTCTCCTTAAAGAAATCTACAGGGATTTTTAATTTTTGTTATTTTAGACAATCTTAAACGAATGAATTAGTCATAAATGTCTGATCATATTGATGGAAGAATATTTCATCGTTGGTTTTTGGAGCATAATTTCTAAACAGTCTTGAATTCTTTAGTAAACCTTTGTGTATTATGCTCTTTAGGAGATGTTGTGGCATATCTATTTGTATTTGTTCAGAAATAAAATAATTTATTTTTAATAGAAATGAATAGTTTATTCTTAAGATGACAAATCATAACTCACTAAATTAATTCGTATTGTAATATGTGTTTTTTCTTAAACTAAAAGTCAGGTTTTTTTTTCTGTTGCCATTTAGCCTCGCAGTCAAAATATATGAAAGGTCCTTTGATGACTTTCTCATTTTCCTCATCCTTCTAAAATGTACACATTAAATTACATATTGATAATGCTTGTCCTTCTTCATCCATAATCCGTGTTTTGTGTTGTAGATCCACTGATTTTTAATTAATTCTCTTGCTGCCATTAATTATTCAGTTGGTTCTTTGGGGTAATAGAATACATAGAACAATGTATCGCAGCTTAATTAACTGAATACTGAATGAGGTAGCATTTTGTATTTAGGTAACAATCTATTTAAATTCAATTTTTCCTTAAAAGTTGGAGGCTAATAATAATCATTTTTCTAGGGCCTATCATTGTAGCTGAAGTCCATCATTTTGATTTTATATGCAGCAGAATTTTAATCTACCAATTGAGCCTGTTGAGTTGCAGCTTTTTAATCAAAAGGCTCAATTATTGATCTATTGGATTATAAGATTCTATCATTCCATGCAGTTTGCACAATTTTAGTTTAGTACAATTGGGGTATTAACTAATTAATGATAATTCCATGTACTTGATTGAATTCTTATTCATGATCTGGATTATCCAAGTTTGAGTACATGATTTCAAGGAGTGCTATCAATTTTAACCATTTCTATTCCTATAATAGAATTGGAAACTTGTAATTACATCAATGACTAAGTGCTACAGATCTTCACTCAACTATTTCATTTTATCAATTTGATTTTGAAGAGTTTTTAATTTGATTTGTCTGTCCTGACTTCCTGGAGTTTTCCTTTTCTATTATTGGAATGTTTTTATACTTTCTTAATATCTTGATTGATTTCTTATGCTCTCTATTCAAGCATATTGATTTGATCTTTCAATTAAGTTTGTCGACCTTGAAATGAGATGGCAGATTATTAAATCATTAATAAATATTATGAATATATCAGAATTGTATTGGATGCACTTTCTTTTTGACTACAAATTTTGGTACAACCATCTTTTCATATAGAATTGTAAAAACAGCATTAATGATAGCTATGATTCCTAATAAAAAGGTCCAAGATTCAGGCATTATGTTTTGATCATCGTAACTTTGAAATATAAACTAGTGGTTTTATAAATGCATAATTTACTCCCATGATATCATCTATATAATCAACCCTCAACATAAGAAACACAAGGGCAAGAATGAACAGGAATATTGTACTACCTATGAAGTAGAAATTGGTGTAGAATGGCTTTCTGAAAGGTTTTCCATTTGAATATGCCAAGGCAATCATCAAGTACTAGAAATTACCAAAAACAAACAGGGTAGTATTTTCAAAACAAATCTTCATAGAATCATCGTTAAGATCCTCTTAATTCAGTTGTTCATTCGGAATAAACCACGATTATTATAACAATAATAGATAGACTCCTAATTGAAAGACCAGTTGAATAATTGTTTATCCGATGACTGAACCCAATACAGTGAAACTTATTAATGAGGATCCTGGCACGTATTTATTAATTTAAGCTGCTTACACCAATCCCATAGTCATACTTAAAGGGAATATTGTAAATAGATCGTTGTAAAGGTATTGATTATCAGTTAGATTTGATTATTTTAGATAGAGGATGGTTACTTAGATGAATTGAATCATTGAATACAATGCCATGAATTTGAAACAACAAAATGAAGTAGTTAAGGCTGCTCTGCCTTATGATAACAATATTGGAACACATGAAATGTCTTGGATTTGACTAGTGAATGGTGCAGCAATAGATGCTTCTGCTAATGACAATGAAATTCCTGCATCAGCTGTTTTCAAGGCTCCACAATCATTAGCACCATCTCCACAGAATCCAACTAAATTTGCTGATTTATGTTTCTATAACTATAAAATTAGATTTGCCTTTTCTTCTGGTCTCATTCTAGCATAAACAATTGTTTTTTCAAGGATATTATTAAGAGTTGCTTAGGATCCATATTTATTCAAATGCATAAATGCACCACCAGAAATAGCTAAAATGTAATTCTCATTTTCATTCCATGGTTGTTCTTCCATGAAATCTCCGTCAGTATAAATTTCACTAATGTTATCAAGTTAAACGTTAACAGGAGGCGGATCTTCCAGCAAAGATTTATTCTTAACTAAATTTTTAGAGAATGATCTCTAATTTAAATATTCGAAATCCTATTGAACATCTACATCTTTTTCAATTTCATCAAGATTACTAATGATTTATTATTGTGGTTCCAAAGTGTCTTCATTCAATTCATTCTAATTGTATTCGAAATCTTTCCAAGACACATAATATTTTCCATTGTATTTCTTCTCACTCAATTCTCCCAAATACACTCTTTAATTTTAAATTATCCACATTATCTTGCCACACTAATAGCAGTCAAAACATTGTAACTGTAACCATAATTGATCTGATGTGAGAATCCTTCAACTACTTGATAATCTTGGTAGTAATTGGTTTCAACTTGTTTTCCATGATAATGAATCCAATGAAATTTAAATTTGACTCAACCTCATTTCGATCCAAATCTACTTATTAAACAGACTTCTATGCCATTCCTAGTACTCTAAATCCATTCAAAGCGTAGAAATCCAAAACTTAATGAAAATTAAAGGGTATTGACTTATTGTTACATAATTATCTTAACTTCTCAGGTGATCCCTTCATATATGCAATGTATTATCCATTCTCTTTAACTATCACTGACATTCTCTGCAATTTAGAGGAGAACTCGAATCTCTTCATTATTTCCACATTGATTCTATCATTATTTCTAATTCTTATTCTACCATCCTTCTCTTCTATCAATTCGCAATTTGTAGATTCAAACATCTTCAATTCCAAAGGGTCACCCACTAACTTACCTTTTACCTACGATAACCCATGACAAGTAGCCATTCCTTTGATAAAATTAACATCAGTATTTGCATCTATTGATGTTACAATCTTTGAAAATCTCTGATTCTCTATCATCCTAATACCATACATATCTAATCCCTCTTCTGTTAGAGTTCCTGTCTTATCAAAACACATTATCGTCACCTTTCCACTTATGTTTACTTTTTAGGGTGATATACAAAATATTTTAGAATTCTTCAATCTTGCCAATGCTATACTTACACCTATTTGTAAACAGGTTGGCAATGCTGGTGGCACTGTTATTGTAATCAAATCCAGACCTTCATTGATGAATTCCCAAGTTGATATTGAACCATCTAAGAGATAATCAATCTTATTGGGAACTGTTATTATGAACCCAATCACTGCTAAGATTGCCATTATGCCTACGAATTTCATAGAATCAGCATAAAATTTAAATGAGTTCTAAACTGGAAACATTATCGATCTAATTAATTGTCCTTTTTGAGTATTAAAGGCTGTTTGAGTAACTAAAGCAATTACATCTTATCCTTTGGTTTCCATAGAAGTTGTCCCTGCAAAGAGTGTAAATTGTTTGCCTGAATCCAAGGGATCATAAATTTCTTTATTATTTGGGAGTTCTGTCTTTAATACTGGAATGGATTCTCCTGTTAACATTGCCTCATTAAATATAACCTAACCATTTAATAGAATCGCATCACAAGGCATGATCATACCATCCTTTATGAACAACCTATCACCAGGCACTAAGCTTATTGATTCGATTTCCTTCACTTACCCTTCATCTAGTATTTGCACTGGAATGTTAAATTTGGACAATTATTATAAGCGATAGAAACTTTTTCTTTATTCATAGAGTGTTATAAATATTGAAATCAATGATGTAATTAAAATTACTGTTGCATATCGCTGATATGATGCCCAAAACCACAATAGCACAGAACAAAACTACAATTTCATGAATGCTTACTTGAAATATGTAAAATGGGCTTAGAACTTCTTCAATCAGAGTTTTTACAATTCCTTTGTCTGGTATTTCTGTATTGTTATATCCAAATGTGTCCAGCTGCTAGTTCCGATTTATTGACTACTGTCTGATATCCATCTAGACCATGGTCTAATATTTTGTTTCTATTGGGTCGAAAGCATATTCGGTGTAATAGTACCTATATAATCTGTACTCGATAAAAAGATCTCCATCTTTGGAAAAATTCGATTTAACCAGAGTTTGGGATTTGTCTAAAATGAATTAACGAATGTTCTTACCTTGTCCTATTATTAAAAAGTGAGTGGCCGATTAAGGGACACACTTCTTGGCGCGGAAAAATAGGAAAATTCTTAAGTCCCACCTTGTAACTAAATAGAGTAAGCCACATGTAATTAAGGAGAGAAAGGCAAATAATACGGTTTTGAAAAGTGAAATGCGACAAGATATTATTTCCGATATTAGACCTTCTTACTGGATGTTGATAGGATGCTTAAATTAAACCCTATAATTGTGATTTATAAATGGTTATTTCATTTAATTAAAAATGTTTAACTTAAAATAACTTTTAATTGCACTACATCACATCACAATAATACTTTATTTTAATCGATTGCAATACTCAATTTAAGAAATCTTGCAAAATTAGAGTAACTACTCTTACAAACTCGTAAATGATTTTTCTGCTCAATCCATTAAAATGGTTTACCAATCTACTGGCATATCGTTGGCATTTTATATGATAGTTACAGCATCCTATGTTATCCAATTAATAGTGTTGTTTTTCAGAAGCAATAAAAACTTGAATCGATACATATATTAGCACATTTATTTATTAATACTCCTTTATAGTGTGGGCTAATTAGTATAAATTTATTATTACAATTTTTAAGAAGAATTGACTAAATTAACAGCTTATTAAAATGAGGAGAACAAACAAGATGCTTTAAAAGACTTGCAAGAAGAAGGTCAATTGGCATAAACTATATGGTAATTGTATTTCATGTGCACTGTGATAATAATAGTGGTATTGAAGATATCTTATTTGTATTTTGGATTGCATCAATTTGCTAAATTCTTGAAGATCGAATTATGAATATATTTATATATAACACATGATTATAAATAAGCTAACTTTAATAATATTCAATTATATCAACAATCTAAACAAGTCTGTAATAAATTACAATGTATTTAATATAGAATTATTATTCAATCATTAATTTTTCTCCAATCTTCACCTCTCCAACATGCCTCCACTTATTTTATTGTTCTTGGTACGTCATTAAGAATCTCTGGACCATTAGCTGTCAATAATATATCATCTTCTAGTCTCACACCTCCAACATGCATGAATTCCTCAATTCTTTCTTTATTCAAATATTTCATCTTATTTGGGTCTTTATAAGCACCTTGTAAGATGAAATCAATGAAATAAATTCCAGGTTCATTAGTGAATACCATTCCTACATCCAAATCTCTACGAAACTATAATTAAGATAATTCTAATTAAATTAATAATATGATATTACCTGGTAATCTTGGAGGAGTACCTTTATTATATCCTCCGACATCATGAGTTCTTAACCCCAACATATGACCTAAGCCATGTGTGAAGAATAATCTACAAATACTATTTTTAATAAGATCTTCCATCGATCCCTTGATTAATCCTGCATTAAACAGATGTTTGGTGATGGTTCTTTCAGCCAATAATTACATGTCTCCCCAATTGACTCCTACTTTTAAGGAGTTATGCACTTGTCTTTGAGTATCAAGAACAGCATTGTAAATAATAGCTTATTTTTATGTGAATTTTCCATCACTAGGGAAGGTCACTGTAATGTCACTGCAATATCCATAGAACTTGCCTCCCATATCATTTAATATTAGTTCTTTTTCCTGAATAGTTTTTGAATTTTCTTCATAATGCAACACAGAACCATTTGTACCAGATGCACAGATACATTCATAAGGAGTAAAACGACAACCATGATTTATAAATGTATGATATTAATAAAGAGCCTCCATTTAATATTCTTTGTTGCCTTTTCTTATGTTCTTAATAACCAATTCATGAGCTTCACTGCTAATTTTACAGATAAATCTCATGATATCTTATTCTTAAGGTGTCTTTCTGACTCTACTTTCTGTAAGGATATAGTATAACTCATCATAATCGGAGTTATAATTTTGTAAGAATGGTTAGTCAGGTATTGGTAGGGAGTGATGAGAATAATCATCAATTCCATAAAAATAATAAATTAATGATGGTTTTCGATTACTCAACCAAGATTCTATGTCATCATTATATAGCACTTCATCTAATTTAAATTTTTATTTAATTTCGTCATTGTTCAAAACAACATTCCACATCTTATAATTGGAGTCATATTAGGGGACAAATACAATTGATTTCCCATTGTCTACATCTATTATTCCGTAACAATTGAGAAAGTCCACTCCAAACAGATAATGGAAATTACTCTCCTGTTCCACTCTATATTATTAATCTACAATGTCACTATTGAGTTACCTTCATCATGCTTGTTCATTTTGACTGCTCCCATTAACATAATTAGGCTGTTCCTTGCTTTATCCCCCACAGTATAACGAAAGAAGTTTAGGAATCTGGTTCTAATGTTCTGATGAAAATCCTCAGGTATCGCGTATTCTCTGGGAAAGGGTATGGGATCAGAGTTCATTTGATAATTTATATTATGTCATCCTCATTAATTAATTGTGTAATTTCAATTTCATATATAAATATCAGTGCATAACAAGTGTTTAGCATTCTTTAGTTCTCTCATTTCTATTTAATTCTCACTCAGACAATTCTACTTTAATATTTTAAATTATATGAAATAAAGACCTACAACTGCCAAAGTTCCAGTAACCGTAGATACCAAGGATATCCATCAACTATATGAGCTTGATAGTAATTCACTTTGTCTCCAACTAGGTCGTTAATATTAATTAATTGGTAGTAATCTATCGCATTTCCTCATTTTGAACGAATTGGGCAAGGGTTCATTTGGCGTTGTCTATAAGGTCAAGTCCACCTATGATGGTCTCATCTATGTCCTAAAGAAGATCAACCTCACTCATCTCAAACCAAAATAACAAAGTATTACTATTTCAGATTTCTAAGCCGAAGCACTGAAGGAAGCTTAACTTCTACGTACTCTCAAACATCCAAATATTATCAGCTACTATGTGAGTTTCATTGAATAGGACAATCTTTGCATAGTAATGGAATATGCTGAAGGAGGGGATCTCTAGAAAGTACATAACACTCTTAAATAGTTACTCAAAGATTACAAGGAGAAAAGAAAATGCTTGAAAGAACCTACTATTTGGGAAATGAGTAGAGAATTGGCTTAAGCTATATAGCATTTGCATGAAAACAATATCATTCATAGAGACATTAAGACTCTTAATGTGTTCCTTACCAAAGACAAGCATGTTAAATTGGGTGATTTGGGAGTTTCTAAAATATTTAATTCTGAAATTGCCTTAGATGGTACACGTGTTGGCACTCCTCTATATCTTGCCCCAGAGCTTGTCCAACATCAACCATATGACTACAAAGTCGACATATGGGCTCTGGGTTGCATTGTATTTTAGTTGGCTACTCTGGAACCACCATTTTAAGGTGAAAATCTAATTACCTTGGGGTATAGCATCGTCAACCATTCACCTAAGCCTTTGCCATCACAATATTCAAGCTGTAAATTTCTTAAAAATACTTTAAGAATTATCCTAATTTATTTCTAAATTATTAGAGAAAATTCCAGCATTAAGACCTAGTATATAATAAATTAATAGTCAATTCTTTGAAAAGAAATGTCCCGAATTAAAAACCTTATTGTATTAAATATAAATAAAAAAGCCAAATTGAAGATCGTACTCTATCCAATCCAAATTAAAATTAGCATCATTATCAGAGACCTTAAACAGGCAATCTTAACAAATAAATTGCTCCCTCTATAGATATTGAAAAAGCCAATAAAATTAAAAAATCAATTTTATTAGTTGAAGGTAACTTGGATCAAATTCTAAATGGCGAGTCGAATTCAAAAGGGTAGAAATAGATTGAAGCTGATAAGATTATAAAATCGTAGCAATATTAATAGATGATAAGAGAGTAATCAGAAAAACTAGAAAAAGAGAAATTGGAAAAAGAAAGATTAGACAAGCAAAGAGAGGAGAGAATGGAAAATGAGAAATAACTAAGATTAGAAAAATAACTATCCTCTTAACAAAAGGAGAAGTCAAATAGATTAGATAAGTTAATCCAATAAAATTAAATTCAACTTGATTCTAATCACAACGAATACCAATTACAAAAACCGATATACAAAATACAAAATAATAAAGTCAGTCTTTACATTGAAGATTTTGATAATAAGTAATCTTGTGATGATTAAAAGAGTGCATTCTCAGCAGAAAAACATCTTTAAATTAAATTCAAATACCAAAAGCCCATCAATACATATCAATCCAATATTCAAATTAGACCCTTATCTGCTTAAGCAAGAAGCTCTTTTGTTAATATTTCTTCCAAATCAAAATTAATTCCAGTCTTACATCACAATTAATCAACCCAAGAACCTAAGAAATTTACAGTACTAGATTTGAATCCAGATTAGAATGAACATTCTTTTCATCAAGAAATACCTAAATTCTAACCATCTTTAATTAAATAACCTGATACAAATGAATACCAACACATTAATAATAAAGAGATTTCACTCAATAAAACAAAGGAGAATATACGTATCAAAAGTGTATTTACTTTACAAAAAACAAATAAACCATCTTAAAATAAATCCTAAGAACGAAATAATAAAATTATTAAACATTATACCTTAAAAGATTTGGAAGAGTGAAGAAATGAATGTAATTTGTGTTATTATTTCTTTAAAACCTACATTGTTGTAATATTTTAATCATTAATCCTCATATTAATAACCCAATCAACAAATGGTTACTTTTCTTAATCAAACTTTGGGATTAATTGAAATACCCAAATAATTTACATATATATATTAATATTTATTATTATTGACTAATGTCCAAATCATCTAAGTCCAGTCGTAATTTTATTATAACTACTTCATAGGGAGCAGTCCATCCAAGAGTTAACATCAGAGCCCAAGTCCAAAATCGAAATCAAATTCACATCCAAATTAAGGTTAATCACACATCATATATCAACATTCAAAATACCTCACTATCAACTACTTCAACATTATCAACATCTAGAAAAATTATGCCTCCATGTCTCCAATCTGTCCAAGAGAGTTACCGATGCCGAGTTGAAGGAAACCTTCGAGAAGTATGGCCAAATTGAATATGCCGCTGTCTGCATGGAGCCCCGAAGCAAGGGGTAGTAATTTCCCTATCTCTAATTTACCCTAGCCCTGGCAAAGTATCTAGAGGTTTCGGATTCGTTAAATTTGCCAAAAAGGAAAGTGTCCAAATAGCACTAGAGGCAATGCAAGACAAAGAATTGCATGGATCGAAAATTAAAGTGGAAGTTTCGAAAAGAGCTGAGCCAAGAAGAAAGACCCCAGGTCGTTATGCTGGTTATGCCTATCGTCGCTCTCGATCTAGATCACATAGAAGAAGAAGATCTATATCATCTGACTCTTACTCAAGTAGTCGTAGAAGACACCATAGGCATTAAATTATTATATATTATCAGTCGTCGACGACACTATAAAAGAAGATCACTTTCAAAATCCCCTTCAAGAAGTCCAAGTTAGAGTCACAGAAGGAGAAGAAGATGAACAATTAGATAATATTTCAAATTATCACAAAATAATTTTATCTTTTATATTTGTACTCTTCTTCCGATATTTTATATATTTAGATGAGTTTATCAGTTCTATACTATCATTTTTGAACAATCCTTAATTAGAAATATAAAAAGAAACTTTTCACTTTTCTTTTAATAATTAGACATTTTATAATTATTTTCCTATATAATCAAAATTCACTATAAACAAAAAAATTCAAATTAAATATTTAAAAATTTATTAATAATCTGTAATATGAAATCATTTAACATTATTCATAAACAAATACCCTTTATTCTTCATTTTTTATTAAAATTCTTGGATGTAAAACTTAGATGACAACAGAAAAGAAGCAATTCATGCATATTTTAGAATTTCGATAATATCTATGAGATCAAATTTAGAAACACGTTTGTTATGTAATTTTCATTGAGGATGGCCTTGATGAGTAGTGTATCATGTTAACATTCGCTTTTAATTCTAATATCAACACAATAAATAGTTTTTGTTTTAACAAAATATTAATAGTCTAAATTACCATATAAAATGAAATATAAAAATTATAATAAAAATTTTGAAAATATCTTGTTTATTTCTTGCTTGTTTTTGATTATTTATAAAAAAAACTGGGTGGCTAGTTATGGTTGCATCTTGTAGAGCAGAGATTCAGTGATATTATAAAAAAAGTAGTCTTTTCAAAGGGATGGAGAGGGAAGGGTTTCGATCAACATACGACAACTAGTTTGGAGTTGCATATAGATTGTAAATATTGTCTTTTGAAGGTTTGGAAGTGGATTAAGGGGGGACTTGAAAAAAGGGAATAAATTTAAATATTATAAAATTTTTATAAAAAATAGTTAAATTTTATAACAAATTAGAGTAAAAGTGCATCATTTTTTAATGACACACTATTTGTTTGTATTATGATATTTGAGTTTATGAGGTTTTATAATAATTAGCAATAAGATATATTTTTTTCAAATAAAACATTATAAAAAAAATGGAGTAACAAGATGCATCATCAATTGCATAAAATAACTTGACTGGACTGGCAACAGTGCATGGAGCAAACGAACAAAACAAACTACTTCATAAATTGAGTGATTAAAGCAGTCCAATGAAAACAGACCTCTAAATAAATGTCAATAAAGATATTTATTCAGAGGAGGAAATGAGGAACTTTACAAAAAGAGGAATAATTTCATTGATAGGAGGTGTAATTCTACACATAGAATTGGGAACATTTTATGTTTGGGGATCAATTAGTAATAAATTAAAAATAATTATTTTTAGGTCCATATGTTTGCGCTTGGATGAGAGAGAAAGACAAGGATGTCACACTAAATTTCATGGCAATCATATTTCCAATCCTAGGAATCATTACTATGTCAGTCCTTTCATTTGGTATAAAGATTGCTGAAAAAATTGGATTTAAAGTTACAATAGGGATAGGATCATTCACTATTGCATTGGCTTTCTTGATTATATCATTTATCTAACACATAGGAGGATTTATAGCGGTGTATTGTATAATGGTTGGCATTTCTGGAGGGTTATTATACATGCTACCAATAATTTGTGGATGGAGATACTTCCCTAACCGAAGAGGTTTAGTATCAGGAATGACAATCGGGGGTTATGGATTTGGATCATTCATCTTCAATTTCGTATGCAAAGCAGTAGCAAATCCCAACAATCTGAAGCCATCAGTAATAGAAGTGGAGGATGGCAAAGATGTGAAATACTTCGACAGTGAAGTAGGAGACAAAGTTCCATTGATGTTGCAAGTCCTTGCTGCAAGCTATTTTGGATTGGGAATTATCGCAACAATAATGGTTAGATACCCAGCTGAAATCGATCCAGATAAAATGTTGGCTACCTTAGAGGCTGAAGAAAAGAAGAAAAGAAAAGAAGGAGCTCCTGCCCCTCCTCCTCCAGTTTTACCAGCTCATAAAGAATGTGTTGAAATGTAAGACTTCATATTTATTTCTTTAGTAAACGAGGAATGAAACATCCATCCTTTGTGCTTCTCCAATTAATTGTATTGATGTCCTGTACTTTTGGTATGTTGATATCTAATTGCTATAAATACTACGGATTAGAGTTGGGAATTGATGATGCTACACTAACAGCCACTGGTTCAGTCGCAGGAGTAATGAATGGATCGTCAAGATTCTTCTGGGCCACTCTAACAGATAAGACTTCATACAAATTCACCTTTACAATCATATCAATTCTCAATCTCATCACAACTGCCATATTGCCATACAATAAAGATGGAATTGGCTATCTCTTACTGATTGCTGTAGTCTATCTTGCAGAAGGTGGACTATTGGCTACTTATCCAGTTATTTGTGCTAAAATCTATGGAAAGAAAATTGGAGGTCTCATGTATGGATTCATGTTCTTCTTTGTTGGAGTAGCTAATATGATTGGATACATACTATATGCTTTTGCAAGAAAGAAAATCAAATGGGAAGGAGTGTTTTGGATTTGTTTTGCATTGAATGTCATCGGAATCATTTTGGGTTTGGTTCTTAAGGAAGTGGGCTATGATTGGAGAGATTAGGCAGTGATCGATGCAGAGAAGGAAAAGGAGAAGGAATTACAAAACAAAGGACAATTGGCTGCATTTTAAAATTGAATTAGTATTATTTTTGGTTTCTTTTTATTTAAGACTACTTATGTCTAAATGTTTGTTGTTCAAACTAAATTACATATTAAATAATTATTTTCAATCCTATATAAAAAAAATCGCAAATGGATAAAAATGGAGAATCAATCTTCACTTCAGAGTTCTGGAGAGAGATAAATGAACAATATTTCATCGTCTAATCTCCAGTTTAAATAGCAGATATTGATATTCTAAAAAGCAAATGTATTGTTATTCTCAATCAAAGTAGCTTGGAATTGCAAAAAATCAAAATGTCTAAAACTTCTAAATAAGCTTATTAGGTAGAACAATCGAACAAAGCTATTCCAAGCAAACCTGAATAATGTAAAAACAAGAGTGCAATTGCTCTTCCTGCAGAGACAATCAACATAGGAACCCATTTAAAATTTAATGGATGAAATGATAGACTAGGTTTGTTTCTCTCATTTGACAGCTGGATTATAGCAAGCCGAAGAATTAATAAAAAATATATCTCAATCATCAGAATCATAGCAATTGTAAATTTACAATAAAGAAGCATATGTATTATCAAATTTGATGCATCAAATTGATTGGCCAGATGAGTTAAGTATTTCAATAGAGCAACATCAGCAATAACTCAATGAACTAACCAGCAATAACAAAGATGCATTGCAGAGGTATTCAAAAATACAATCTATTTTAGTTTGGAATAACACACTCATTAGATAAACTTAACTGTATTATATACCTACAACAGTCAACAAGTTGGGGAATAAAGATTGAAATTGACAAGATAAAGAATGCCAAATTATCAACATGAATTGACTTTGTTAAAATAAGAAATCATATCATTGCAGGATTATTAATTGGCTGAAAGTGTTGGCAAGGCGACCTTCAATGAATATAGTAATTATCAAATTAACCTTCTCAGATAATACCATTACTGTAATCTTTGATAAATATTTGACGTCGATTCCAATTACTTTAAGCTTAGAGGATTTTGGTAATCTCCAGAAATTACGAGAGCAACCATACGATTTGTCAACTTAGCAGTGCGGACTCAGGTCAGATGTATATCAAAGAGTATGATTGTAGGATGTATTTGAAATGTAAATGTGCCATTATTGTAAAGAGATGGTCGAAATCAAAAATCTCAAATAGTGCCAATACAATCATTTTTCAATGGGACTCCATGAATACAATGAAGATTTTTTGGTTTGCTAAAGATATTAAATAAATAGCAAATAAACGCAATAATATTTTCTAGATCTGTATTCTGAAAATTACGTCATTGAAGGTAATAGCATCATAAACTATCCTAGATAAACAAATTATGTGTCAAAGATACTTTTGCTTAAAATGTTTAAAGTATGATTTTGATTCTTATGAAATTACATCCCATCTATGGATTTGTCCCCTATGCAAAGTATTATTTCATCTATGGATTTAGGGTTTATGCACTTGCATACGATGTGAAAGAAATGACATGATTTATAAGTTGAAAAGACAATTCTTAGAGTTGAATGGAGATTTGGAAGAGATTTACAAATCGTCATACTTTGAGAGTTTGGTCAAAGAGAAAAGAAAATAATTGTCAGAAATACCTTTGGAGTTCTTAAAAGTTCATAGGAACGAATAAGAAGAAACACTATCTTAAAAGAGTAATAAAAGATAATTTCAAGTAAATTCAATAAGAAGGAAGATTAAAAAAGAGGATTCACATCTAGTTAATAAATGTCATAAACTATATTAAGTAGAAAGCTCATCCTCTTCACTGAAAATAAAGAGATCAAAAGAAACAACATACAATACAATTAGTAGTATAGATTCAATTCATTCACAATTGTATATTTAATGATTTGTTAATTTATTTGTAATTACTTTTGATATACAATTTAAATTTCTATTAAATATTTCTTATATTAGTTATTATAAATTGCAAATCAAATTTATCACTATTTCAGAAATTATCCAATCTTAAAAAAAGTGTAAGAAAGTGTAATAGTGATATTAGAAAACCTGTTTACTGAAGACAAAAATTGTATAGGGTATTCAATAGGGGAATAAAATTTAGATAATAATAATATAAATTATAATTACAAAAACTGAATAAATCATTTATTGACAATTTAGTCCCTTAGTTTAAGATGTAAAATTATAAATAAAGATATATAATTAAAACGAAGGCTATTTTCGAAGTGCCAAATCACACTATTACTCATATCTTAGTTCAAAATGATATAAGAATTAAAATGCAGTAATTTCCTCTTTAATTCTAGGCTTATTGTGGTTAAAAGCCAACCTTGACTTATAATATAAAGAAACTATTTATTACTGTTACTTGAATAAGAATGAAACACCTAATCCATAGTTAAATGTGCATTTTCTGCAGTCCTTTGAATCTAAGAGTTTTAATTTGAAGATTAATTATTGATTGCATTTGATCAATTAATGGTTATTTATAATGATTGTTCAACCTTTCAGTAAAGAATCAAGCAAATTATATAAAAATAATTCAATATAATATATCCATCTATTTAATTTATTTTATCAAGTAAAATTTGTATATAATATTAATAAGTATGGATAAAAAAACGAAATCGTATAGATAAACTAAAGGGAAAGAAGTTTTAGTTACTAAAATTAGTGAAATGAGACGAAGAATACTAATTGATCCAAAGAATAGCCCATATAAAATCATCTATCATAGACTAATAACCCGCTTAATACAGCTTATGGTTTATATGTATGAGAACTGAGATTAAAGCTCAGTTATTTCAAAATATCTTTATTAATAATAAATATAGTCTTTGTTATGATTTATATAACTTATAAGAAAAATGTTATTATGTATCAGTCAATTAATGATTTTATTTAATGTGTTATTTTCTCTATTTCTGAGTCCAATCGTTCAATTTAATTAAGCAATCTGTAATCATAATCTTTCTCTTTTCCTTTTATCTTCTTTTACATTTTGCATAAATTCTTTTATTTCTCTCTTATTTTCTTCTCTATCTCTTTTACTCTCTCTGCATTTTTTTACTATCTTTTTTAAATGAAATTTGAATTAATTTCATAATCGTTCTCTTAATCGTATTCAAATGATTAATTTTACGAACTAGTATGAGATTGTTCTTTAACTAATTTGTTTATGAGTTAATTTTAACGTCTGATCTAATATAATAAATCAAAGGAATACTTCTTATATTTGTTATTTGTAATCATTAACTAAATTTATGTTATCCTTTAACTAAGTCATTAAGAGATGATGATCTTGATCATCCAATGAGACCGATTGAGACATCTCTTGATATCCACCAATTTCAATCTCATTATTTCTGATCATAACCAATTACTCTAATTCTGCTATCATTCCCAAAGATTCTTAATATGCTTTTTATTTTGACAGAGTTATTTCATAATTGTATTCCAATTCCAACTCTAATCGTTTCAAGGCTTTTTATAGGCTTCCGAATATTTTTTCTGCTTAATCTTGAAAAGTCATAGCTGTTAAAATGAGAAAAATTAAAATTATTTAAATTTCCTTTTTTTGTTGCTTTTATTTTAATATATAAATATTAATTAAGTGATATCTTCTCCTCAGTATTGAATTGTGTTCAAACCTGCCTGTATCATACTTTTTTTCCTCTCGTTCTGTTTTGAATAGGAACCCTGACTCAGTATTTAAGATTTTATGAGAGGATTGACTTTTTATTGATCAACCGATTGAGATTTTGAGCAATAATATCTTTGTTATATCTATTGCAGTGGTTCTTTGTTTTAGAAATGATATTCAGTATTTTCCATTTTATATTGACCTAATTATCATATTAATTATCTTACATAGCGCCTCTTTTGGGATGATGATCAATTAGTAATCATTTAGATTAAAATTTGTTGATCCTGTCTTTGATAAGGTCTGCATTTAGTTGTTATTAAGATCTATTTATGATTTTGACATATTGAGATTAGAGTTTGGAGTTGGAGGAGATGCTAAAGAAGACTTTCTATGGTGAAATGAGCTGATATTTGTTATTATCTTTGGATCCTTGCTCTTTGGTGTAAAATCATTAGAATAGGGGGACTGTTTCTCAGTATCAGAAATTGTATGACTTGCAGTTGTAGCTAGCAATTAGCTACAACTCTAAAAGGCATGTAGCTTTTCGATAGGATTGCCACTTGATTTAATAATTCCACTTATCCCTTCTTTATTCATAGTTTATGTCCTGCCCTTGAATCGAGTTAAAAAATCCATTGATTATTTAATTATGAATGAGTAAAAGAGATAAATCAAATATTTATAGCCATCAAAATTATTTTATCTCAAAGATATAATTTCAAGACTATTTCATCATGTTTTACATATAAAATTAAGCATTACTTTTTAATATATTATTATGTAATTTATAAAAAATTTAGTTAATAAGTCTGCGGATTAATTAATCTCTATTGAAGGAAAAGTAATTGGTCTAGAACATTAGAAATGGAACTAAATTAATTTAATCATAATAACAATATCCATCGAGAAAGAGTAATTTAAGGTATATGGTTTCATCTCAATATAAAAATTGGATTTGTAGATTGGGTTTAAGTATGAATTCACAAAAGTACAAGTAGGCACTATGAACAACCAATTTTGCGGCTTACTTTCTACTCAATCTAGGATCTATTGTGATAGACAGGATATCTTGGAGATGGAAAAGTACAAGTCTGAAATATTTGATAAACATCCGAAGTAGTCAATAGAAATTGAGAAATCTGATAAATATATCACTAATCCTTATGTGATCAATTTGAATGATTATTTGTCATAAGAGGAATTTCAACTTGAGGGGACAATGCTATATAAAATCAAATAAAAATTACATAATTTAAAAATATCCACTTTGGTAGGTTATATTTACAAGGTGAATACAGATCAAAAGAGAATATTAAATTTAGGTATTGTAGATGATGTGACTCACTCTCCATGTGAGATTGATCTGCAATATAATGATTAATCATAATTAGCTAATTATAAATTGGGCTAGAAAATTAGCTTTACAAATTTATAAAAGCAGAGTAGAGTAATCTAAAATTAGTTTAAGGGATTCATAGAGGATTAGTAGGTAGTGTAATTTGATATAATAACTATGGAGAACTAATAAATTAATCTATTATCATTGCTAAGGAAATTAAAAACATTCAGTATTTTACCATATTCTCAATTGAGTGACATAAAACCTTATACAATAGATAGAAAACTAAGAAAATTTAAGGTAGACACAGTCAAAATCTATTCAGTACTTTTCTAATATACATGTTCTATTTGCAAAGGGAGTGTGAAATCGTAGCAAAACCAAGTATATTAATGTGAAAGTTGTTTATCCTTTGTGGATCTCAAAGATTGCGCTTGGGAAATTCTGGCTTTGGTATAAATAAGAGTGGGTACTCAGATGGCCTTATTAAAATTGAGAGATCGTCTGGTTTTTGAATTTTTCGAAATATCTCCATTTTATGAATAGTTTTTATAGAATTACAGTCTCACAACAGGTACTTCTTTGTGATAGTTAGAAAATAATGCTTTGAAATAGGAACAAACAGAAGATGATGAGAAGTTAAGATATCTATTTGATGCTTTTTATAAGTCATTTGCCTGTAAGGAGATTTTGGGATAGGCATATTGCGATTTTATAAAGACAGCCAAGACGAAGTATGAATGGCCATTTATTTATTCTTAGGGAGAAGTGGAAATAGATAAATAAATTAAAAAAGCAATAATTGTAAACCATGAATTTTGACTTTGAATACAAATTTGTGGATTACTAGGCCTGGATTGAGAAGAATGAATATGAAAAGCTGATAATTTTTCCTAATGGTGCGTATGAATAAGTTTTGAAAAACAACAACTCAGAAAAATGGTATGAGAACAGGGTGCTGGAGCCTTTGATATGTTTAGAGTGTTATGGAGTTTAAAATGTCAGTATCAACTATTATAAATACATAGCATCTGCTATATAATGATTTTAATCGATTTAATTTATTTAGTATTTTTCGTTATGAATTAATGTTTGAATAATAAGAGCAAGGCCATTATAATCAAATAACCTGATCCCACCTTCATGAGAGCTTTAAATTTAGGCAAGCACACCAAATCAAATAACTAAATACCAAAAGAGCAGTAATAAATAGCTACTCAAAGAACTTAAAGAACCATCATACCTTCAATGTATGGGAGAATGTTAATATTTAAATAGAAAATCAATCTCAAATAAAAACAGCTAAGAAAAGATTAGAGTTTACGATGTGTTCAAATAGATTCCAAGGAATAAGAGCCAATCTTATCATAATCACATTAATAAAATGGATGAGTCAAGAGAAATACTAAGTAAACTTAATTAGCAGAAATAAATCAATGTTGGTAAATATTTTAAGTTTAAATGAAGTAAAGATTGTTAAAAAACATCTAGATTTATAGAACCAGTCTTAACAACTCATAGAGTTGATCTCCCTCCTTCAAACAAAAAAAGATCATATAGCAATGCTTAGACTATAGATAAGTTATTTAAGATGAATGACAATTCAATATCCTATATTAAACCACCTCTAGAAACTCAAAGGAAAATCTCTAAAATTAAGACTAATTTAAAATTATAAAGAGATGATAATATATTAGATTTGTTACTATTAAACACTTGTGAATTAAAAAAAAAATTGTCCAATAAATCTAGTAACAACAACAGTTTTATTTGTGTAAGACCTGGGAAGCTGCCAAAAGACTTCTTTATTTATAATTAATGATATATAATTAATAATAATATACGAAATTATAAAGAATGTAATTAGTTTAAAATGTTAAATAATGAATTAAATTTGTTGGTTAAGAAAGCATACAGGCACAATTTATTAAGTACTTTATTTATATCGATTCAGATCCTTTGATATCTCAATTCAGGAAATAAATGACAATCAATTCCAGATACTCATCTCGTAAAAAAAACAAGAAGGAAACGATCAGATAGGCATCAACTATAAATCCAATCTAATAAATGAACAGCATTGATTAATTAACAGGGAGGAGTAGTTCAAAATTAACAAGCTCTATGTTAATTGTTAAATAGGAAAGAAGAAATACAGCATCGCCAACGAAAATTATGCGTATTCTATCCCTTTGTTAGGATGAAAACATGTAATAATTGGCTGATGTTTTGGGAGAAATCAGTAGAATAGAATTAGAAACTGATCTCAAATAAAAGAGTTAAACCTTGTTATTGAGAAATATCAGAATTAATAAACAACAATTCATCAAGTTTTTAGAAAGAACCTATCCGATAATCATTTGCCAATAAATTGCTAAGGCATTTAAAGTTCCTCAAGTCATGAGTGTTCAAGAATATAAATAGATGATCGAAAAATTGGAAAATTTAGATCTGAAATCTTAGATTCGACTATGCTTTCTCATTTACGATTATAACAATTAGGGATACATTACTACTCATGATTTAGTTGAAATACTTAAATATAACAATAATTAAGCAGTCGAAAAGGATTTACTACATATGATCAAATCAACGAAAACTTAAATATCAAACTAAATCAATAATGACATTTAGTAAAACCATCCCCTAGTTCTCCCAACAAGTTTACTTAGAGTCAAATTAGATAGAAGTGTCATTATAAATTAGAGAAGACAGTCAATAATATCATATGATGGAAGAGGTCGTTGTATTAGTAGAATTAGCCAAAAGAACTCTCCTGATTTAAGTGTAGAACTTGATTAAGATAATATTTAATAAACTAAGAATACAACAGCAATGAAAAAAGTGTTATTAATAACATAAATTCATAAAATGGAATCAAATACTAATTCTACAAATAATTTAATTCAAGGATTAAAAAATTATAAAGCGGAGGACTAAAAAAAAAAGAATAAAACTGTTAAGGATGAAAATAAAATTAGTACAGACTTGAGTGGATTTATTAATATATGGTTTCCAAATAAGCCAAATATATTTTATGATATTATAAGAACTTTAACTGAAAAGAGTTGATTAATTCATTTATTCGATTATGATCATTCTTATTTTTTTTAAACACTTTACAAGCAATATGTTTCCCTGATTCATTAATGGTTTATTGAAATACATATTCTAACATATAAATGTCATAAGGATATTGTAGTATTTTGTAAAGACAAAAGTGAATGACCAATTGAATTGTATGTTTACATTATTCAATATTTATATAATTCTCTAAATTATTGAAGATTTGTGGAAATTATATAAATATTGAATTTATTTTTTAATATTTTATTTTTGATTAAAATCATGAGATCAAGTTGAAATCATTTAGAAGTATGTTATGAAAACATCAGAAACTTGAATGATTCTTGATTTTAATCTAGAAATTTTGATTGGACTAATATATTTAACTAAAATTCATTATTATCATAAATCTTATTGCTGACTTTTAGAATAAATTTTCCTTGAATTCGACTAAACAGATATTTCATTTTTGCTGGAGTTAGAAATTCCTAATTCTTATTCTAATTCATTCAGAGATACTTCTTATTTCTAATCAATCTCTAAAATTAAATAAAGATCAGGTACACTCTTTATTTTCATCTTCATTTTCATCATCCATATCAGGATAAAATGAAAAAGGAACATCGTGAAAGTGAATTCCTGGAGCATTCTCAATATGGGACAAATACTCATAGACCGTAGACACTATTTTGTTTAAATCTTCAGATTTATTTCTATTTTCCACATTCTATTTTATGGGAAAATGCAATAAATAGTCAGGCGAGTAATAATCATAATAAATATCATTTGATGGTATTGCCTAAATACTAATAGTTAAGTTACTTAATCAATTTATTGACCTAGAGCAATTCCTGTTTCATACGCCCAGCATCTTGAAACATTTTATATTGTGTATCCTCCACCACCAAGTAGAATCATAGGAATTCCAAATGATTTCATGTATTCCACACAAGCACCATGACCTCTAAATTAAAAATGAATTGATGATTTACTTAATTGATAAATTGAATCCTCCTAGCTTATCTAATGATAAAGAATCAGCCCCACATTACATAACAATACAATCTGGTCTATAAACTTGCATAACTCTGCTTGTAATTTTTTTGAACATCTCTATATATGGTTGATCGGACATTCCAGGTTTCATTGGCACATTGACTGAATAGTATCTACCAACTCCTACTCCAACAGAATTTAATTGCCCTGTTCCTGGATAGAAATCATCCCCATATTAATGAAATGATAGTGTCATCACCCTATTGGTTAAATAGAATGCCTCTTCTACTCCGTCTCCGTGATGACAATCAATATCCACGTATAATACTCTCACATATACTCTTAGCAATTCTAAAATGCATAAGACGATGTCATTTATATAGCAAAATCCACTTGCTTCTTTCTTTTTGGCATGATGCAATCCGCCAGACCAATTAATTGCAATGTCAGCCTAGCCAGTTAGAATAGAATGGGCACAATCTATACTGGCTCCTGAACTTAATTAACAATAAGAAAACAATCCAGAGAAGGTTGGATTATCAGGTGAATCACCTACTTTGAATTCAGAATTTTCAGTCTTTACTTTTTATTATTGACTCCATTTAATTATCAATTTGAATTCTTCCAATAGATTTTCGGGTATTACAGATTCATTATTGGCTGAGCAATACTCTTTAACAAAATTTATCTTATTTTAACTCATGAATTAGCTTAGATAAATGATATAATCAGGATCATGAAATTTTCCAATTTCTTATAGTTAAGCTTCCCGTATTAAATAAACATCCATCTATCGAAATAGGCTTAATTTATAATGGTTAATAACTACCCATAATTGACGATCAGATTATGCGCCATAATGATTCTCTTTGGCTTCATTGGATGCTCTTTGCCATATTGAAATTTTCCGATAAATCGATTATAAAAGTAAGCCACTCTTCTGCTAGAATCTGAATCAGTCTATATCATTAATTAAAATAATTTATTATTAATAATAATATCTATAATCTTGGCTTTAATTCGCATATCTAATTGCGTAATAGGAACAAATCATGATTTAATAATATATCCGATGTTACATTCTTAATAATATTAAAATAGAAAACATTAGAAAAAGCATTTATATCTTGATTAAAATTTAAAAGATATCTATTTTTAAAATTGTCATAAAAAAAATTGAAAACAACAAACTTTTAATCAACTTTGCATTTCATTATTTACAATTGCTTTTTTCGAGATGTTCATAAGATATTCTAAAGATATTAAATGATTTTACCAATTTCCAAATAATTTATGATGCTCATTCCTTTGATGTAAGTTTTCTTGAAATCTGCTTGATTCTTTAGAATATCAATCTCTTTTTACTTTGAATCTAAGATGGCTTATTGAATTTTCTCTGAAATACTCAATTGCTATTGCTTTTACCTAGTTAGCATGATTCTATCTTGAACTTTAGGAGTGCTGATGATTGGATCCGAACTCTTCCTATTTAGAATGGTATTAACTTCTGATTTGCCTGAATCTGAATATGTATCCGTCTTGATTGTCACAATATTTTATGGTTACTAAAAAGAACTATTAAAAGTGGACCCGGTTTCGATATTGCTGTTTGATTTATTGTTCATTATCAAGTCTACTATATCAATATTTGTATCTTCTCCTAAACATTTTTCTTTTATCTGCTCTAGAATTATTGTGGAGGCCATGTTGGTTTCTTGACTGCCTAACATTTTGAATTTTCTATTTTCTGGAGCATACAAGTCAACTTTAGGTTATGGTTTTACTAGTTTTTATTCAATGATTTTGGTTTATTGCATCTTTTAGACTGCAGATATCTCGTTTTGGTTTTGAATTACTGAAATAAATGCTTTAAATGGGATTGAATTGAGGCATTGTATGACATAATTTCCAACTTTGGTGAACTAATAAACAAATGTTTGATTTTCATATAGAGGAGGTGTTTCAATTTCTTCTTCATTTTCTTGTTGATCAGTTTATGAAATTGCCAAAATAAAATATCTGTCTTAACAATAGATTTAACTGTTAGATTAAATTTTGAGAACTTTGATAGTTAGAACATTGTCGAGTGAGATTATTGATGATTAAGGAATAAATTAGAAATTTTTGATTTCTAATAACATTAAATTAAATATATAATCAATTCTTGAATTGAGGTGATTCTGACGGAAACAAACTCTTTTAGCAATTTAAACCCTTCTTTAATAATTAAGTAAACTACGAAGTCTTGTCTGGAATTCTGACCACTTGTTAATCCTTCATAATCACCTAATCTTCATCAATTGAATTATTGGTTTCGCATGTTTGGAACAGGTTTTCTTGAAAGTTATTAATAAATTGGTTTTGTTATTAAATCTTATTGAGTTCCTTCATTTCATAAAAATCTTCCTTGTTTTAGAATGATATATATAACGATAAGTAGTTTTACAAAGATTGTTATAATTGCTTACATAACAAATGATTTTGTTGAGTAAAGTTATCATGCAACTATTTGAACTGATGCATGACAATATCTTATTAATTTAACTACTAAACAAAGATGGAGTGTTCCTTGAATCTTTTCTGATAGATCAACATAATTTCATTGAATGGACCCATAGCCATATATTCTATAATGTTGAACTCATTTGAAAGGATGTCTTACTCCATCTTCTTTAAAGATTCAATGGTAGAACGTATTTGATATTATTCAGCATTGATACACTTTTCAATATGTTTCAGCACTTCACTCTAATCACTAAGTGTTTAATTCATACCTTTAATTATAGTAATGGCTAAATGGTTTGGTCGAATACTCTCTCAATACTTTGTTGCATATCTGAGATACTTATGTTCTCCAAACTCTACTTGGTTTAGGTAATCAATTATTTAAACTACGATATCTATTCATGTCTGATCTCCTTGTCTCTTAATTCAGGACTCTGAGTACTCTAATAAGGAGGTTAATTCAAGTTATACTGTGTAAGTTGATAATGATATGGTCTTGAGTTTTGGAGACGGATGTATTGTCTAATTCAATGAGTTATATTGATTAGTGTTCATCCTTTTTTCTTCATTGCCTTCCTTTTAATGATCTTCCATAGTGTTGAAATTCAGTTTCACTCCTGCATAGCAATTCTATTATGCTAATATTGGATTAGTTCTATTTTATATTTTCATTAATGATTTCAGTATTTAACTTTCTTCATATTAATATCTAATGTACAATTATGCAGTTTCTAATCTGAAGCCTATGTTGAAATGTTTTTCTTTGGTTGGTTTGGTGTTTAATGTTGCATCTCATTTAACAGGGATCGGTTTGAGTATGAATTTTTTTCCAAAGAGGACGTCTTTTACTTACTCTTGTTCAAATATGAAAATTTTTAATTGTGAGTTGCTTTCATGTTTTCTTTCATTAATGGACTCTTCCGCATTAAATTATATATTTTTAACAACTTTTTTTATTAATTAATTATGTAATAAGAAATTTATAAAGATAGAACAGCAGCAAATGAAAATACTTAATAAATCAAAGCAGCAGAAACATTATAATCCCTAGTACAATATGTGAATGATCTCACTGAAATCGTTAATGAAGTCAAACTCAAGAATCAGGCAGAGTTTATTCTTGCATATTAAAGTCATATGAAAAAAATTAAGGCTGAATTAGAAGAATTAAAATACAAAACTGAAGAACAAAAAAATAGTATGGTCTTAAATAAAGTTAAAGCAATTTCAAATGACAACGAATTGGTAAATTGTCATGTTCATTTAGACACTGTTTCGATAAGAATGTCTTAAATTATACGAAAAAATAGAGTAAAAAAATAAAGAAATTTAAGAACTCAAATTCACATTACAAGAATCCAAAAAGACAAATGAGTTTCTTGAATCCTAAATTAAAGGGTTGATGAAAAAACTCAAATTGCAAGAAATCGAGAGATAACAATAACCAACACCTTCAGTAGATTAAATCTTTTGTACTACTGCTCCTACTAATCATTTTAGTAATCAATTCAATTATTTCAAGAGGTCCTTAAAAGGAAATTAACAGACTATTAATCAAAATTAGACATATCTTCATCATTAACAAAACATCATTATGCTTCTATTAGAGAATTATTTGATTCTGAATATAATTAGAAGGATGAAGAATTAATAGAAAAAATATCCAAGTATTTTATTGCATAATTTTATAAGATATGTTAGTTAGATAGAACAGAAATACTAAAAGTAAATATAAGCATTGAATTAAAAAGCTAATAATCTATTAATTTCTCAAAACAAGAAAAGTGTCATTCGAAGTGATCTTGAATCATTCTTTTTAGATTGTGTAGAGACTGTCAGAAGAGATATTTTAAAGAAAAAAAGACCCTTTGGAACTAATTAATAGTTGCAGGCTTCAATGGAACATATTTCCGATTTTTCTCAATTTCATAAAGAGGACAAATTAAAAATACTGGAACTTGTAGTTAGTAATGAAAAAATATTAGTCTTCTTGTACTAAAAATTATTCCCTAATCATGTTAATTTAGTCATAAAATCGATCAGAGAAGATGTCCATATCAATAACTTCTTAGATGAAAGTGTTAAGTGTGACTCTTCAAATAAAAATCATAGATCTGGAGATTACAAAACAGATTTCCCAAAAACAACTAGGGAAGTTCGTTCAGCTTCATTGAATAAATAATTGGAAGTCAAAAAAGGGAAACTATTATTTAAATAATATTGATTGATTATATATTAATTATCTATATTACAATCATAATTTATGCCTTCTGTTAATATGGATTTGTAATTCCATTTAAGTCTTAAATTTTCTACCACAATTGGGTTACATACATGAGTAACCTTCCTCTGGAATATTATTGATAATTTAATTGATCAACTGTCTTGTATTATTAAGTTCATTGTTTTCCTTTGCTTGTAGAACTTAATCACATACATTTCCAAATGATGAGACTGCTGTTTCAATTTTTTTTGCATATTCCTAATTTAAATTTGAGTCCAATAATAAGATTAAGCACTTTAACCCAAGATTGGCAATATCATTTTCGTTAGTTGTGCAATCATTCAAAACTTAGGTTATATAATCGATTATATTCATATTTTCCTTTTTTCTAAAAAATACTGAAAATTCTTACTTAAAGTCTTAATCTTATAACAGATTTAGTATCACTCCTAGACAATAATATACAACTTCTCTTGAATTAGAATCTAATAATACAATAACACCTTCTGAGATTCTTGATTTCATAATTTATTTGATTAAATCCTTCTATCTTGATAAATTTGATAACACTCTTAAACCATCACAACAAATTTCTTGATCTTCATTTTAAATGATGAAATGTCCAAGAGTGGTTATCAACTCAAATTTAACATTTTTGTATTCAAAATCATTTAAAAAGGTTTGTTTCTCATAAAATGTTAAATTGGATAAGCAACTTAAGGTACAAGAAATGATTTCCTTATTTTAAATTAAAGTTTACTTATTGTTTAGAAATGGCAGTATTCTTTTGCAACAATTTTAATAATTTTGATATTAATACTCTATATTCAGTTGAATAATTCTTTAAGATATCCAATCCGATTTATTCTATGGTCAATATATTTTGCTATTAATCTTATGATTCTGATGAGAGCATCAATATCTTTTTCCTATTAAATAAATAATTAAATATTACTCTGATTATAATATTTAGAAATCCCAGGCTGCTCTACTTTATGAAAATTAATCGATTTGATTCAATTATTATGGACTTATTTCTTTTGTCCAAAAATAATCAAAGCATTTGAGGATGTCACCAAATTGATTAAATTTATAATAAATTAATTATCTAATTCCTTCAAAGTATGTTGTCATATTGGCTAATAAAAAGGAAGCTCTGATGATGATGTAAATATTGGTTTAATATGTTTTAAAGAAACTTGAAATATTTTGCATAGCCTCAGTGCTTTATAAGAAGTATTCACAACATTCCTTACTCAATGACATCTTTGACATAATTCTTAACGTATTTAAAATCAACTCATAATTGTTGCTATAGCTAACCATACTAATGACCAACTTTTTAATAATTCCATTCTGAAGATACATCTCTACACTATTATTTTCGTTCGCCAAGTTTCTCAGAGTGGCAGTTATTGTAGTATATAAATTCAGTAAGTCTTTCTCATAGGTTTGATCAAATGGGAATGAATGCAAATGATTATCTATTAATTATATATAAGCGGGTTATAATAATTTTTGTGCTTCCTTTTTGTTATTGGCTATATTCTTGATGATAATGAAAATTAAATTGAGATATGGTAATTATTAGGACGTAGTTGCTTGGTCCTTTGGTAATTGAGTAAAGAGTTTCAAAATTCGAAACAAAACAAAACTCAATGAATTGTCGTTTATTAAATTCAAGAATACATTCTCATTACTCAATTATGCAGTCTTCTATAAAATGGCTAAGAATTATTAAGGTTGATAAAGCAATGAGGGCAATTATTCTTGAATTTTGGATCCGCTCTTTGGTCTTCTTAGGAGTGGTTTAGCTTATTTTTAAAATAATAGCTCTAATAAATTTAAGGTAGTGAATCCAAACAATGCTGCTTTGATTGCATATAATCTAACTTGCAGATCGTTAAAGTCTATTAATTAAATACTCTATTTTAAAATTGATTCCTTGCCCTAATCATTGCATTCTGTGTTTTAGGTCCAATCTTTAAAAAAGACGAAACATTTTTATATCCATTCTAACTTACTTAGATTAATTGATTTAATAAATATACTTCTCTTATTAAATATTATCGACTAGCCAATTTATATTTACAGGTTGAATATCAATTTTTGAACTTTAAGGTCTTGAATCAAGTTGTTTATTGAGTGTGATTTTTGGTGGTAATCCAATCTTTTGTGAAGGTCGATTTAATGTTATTTTGGTGAGGGTCAATTTCTTTTCGGGGTTCATGAATTCGAAAAATTGTATATAATTAAATACAGAATTATTACAATAAATACAACTGCTTAATGAAATATTATGAATGCATTGGAAATAAATTAGATTATAAAATCATCATTAATTAAGGGGAGTATTCTAAAGATTCTCTTCTACTTTTTTTCTTTTGACTTCAGGCCCATCTTAAATAATTACACATTTTGTAATCTCTTCAAGAGGTTCCTCGTTTGAAATGGATTATTTAAATTTCTTTTTGCTACTGGTTATTTGTTCTGCCTATTCTTTATAGCCAATTATGCTCGTCATTTGATCTAGAAAGCAATGGAGTAGACTTTGGAATTCCTTCTATTCTCGAGTCTTATGAATTTGAAACAACTATTAACCTAGATTCATTTTAACAATCGACAACAATTCATTATTCGATATTTTATTCAACTATTGCACAATCTATATATATATACACCAACAATTACATCTTCCATCTAATAGTCCTTTCTCATTAAATCATTCAATTTAATTACAAGACTCTTAAGCACATGCCCATTCAGATTTTCAAAGCTCGGCAATATGTTTTTATATTATCCAGTCTGAATCTGATTAGCTAATTCGATTGCTTCCTTCAATTTCTTAGTTTCTGTCTGAGTTGGCCTATCATTCCATTTTTTCACTTTTTCAAGACGACAATCAGCACTATACTATTATTAAAACAAATACTGTGTTCCATCCGCTAAAAAGTTCACCCTGTATGATTAGTTTGTACCTGTCTTCCCATTCGAAATTGACGAGATCTATTTATGATTATTCTATAATTTACTTATGCTGGCCACCATGGATCTAAAGCTTAAAAAACTACTTACAGCCTAAGACTTTAGCCCAAACTACTTCGTTTATCTCAAATTTCACATCACAGCCCTATTACATCCCTTCACTTTTCGTTCTGTAAAACAAATAATTAATTACAAGATATTATAGGATTTTTTAAAATTCGTTAATCATCATCATCATAATTAATTATTATATATGCATAATTTTTCAGAAATCAATAGATGTCTCCTCCATTTATTACATTATCCCAATCTGACAAAATAACCCAACTGCATCATGCTCATGATCACCTATTATCCTCATTTAACCAACTTTGACAACTAAAATCAGGTCAAGCTTAAACTTTACAATTTTTAGATTATAAAAAGTCCAATCGTCAAAATTTGAAAAGAATTAAAGTGAGTCATTGAGTCTCCTCCATAGATTTCAATTTGAAGATGAAGTTTTGATTAAAAATAATGAATTAGATAGTCTGATGAAAGACAATTTTAATCTCTCAATTCTCATCAAAATTCTCAAAACTACATTTAAATATCATAATGAATTTGATTAAATCAAACAATACAGATAAAGAATAAAAAATGAGTTACTTATTGAACAAGTTCCATTCGAAATCTTCCTCTGGTAATTAATCTTAAAATAGTAATAATTAAAGTTAACATTCCTTTTTTATAGATTCTTTAAGGTCTGTTATTAGTTGAAACTCTTAGGTGCATAAAATAGATCTATCACCTCAACAAAAAACAGAAATGTAATATTTACTTCTTTATAAATTGAGAATAAAATAGAATAAACTCTAAAGATTTCAACCTTGCAACTAAAACTAATAGAATATAACCATTTAAAAGTAAAAGCCTCAATAAAATTCAAAAAAAAGTTCAATTAAAACACTTGAATGTAGTTGTTTATTTTTATAAAAAAATATTGATTAATTTAAATCGTTATTTGTGATTTCATTTTTTATGTGTGTATGAAATTTAAATGAATCACTTAGAAATTCCAAAAACCATATGAATATGTAGGTATAAACAATGATATTGATGGAGATCTGATAACATCCAGATTTATATTTGAATCTAATTCAATTATCTTATACAAAATTATTTAAACTATATATAGTCTTTTATGATCTGAGAAAATTAATTACATCAAATAAATTTATAATATAATGATGTCCTTAGATATTTAAAATGACTACTTAGAATTTGCATCAGTTTTGGATGACAAATACTATATAATTGATACAATTGGATTTGGAAGATATGCAAAGTAAAGTGAATTGAATAACAATTTAGAGTAAAGTTGGCAATTGATAAGGAGGATAAACAAAAATACGCCATCAAAATCATGAAAACAGATCCGACTACAAGTTAATGCAGATCTGAAACATTTATAAATGAAATTTCAACACAAGCTGAATTTGATCATAAACACATAATTAGAATCATATATGTAATAATACTATATCCAACCCTCATAGTGTAGAATGAATGGAAATTACAAAAAGATTGATGGGAGAGTTCAACAGGTTTCTTATTTTGTAATGGAATTGGCCAATCAAGGAGAATTGTTCTAATTATTAGAACAGTCTTAGCAATTTTCTGAAAAATTTGCAAGAAACATTTTTTCACAATTAATAAAAGGTAAAAAGCATCCTTTATTGCTAGCATAGGAATTGAGCATCTGCATGAACGCGGTGTTGTTCATAGAGACGTGAAAGCTGAAAATATACTATTTAGTAATGGTGTACTAAAACTGGCTGATTTTGGATTTAGCACTAAGACCATAGATGAGAAGGGATCCAGAGTCCAATTTGAAATATCTCAGCATATTGGGTCTCCTGAATACAATCCTCCAGAATTATATAATATCGGTAATCAATATGATTATTATAATGTAGGAAAATAAAAGTTTTACAATCCAGAACAGGCTGACATCTTTGCTGCTGGTGTAATCTTATTTACAATGGTGATCAGATCTGCTCCTTTCAAGACTTCAAAATCCACTGATCCTTACTATTCCTTATTAAAAAACAACAAACAATCCTTCTGGAAGATCTATAGTGAGATTGCAGATTCATCTGCTCAATTTAAAGATCTGATTGAAAAAATGTTGGATGAAAATCCATTAAAACGAATAACCATAGAATAAATTAAACAGCATCCCTGGATGTAAGGTAGTCATTGGTTTATAATTAAAGAATAAATGCTTGGCTAGACAGACTTTTAAAAAGAACTAAAGAACAGACACGATATGATATTTAGTTAATAAATAGTAAAGATTACAAATAAGAGGGATACCAAATTTTCAACTAGAAAATCAATCAAAAAAGTAGAAACAGAAACAATTAGCAAAAGTATCTCAAAATGTTCATATGAGAATCTAGAATTGATTGACATGGTAATTGGATTCATATATAACATAGATAAACGCTAAGTTATAGATCAAATGGAATTCGCCAAAAGAACAATTTAAATAATAATCAAATAAGAGTGAAAAATTAAAAGTAGGAATCTAATAAAAATAATAAAATTTACACTGTTCTAGAACAAATCAGGAATCCAAAAGATCAAGTCCTGGATCACCCTCGAACGATTCTGACAATTGATACGAACCAATTATATATATATATATATATTATTATTTAATCATTCAAATCTTTAAAGCTGTAATTTATTATTCTTTTTGAAAATATTATTTTATTAAGAAAATACGAATCATTTTGAATTCTGTATTTTCTTACAAATTATTTTTTATATAGAGATTTATAAATCTTGGGATCAACTTGAAGATTAAAACTTAGTTTAAATGATTATCTTAAGTAAATCTATAACTCTATGATTTGGTTGAGCTTCCTTATTTATAAATAATAACTTTTAATTAATTTAAGAAAATTCTATTTAATTTTTCTCCCTCTCCTTTAGAATAGTTATACTGATAATTTGCATTTAATTTCGAGTTAACTTAAATAAATAAGTAAACCAAACTGATTAAATGGAGTAAAATTATTAGATTAGATTTCAAGACTTAGATCAATATATATGAATAGGAATAATAATATAGATAATCATTTCTAACACTATTAATCTATTGATAGAGTTTTTGGTATAATCATTTTTTTCTTCTTTCCATCTAGAGTCTCTTTATACTCAACTCTTTATTCAGTTATAATTTCTTGTTTTTTGGATTCTTCGTTCTTTTTTGAAACATCCTCTTCTTCTATCTTATCGTTATTATATAACACTTTAATATATTCAGGTAGTTCTAATTTAAATACTATTTTTACATTCAATAGGGACTTCCTAACCAAAGTATCCCTCTTCAATCTATACAAAGGAACAAAATCCATCACAGGAACTTATAGCTATCAAATTGGAACCTTGATTAATGTATACTTAAAATACCTCTAAAACAAATGTCAGTAATAGAAGCATAATGAAGATTTCCAAAGATAGCCAGGGGAGTTGGACTATCAGTTGAATAGAGAAGTAAGGAATCAACAGTACCAATAGCAAAAATCATTTTATAAGGTAAATCTATTAATGGTTACTAAATATCAGGATTTCTAGTAAAGTATTTAGGACAAAATCTAATAACTAAGGCAGGAGTATTTGTAGGTAAAAAGAAGCATGGAACTTGAGGAGATTATCTTAAGAACCCATAAGCACCCATAATAGGTTTATTATCAACCCAGAATTCTGCAGCAGGTAAAATATAAAATGATCCATCAGGACTCCAATCTGGTCGTCTAACGAAAGTGAATAAACTAGTTTCACCCAAAAATATTCCATTTTGTTTTTTCTCTTCTATTTGTTATTATTATGATTATTATTACTAGTCTTATGAATTAGATTATAATTATGAATCAGCCTTTTGTGCATTTTCTAATTTTCTGACTACATGCTATGGATAAAATTGCAGATTATTTAAGTTTTTTCTCTGAGCTTTCAATAGTTTCCACACTCTGGCGGTTCTGTCCTGACTCAAGGATACTATAGTTTTAAGTCTTGGATCTATTGTAACTCCTTAAACATAAGATGTGTGTCCATCTAAAGTTTGTAATTGCTTTTATTTCTTAACATTCCACACAATGACATATTTATCTAGTCCTCCTGAGACCAAAATTTCACCATTTTTTGACCATTATAGATCATAGATTTCTTTGCAATGCCCAGTTAGTACTGCAAATGGCCACCATTACAATCTGGGTTCAGATTGACCAAAAGTTTATCTCACTTATTAGCTCCAGATTATAATTTTATAATCATCCGAACCAGATGCAAAGTTTTTACCAGATGGTGAGAATTTCAAACAATTAACAGTTTATTCATGACCAGAATTAATGGCTCCTGCAAACTCAACCATCTTAGTTGAATTTTCCAATATTGTCCACATTTTAATCACTCCTACATCTTCACTCACATTATCTTTTTCAACTATTTTAGAATCCGAACCTCCTGTCAATAATAAATTCTATGTTGGATGAATTGCGATTGCCATTATTCGTTCTTTTTCTCCATGCCAAATTATATTCGGAATGACTAATTTCATGTTTAATTAATTAAATATTAGGCGCGTAAATTTATTACTTACATATATATATATATATAGATCATTCTAAATCAGGTATATCATCATCAATTTGTTAAGTTAATTTTGCTTATGCTCTTTATATTAACATATCTAAATTTTATTTCTCTTATTTCTATTTCATCTCTTATTATTTTATCTACTCTTATTATTTCTACTACTCCTCTTTTTTCTTTCTCTCAGCTATTTGTTTCAATATTTCATTAGGACTCACTTTGGGCATAGTAATAACCAACTCTCCTGTAATTTCTGATCTTTGAATCTTAGATTTTTCAGCAAACACTTCCTCATCCAATCTAATCTATGTAAGCTTGTCCTTCACTCTCACAGACACATATGTTGGATTCACATTTACTTAAATCAATGAAGTATCCAGATATTTAGGAATGATCATCTTAAATGTGACATTTTCTGGATCTTCCCAGTTATTTACAATAGGCTTATAACCTCCCTCATCGCATTGTCTTATTCTTCCATCATTCATATACAATGGGGTTTCTTATTTTACTTTGAACTTCTCTGGATTTCTCTATCGTTCTTTGTCCTCTCTAACTCTGTAATTGAACTTAATTACTTTTCTTTTGCTTATCTCAAATACATCTCCTTACGCGTCTCTGGAGTATATGCTACCTTATCCTCGCTGTCAGGATTCATTTCTTTTCTGATCTTCTCCTCATGCATTCTCTACTCTTCCTTAATCTTCTCTTCTTCAATTGCATATATTAATTCCTTTTGCAATTAAGGCAGTATTTATTTAGCCTTTATCCTCTCCGTATGTGTTATTTCTTTACCATCCAAGGAGTGAAGAGAATCCACTTAGCCAATCACGTAATCTCTATACCCTTTCCAACTATAATTATCATTTTAAGTATTTACTCAGTGCATGGATTCCCTGTTAAATATAATTCTTTTAATCTGCATTTCTGTAAACACTAAATAGATTTTTCTAAATTTTTAGAGATCCACAAAATTGACTGTCAAATCCAATTTCATCAAAGATTCGCAATTCTCTATTCCTTCTATAAGTTTGATATTGTTTAATGCTAAATTTAGATATTCCAATTCTCTCAACTTATTTAGGTTTTCCATTCTCTCGATTATATTGTTTTGTAACAATAATATTTTCAAGTGTCTACAATACACATCCAAGTTCTCAATCTTCAAAATCTCTTCCTAATGAATGGATATCTCTTCTAGATTTGTTAACATCATCTCATTATGCTCTGCTCTTCTCCTTAATAATTCCTAAGTAATTCTAGACATTTTTAATTAATTTTATAAATGATTAAATTTAATACTAATTTTGTTCTGTTCCTTTTCATAACTATTCAATAAAGTTCTTTTATAAATAACATTATGCATATATAAGATTGTTAGTTTAAAATATTAATCATATTATTAATCATTATTTAATCACAATTTTTCTATGAGTTGTAAATTAATCTCTATCTTACTGTTGCTAGCTATGTCTTTCTGTAAGAGAATTCAGACGTTTATTTTCTAAATAATTTGCTATAATTACAAAAATCATCTTCCACATGTGGTTCATTATTATTTAAGTTTTAAAGATTCAATTTGAAATCAAATTTTTTATGATTCTATATGGATTAAGTAGCCATCTAAATGTATTTTTTGACTATGTCATCTGTTTTTTATGAATTAATATTTAGAACCTTAGATTAACTATGATTTGCTTATTTCTGATGTTAGGACTTAGTGCCCAAGTCAACTCCAGTGGTTTTCTTAGAATATTAAGATTTGGCTTTTGAATTACTATTCATCTTCAAGGTGGTTAGCGTATTATATTATGAAGGTAGCATATAGTTGAATTCTGGTTTCTTTTGTTGATCTGCATTTTAAGAGCTCCTAATTTTCAAGTCGTGCAATCTATGAAACAAATCTTCAGCAATAGGCAATTACTTTGAGTTCCGATCAGTAAGTGAGCCTCCTTTAGTAATTTTATCCAGTTGATTTTAATTTATCTTTTTTTATTAAATATTAATTGGCTAATAGGCTTTTTTTAATTGCTCTTATCGCTAGGATATGTTCTGTATACTGCCATTGTTGTTATTATTTTGATCCTATTTAATACTCTTTTGAGAACCTTAGAATCCTTGAATCACAGTAGAAGTGCTTGCCACAATCAAATCTTAAGAAATAGTCTATCTCAGTTAACGGTTATGATTCCCTTAATAATCTCTAAGCATCTTCTGAATGACAAAATTATTCTCGAATTTCTAGGTTTTGTTTTTATCCTCTTGATCGATTGGTTCATTGTGACCAGGTACACCTTCCTGAAATTACTCCACTTATTGATCGACTGAATCTTTGATTTTGGACATTTTGAAACTGGATTAAGAGTGTTTGGATTCACTTTTGGAATTGGCAAGTATAGCTAACCTTATATAAATAAGAAAATACCTTTCTTTTCTCGTAAATCGATGTGATTAGTTCTACGTTTAACACTTTTCGTGGTATGTAAATCCTTTATGATATTATTGGTGGGTATAAGTTACTAACTTGGAAGAGGGGATTTTAAATAGAAATGCGATGGCAGTTTTTTGAGTGAGTTACTCATTTAATTTATAATGAGATAATGCTTATCTAGCATCTCATTTAGTTGTTAAGTTTCTTCCTGATGGTTAATGATATTCAAGCCCTTAAAATCAAGGCGAGTGAGTTTATTTGGTTTGTCTTGTGATGAATAGATGTCGTGTTCTTCGGTTTCATAACTGATTTATGAATTGGAGGATAGTTTTGAATTGAGAACGTTGTTAATAACAATTTGGTTATTTGATTTATTTGAATGTTGGCTTTGTTAAACTCTCTGATAATAAAGTTTATCGATTCGCTTATTCCTCTTAGCCATCAGTTGATGTTAATCGACGATCAAAAGATAGGGATGCACATCTTTGTAATTGGTAACATAAAATTCTGTCAAAATATCAAGTCTTGGTTTGACTTCATCCTATTTATACTATCTACAATTTAAGGAAGTTCAACTACCTTTTCATGTATTCTTATTGCTCATCTAATATCAGATAATCCTTATAATAGATTACATGAGGAGTGCTCGTAATTTAAGAAAGGATTTCATTTATAGGTTTGGCAAAATAGAAATTGAAAGCTTCAAAGTATTTGGTTTGCAATTTATCCAATATGAGTTACTTAGTACTTTATCGGCACAATTTACAATTATTCTCCATTACTCAAATTATCTATAAAATTAATATAAATATGAAGAAGCTGAAAAGTAAATTGGAAAGCACAAATACAGACAGTTTTGGAGTTTCTGGCAGTGATTTCACAAGAACTCAAAAGTCTCATCGCCAATTTTTGGTTACGAGCACAATGAAAATGCAAACTGAATCAACAGATCAGCTGAAATTGGACTTACCTCCTGTTGTGAATCTGCCCTTCCAAAATAAGATACGATCATAGAAGCGATCTAGAAATCAAATACGAACCAGCGATTTATTTAATGTTTATAAGGCACCTTAGACATTGGCAACAAATCCTGAATCATTGCTTAAAAAGAAAAGATAATATCAGATATCATAGAGCATTATTAAGTATTATTCCGATGAAATTACGGCTTTAAAAGATCAGTAGAGTTTAGACGACTAGGAAATAGAAAACTGCATTTCCAAATATTTAAATGAAGCAATCCAAAGTCTCGATGTCCTAATTAAGAAGATATAGAATTTGCTACAATACAAACAAAACAGAGAGAAGAGTGAATAGGAAATGAAAGAAATTATGTAGGAATGTTTTAAATAGAAAAATTTGTGTATTCAATAAAGGTTCTGTTATATATTTGGCAAAATGGAGTAGCTGTTCTTCAATCCCTTGTCAGGGGCAATCTATTTTAAATTATGCAAACGATTGTCTGACAACGAGATATTCTACAGGAATAAGATGAAAGCCTATAGAGGATTGGGTGAATGCTTACTCAGAGTCAGACCTAAATTGAGCCAGTTATATTTTACCAAATATTTAATGTCAGCTTGGAAATTGAACGAGAAGAATCACGAACTATATGCGTATGATTTGTTAGGAAAATATTACTTTTATGTTGGACAAATCGAAAAGGCAAAGCTATTCCATGAGAAAATGATAGGAGGTTATTGTGAAGTATGTAATATCAATTATAACTGTAGGTTCCTGAATCCAGAGTTAGAATATTGGCTTAGAGTCGTTTAGAACAGGGGAGTCTCTCAAATAGAATTAATAGGGAACATCAAGTTGTCGACATAGACGTTGTAACATCTGATGACGAATGTTATGAAATTGTGTTGACTCAACCTTAACAAATTAAAGTAGCCACCGTTAGTTCGGTCAAATATTTCCAAAGAAAGATCCCTGATCCCAAATCAGTCAAAGAAGAAGCCAATACAAATATTAGACAGAAGAAACCTAAATATAATTCACAACTGCTGGAAATTGGAGGGGAATTCGACATGTCTAAATTAGTTATCTCAAATCCTCATCTCAATATAGGGGCGATTAAGGACAGAGTTTTGTTGAGTCACATGAGTCCTAACAGAAAATTGGAGATGTATTAATATCTCTGTTTGGCCAGTGATAAGAACGCTTTCAATAATGTTAATCTACTCTCTGGATTGTATGACAGATTTGAAATCAGCAAAATCAATAAGTATCTAACAAAATTGATCTCTCTTTTGAGCACAGTATAACAATGGTTGATGAGTTAATAAAAGCATAAGCAAGTTACTCGTAGATTCGCATTGGTTTGAATGTTATATGTATATTTAGTTTATATACTAATTTATATTTATATTTTATTATGTCCAACCGAAATACTAAATCTAAGAGCCCTAACCTCAAGAAACCATAGAATTTTGACAAAGATCTGATGAAATACCTTATTTTACAAAAGATAACCAAGCCTTCCGCTCCTGTTGAGATGTTAACCAAAACGTAACCTGATGAAGATTCAGAGGTTGATGATTTTAAGTAAGAAATAGAAATCAAGTATTCTATAACATCTAAACCTATTTCTAGATTCAAGAAATGCAAAATCAATCACTCATTCAAGTTTCCCAAAGATAGTTATGAATCTTCTTCTGACAATTCTCTTTAATCTCTCAAAGATGTCACTCTCTATGAATTGAACCAAGACAATATATAACATCTCACAGATGCAACATAGCCCTAATTCATCAAACTACTTAATGAAAGATTAATCAAATTAACCGATTAGATTTAAGAGGACCTTTCCATTCAAAAACCTAACCCAAATCCCAAATCTTCAAGGTTGATCTCCTAATAAATATCAAGATTATAGAAAGTGCGTGGTCAGAACCTATCCAACTCCTCCTTATCCAAATAGATTGATCAAACAGTCGCTAGTCAAGGACGTGAAAGTGTGACCAACAAGCAGAATTAAAATCTAGGCTTCAGAGCCACTCCAACCTTGTCCTCTGAAAAGAAGAATCAATCCAAACATATCCAACAAATATTGAAAATTGTACAATAAAAGTAGTTAAATAACAATATCAAGTAATTAAAATTTGATAAACCTAGCGATGCATTCTATAAAAGAACGTTGTAAGGAAACAGTAGTTACATTAATAAAAATGCAAGTGCTAACGACAAACGAAATATAGAAAACATTAGAATTAAAACAGAATATGATGATTAAGATGGAAATTTAACCCAATTTCACATACTGCCAAAATCAAGGTATTTAATAATTTTATTGTTTTCTACCTTTTTAGAACTAAAAATAGAGAGTCCAGCACAAAATTAAAAAAACAAGACACATCTTAAAATCATAAAATCTTAAATTACACTATTGATAGTCACATTTTGGAATAATTGAGAGGTACTAGGAATGCTAAAAGTTAAAACAAAAATTATAAAAATTGATTTTAAATATTTATTTATAATATGAGCTGCTTTTCTTATAAATTCATACTCTTGATTTAAAATGATCATTCTATAAGAGGATATTTATAATATAATACTAAAATATCAAGAAAGGTGTTTATAAAAACGGATTTGTGATTAATTAATATTTAATGAAAACTTTCATCGGGTTTACATTGTTGTATTTGATATTGGCAAAGTATATTATACCTACAACATCATAGTCAAGGAATTTCATCAATTTAGTAAGATAAATTGCATCCCATCTCTAAAATCATACTTGGATTGTCAGAAGTATAAACTAAGGATTTCAATTACCAATAATTGTTTGTTGCTCTAGATGAATTGGCACAATCTTTCTAAACAAGAATAAACGATGAGAATAGTTCTTATGAACTCGATTAGCAATCATATTTTTCAGATGTCTAATTCTATGAGAATTAAATTAATGACTTTAAGAACAAAGTTTATTTTCATCAATATCTCATAGATCGCACAATTAGAAATTGAAATCAAAGAATTAGGCGATTAAGGAACACGCTTATAAGCATACCTAACTGAAGCTAATTAGGATTTAAATGAGGCAATTAAATTATTGGCCTAAAAAGAATAGCAAATTAACTCTGATAATTCAGTTTTTGAATCACAAAATCAAGAATATGCTGACACCATCAATGTTCTTGATTAAGCAATTGCCTTACTCAATGAAATCAAAGATGAAGCCTCATTAATCTAAAAGAAAGAACACATCAAGGAGGTATCCTAAAATATGCACAAAAGGTATTCACCTACATATTACAACACTTAGCATGAAGAAATTGTCATCAAAAAGAGTGTTCTATTAACCTCTAGTAAATGTGTTGGCTTAAATGACATAAAGTAACTATGTAGATTAAGAGAATCTTAAGAAAGTCATCAATTTTATGAATTAACTTAGACAAAATCTTATTGATGCATAACAAGCATTATAAAATCAACATGAATCATAATCTAAATTATAATAAGATATTTTATCTGAAACTCAAGCCAAAGTCAGTGGAATTCAGGATGTTTTAATCCCACTATTGGGAACTGAAATTTCAATTAAACAATCTGAAGTTAGAGCATTAAGCTCAATTTTATAAGATGCCCAAAGTAATTTAGCTGATGCCTAGGAAAACCTTGTTGCAACATAAAATAGATGGATTGAAAGGTATAAAAGAAATCTTAGTATTTTAGAACTTCAACTCATAATAATTTATTGCAACAATTTAATAATGAGTTATTAGCAATTAAGGACGCAGAAAATGCATTAAAGAAAGGCGGCATCTTTAGATAATGATTTTTGTTTTAATCAAAAACAATTATTAATAATGTAGAATTCAACTTTAAAAATTTTATGTTAATTAAACAATATTTTACAAATTATCATCCAATTGTTTTCTGCATCTCCTTTTTCTACTTTATCCTTTTACCATTTACATTCTCTTCATTATTTTAATCTTCTTGTTTTTTATCTTCACCCTCATTTTTATCCAGCAAATCCCTCTCCAGAATCTCTTCAATATCTATCATTGTTTATCTTCTTAATTTAGTCTCCTTGTATGACAGTTGTATTGTGCTCAATGATGGAATACAATTTCCATATTTGTCATATCCTGTTGGAATAGCATTTGTTAGCATTTTAACAAAAAAGGGGAATATAAAACAAACAAAGGGAATACTTAGTAAGGCATAAACAGTTCTTGTAAAAAATAACAAATCCCCAAATGACTAGGTAGGACTATCTTTTATTTTATAAAAATATAAGAATGCTAATTTAATACTGAATCATTACCTGACATTATTAAGGAAATAATCAAACAAACTAAATCATAGATTAGAAAGTATTTTAGTCTACCTCCTTTTGTATCTTAAGTAATTGTTAATTATTCTTTTAAAATGGCTCCTCTAGAATAAGATCTGTTTAATAAGAGATAGGCTATCCATACAGTTAATACTTAAATGGATAAAGTAAACATAAGGATATACACTTAATGATGATTACCAGGTCCACAATCAAAAAATAAATAATGAAAATAGGCCAGAAAGCATGGAAATAATCCATTAGTAATAAATTGCAAAGATTTATAATCAGCTATATAATTGACTAATTAGAATTCTTCATCCTAGGATTATAATGTTTTCATACTTTATTAATACAAAGCAGAATGATGCTAAACATCAGTGGTTGAATTCCCATATATGGAAGTAATTAACAAAATTTCATAAATTGATATGAAATCCTCCTCATGTGATCACGATTAGAGAGATCGGCAGGATAAAGAGAATAGAGTATAAAATTTCTGACATGTTAAATCACTCCTTTTGTATCCTTCTTTCTGATTTCTACTTATTTTTTCTCCAACTTGGCCCTAAGTTCCAATCTGATTAAATCAGTGAAATCCTTCCATAAGTTGGTTGCAGTATCTTACGCAAAACCTTGCATAAAATCATAAGGGACAGATTTCTAGACACTATCAGTTATTTTCGGTTCAATGCTGCTCATCAGACTGACAACCTATGCATCAACTTATCCTGCAATCCAAAGATTGATATGTGATTTTTTTTCAAGTATTTTATTTTTTATATGAGTGTCCAATTTTTTTAATTATTTCTAAAAAATGGAGTTATAATTAATTACTTTCACTGAGTTTTATGCAGTAGTAGCTTATGTTGCTACATATGTTTTCAATTAAAACAACGTACTGTTCTATTCTTTAGCCTTTTTGGCTGCCACTTCGTAATAGTTATCACCATTTTCATCTAAACATATTTTCTAATTGAGAAAATCTGGAAGGTCGTCATTTTATTTTTTTTTAGTATATTTTTTATTAGCCTACTCTTCAGCTATCTGTTGAATTTATTATTCTTGCATTTGTTAAATCAGTTCTTCTGGTATTATGGCCTTGTTAAAATCTAATTGAGGAACATCAGAAAAATTTTTATCAAAATTTTGATTTTCTATTTAAATAACATTTAGATACAATTAGATTAATCACTCTTATCCTATTATTCATCTGACTTGATTTAATTTGGAAGACTTAGTGGTGACTTTGAAAAATCTTAATTTTTATTGAACTCTTCGTCTTTCATTTCTTTGTATTTATCCTATCCAAAATGTTTATTATAAGCATCCTTAGTTTGTTATTTCAATTTTTTTAGCATGCTTGGTATTATATTTTAATTTAACCAATAAATTTACAGTCGTTTAAAAAAGTTTAAATAGTATCAAAATAAAGTTTAATTGAATAAATTTCATTTCTAATAAACATTGGAGTCTAGATTAAAGATATTTATTGCTTAGTCAGTTATCTTGATGTTATTTTGCAAATAATTGTTTAGATAGGTAAAGACATTTATGAATTCTGTAAATAATAATACTTAAGAATTTGCACTTCTATGGACTACATACTACATTAATCATAATGAAAACAGAAATAAAAAACATAAGGCTGCAGAAAGTTCTTAGAAAATGATTCATCACATGACTCTTACTTCAATCAACAGATTCTATCAAGTAAAGGATTATGAAACTAAAAGAATGAATTTTATATTAGGAAAACCGATTGGTTCTAGATAATAGAGTCAAGTTTACTAAATTATAAATACGGACGCAGGAGGATTGTTTTATTTTAAAAAATTACCAAATAACTAAGAAGATCAGTAATATTAGATGCAAAATATATAGGACATTTAATCATACGATATTAAACACCTATACTAATTTAATCAGAATGAATTATCTTTTAATAGATTCTTTTTATATTTGAATATCATAAAATAAATTTTTATAAAATTCCAAAGTTAGAACCCTATTTTATTAAAAGTCGATTCCAATTTATACAATATTAAGCTTATAAATCTTAGGTTCGATTTCTCAATTATTAAGTGAAGTTATGCCAATAAAAGGGTAGGCTTTAAAAAGATATACTCAGTAAATTCTGACTTTTTGTAGTATTTACATCAAATAGATTTAGAGGTACCTGAAGTTGTGAGATAAAAAAGAATTGGTACAGTCTTAGATAAAGAAGTATAATTTTTAATTATGAAATTAGTAGACTTACATAGAGTGAATAAATTAATTTTGATAACACTTAAAATGTTTTATTAAATTATATGATTATAAATGGAAGATAGATTTTAATAACGAGAATAATATTGAAAGAAAAAAGGAGTTGCTTTTAACATGTGTGTTGAAGTAGTGAATACTTAGGTAGAGTGGTTTTTATAATGATTTTGTTGTTAATAAATTTATGGTTTAGAAATGGATTACCAACAAATTAAATTATCTATTAGTTTTATGATTCTAAATGATAATTTAATGATTATATATTTAATCAAAAGATAAAAATTATCAATCACTTATGAATCGATAATAAGAACAAATTATTTCTCAGGAAATGGAAAAAGAAGTTAAGTTATTGATTAATTCATTAGTTTAGAAATGAAGTAATGAGAATTTGCATTTTTAATTGTGCTTGCTAATTTTACATGTTAATCTTTAGTTGTAAATTAATATGGCTATTCGATTCTAAATACATAATAATATTTGCTTGGTTCATGGATTTGATCACCTTCGTTATAGTTATGCTTGATAGGAACATAGGCAAAGTCTTGTCTGTGGTTCATTTTTTGGAGAAAGTCCTGAGCATATCGTTTAAGGTAAAATCATGTTTTTAAAGATTATATTAGATTACTATAGTTATTCACTTTGAAGTCAAGGAAATTAAACTCTTCTATATTCCAGCAGTTCAACTATTCATCACTATTGGATTATTTCTTTTTTAGGTACTCCATCACGATTAATCCAAAAGAAAGCATATAATAGTATGATGCTCTTCATTATTAGATCGCTCATTCGTATTCTGTTCTTTATGTGATCTAACTCCTTCTATTAACCTTAAAATGGAACAACCTATTCGGATACACATATTATTAAACATTCATAATAGCATGGACTGCACTTGGAATAAACACATTCTTGATTATATTGTTATTGATAACCATGGTCGAGAATTGCTTCCTCAGACACCTACCACAAATAAATGGTAAAAAATATTATTATTAAGGAACTATAATATTTTGGTTTGTGTTTTACATATTTGGATTAACCATAATTCCCTTCTTTCTATTAAAAACTATTTGTGAATACTATGAAAACGACACTCTCTACACTAATATCCAATTGTCATCGGTTGCAATATTAGTCTGTATTTTGATATATCTCTTTTTGTTTATTTTCTTCACTCTAAAAATTAAGAAGCAATTGACGTACTAAATTTCTACTATTTTAGTGTCATTTTGTAATTGGATCATCGATAAGCTGTCACACCAAAACGACCATTATAAGAAACAACCTAAAAAAAGTGGAGAAAATTAAAAATTCCAATAATGTTCGTCAGAATTTCAGCATCCTATTATAAAATGCTTACTAGATAATCAACAACTGATACTAACTCTCGTAATACTAGTTCTATCCCTATTTGCAGCGATGTATTACGACCTGATTCACTTAATTTTCGTCAATCGCCATGTCAAACAATGATGAAACAAATGAAATCTATCCCTAAAGATTAGGATTCTGGAGACTTTTGTTTGATTTGTTTTGAGAATGAACCTGATGTAGTATTACATCCTTGTAATCATGGAGGTATTTGTAACAATTGCTCAGAAAATATGATAAAAACTACCAAATAATGTTTTCTATGCAGATCAGAAATTAGATATGCACTGAAAATTAATCAAAAAGATGGTGAGATGCTAGAAGCTACTGATGTATAAAAAGTTTGAATTATAAATCATATAATCTATTATCAATTATCAAGGTTTCTTAATTTCAGGTTCTCCTCTATTTCTATTCTGTCTAAATTGACTTTCTTATTGATTTTTGATGATACTGATTTCTCATGACTTTCATCTAATCTGCTATTGTTCAATCGAGCAAAGAAATCAATATTCAAAGAGTGGTTTCTTCAACATGGTTTCAAAGTGCTGTTTCTACTTAGCCAAAGTTTAAATAAACTAATGTTTATCTGCTTTTGTCATTCTAATAGGATTATAATTTGGCTTTGGTAGTCTATCAGTAAGATTGTGCATCTTTATGGAAACTCTGATTGTCTACAATAGCAAATTTGCAAATATATCCTTTTCAGATATGAGAACTATTATTTTTGATATATATCACCACCATCTGCATATTCAATTGCAAAGCTAATAAAGATATTTAGAGAAAGTTACCATAAAATTTATTATTAATCCTCTAAAAACGCTTCTTTATTTTGAATGACGTTAACATGTCTAACACTTGCTTGAATTCTCACTTCATTTAGAGCGTTTTATTTCTCCTATCAGAAAGCGACTGTAGTTCAACCTTTTTAGTTTTATATTCCTATTGATCTGCAATTATCCTTATTTTATATAACTTTGAATATGCTCCTTCACCTAATAATTGATAACTTCACATATTTATATTAATGATAAATATAATCAAAAAAAATAGACAGAGAAAAGCACTTATTATAAATTCATTTCAATTATTTCTAATATAAACTTCTCCTGCCAAAATTGGTCATTTCATCTTATTGAACTTCCTCAAAATTTTATTGATAAGTCGATATCAATGGCAATTACCTTCCTTATGTTCTCTACGAATGCGCTCTGATATCTATTATAACGATATCAAGATACTTCGATTCGTCATTGACATTTATGAATCCTTATAATCTTTATTTGGAGTATCCCTGAAGTCTTTCTAAAAGTTCCTCTGAAATTGAGTCACCTACTCTGGTAAAAATCCTGGTTCCTCCATCATCATAGTATTTTTCTTGATTGTCGAAGGTCGTTTCTAAGGAGACTCTCTCTGTTAATCTGGATCTCCCAGTCGTTCTCTTAACTCAAAGTTCTCCTTCTGTAAAAATTGAATTTCCCTATACATAGACTCACATTTCTAATTGATTTACTCCTCCCTTTCTCTCATTTCCTTATTTGATAACAATAATTCTCTGACCATGTTGATTGAATCAATTAATCTATCATTGAATTAGGTATATTCAAATTTATTGGCATCCTCATCTGAAGACTCCTCCTCCAACAATCTCTGCTAATTTTATAATAGATTATCGAAATTGGTCCTGGTTTGTATATTATTCATATTTTGATTGCTATCTTACTTTTGAGCAATATTGGATAAGAATTCGATATGCTGATTGGCCTTACTTAGTTCCTATTTCAAACTATTTATTTGCTATTTTAGATCATTAATGACTTTTAATTTGGGATCGTCGTTCTTAACTGGAATATTGGTGATGTAAGCTGCCTAAGTTAATGTCAATCTATACTTTTGTAGCATACTGCAATGTTGATACATTCTCATCGTAGAAGGTATCTAAAGGTGCAATGCAAGCAATCATCAAGCAGAAACAATTACCTCCTATGGATTACTTTAATAAGCAAGTCAACTTTGAATCTCTATAAGGAGGAATAGTCTTATTATTTGTATCACTCAGAATTGCAATCACTTATCTCAAGGTCATCAAGGATTTATTGATCTCAATACTCTCCTTAGCCTGTCGACCTTCAGTCCCTGTTATACTGATTCTCTCTGATCCAGCCAAATCTACTAATTCTAACTTAGACGTAATGAAGGAATCTGGATTTTTGAGGTCTATGCTCTCTATTTTGATTTCAAAGATAGAATGACTGCGAGATGATTAAAAATTCAATTTGTGACTTGCTGTTATTCTATTTCTGCTTCCCAATTTGAATAACTAAATAACTTCCTCTGCTGTTTTGCATTAATAAACAAATAAATTTTCAACTACGAATTGGTCCCTTACATTCCATCTCATTTTCAAACCACTAGCTTACACACTATAATTGGTTTTGGTTGTTTCTCCCAAAAGATCATATATTTTTTCATTGTAAATTTACAAATATGAACAATAGACTGAAAAGTCTTTTTATAGTGCATTTTATTTTATCTTATTAAACAAACTATGAATTGTTTTAGGGATTAGGCCATCTTGCTTAACTGCAATTCCTTCTTCATCTCGTAACCCTTCCATGGTATGTGTTTTTCCAGACCCTGTCTAACCATATGCAAAAACTGTCACATGATACCCGTCAATAACAGACTACACCAATTAATCTATTTCGCAACTCTTAAACACCTATTCCTAAGAAGCTGCTTCAGGTAACACATGATCGAATCTATTTGATTTATATTTTACTTATAACTCTTTTTATTTCTCTCTTCCTTTATTATTACTTCCTATCCATTGCAATCAATTCTCGAGTTTAAATGGCCCTGTCTTTTTTCGTGATCCAACAACGGTCTTATTCGAACTGCCACTCGAATTTTTTATTGATTTTGCATGTTGTTTAATATAATTTAATATAAATTTAAATATCACATAAACACCAACTCTCTATAACTCCATTGAACCATAATACATAACCCTGATATCAATTTATAATGGAAACTATAGAGTAATTCAAATTATTATTTCAATTTCAAATTATTTCTATAAGAATTAAATTACAATATTTTATATTTCCTAACTTTATACTATTATTCAGAACTTCATATACTTTTTGTATTTAAGTTGACTAGTTAATTTTTAAATGAATTGTTTTGATCAATTAAACACAAAAGAGTCAAGCATTGGAGGACATGATTCTTCTTAAAAGTGTTGGTTAAGAAATTATGAAAATAGCATTATAATATTATATAAAAGAAAAAAATAAAAATTTACAATCAGGACTTGAATTTCATCAAGTAACGTTTGATGGAAACCATTTCTTCCAAAGCCTTTTAGTTCTAATCTTACAATACTCTGGCCTTTTAGAAGTATTCTTCTAATTTGGGTAATTTATAGGCAGATTTTACTTTTTCTGGTTTCTGGGGATTTTGCTTTATTTATGGGAACATTATTTAATTAATATAATATATTTATATGTGTAATCTATCAGTTCTTTTTATTGGCCATTTGTTATTTAATTTAAGCTGTTTCAGGTCTCTTCTGTTTGTTTAACGGAGACAAATATTATCCAAAATATTGAACATATGTTTGCTTCAACTATTCTTTTATTGAAGGAGATTGAGATCTCTAACCCTAATTCAAATGAGGAGAAGCATTGTACACAGGAGACTAGGATCTTTGCTTTTTATCAAAATTAGCTCTAATTCCAGAAGGTTTAATATTCTCTAATTCCTCTAATGCTCTTTTAATAGGACTGACTTCATTTTCGTTGGTTCTTTTATAAGTGTACCCTTGAAAATGATTTTGCTCTCTTCCTCTTTTCTCTGCAGTCTAGTACCACGGATCCTATTCATCAAACTTATCAAAATTGGCAGTAATTTTCGATTTATCAGGTAGATAGGGAGCTTTCATGTTTCTTAAATTATCCCAATCAATTCCATTGAAAAAGGGATGTTTTTTGATCAAATTGACATCTCCCAATCTCTCAGATGAATCAGCCATTAATCTCTTAATTAAATCAGCACAAGCAGGTGATATCTTGGGTTCCTTTGGGATGGCAAAGTGTTTCTTCCAATTCACAATCTTCTGACATGTTTTTTAAGGAGTGTCACTATAAAATGGAGGATAACCAATAACCATTTCAAACAGTATGACTCCAACACTCCACCAATCCACTAAATCATTATACCCTTTCTATGAAAACACTTCAGGTGCAATGTAATCAGGAGTTCCCACTGTTGAAAATGCCAATTGTCTTCTAGTCTGTTATTGTTAAGTGTCCTGTCTTCTTTCCGTATAGGGAATTGAGAGTATTTCATTTTGCTTATTGCCCAGATGTTTACATAGACCAAAATCAGATAATTTAAGATGTCCATTTTCATCTATGAGGATGTTGTCTGGTTTTAAGTCTCTATGAATGTAATTGAGTTTGTGCACAGCTTCAATTGCTAGCACTATTTCGGCTGTATAAAACTTAGCCTCTTTTTCAGGGATGATATCCTTTTTAATCAATAGTGTCATAAAATCACCACCGCTTAAAAATTCCATTACCAAATATAAGTATTTTTCATCTTAAAATGAATATTTTAATTATACAACCCATGGACAATTAGCTTATACTAATATATCTCTTTCTGCTCTGATATGTCCTAATTAATTTTTAAATATCATCTCAGACTTCTTCATTTTCTTAATTGCCACAATCTCCTTAGTTTCCTTATCTCTACAAACACGAACCTCACCAAAAGCTCCTCTCCCAATTATTGCTATTGGTTCAAAATCCATCACAGTGATCTTCTGTCGCCTTGAAATGATAAATTATTCACTTTTTTCGGAGCTATATGGCCTCTTTATGTAGAATCTCCTTCTTAATCAACTCCTATTCAATTGGAGTGAAATTCAAATTCTGCATATTTTATTGCAATTGTTGCCAAATCATCTTCTTCTCCATTTCCTATTAAAGACTTAATTGATATTTTCGTTCAATGTAGGATTTGCATGCAGCCACTCTATCTTTAGTTTGATTGCTTAGTTTAACTTCAGCCATTTTTAATTATTTATATAAAATTTATAATATATTTATATTAGACGTCTTATTGTAATTTATTAAACCAATGTTTCCCCTTAAGAGTAGCCAGTAGTTATATCTCTAAAATTATATGATTATCATTCTTGAGGTATAATCTAAAAAAATACAATAATGATAGTAATTCTAAAATTATTATTTTTTTTATGAATAATTTATATTGTCAGAAGAAAAAAAGAATTCATGAAGTAACTTATGCATAAAAAGTAATCAACTCTGTTAAGCCAGACATTGAAAATATTAAACTTAATGAAAACTTATTTCAAGCTCAATAAATGGCTAGACATTCATCAACATTAATTAAAGATATTTAGAAGGATGTGAGATTGACACTAAAGAAATATGATTCATACGTTAGAATGAGTGAATCCAACAGAAGAATGACTGATAAACAGGTTAGTGAACCTACTAGGAGGTATTAGAGTGAGAGTCCCCCCAAATAACAAGAATCAACCGATAAAGAACTTGAGACTTTAAGATAATAACAAAGAATTCTAATGACTCTCCTTAACAATTTACAACAGTAAGAAAAACTAATAATTTCTTAATCCTTAATACCTGAACTACAGTCTAAATCCGTTATCGATAAAGAGTGGTTTGAATAGAAAACTAAATAATTATAGTAGATCTAAAAAACATAAACTTAAATTGAAAATTCATCATCCAAGAGATTGGAGAAGAGTGATGTTATATAAATTGATCTAAGCAAAGTTAAAAGATCGCCTAATAGTAAATCTAGTTCTGCTTAACTTTTTTTTAGTCCAAATAAAAATCCTATTAAGAATTCTGTTACCTATTTTTAAAATTCCAATTCCAGCTATGCCAATTTGCATAGGAAACAATCTAATTCTCCTTAAAAATGGGGTTAATATGGAGTCATTAACTAATAAAAGTCTTAGACAAATTTGATTGTAAGCAAAAGGAATTAACAATGGAAACAAAGGGTTGACAATAAAATAAGGAATGAAGTAATGAAAAAGTAAGAGAGAGAAATAAAAGCATGCACATTTAAACCTAAAATCTTATCCAAAACACCAAAAAGTAATATCAACAGTAAAGAGACTTCAACAGATTTCAATGAACTAATGTTCCTAATTGACGATATCAATGAGTTTAATGATAAATATAAGAGATTAACTATTAAAAAATGATTACAATTATTTATAATGTATATAAAATAACAATTCTGATTAAAAATAAATATTAGTTTTCATAATCAATAGAATATTCCTTAAAAGTAATATTAAAATTTGTCATACCACTTGGCTCTCCAATTATCAAGAGATTGATTGATTAGACTAATAATTATTAACATCTTTACCTCTATGTAAATACTGATATTTCTCCATCATTTGAGCAAGGTGGATTAAATCTAGATTCTAGATCATGGATAGCACTCTCCCCTTTACTAAAACATGGCAAAGTGTATCCATGTCCACTATACATCATTTTAACTAGTAACAATATTTGATCTTAGTGTTTCTAACAAGCAACAAATCCCTTGAAAAATAATTTCCTAAATAGATTGAATAATTCAGATTATGTTCCTCCCAAAACATCGATGTATTCAGATAATAATTTAAATGGAACATTTTTTTCGAATTCCAATCCTTTTCCAGGTGATATGCTGATAAAAAACCCAAAATCAATATGTAAGATCTTGCCAGATTTGTGTAACAAGATATTACCATTGTGTCTGTCCTTTATTTATAAGAAATAACAAATTAAACTATAAGCAGCTAAACTACAGCAAAAGTTTCTCTAAGCTTTATGTAAATTCGCTGCATAGTATTTTTAAAAGAATTGACTCAAAGTGATATCCTTATCAATAGAATTTAATTTCTTTTTGAGTGAATCTATAGTTGCCGCATCTTTAATCATCTCCATTATGCCTGAACTAGGCCCTAAGGATTGAATGTCATAAGTTGTCAACTTTAATGGTAGACTTTCTTTTTAGAATATCAATTAGAATTAATTGATTAATTGGAGTGCAAATTGTTCTTATTTTAAATTGTCACCTGTTTTAACTATTAAATGAACCAGTCTCCAAGATCTGAAATGACAATAAGGAGACTGCTATCTAATTCTTTCACTTATTTAATTGGAATCTTCACCAAAGATCTCCAATCCAATTTTCTCAAAATCCAATGTTGCATTGCTGGGTTTCTTCAAATCCTCTTTTTTACTTAGCTCTATTTCATAGCATTCAGCTACAATAAATATAAATTTATATACCGACACCTAAACTTTGAGTAGAAAACTAGGACATAGCTAAACTGGATTGGCTCTTAAAATCACTTAACATAGTGAGTTCAACGTTGAATTCAGAATTCTTTCTTTCTCTTTTATCCTCACTTTTGCCTTCCTCCTTCTCAACATTGTAGACTTCTACACAAATGTAAAAGGGAGCTCTTTCTTTAGTGGAGAAGATTTTGGTTTCTTGTACAACAATATTTAAAATTGTGTAATGCCTCAATTGATCTTGAAAATCTAAAAAATAATTATACCTTTCACAAAAGGAATGTACACATTAGCAGGCAATCTTGTGTTTATTAATGATAAATCAGCTCGCAATGATATTATTTTAGGATCGGCAAATTTTAATTTATCTGAAATTGATATGATATCATTCCAAAAATTGATACAAGACATAAAATCATAACTTTCCTACTATTCTAACGGTTTATATTTTGATAATTGAATATGTTCAGGCAATATTAAGCATTTCATAGAATGTTGATCAAATGAAGGTGTTCCATAAGTAGATATCATTTCTGCTATCTTATCATTTTACTCCTTCACTTCATTATTAGTCTCATGATTCAATACCATTCTTTTAATTAGATTTTATAAGTACGATCTTACTCTATTTTATTCATAAATATAGTTACTTTTAAAATTCTGTTACTTAGTTGTCAAAAACAATTGCGCTTATTGAAAAGAGTGTCCAATAGACAACCTACGCAAAGTAAAAATTGTGAATGCATGAAGTGAGTATAAACTAACTAATATTTTCCTAATTTAGTTATTATTCTTACATTCAACATTTCTTCATGAAACACCAAGTAATTCATCAACTATGGAATATAAAACTCTAAATCATTCCTTGAACTCTCCTCATTCGATATCAACTTGCATTAGTACAAATATTGATAGGCCCAAGATTTCTCATCCAAGGTATACAATAATATAAGAACATCTAAAACTTGGATTTCTTCTGGATTCTAAGTAGTTATGAGGAATCAATACTAATTAAATTGCATTCTGATATTTAGCCATTAATTTAACAGACAACTCCCTTCTATTTCTTGATGTTAAAATTGAAACATCATCAGCCTAAAATAGTAAAAATATAACATTAAATCATTTTATACTTTACAACAATTCATGCATCTTAGACACCATAGTTTAGAGCATAATCCATACTGTTTTTTTCTTTTTATTGTTATCTCCTCTCCAACCTCAGCCATCTGAATTAAATAATCTTATATATTTATTAAAATTATTTCTGTCTAACGATTCACAGGATGATACTAAAATTCGAATTTACTAAATGATGAGATTTAATCTGGAAAAACATTTAATAAGAAATCTAAACATTTAGAAATTGGATATAATCAAATACATAGAGAGCCATTCAGATTCTTGATGAAGTTATTAGTCAAAATGCTTGATATTAACAATCTTTCCTAAGATATGTGCATGTGTGAAAAATATAAAGAAGTTATTTTATTAGATTTTCCATTTATTCTTAAAACTAAATTAAAATAACAGCATAGAGTAAAGTGTTATTCCATATAATGTAGATAAATCATTAAAGTTAAGAGTGAATTATTAAATATTATTTATAAATCTTAATACATTAAAATTACTAAAATCTTATTGTTAGCAGTTCTTTGTAAACTTATTATTCTAAATTTAGAATTTATAAAATATAGTTTCCATTTTTATAAACTCACTCTTATTCAGACTATATGCATTAAATATCTATGGTAGATGACTGAAGAATAGTATAGAATAGGAATGATCACATAAAGCCCTTGTTTAAGATCTTCAAGTTGTTGTTAGAATTTAATTTAATTTGTTTGGTAATATTAAATTTATTATAAAATATCTTTAGATATCATTATCGTAAAAGTAAAGAGAATTTGAAAGACTCTGTTAAACCTTCTCAAGATCCTCCAGTTAATGCAGGGCTGGGTTGGCTTTGAAGTGGATACTGAAGAAATATGAAAACAAGGAATAGGATTTATAATTATTATATTAATATAATTATGCATTTAATCAGGATAATTAATTTATAATAATTAGAAATTTATAGATATAAAATATCTTTAAACATAAATAAAATATATGGAAGGAAGTCTTGGTATATGGATATTTACATATTTATTCAAATTGTTAATAATTTTAATAAACAATTCTAAAACCACAAGGATTTAATAAACAGTGATTCATGAATTTACACTAATTCTTGAAGCGATGAATCTAATTTAGAGCGCATATAATAAATTTCCAAGAATTGAAATCCATTCTAAAACATGTTGAGCGAAAACCCTATTATTCTCTATATGAAAAACCCAGATCCTATATTTTATGGGATGATGGATGATCTCGTGATTTAGACATTAAAAAAATAAAATGCAACAGTAATTGTAACTGAGTTGGAAGAATTAAGTTACATAATCGGAGAAGTATTCAATACACCAATAATAGGAATTTACATTTTTAAGAAATGGAGAACAAATATAATTTGATGCATTTTTAGGTTATGGGTATATGGCACCGAAACATTATTTGGATTATATGTATTTTAATTTTGCAGCATATACTGCAGGAAAGACTACATTGTATTCTCCATTTACAGAAAATATATTATAAAACAAACTCTTACAATATGCAAAGTTTAGTGAAGGCTAAGTGCCATTTCCTCGTTGTAGTGCTTCATTCTCTGTTTAATAATTTAAATTAAACTTATCTCAATTTGAAAGCAAGGCAATAATGAAGGAGGTTGTCGGATATGAAGGAACAGGAGTGAAATTATCGAATAATAAAATTTAAAGTACAGAGATCTTCTGTAAATCTCTTTGGAACGGAGAGCAGGCTATAATATAAGATTTTATGAGTGATTCAGTTGGTAGATCAATCAGAGTGTTAGTTATAGGTGGTAGAGCAGTCTCAGTAACAGAATTCTAGGATAATATTGTAACATACCTTAATTATCAAAGGATTTTAAATCTAATGGTTATAGCGATGATTTTAAAATAGAATCCAAGATGGATTGTTAAAAAAAGGAGGAGTACTTTAGATTGGCAGAAAAGACATGTTAAGCAATTGATCCAAATTTGACAATTGGAGGAGTTGATATCATAGATTCAAGAAAACATGGGTTGGTTGTTTTGGAAATCAATTAATGGCCAGAAATAACCTTTTCGGAGGATGTCACAGGATTGCCATTGTTTGATATTTTTGGCTAGGAATTTATAAGAAAAATAAAGCAGAATAATAGTGATAGAGTTTGACCTAAATGACTATATATGGTTATGTTGTGATATACAATCATTACTTCTCTGGTTTTTTTCTGAACCATTTCCGCATATTATAAGCATTTTCATCATCAGCATAATATTTCTCTTCTGTATCAAATGTTTCATAGCCCAATTTATCTCTATACAATCCTAAGGCTGCTCTATTCGACACTCTGACATGCAAGGAAACATAATGAGATTCAAATATCTTGTCCATATCTCTGTGAGTGCTTTACATGACTTTATTTGCCAACCCCAATTTTCTATGTGTCCTTAAGACTGACAGGGATGTTATATGTCCATGCTCTAACTTTGTACCCTCCTCATCTTCCTCATCTTATTTCGCCAATACGTACCCCACAATTCTACCACTATTCTAGTCAAAATCTATTGATGTTAATTACAATGTCTTCGGCAACATACAATAATGATTGCCAAACCATTCCGTGATACAAGTAATATTTGTATGTGTAATTTTCTGGCAAACACCATAAATTGCAGTGTTACATATGTTATAAATCTTGCATTTCAGCTCTTCTTATTGATACCATAATTTAATTAGAAATTATTATTATTCATGAGAAGACCATAAAGTGCATAAGTTACCAAAATCTTCATCAATCGACCCAAAGATGAAATTATAGAAACCAGACAGCAACTTAATTAATTAACTGATGAGCACAGGAAAATTAAAACTCAAAACATGCAACTCAAAGTAAAAACTAAATAAATCTTCTTAGAGATAACTTATGAGATACGAGCATATCGACGAGAACCTAATTAATTCCTAATAATTATTAGGACGTGCTTCTGAACAACCTAGCATCATCCCTACTCTAAAATATAAAATAAGAGTCTAATAAAATGAAATTGATGTTTTAAGATAACAATTATAGGCACAATAAAAACAAATGAGAGTCACATCAATCTAAGAATTATAATATCAAATCCAGCAATATCAAGAAGAAACTGTTAATCTTAAACAAATGCTTGATGAAGCATTGAACATTAAAAATGAAACCTAAAAGTCTCAATATATTGGCTATTTGTCTAAAATCCAAGAATTGAAATTGGAAATCAAATAATATAATCAGCTCTGCGAAAACCAATAAAGAGATATTAAACAATTGCAATCATAAATCAAATTGTAATCAGATCAATTATAATAATTAAATGCCGATAAAAAAAAATATGAAAATCAACAAAAAGAACCCTAAATATAAAAACAACAGCAAATGGAAAACTCCAACATATTCTCTAAATCAGTTGTAATCAAAGACCCAAAAAAAAGAGATGAAACTCCTGAATAATACTCTGGAAATGAAAACACTCTATTATCCTAATTACAAGAAAAAGAGAGAAAAATCCGAGATCTTGAAGAGAACCTAACTAGTCTCAATAAAACTCACAATGCAAAAATTAATCAATAATTACAGTACATTGAATAATAGAATGCCCAATTAGGAATGAAATAGAATATCATCTAAAATTTAGAATAAGAAGTCAATAAATTGGAACTCCAAATTAAAGACATCAGACTTAAGACCTAATAAATGCTGTAAAACAAGGTTTGTGAGGAAAAAGGCACCTAAATTCCACATAAATCCAAATGGACTACCGAAGAAATTAAGGCCACCCTAAGATTTAGATTAAAGAGATCCATGATTGAATAGAAAGACGTATCGGAATTCTTACTAAAAAAAGGGGATTAAAGATTCTTCTCCATTTAATCACGATTCTAAAAGTACCTTGATTTTTCTATCTAGATTCCCATTCAATTTGAATGCCGAACAATCTTACCACATTACTATGTTTCTGTTAACTGAGGAATCCCCATTTGGTTAGAGTACCTTGGAAAAAGACCTACCACAATCAGTACTCAAATCCAGGATATCTCACCTATTACCTTAATATGAATTAATGACTATTGAAGAAGAAGGATAGTTATTTTCATGCATCTCAAGAAAGCTTGTCAATAAGTTGAATCTATTACAAGATTCTGTCAAATAGATTAAAAAAATTGAAAAGTAAATTTTGATTATTAATAAAATAGATCCAATATTAAAGATGGGTTTTGTCTACCAAAATAATTATTAGAAGCATTTACTTATATTTTAGATAACTCCCTCTCTGAAAAGGAAGTTGAATACTTATATTAACTAAATTTTGAAATCACTAAATCCCCTATTCTGATTAATATTTCAAGAATTGTCCAACTATTCTAAATGAAGCCAAAATCTGGAATTAGCAAAATCTGTAAGATTATTCTTTATATATTTTAAAGAGAAAGAATTATCGTTGTTTCCATCTACTTTGTTATTTTCCTACAATAAAGAAGCGATAGTGAAACCAAAAAGTAAAAGTCATTATTATCTAAGGACCATCGATGCTACTTAATTAGAATGTCTCGCCTAAACAAAGTGTATAAGGGTAGCAAAGGATATTAAAATTAAATCAAGCCTTTTCAGCGGTTGAAGTAATACCAGTAATTAAGAAGAAACCTATTTTCTCAATTTAATAAATCCTGTCTATTTAACTTGGTAAATAAAAAATTTATAAAATAAATTCAACTTAAACTGAAGAAGTAGAACTTGGAATTGATAAAAAAATGAAGAGTTTAGGAATAGAGAAGATTTTTGAGTTAAATTGGATACACAAGCTCTAAAAGGCTGATGTTGGTATTAGTTGTAGAAAGGAAGAATTGGTTATTATAAAATAGATAGATATTTCATATCATTTTAAAAAAGAATAAAGTAAATAAGAAATTCAACCTAATATTGAAAAAGAAATTCATAATCAAATTTTTTAAGAAGAAAAAGTCGATAATAAACAAGGGGAGAAAGAAGTTACAGAAACTAAATAATAATTAAATTAAGACTAAGAAGAAATTATCAATTAAAAAAAATAAGATATTCAAAATGAAGAAACTGTCAAATCAGAAGAAAAATAAGATTAGAATCATTAATCAGAATAATTAAAATAATAAGAATTATAAGAACAATAAAATTAATAATAATTATTAAAGGAGCAACAAGAATAGTAAGAATTAAAATTATAATAGTAATAGGAATAACAATAAAAATAATAATTATTATAAGAACAATAATAACAACAATAGCATTAATAATAACAATAGCAATATTAATAATAATAATAACAACAACAATAGCAATAATAATAACAACAATAATAATAATAATAACAACAACAATAGCAATAATAATAATAAAAAGAATAGGAATAATAATAATAACAACAATAGCAATAATAATAATAACAACAATAGCAATAATAATAATAACAACAATAGCAATAATAATAATAACAACAATAGCAATAATAATACGAACAATAGCAATAATAATAATAATAATAGCAATAATAATAATATTAACAATAGCAATAACAATAACAATAACAATAATAAGAATTAAATTAAAAAGAAGAAGAAAAATAGGAATAACAATTAAGTTCTAGTGATTTTACTGAAAATTAAATTATTGGAAATATGGTAACTTTTTATTTGGATTAATTTATTCATAATTTAGAAGAAGTCAAGAATTAGTAATAATGATTTTGAGTAATTCGTTTATATGAGTTATATACATAGATTTTTTATTATAAATATTATTATCTAAAGTCTAAATTATACTTCAATATTTTATTCAAAGTTTGTAAAGTGATTAAAAATTATAGAATTCTTAAATGATTTCAATATAATTACTTTATTTTTAATATAATGAGTTTTAGAATATCAATCTCTCCTCAAAGAAAACGTAGTTGCACTGGAATGCCATTATCTGCTCGACCCATAAAGCCATCTCTAAACCCCTCCCTTAGCAATATTGTGGAGGAAATTAAGAACTTGATGTAAAATTCTCATCTAACCAAGGAAACAACTCAATCCTTAGTTGTAGAACTTACTAAATTCATTAATCAAAATAGCTCTCGATTTGGAAAAATAAAATGCTAAATACTATAATTATCTTCAATCATCCAAAACTTCGAATAATCAAAATGATGGGGATTATATTTAAAAAGAACCATCTTCTCATCAGAGTAGAAATAAATCTAAAGAGGCTAGTCCAACAAAGAAGGAATCGTCTATTAAAAATATAGAAATGACATCCAGCAGTAGATTGGATCCAACTCCTAGATAAAAACTTTTAATCAGAAGAGGTTCTCTAGATGTGGAATAATAAGTGAATAAAGTAAGAGTTATATTGATATATTCGAAGGACCAATTAAGAAAAATAGGTTAAGAAGCCATAGATTAAAACGTTATATTTAACTTACTAGATTTAAAACCATCGAAATTAAAATCTATGACGTAAAAAAAATTAAATTAAATCTTTACACTCAGCGAAAAAGATTTATATTAATATATATAGAAGATTGAATATTAAGGTATGTATGATGTTGTTCAAAATGATAGAGTATATGCAGAATCTATATGAGCCATTAAAGTTCGCCAAGGATTTATCAGAGAAGTGCATGTCATATATTGAAAAATTAAAGAAGATTTTAAAATTAGGATTCGAAATAGCAAACTCTACTCCATCTTAAACATTTGATAGCTACTAGAAACTGATATTGGAATTGTTTGATTGTGATAGAGCTTAAGTTTATTTATACGATTCGAAATTCCATTTCTTTTGGAGCAAAAGCTAAGATTGTTAATAAAAGACTTATTATCCCTTTAAAGGAATATTGGGATTTGTGACTAAGCAAGGACAAATGTTAAACATAAATGATGTTTATTAAGATGTAAGATTTGACTAAGAATATGATTAAAAATAACAGAATAAGACAAAATCAATGCTTGCTTGTCCTATATACGAGAAGGAAGAAATAATTGGTGTTATTATAATTTCATCCTCTTCTCAGTCATTTAGAAAAGATGATGAACTTTTGATTTAATTGATTACACAAATGGCTGCTACACACTTCTATTAATATATCTATTAAGAGTATAATTCTAAAACTTGTGAAGCTTTATAATAGATCTTAAAAATTTCCTTAGTTTTGTAGCAATCTGTTGATTAAAAATAATTCGTAATTTTAGCTCAATAAATCCTATCCAAAACATATGATTTAAAATAAGTATAGATTTATTTTAAAGATATGTAAGATTAGGAAAGTCTTTTCACTTTTATTGAACAACAAAGAAAAAAAGTACCTAAGGCATGTGGGATTATTGGCTATGTTTATAAAACAGGATAATTCTATGTTTCTGATTCTTGTTATAGAGATAAATAGTTTAACAAATTAGCTGATATTGAAACTAACCTACCTACCATAACCATACCTATTAGGAATGAGGATAAATGCATGGGTGTCATTCAATATATTGACACTAAAGGCATAGATAATATTGTTGGCAAACAAATAAGAAACCAGTAATTGTCAAATTTAGATTTGATTCAGACCTTTGCTGTAATGCTCAATTTTGTAAATAGTAAATTGATTATATAAAAAAATTGATTTGCACCACATTAACATTTTTATTAAATCTAACTAATTTGTTATAATATTTACCTTAAATTAAAATTAAATGAACAATCCATTTCAAAATCCAATAGGCAATCCAAATGATCCAAATAATCAATTACTCTTGATGTCTCTTGCTCAAGTAGATTCACAAAATATGTTCTTCTTTTTAATGCAAAATCCAGATTTCGTTGAAAAATAAGATGAAGTATTTGATTGATAAATAATTTAGAATTAATTCAAAAAGACAGCAATAGGCTTTGTTAGAAATACATTAGGGATATTTTTTTTGGGAACAGTCCTTAATTTGTAAATGAAAAGAATCCCTAAAGTAAAGATGTAATAATATTCCAAAGTTTTTGAATTGGCCGATTTACGTTAAAATTCCTTTAAGGATCCCTGTATTTTTCAGCCCATTTTTCTTATTTTAATAATCTCTAACAAATTAATTAGACAATTTAACATAATTGCATCATAAATATTACACAAGAATATTGAGAGTAAAGAAAACTGGTGATCTAAGATACTTTGATCCACAAGGTGTATTATAAAAATAATTTGAACAAAAAATGAGAGAATTAATGAAATGATAATTTATGTATCAATTGTTTTGCCTTTATTTTTTATCTATTTATATACTCAATAATTTGATTTTTTTTATGAAAAAAGGGCGTAAACCATTAGATGAATAGATCAAAATCTAAAGAAAACTCGAGCAATTATGGAAAGGAAACTTTTTAAATTTAAACTTATTAGAAGAAATTTAACTTTTAAATATCAATCTCCCACAATCAAAACAAATTTTTACTAAAGATATCGTATTGCAATATAAAAAACAAAAAAACTACAGATATGTCAAAATTGTCACATCAAATCTTTTGATTGATTGTAGATCCACAAGACTGAGAGAAACATAAGCCCAGAAAGAAAATGAAGTGTTGCAATTATAAGTTGATGAAAACCTATAACAATAAGTATAAGAACCCAATGTTGAGATTAGACCATAAGTCTAAAATATTTAACTTCCTCCTGAAAATAATTTTATTGAACAAACAGAAGAACCTTCTATTGTGGAAATTCTACCCGATTAAAAATTAAAATCAAAATCTAAAGACAATATTCTCAAGCCCTCGAAATTAAATATTCAATCAAATAACTAGAGTGTAATCGAAGTACAACCCAATCCTGTTACAGTAATTAAAAAAGAAATATTAATTATTGAGGATTAAAATTAAATTTCGAATTCACTTTTGGAAAGCCCTTAATCAAAAACTTAGAATCCTAAACAATAAGACAAGATACCTAAATATTTATTATTTGAGCCAAGTTCTCCGAATTCACCTTCTTTGAGTTTTAGCAACTCCCTCTCATAAAGTTTTGTCAACCACTTAATGGATGAATCCTTTTTTGGGGCTGAATAACTTAAACTGAGTGAAAGCCTGTTTGGAAATACCCCAAGAATCAAATAGGATCCTAACCCTAATCAGTACGATTAAACATTCGCTATGCTTAAGGCAAAAATAAATGAAATCTAAGAATCTTAGTTTGAACAATTATTAATAGCATATAACCATAATTTTTTGCATTTACAAAAAATCATTTTAAATGATATTAATCAAGTTAAATTATTAATATCAAAATATCAAAAGAAAAAGCCTAGGATTATATGATTTAAATATATTAAATTTATTAACTTTTATAAATGATATTTATGCTGTTATTTGAGCCTTTAATAATATTACTTAGTGTCTTCATTAATGATATCAATTTTGATTAAAGTGTTTTAATAGAAATTCAATTATGAATACTTCAAATTTATGTTATCTTGAAAATTTAGTTACATTATTATTAATCTATTTACATGATTAATAAATGAATCAATAATCTAAAACTCCCTTTTGTTTGTAATAGATTTAGAGCTTATATAGAATGAATTGATTTAATAATACTTATAATTTTTATACAAATTTCGTCATCTTATTTATTTATTATATTAATTCAAGATGGGTAATAAATTTATGAGTGTTCCAAGTCGTACATTCAATATGAAGGATGGTTTGCAATTTACGATTGAGACAAAGAAATTATAAGGCGAAAAAAATTTTCCAAAACCTCCAACATCAAAAGATGACATTGAGAAATAATTTAATGAATGGCTTAATCAAGTATCAATTTTATGATTGTAGATTTGCTTGGAGTAAAAAGAATTAGAGCAAATAAAACAGCTTGAACAAAAATATAAGTTTAGAATATGCTAATTATACAATAACTTTATGTTGACAATAAAGAAGAATCAATTAAATGAGGAAACTAAAATCAAAAAAATCCTGGAAGACACTAAGCAAATAATAATTAAATATGTTCAGGATAATTCTGATCTTCATCTCAATTGTACAATAATTAGTATATATTTCAGCCTTACTAAATAACATAAAGGATTAATAATAGCAATAGTATATCAATGAAAAGCTGTAATTAATTAAATAGTATCTTTTTGTGCAGATATTATTGTTGAAATTGAAACAGTTAGAGGAATAATCAAGAATATAGAAAAATTTTAGGGAATAAACTACCATCTTAGAATTTTTTGAATTCCTGCTTTAATTTAAGATTGGGAGAGAGTGCTTAATGGTAGATGGTTTCTTTGGAGTGTTGTTTAGTAATTTTCATCCAATCGAAACGAAAATTACAGGAATTACCCTGAAGATATTGTCTGGGAGCAAAGGATTAAGTTGGTAACCTGGATGTGTCTAACAAATTTTAGAAGCTATGCATAAGTTTTAGAAAATGTACTAACTTCAAAACAGGTTCAATTTAAAATTTAAAATTTAGATTCGATATCTTAGTTAGAACCATTTATGCCTCTAAGAATTTACTTATGGTATTTTTAATTGTTAAATTCTTATTCAAATTTCTGTATTCCTTGGACAATGAAATAGTTGATGAAGTTGTTAAAGAATTTTTTGATTGCAGAGTTAACGACAAAAAAGTAAATGAAATATTTCGTTTGGTCCAAGGCAGAATATAAAAGAAATTATATTAAAAAGAAGATTGCACATATGAATCTGTGAGAAAAGAGCTAAAAAAGTTTTAGCATCCCTTGGCATCAGATGGAAATGAGTAACTACTAACGAATAGATTTAAATTATAAGACATGAATATCCCTGAAAAAATCAATATATAGGAAGTAGTATCCGAAAATATTTAAAATGAATCTTTGAATTAGGACTTTAAAAATGATCAATACTATTATTTTGAGTATGGTTAAGATTCAATCTTCTAAGGAATTTAACGAAATGTCTTAGAGTGGATAAATGCTATTCTTAACATTTTCTCCTTGTTAGATAATAATTAAGATTCATTTCTGAAAGCTGCTAGTGAGATTTAGGTTACTGATTTTTATTATGATAATAATTCAACCTAATTATCAGATCCCTTTATAGAATTAACACCTAATGATAGAGAGTCTAGCTTTGATTCACCTACTAAACTTATCAAATAAATTGATTCTTCAAAGCATTCAGAAAATTAACTCACTTCATAGTAAGATGAGCTAACTGCAGAATTAGAAGACTATAAAAAGTAGCTTCAAAGTGAAAAAGAGCTCTGTTCGAAAAAAGAACTAGAATTAAAGGCTCTTCTAGATGAAAATGCTATTTTCAAAGCTCAAAATGAGGAACTTAAAAAATCTTTAGATAAATCTAAAGAAATGGTAACAGAATTATAAAAAAAGATAGCAAATCTTGAATAAAAGTAAATCTTCAATCAAAATAATGATATTAAAAATTAATCAAACTTTCATCAAAAAACAGACGAACAATAGATTTCATAGGCTTAAGTTTTGGTGGCATTCAATTTCAAAAAATCAGTTTAAAATACCTTTGTATAAACTGAAAACTAGCCTTAAGAGTTAGAGAAAAGCAATTAAAATTAGAATTAAATTGATCAAGCTTCTCCTATTTAAAATTAAACTTCTCCCCAATAAGTTCAAAATTAAGCAACCGCTTTATTACCTCCTCCACCGCCTCCCCCACCTCTACCTAATACTTAAGTTCCACCTCCACCTCCTCCTCCTCCCCCACCACCTCCTCCATCAAAGAATGGAGCTCCTCCTCCTCCTCCACCACCACCTCCATCAAGAAACGGAGCTCCTCCTCCTCCACCGCCCCCACCACCTCCATCAAAAACTGGAGCTCCTCCTCCACCACCACCTCCTAGAATAGGTGGAGCTCCTCCTCCGCCACCTCCTTTAGGAAATAATTAATAATAAATCTCAAATTAAATTGTTTAATAACTTCCATCAGTACCTATTCGTAATTTGAATTGGATAGTAATAAATACATAGACTTAAAATAATTCTATTTTTCAATAAATATCAAATAGTGTTGAAGAAATTAATATAGATTTTTTATTATTGGAAAAGAACTTTAACAAAGTCTAACCAAAAGATCAAAATATGAAATAATCTGCTGCTTAATCAAATGTTGCCAAAATTACTCTTTTGTCATCTGAAAGATCTAAGAATATTGAATTGGTTCTAGGAAAATTAAAGCTCCCAAATACTCTAATAATAAAGATATTAAAATCATTTGATGTATAAATATTAACACCTGCCATTATTGAAAGCCTAGATGGGATATGTCCAACTGAGGAAGAAGTAAAGTGTTTAGCTGAATATACTGGTGAAAAAGATCAATTAGGCAATTCGGAATTATTTGTCGATGCACTAAGAACAGTTAATGGATTTCAACATAGATTAAAGGCAATCAAATTTAAAATTGGTTTTTAAGAGTAGGTTGTAGATTTGAAGAAAAAGATTGCCATTCTTGATCAGAGTTTCTTAAGAGTCAGAGAAATGCCAGAGATTGAAACCCTTTTTAAGATAGTATTAAAAATTGGTAATTTTTTAAATGGTAAATATTTTTCATAAAAATAGCATCTACAAGCAAAGGTAATGCGCAAGGCTTTAGAATAGATACAATAGAAAAATGTGCAGATATGAAAACAAGTGATGCATAAGAGAATTTACTTTATTATGTGATAGATTTATCAGAAAGTATACTGAAGAAGGAGATAATAGATGAATAAAGTAATAAATTAATAATATAAAGCACAGTTATCTAGAGTTTGGAACCAATTGAAAAGTTATCAATATCACAATTATAAGTGGATTTGTCAGATTTTAAAAAAGGGTTAAATGTTGTAACAAAAGCAATAGAATATTAAACAGAAGACTAAGAGGATTAAGTTAGAACATTTCTATAGCCAGTATAGGAAGAAATTAAAACAAATATCATTATTATAGAATAATAATTAACGTAATTGGAGGATAATTACAAAAAAAGTGCTGCTTACTTTTGTGAGAATTAAAAAGATTCATCTGAAAAGTTTGGAGAAAAAATACTTAAGATGCTTAGATGCTTATTGAAAAATAAAAAGGAAAAGGTTCAAAAGGAGGAAAGAAAAAAAAAGTAATCAGAATTGCTTTTAAAATAACAATCAAAAATAATGGCATAATCTAGTTCAAAAGCAAAACCTTAACAGCTGTCAGCCCAATCTGTAACACTTGCATCTGCAGGAAATTCTAATTAAAGCACTCCAAATGTGAGTGCTTTTAAAGTGGTGAATCAAAATGAAATATAAGCTAAATAATTTGGAATTTGCAAAGAAATCTAGGAATTAAGATAAATGAGGCAAACTAAACTCACTAATTCGATGATTTAAAATGAAGCTGAAAAAACACCAAGTAAATAGGAATGAAAAATAATCATTTTTAAACTATTTTATAATTAAACATCAATTATAATTCATAATGTAAATTACCTATTTATAAAGAGCTTATTGAGGAAGTTATATATCAAATTTTTAATTTTAGACTAAAATATCTACTTTTAGCGTCATTTTTTATAATAGTTCTTAACAGATATTAATTCTTAAAATTTAGGAATTAGAAATGGAACTCTAAATAGTTTTAATTAATGATAATTTTCATTTTATTTTAATTTTAAAATTAAGGTAACAAATTCATCGAAGATGGTATTGAATAACTTTCTTGGAAGATTATAAACTCTAGAATAATAAAATATTTAGCATGTTTCAATTGGATACATGCTAGCTGCATGTTTTTTTCATAGTTTATAATTTACAGTCTATAAATATGCTCACTTCACTATTGTAACTCAAGCATTATTTTGTCGTGCCTTTTTAACTTTAGTGCTACTTTTCTTTGGATAATATAAGTAAGATTTTTATCCTAAAGATAAAGTCCATATATTATTTTTTTCATAACTCTTAGTAGCTATTGGAGCTTCTTTTTTATTTTATGGAATCTTATATATTACTACTTCGGAAGCTGCAGTAATAAATTCCACTACGGCTATTTGGAGTTAAATTATAAGTTTAATTGTCAATAAAGAACCATTAACCAAAAGCAGAATGATCAACACACTTATTTGTATAATTGGAATAGTGTTGATAGTGAACCCTAAAATATCTCAAGACAACGATATGAAAAGAATAATGGGTTGCTTAAGTGTATTGGTCTGTAGTATTATCTAAGCAGCAGGGTTCAGCAGATTAAAGTAAATTGGTAAGGATGTAAGACCAACAATAACAACATTTTATTTTCATATCGCAACTATCTTTGTTATGAGTGTTTAACATCAATACGTAGCTGTATTTGAGTACTTTGACTACTATTTTTTATACATTCTGGGCTATGCATTGTTTAGTTTATCTGGACATTTATTATAGTTTAGAGCTTAAACAATAGTATCATATGAAAAAATATGTAATTATCAATTTTCTGCAATGATTTATTAGATATTTATGGATTATTTTATTTTTGGGAAGATTTTGTCAATATAGGGGTTTCTTGGAGGAGGTTTGATTGTGTTTGGAATTTTTAAATAGGTTCAAGAGGATAGAAAAATAAGATGATTTTTTATTTATTTAACAACAAATAATTAATAGATTAAACACATATATATATTTAATTAAATTTCAAACTTCATTAATCAGATTTTCATTATATTTATATAATATAGGTTTCATTGAGTTTTTTTATTTGTTTTAAAATATAGGAATGCATCTTTTCTAATCCAATTGTTTAACTCATTTCTAAATATAGTATAAATAGTCTTAATTCATTTTGCTGGAAATTAATTAAATTGTTGAAAATTTTTAAACTATCCTTCAAAGGGTAACAATGATACTTAATCATCATTAAAATGAAGTTTGCATCGTATTATTTAAGACATTAATAATTTAGCATTAAATGTTTAGGAATTTTGAATTATTTTAAGTTATTTGGGCATTTTTCTTCTAGTAATTAGATCATAATTGCTGTGCCTTATCCATCATTGAATTTATAAGACTATTCAAGGATTTAATTTATCATTTCTGAATCTATTTACATTATAAAATCGAAAAGTCTAGTTTGATAGATTAATTCATTTATAATTATCTCCATATCCAAAACATCTACAGAACTCTAAATTACTAAATATAAAAAGTAAGCTTGAGGCCTCGTGATCTAAACTTTAATCATATTAAATAATTTACATTATTGTTTTCATTTGAAATAAGAACTTATAGTAAGGCAGTATTTAATTAAAATTTATTGCTTTGAAAAAACCATTTAAATAAATGAGAAGCATCTTCTTCAGTTTTAATGGATTCTAACACGTTCTATCTAAAGCGCCTATCAAGTCTTCCTTCCCCTCTTAAGTTTTGCAATTTTTAAGTGTATAATGCTCTTATTCTAGGGCTGAAGTACTGGCAATTACATAAGGTGAATAATAGAGGCATGGAGCTCATTTTATAAAATTAACTAGCTATAAATTCAGGAAGTTGTAATTATGGATATTCATCAAACAAAATAACAATATTAAGGATAGATGTCTTAGATAATTAAACATCATCATAATTAACTATTTGATTAGAGGAGAAATTTGGATTGTTTAGTTGTCTTAAAAATTTTGAAATATCCATTTCACAAATGAAATGAAGATACACAAGATTTTTAATGTTTAAATTAATATTCTAAAAACTTAGATTTTCAAGAATAATTTTCAAGTATTCTGCAAAAGGTACGCACTTAGTCTTTTTTTCCAAATAGTATAAGGACATTTAGTAAATATTAGTTATATTAAAATTTTCTTTAAGTAAATTTAAGCAAACAGATTCGAGTTTGAGAATATCGTTTTTGTCTATATAATCAGCAAATATCACATTCTATAAATATTAAATTAAGAACTCAAAATTAAGATTATTTTATTTATCTTCATATTTTTATAACATTTATTGAATTTATTCGTGTATGAGAAGCAATAAGGGTTTGGATTCATCAGAACCTTAATATTTACAATATTATAGGATAGCAATAATAGATTATGATTCTAAATACTTCACATTTTGTTTTGTAGCTTCTAATTTTTCATCAATTTATTCCAGGTACTATTTTTCTGTAATGTGATATTTTAGTCTCATATTTATGAAGCACTTAGTCATGAATGCATATTAATCAACGTCGAAACTTTTGCCCACATTTTTTGAATAGTTCAAGACTTATAATATACAATAGAGGTCTACTTTTTTCTTTAATATGAACTTCTTATTTATAGAAGCGAGAAATTGCATTAGTTACACGACTGTGATTTCGTTGGTTGAAAACACATAATCAATGAAAAGTTTACTTAAAGGTTCCTCATATGGGAAAATCATGTCAACGCATTCATAGATCATGTTCAATTATCTTGGCAGGAATTGATTTTCCTCAATGTAGTTTTTAGTAATGGATTGCAGTTGTTTAGTATCAACAGAATTTAAGAATCCTACGCTAGCATTGTCATAATAGAGTTTCTTATACCAATATATGAAGTCCCCGAGATCTAGATTGTTTAAGGTGGATATATATTGGTTGAATTGTCTTATTAGATTTTAATAGGATTCATTAAAATAATGATCATAAACAGGCAAATTATACATTCCCTGCATTTTAGCAGTGATTTTTAAACTCTGCAATAAATGGCGTTCAGTAAATTAGCATTTGTACCTGTTGTAGATATCAATGAGTTTAATTGGATCTAATTATGTACATATCAAAGTGGTCAACTCATCAGGTTATAAATCATCACGAGTTAAATCGAGTTTTGAACTACAAATTTAGATTTCTTAGGATGTGTTATAAGACTTTGATACCCAATAACAAGGAAGCTATGTGAATGATTTTGATAAAAATTTATTCATTAATTAAATTAATTCAACCATCATTCGAAGCATAAAAGAATCTCGATCTCTTAGTCTTAACCTTTCCTTAATTGTTTATATCAAAGGCACCTGATTATGATCGTTAATGCTTTCTTTTTTAAATAGGATCTGGGCTATTTTATTCAGAATCTATATGCATATTATTGAAATTTTGTTTGATTACATCCATAGAATTCACCGAACTTGTTGAACCATTAATGGATGATTAAGCAGATACACAAACCAATTTTTAAACTTTGGGTTCTTTATTTGAAGATGATCCACTGTTTTCTTCTTCCTTGATCTAATCGGAAATCAGTTTTTCAGAACGTTAAGAACTAAGTGTTCCTATTGAATTGGTAGGTGTATTTTGTTAAGATGAATATAGATTGAATTTAAATTGTTGCTATTATTATTATATAAATTATTAAGGAATGTATTGGCCTTAATAAAAGTTAGGGATCATCTATTATTGTTGTTGTTATTGTTATTGAATTAATTGTTATTGCATGAGCTATTACGAAATTAAAGATTGATGTGGTGGTATCTAAATATTCATTCCCTATAATTGTTATTTACTAGCAAGATAGGATTGGTTACAATTATGGTTGCATTGTAGGAATCGTCTAAATCTATTGGATCTAAGGGATTTGTGCAAATTGTTAGAAGTAATATTGTTGTGGAGGCATCATAAAAGGATATTAGGGTATCTAAGGGAATGATTATTCGTTGTTAAAGTGTTATTGTTCTTATTGATTGCTGTTGCTAGAGTTTTAGGTATTTTCCACTGGTTTTAATCTACTCAGAATCGAATGAATCAAGAATTCAGTCATTTTATCTAATCCGTGTTTCATAGGATCATCCTAATTATCCTAAAGCAAATCTTATGGAATTTGAACTATTTTCTTTTCCTTGTTGATTAGACTTTTGAATCTATTCTTAACTTAGTTCTCAGTCCTATTTTTTAACTTTTTCGATATGTTAGACCATCTCAAACCCTCCACCAATGTAATTTATAGTAAATTATAATCGTCAAACTCAGTCCAAATACCTCTTAAATGATAAATGAACAACCTTACCTATTTACTTAGGGATTCAGATAATTATTCCACCTCTCTCTGTATTATTTTGCCTTTCTAAAATAGATTCCTTGCGATTAAATAAACATTTCATATTACACTTCAAACCACTTGATGTTTGGTTCTTTTGTCATTATTTTATAAAGCAACTTATCTTCCTCAGGTAACCAATTCTTATTTGTAGGAACAACTCTCAAGTGAGAAAACCATTTAAATTAGCAATTTAAGGAGTCTTTGAATGCTATTATTTCAGATATATTATTCCAATCCTATCCTTACTAAAGTAAACTTATATAGATTTACAAATTCATCGCTGCCTTTGGAATGCAATTAGCTATACTATAGTGTTACCCATAATAATATTTTCCATTCTTCATCGGTCCAATTTCTAGAGCTATGCATTTTTAAGAACTCCCTATTTTTGGAAATACACTAATTACTATGATTGACAATATTCGTAAAAGTGGAGTACTTCATTAACAGATATAGAAGTTTATTGGATTCTCAATTCAAGTGTATTCTGTAACTTTGATAAATCCACCGAATTCTTGTCCTCTGTAAAATTCTAAATGAATTGCTGCAATTTTGGCAAGTGTAATTCGAGGGTGGTATTCATTAATATTAAATTAATTTATAAAATGCTCTTATAATTTAACTTCCTAAATACTAGCCTAAATTTAAGTTGCATTCAATTAAAATATAGACAATTAAAATGAAATAATACTTTTCATCTATATGATTGAGTCAGCTTCAACTTCTAAATATTGATATATCCATAGAAATTGAAGCTCAACTCCAAAGAAAGATTTTCAACAGCATTCCCTCATTCGCACATTTGTGACAAAATCATGGCCCCACTAAGTCTGAGTAGAATGCTGATGAGATGTTAAATAATAAATTATTATATATTATATTTTTGAAAGCATTTATATGGCCTAGAACATTATAGTGGGAGCTATCAAAATAAAGGATGGTTTATTCATAGGAGATGAGTACGCATCACAAGTAACACATTCGATATAAGGAAGGATCGAGAATTCATTGTTAATAACAAAGTAACTCATATCATCAATTGTTCTGGTACGGAAGTGCAAAACAAGTGGAACATGATGAATATCAAATACCTGACATTCAATTGGCTCGAATAAGACAATGAAGTAAAACATTCCCATAAAAAGGTCTTATTTGATGACAAAAATGAAAATGTAAATAAAATTTATGCATTCATCGAAGAGTGCTTCCAACAAGGCGAAAGTTGTCTGGTTCATTCACTCAGAGGCTAAAGTAGAGCATGTTGCGTATTGGCTGCCTACTTTATGAAAAAGTTCATTAATTTTATTTACATTATAAAGGTATTCATGGACACTCTACAAAACACTTGAATATCTCAATTCTCGGAGACCAGATCTAGAAATTAGGGCATCCTTCTTTTATTAACTAAATGCTTTAGAATCCAAAATGAATAAGTCAGGACCTAAGAGAACTGCTTCTTGGAATGAATTAACTTAGGATGAACAGAATCCGCAATAGCTCTAAGAAGAATTGATTATAAGAAACACATTTCTCAATTCATAAAATGGACCTGTAGATGACATCTACACCAATTTACAATCTAAATTAGTAATTCTCTTGAATATCTCTCATAGTAAGTATTAGCTAAAGCTTGTAATCAGAAACTAAGATGGAAAGATTAATTGAACAAAGACAACTTTTAATTAGCCACCTTAGTCTATTCTGGATCTCCAGATTTTGTACCTACTACTGAGATTAAACTGAAAGAAGATTCTGATCATCAATCTATTTTAAGAGTAAGTTAATTATAATCATTAGGGAGTATAAAAAACTTCATTAAATTAACTTGCAAAATAACAGAATCTCTAAAAACCCTCTAATTAAAATAAGCTCCATGTGAAATAACTTTAACAAGAGGATTGTGAGTCGTTTAAATAAAATGCTTAAATGAGTAATAATTAGTCTTTTTAAAATTTATTAATGCATTGTGCATAGAGATAAAAGCAAAACTTATAATAGGAAAAAAAGACTTCACCAATATCTTAAGAGTAATAAATTAATAGTCCTTAATTCCTTAATTAACAGAATGGTGTAAGAAGCACATCTTTGTAATAAAATGAAGAAAAAAAGAATTAAATTGATGTCACCAATAATAGACCAAGTTCTGTCAAATAAAAAGATACTTCTCCATCCATCTTAACTAATTTCTAAGAGTTCAAAAATTAAGTTTAATAATCATTACATTATTTTAATAAACAATCTGAAGCTATTTTAAATATGGATAAACATTTGATGAACGTTATTTAATAATAATAATTATAGACCTAATAATAATCATAATAACCTATTTAAAATCTTAATCAATAAAATGACTCCAAATTGTAAATTCCTCAAGGAAATTAATCAGTGTTAGCATCATAACAAAAATCTAAATTAGATCAATTAATTAGTCCAACATTGATTTCTACTATGAGTTCAGCTAAACATTTTGAAATTTAAAAAACATTAACATAATCAATATCATAATTATAATCGAGTTACTAAAAATTTCAATAACTATAAATGAAAAATTAAATGATGAAGCAATCACAATCCACCTCACAAATTTAATAATAAAATAACAACAAAAATTAACCAGACCTAAGTTCTACGAACATAACAAATATATCCAAAATTTATGACAGAAGCACTCATGTTAAAAAAGGGGAAGAATTGGATAGTAAAAATAGACAAAATAGTGCCGAGATCAAGGATCAATTAAAAAACAACAGTACTTAAAAGAAAGACAGTTTATCTCCATTTCAAAAAGATCCAATTAAGAAAATGCATTAATATGGACCTCCTTTGCCTTAATCAAACTCCTAAATTTACCTTAGAAATGTGCAATGTCGAAGATAAGCTGCGTCCACATTAAGGAATCAGTAAAAGCCAAATAATTCTTTTTAAGACAAATATCTAAATCAAAGTGCCAATCAAGTGTAGAATAATAGTAGTTTTAATAACAACAATAGTAATTCAAATATAGAAGCTGATTCAAAAATGCAGTAAAAGGCAATGCATGGATTGGTTTCTGATGTAAACCATCTCAAAAAATTGATATCACCATAATGTCTGACAAAAAGTTAAGCCTAATTTTTAAAAAATCAACCAATAAAGGTTTTATAGGAATTGACAGATAAAACTTAGAGCATTAAACATATGTATTTTTTATTGATTTGCACTTATTAGCAAAGGGAAAGATAGTATTTAAACTGCAGGCATCACTTTAATGCAAAAGGTGTAAACAGGAAATGCAAAAACATTGTCACCAGCAATTAAAAGTAATTATTATTTAGTATGAATTTTATTAAGATGATGAAAAATTCAAAAATAGTCATGTTGGCAATCCCTAGCACCTGAGACAGAAGATTAGAAATTCATCACCTGGTTAGAATTTAAATGATTTTAGGTTTAAGCAAAGAGCAAGAGAGTTCAAGTTCCTTTTCTTATCAAAACACAAATACTACTTTGCCAGGTAAGAATAGTTGGAAAATGCTGTGAAACAATTAATTCAATTTTGTTTTTTTGTTAATTTCATATTAATATGAATTCTAAGTAAGTATGATCTAAAGTTTCTCATAATTTAATTATTATTATTATAATATTAATATTATATTACACCTTGTTAAGAACTTTGAATGGAACAAATTGTGGAAATCTTGAATACTGAACGAACGTTTGAGTATTACGAAGGAAAAGTAAGGAATTAGAAAGAATCTCTGATTGATCTATGAATTACTAAATTGTGATATCGTTCGATCAAATCAATTCAAAGGATTTCAAACAACCAAAAGGTAATCGAATCTATTAATAATAATCATTTTTTAAAGTGCTTTAAGTGCTTTCTTCTTCTCCAATATATTGTTTCCCTCTTGAAAATTTAAATTTTTTTTTTAATGATTTTTTCATACCCCGGTCATTTTTTTTAAGGGATTTAAATTGGAATAAACAAAAAAAATAATAATTAAAATAATTTGTTTTCAAAAGAACCTCTCTTCCTTCAGAAACCATTACAACAGCTATGACTACCTTTTGTGTACGATTTATTTTTAATTTTTGATTCCTAGCAAATAGATGATGTTTTTTAAGTCCTTCTCACCTCTGATTAAGCTAGAGTGATCGCTAAGAAATTACCCCCTGGGTTTAGTGTGAATTTGAGCAGATAATCAAAAAGAGATGTCAAAGTTTTATAATTTTATTATAAAATTTTTAGAAATTACACTAGGATATCTCTTCAGAAGAAGATAACAAAGTCGTTAAAAAGACTTATGTAGCGCCTTATCGAGCTGAAAATACAGATGAAATGAAAAGATGCTTGACGTTGCTCTAAAAATTGAAAAAACATTAATTGGCAGCACCTTTTTTAAGAAAGTTGGATAACGTCAATTATCCTCAAGAATTAGAATATGTTGACCTATAAATAGTCGAACAGAATCTCAAAAATAGTAACTATATCTTTTTACAATGATAAGATGTTTATCAGACAGCTACTCAATTTTGGGTGGACATTAAGAAGATATGGTAAATGTCCTATACAATGAACAACAAGGGTTCTCAATTATATGCAATGACATAAGAACTCGAATAACATTTTAATGAATTGTATAAAGAGCTAGATAAACCTTATCCACAAAAATAAACTATTGAATAACCAGTCAAAGCAGATAAAATATAAAAGAAACCTCCTGCAGTACAATAAGCACCAACCAATAATAAAAAGCCAGTGTATGAAAATCTTTTTATTGTTCTTAGAAAATAACCAAGTCTGATGGAATAACCTATGAACATGTAAGAAAAGAGGGCTTTAGTCTCAAACATTAATAGTTTACCACCCGAACATCTAAGAGGAGTTTGGGAAATTGTGTCGGATGGCTTGAAGATCCAAGATTAAAGCGATGAACTGGAATTCGATATAGATACATTGCCTGTCAAAAAAACCAGGCAATTGGAGAAATACGTAAACACTAAATTGGAATATTTAAAAAAATAACAAAGTAAAAAGGTCGCAGAAGAAACTAAAGCATAAGATAAGACTGATAGAATTGTAAAAAATTTTTATATCATTAAGGTTCATACAGCTAATACTACTTATAACTATGCTCCACAACCAGTAGCTCAACAAAAACAACCTGACACTGGAGACAGTTCATTTAGCAGCGATGCTGATAGTTCTGGGTGAGCATTATTTTTATTTTTGTTTTTTTGATTAATTCATTTAAACTTAAATTTCTCACAATTTAATTAAAAATCTAATTTAAATAAATTGAAAAATTCTATTACATTGTAGTATTATTTTGCTTAACATTTGTCTTATTAATATATTTTATTTTATATCACATATCTATAAAAGGATTTATGTATATAATATATTTATTAAAAATCTCCAAATCTAAAATAATTTGCTATCAATTTAAGCCATGAGAAACCCAATAGAGTCTTATATAGTAGTTTATATATGTGTGTGTTTGAGTATAATGAGAAAGTGCAACCATAATGTTATTGCGTTCCAAATCAGCTAGATAAGTTATAATTATCTAATGATCATTTAAAATGAACAACATTATTATTTTATAAGTATCTAACTTTATTTTTATGTATCCTATATATTTCTTAAGTTAAAGTTAATAAAAATAGAACATTTTCATAATTTAACTAATATGATATTGATCATTAGCCATTAGATCTCGTTTCCAAATAAGATAACTTAAAAATATATTGTATTATTATATTAATTTAAATGAAAAAAGATCAATCTCTGTTCAATCCTGTATCAAATTTTAACAATTCTTTTTAAATTTTATTTATTTTTTTTGTATTGTATGCAGGTTACTGTTATGTCGGTTATTAGTAAGGCATAGTTGCATAAGGAAATCCTTAATGATTAAATGCGGGCGAATTAAATAACCTCAATAAACAAGGAATCTCTGGTTAAGGTGCACCTTAGTCAAGATTATTGGTTGATTTCATTAAGTCATCAAATAACTACATTTAGCTTGAATAATTCTTATTTCGCATTTCATATGGTGAAGATAAATTATTTGGACTGGACTCTTTATATAGAAACAAATAAATACAGATTAAATAATGTAAAGGAGAGAAAGGCAACATAGGAGAAAATACAGGTAAACCAAGCATGAGTGATTATTATTATTGTTATTATTGCATCTATTATTATTAATTTTATAATAACTATTATTATTATTATTATTATTATATTTGCATTTATTGTTATTGTAATTATTAATCTTATTAATGTTCTTCTTTAATTTCATTACTTTCAACTTACATATTCTTTTGATCATATTAAACCTAAGGTATTGCTAAATTATTGTTATTGTTATTATTATTGTTATTATTGTTATTATTGTTTTCATTATTTTTATTACCATTATTATTCACTGATTTTCTAATCCGTTTACTAGTCAAGGGCTAAGGCCCCTCATAATCTTTTCCTTATAAATTTGCCAATAATTTTTTAATTGCCACATCTTCATTATCCAACTGCTAAAGATTTAAGATTGTTCATACATTTTGTCTTCTATAAGTATTCATCATCGAATTGTATTGATTTTTAACCTAATTTTCTGTTCTCCCAGATATTTTTTTGGAAATAAGTGACCATCTCTTACCTATTTCCTCAACTAACAACAATAATTGTAACTGTTCTGGCTATGACCATTCAGATCTAATTAAATGTTTAGCCTTACTTTTTCAAATCCGGATTTAAATAGTTATTCCATCTCTCTCTAATTTATTTAGCATGTCTAACTATTTTTGCAGGGTTTATTCTATTGAAATCTATCGTAATTTATGTCCAATTTTTATTTTCATTAGGATCTGCAATTATGTTTTATAATATTTCATCTTCCTCTGTGTTCCAAGGGGCCATTTTGAGATTTGTCTTAAGCATGCTAATCCACTTTAAATTCAATAGCTATTCTGTTACTCCCAAGACATTTGATAGATAATGCCAATCTTCTTCAGACTATCCTATTAAATTGATAATACAGGGTTTAAATCATTCTTATTTATGAATTCAAAGTATTTTAAGACAGTCCATACAAATAAAATTTTATCCTTTCTGTGCCATTTAGTTCGATGTTCCTCATTGGTACGTCTACTTTTAGTATATAATCTACTTTGAAAATTCTTAGAAATAATAATTCAAGATATTTTTGCAAGGAGGGAAACTCTTTTCGTTAATCTTTAGAACCTTTTTTATTTGTTTTAATTTAACTGGCCTTTCCTTGAATTCACTGATGTCCTCTAAAAATTATGAAAACTTCGACATTTTAATTTAATTACAATATTTATAGATTCTAATAACAAAAAGATATCAAAAATAATTTGATTGCAATAAATTAATAATATACTCAATAGAACTTAATAGGTATTGATCGTTAAACTTAATCATCTTAAATTAAATTTAGTCATCTCAAATGTTGAATTAAATATATTAGAGACTACAGAAATTAATAATCAAGCACATTTAACTGCTATTATCAGTAAGTTTTGATTAAAAATAGTAACCCTATTAAACAGAGCCAATTTATATTGAAAGAATATACATAATAATAAACAAAATATCCAAGTAATAAGTTTTTTTTCTTTAAATTATTAAGCAGTTAATTTAATCAATTTTTAAATTCTTTACTGTGTTTATTGGGTAATTATAATGGAGAATATGGGAGAACAAATTCTTTTGGTTATTCAAAAATGTTATTTAAAATCAACAATAAACAACATTAATTTTATGCTATTTATTATAATTCATTTTTAATTATATTTAATTATTAAAAATGATCAGTGCAATTTTGCTCACTATAAGGCGTATTATTAAAAATCAATACATATTATTTTTTAAATTTAGCAAAATGATTGACGTATAAATAAGTTCTCTCTAACAAAATAGAGATAGATCATTCATCATCATTGTGATATTGATATTGATGGCAAATGCAAGTTATATGATGATGATCCCCCTTTTTCCACCCTTAATAAAAGAAAAGGGATTCACTGAAGCAGGTATTGGAATTATCATGTGCTTCTACCCACTTGGCTGTATACTGGCCTCCTGGAAGTTGGGTAAAATGCATAGCTCCAAAAAGATGATACTATAGGGTTTGATTGGATAATTGGTAATATCAATTATTTTGGGAATATCCTATTTTTTAAACGGAGCTCTCTTTTTTATTCTTTCCTCATTTTTAAGATTCATCCAAGGAATTGTATAACTATTTAATAATCTTTTAGTCTAACACCATGATTTAAGTTCCTTCATATTCGATAACTGGACACTTATTTTCAGAACAAGTCTCAGAGAAGATCGCCAAATTAGAAATGGCTTGTAATTTTGGATTAGTTTGTGGTCCTTTGATAAGCGGTGTCTTATATATCCTATCAGACATCTATAACTTTAATACTTTTTAATACTCCCTGTACTTGGTGGCATTTCTATACTTTGTAATTACCCTCTGTGTAATACTGTTCCTGGATGAAAGGATTTTCAACATCGATCAATAAGAACAAGGAGCATCCATAAATTACTATGAAGTGTTTTAGATTCATGAATTGAATGTCACCTTCACTTCATATTTCTTCTTAGGAGTTGCTGCCTAGGCATTACGTACTTATTTGGTAATCTTAATAAATTAACATTAGTCTGTGTAATTATTGGAAGTCTACAATTTAGACGATGCAAATTCTTAGTTCCTTTTTATGATATATACCATTGTGAGCGTCTTTGGAGCATATTATGTGGCTGAATAAAAGCATTACACTCTCAATCAACTATATACCTATTGTCTCTACATTGGGGCTTTTAGTCTATTGCTCTATGGCCCATCTTAGATAGGATTACCACAATCAATTTATGTCATATGTTTCGCTGACATTATCAGAGGAGTAGGAGTTGGATCAGCGTAATTATGCATTTATATTCTTTAGACCAGCCATTATGATGCCATTGATAGTACAAATTATGGAGAAGCATAAGCATAAGGATCAAGCTGCTGAGATAGGTTCAACGCTTTTGATTGCAGGATGGTCCCTTGGAGATTTGATTGGACCAATTATTGGAGGAATATTTATAGACTAAGTTGGTTTTGACAAGACTAGTGTCATTATGAGTGGAGCCTTATTCGCAATTGGCTTCATCTATTAAAAAACCAGTCATATTGATTAGGAATAATAAGCAATAGAGATGCAAATTCTCATTCATTGATTTTGTGTATGTAGTTTGAGTTTTAATTTTGTGTATTAGATATAATTTCATTAATATAATTTATCAAATAATTAAGTTTTAATTTTAATATATAATTCACTGTAAAAAATATTGAAGAATATATTAATTTATTTTAAAATTTACATTAAAATATTTATTTTGTGTTTAAGACTATAGATAAGATTCATATGAATTCATCCTTCGAAACTTCCAAGTTTTGAAAAATCTCATTAATATATATATATTAAAGAAAATTTAAATTATTGAATCAGAAATTTAAAATTTTAATTATGATTAATCAATTAAGAATTTTCTTTGGATTACCTTTTTTGATCTTCCCTTTCAGTTTGAAATAACTTGGTACAAATCAAGTCAAATCAATTATTTTAATTAAAAATAAATATTTAATCTCACCTACCTTGAAACTTTAATTTCTTACTTAATAACTGGAAATTATCTATATAAACAAATTAATGAACATAAAATGAGAAATTATTAATCATATGAAATATTAGTTTTTGATATAAGTCATCATTATAACGAATGTATTTGGAATGTATTGTAACTATTACCCTTTGGACCAGGTTGCTTGTATACTAAAAACCGAGGGGATTTCATGTATTTATGATGTCAAATAAAGGTTAATTCAATTATTTTGAAAATGCATGTGTGGAAACAAAGAGTACTGATTTAGGATGCAATTCTAATTTGAATAAAAATGCTTGTTTGCAATAGTAAAGAAATATAGACGGTAATGAAGTCAGATGTAAGAGTGTAATGCTAAATTAGGTTTTTTTAGGAAAAGGTGCACTAATGCAAATTAATTTCATTTAAAGAAATTAAATTGTGACTCAAACTTTTCGATTTATGCTTGTGTTAATCTATCTGGAAAAAAGTGTATTTGGACAAATAACACTTGTGTTTCTTACAATAGTGAGATTTAAAACGGAGAAAACTGCGAAACCATCTTCTAGGTGCCAGTCACTCCCAATTTATGTGCTTAGATTCAAAATCTATAATGTAGATATTAGAGAATAAGCGATAGGTTACAATAACGGTTTTTAAAATGGATATTTCTGTTAGTCAGTATAAGAATTACAACTTCAAAAGTTCACATGCAACACGCTAGGACTAAATAAAGATGCTTGTGTTGCGATATAAACTGCAGGATAAAGATGTAAGAAAAAAAGAATTATATTTTAGGCATTTTTATAAATAACATATGTCGAAACTTCCAGACAGAAGATGAATTAAGCTGTTTAAGTTATTTAAACAAGGAAGCATGTCTGAGTATTTCAAATCCAGCATTACAATGTGTTTGGAATAATAAGGGCTGTTAAAATTACTCTGTTTTAAGTGAGGATAGTTGTGAAATGTTAAAAAACGTAAACCCCAGTGTTTGCAGAGCTATGCCCATATTTTGTTATTATGATGAAATAAATCATTAGTGTTTATCTCCAAACCCAAATTTGAAGCAAACTTGCACAACTAAAGGTCTAAATGAAATTGGCTGCTTAAGTATAAAGAATTAAAAATGTATTTATACCAGTAGATTATTATTTAGGTATATATATTAGCGCAGAAGGATGCCAGGAATTAAGAGATGATCAGTTAAATAAGATAAGTTGCACTGATTCTATAAATGAAGAAGCTTGTATTAATGTTAGTACTCCATTTCAATATTGTTAATGGAATGGGGAAAAATGTCTAAGAATTCCTTTGAATTAAGATTTAGACTGCCCATTGCCATCAGAGAATGGAAAGTACTATTAAGTAAATGGAAATGTGTGTTAAGCAATATCAAAATAGAATATAGGATGTAAATATAATCTAACCACTAAACTCTGCGAGAGAAGTACTGGATAAGAGATCTGTACAACTCCTTATCTCAATTTGTCAGCCTGTGTTTAGATTTCTTAAGCTATGACTTGTAGTTGGAGGGAAGAAATTAGCAAATGTGAGTTAGTGAATGTGATAGATTAAGTCACAAAATGCACTGATTTGAAATACTCCAATCCACTGGCATGCTCTTAGATTTCCGAATTTGTAAGTAACAAGGCTATAGGTTGTTATTTTGACAGCACGACCCAATAATGTGATGTTTTAGATAACGATAACCTTGCCCAGATGGAGTGCTTGCAATTAGGATTAAACAAATATGGATGCACTATGATTACAAAGGTTGGATAGAGATGTAGGTGGTTCCGAGGGTAATGTACAAGCATCAGAAGCAAGGAGTAAATTGCTTAAGTTTCATGCATTGAACTCAAATATGTTAACCCTGGAACTTGTAGTTTGGTCACTTTCAATAAAGAGGTTTGTAAATACAGTAGTGATGGCTATGGGTGTGTGAACAGTATTAATTCTAGTGACACTGGAGATTATTGTAATACTTTGGGTTTGAACTCTTTTGCTTGTTCTTAGATTACGAGAAACCTCGAAGGATGTTATTTTGATAAAGTCAATAATGTCTGCGTATTAGCTCCTGATAAGAAATCAGCAGATGAAAGTGTTTAGGCTGCTTCAAAACTATTATTAAATACTGCCAAATGTGTGGCTAGTTCTCCTACTCAGAATATTTGTATTGCTATAGAGACCTTGGGTGAGTAATGCACATGGAATTTTAGATCGAGTGGATGTGAGTATCAGTATGTCTAATTTAATGAGAAATGCTTAGATTACAATACTGCAGAGAAATAAAAAACTATTCCAGGAATGTAGATTTCTATAAATGCCAATGTTTGTGCCAGCATCCTCATGAATTATGTAATATTTAATCATAATTATTAGCCTAATAAAGACCCAACAGTGTTAACAAAGGTAGTAGATTCACTGAGAGGGTATTGTTAATTTGATGGAAAAGGGAACTGCATTAAGTTTTTGTAAACTCCTTGTACTTCTGAATGCTGTACAGAGTTAGTAGGAATCAATGCTCATGTTTGCAGTAGATTTACAACTGGCTAATATTGTTACTTCAATGAGTACAATAAATGTGTAAAATTAACTGATGAAATTGTTGATACGAGTTAAATTAAAGCGGTTAAAGATTACTATAATTTCAAACAATACAAATGTTCATCAATGAATGTAAATACTTGTTGGATGATTGATTGGTCTCCTACTTAGTAATGTTATTGGGATGGACTTGTGTGTACACAGATTAATCTTAGTGACTATGCAACTTTTGTTTTAATAAATGGTTATAGAACAACGAATAAATATGGATGTTAGGGAATCGAGGGAGATAAGAAAAAAACATATGTCATGAAATACTATAAATATGTTTCTGATACTACTACTTGCATCCCTTATCCTGTCGTAATTACTGCCTGTGAAACTGAAGGAATTAACTTAAATGTTTGTCTAGGACAATCCCCTGAAATTTATTGCTAATGGGATAAAATTAATTTATAATGTGTCACCATTGATGATGTCTACTCGTTATACACCTGCAATGAATTTCAAAATAAAAAAGCCTGCGTTGAAAATCCTTATGCTCCGTGTGCCTTCCTTACTTCGACTGATAAATGCATAACAAGCCCTTCGGATATTAATTGCGAAGACTTTAATGTAGGTAAAGACTATGAGGGAGCAGTAAATGAAAAAGCCTGTTTAAACATCACTAAAGGAGGCTAAATTTGTCAGTATAATTCTACTCTAAAATTATGTGTATCTGTAAGTAAGGCTGCATAGGATAGTTGTGATCTACCTGGCATTAATTCAATCGGATGTTATTATATTACTACTGCTAATTGCAGATGGGATCCCATAAATCTGAATTGCTACGAGGAAGGAGATGTAAATGCTATATCCAATTTATAATGTAATTAGAATATTAATAAACAATTATGTTTATCACTATTAAATGACAATTGTGAATGGTCAATAACTAATATGAAATGCTCATAAGTAGAACAGCTGGGTATATATAAAATTGAAACCTATTATAATGCATAAGCATGTACCAACTTAACTGGGAAGGCATATTATTTTACAGCTACTAATAACAACGCCACAACCTAATGCTAAATACTGACTACATTCACTAATAAATGCACAGACTATATAATGAATAAACAAGCTTGTCTATTGAACACAAAAGGGTACAAGTGTTTCTTTGACCCAAATGAAGTTCCTGAGAAAAAGTGCTAATTTTTCAAGGAAGTATAATTGGTCTGTTCGTCATTAATTTAAATTAACATAGAAATATGCATGAACATTCCAACATAATGTTACTTTGAAGAATCATCCTTAAGTTGTAAGACAGCCAAAGTTTTTAATACTGATAAGTGTTCAACATTAATAGCAGTAGTGGGTATGCATTACAACAAAATGGCTTGTTCATCTATTAGTAGAACAATAACTGACAAATCTTAGGATGACACAAAGAAAATTTGTTCTAAATAGCCTCTCTCAAATAATTCTTAATAATGCTATTTTGAGAAATACTGTGCTTGGGATGAAAATACCTATGGGTGTATTTTATAACAAATAGCTAAGGGTACATACACCCCCCCAGGTTAGCAATAGAGTGAACAATGCTCTCTTTCTCCTACAACAATTAATTGTTCAAATATTTATTCCGAGGCTGTTTGTCTTGAATTTGGATCAGGTTGCTACTTTGATATTAGTTAAGGAGGTTGTAATACTTATACTTCTAATCTATTCAAAGTTAGGGATTGCTCTCAAATTAATGGAACAGATTGTACAAACAGTAAGACACCCAATGCCTATTGTAAAAAGGTGGTGAATGCTGGTGAGTTAACAGACGGCTGCGAATAGGATGTAATAAACTAGGATTATTGTGAAAATGATTAAAGTGTCGCAAGCAAATCTTGCAGTTCCTTAGATACTTCAACTACAGCAAGTGATTGTGCTCAAGCCAGTGATGCATGCTATCTAAATACTAAATGTGCTAGTCCTACATCTTATGAAAATATCACTTGTGCTAGTCCTGGAGTTAGCCAAGTATTATGCTTACAGTTAAATCCACCATGTGAATTTTCTTCAGGCTCTTGTACTCCAATATCGATCCCAACACTCAGCTCTAATGGATAAAACTATTACTATATCTGTAATGAAGTCAATTTGTAAACCACAAATAAATCAGAATATATATGTGGTAATATAACTGCAGCTCCTTGCAAATATTCACTTAATTCATGTCAGAATGCCTTTTTCGAATTATGTTCTGACCTTGCAGGATTGACAGTCTCTGTTGTTACCTGTAATCAATGCTAAGGGTTTCCTGCTGCCTACGATTATACCACTAATCAATGTTAACAGATTAATAGTTTGAAATCTAGTTGCGACCTCTTATTAAAAGAAGCAGACTGTTAAGTTGATCTCAAAAGCTGCTATTGGGATAGTTAAGTCAAAAAATGTCAAATTAATTTACATAGATTGAACAGATAGAGTTGTGCTTAGTTAACCACTGACATTTTAGCAATTTGGGACGAAACCACAAATTTGTGTGAAATCAAGACTGAAAATCAAATCTAAAGTCTTACAGACTGTTCCATTTTAAGTAGAAAGGCTTGCATAATCCCTTCTTAGTCATGCTGGATTAATTCAACAACCTTATAATGTGAAGATGCTACCTCGATTATGGCCACTTGTTAAGAAATTAATGGTTTTAATGCCAAATAATAGCACTGTCTAGTATCAAACAAAGAACCTTGTAAATGGAGTACAACATGTGTATCAGCAAACTTAGCAAGTGATCCTTGTGATGGATTGAACAAATATGGCTGTCTCCATATTCAGCAGAAGTTAAATTGTGCTTGGTCAGATCACGATAAAAATTGTCGAGCCATTGCTGTAAATCTAGCTTTAGGATGTAATAAGTATTCTGATGGATTTTGGCATTATTATTATCAAGTAAATTCTTATATATGTGCTTAATTAACAGTTGGAACTTGCTATTTAGATACCAATTCCAACAAATGTACATCAGTTGGTACTAAAAACATAGAATGTGCAAATCACAAAGGTATTAACAAGCTGGCTTGCCTTACAAGCACAATAGATACTTGCAAATTTGATTCAACTCAATTTTAATGCATTCCTACTCCCATAGACGATTAGCAATGTTCTGATTTATTAAATACAGGAAAATGCTGTTTAGATAGTTTAAATCAAGTTGCTTGTTTGTCAATGCCCAATGCGTACTGCAAATTCAATCTGAATGTCTGTTCAACTTTCTATGTGTTGGATAAAAAAACTCCAACTGCAGCTACTATTAGTTCAAAGATACCAGGTACTTAAAAACTATCTCCTAATATTTGTGATTACTTTAATAATAATATTGTTGGAGCTTATTTTATCTATGATACAGTAAGACTTTAATGCATCAATATTGATAAGCCTAGTCCATCAAAATATTTTGCATAGTGTCGATCAGTTTCTATTAGTCAAAAAGGATGTCTAGAGAAGACAAATGATTATTGTAAGCTTATTAATATATTATTATAGGTTAGTATGAAAATAGTTCTTGCTAATCAATGAGTTTAGACATAGTAAAACTACAGAAAGAGTGTAATTAGGCTTACAATTGGAAAACCTGTATTTCAATCAATGCATTTTGTAAATTTCAAGGAGGCAAGTGTGTTCCTCTTGGATTAACTGATACTTGTTCTAATTTATCTGATGCAATTGTGGGTCCACAAGTTTGTGCATAATTTCCTACACCTTGCAAATACAATTCATTAACTTACTCTTGTGTTGTTGTGGTTTTAAAAACCGAAGTATGCTCATCCATTGGGTTGAGTAAATCTGGTTGTCTAGCTTATACACCCTCATAATTCTGCATTTTTGATGCTGTTAATTTTAGATGCACTTCCACTTATGATATTTCAATCCCTTGTGCAGATACGAATACACCAAAGAAATGGTATATCAATCAAGCTAAATGCCAATTCATCAAAACTGCAGGAAATGTACGGTTATATAATATAAATTTAGTATTGTCAATTCACTCCTGGAGATCAAGGTGAATGTTTAGATATTCCAAGTAATTTATTCACAGGAGCATGTTTGGTACCTGATGTTCAAACTAATCCAATCACCTGCAGAAGAGCAACTGATTAGCCTTGCTTTTATAATGTAATTACGAAAAAATGTGCTATTGGAGATGTAAATATAATCCCTTGGAGTCTTGGATTATCTTTTAATAAATTAGCTTGTGTAAAATATGATCATGCGGTGTTTAAAGTGAAGTTGATTTGGGATGATGACAAAGGTTGCATAGAATTGACAATAAATGATTTAGCAAACATTTAGTGTTCATCACCAGTTAATAGACTGGCTTGTGTTTCAATTACTAATCCATCTTAATTTTGTTAATTCAAAGCGGCCACATTAAAATGTGAATCCTATGATTACATAATCCCTCCCTTAGATAGTAAATTATGTGCTTAATTGACTAATGTGAATAGATTTGAATTTTGTTAGTATGCAAGTGATTCTTGTGTCTATAATTCATCCGATCGTAATTGTGTTGCAACTTAGCCTACTATAAACAATTCTGGAGATTGCTTCAACATAGGTATGAGCAAATTAATGTGTGCAAATTTTTCGAGTAATTGCAATTTCAATGACGAAAGACGTTTTTGTTATGGAGGAAGTATCTTCTGCAAAGACAATACTCCTACTGGTTGTAAAGATGTTAAGACTGAGCCTTGCTGGATTGTTAATTCAAGTTGTAAAGGCATAAGTTTTTAGGATCTTAAAACTACAGAGTGCTTAAATGCTGTCAATTAAATTGGTTGCACTTCCATTTCAAATCCTTAGAAAGTATGTCAATATGATATCCAAACTTCAACATGTAATGAAATCGTTGCACTTACTAAACCTTGTGCCTCATATACCTATGTAAGCACTAGCAAAGCATGTGAATTTACAACTGATACTGCTTGTAAATTCGATTTCTCAACTAAATCCTGCAAAGTAGTCTCCATCACAGATGTATTCGAATGTGATAGAGGACTGAATTATTTAGCCTGCTCTACCTATACTAGACCATCATTGTAATGTAAATTTGGTAAATACTGCTATGGTCCAACATCTGGCATTTCAAAATGCGCAGATTCACTAAATAAGGAAGTATGCTTGAATTTCATTTATTTTTGCACTTGGGATTTCTCAAATTCATTATGCATTGATTATAATTTAAATGGACAAACTTGTTAACAACTCTAAGATCAAAAGACTGTAGTGTCTAGTTAAGTTTGTTATAATGCATAGGTTTAAGATGGAAGTGCTTGTGTTTTTGATGTATACACATTCACATGTAAAATCATCTAACCATAATCATGCTTTGAACTTGAATCACAAAAGCAATGCCAATCATAAACTGAACTACCATGTTTATGGCTGAATGGTTCTTGCTAACTCTTTTAAGCAGTTTCAACTGACACTTGTTAATATGTTGGAAGTTTGGGATCTAAAAATGCTTGTCTGAGTATTTTCAGGAAAGGACAATTTTGTCAATATCACGATTTTAATTGTGTTACATACAAAGAAAATTATGATGCTGACAATTGTCTTAACAACATTAATAAAATAGCCTGCGTTTCTTAATAAACCAGTTCTTGCATATGGAAAACAGTTCTAAAAGAGATTTAAGAGGTCTAGATGTTTTTGGGAACTTGTGAAAAGTTAGAAAATCCAACCAATTATGATTGCGACAGTGCCCTTAGTTATAAATCATGCTTATCAATTTCGAAATATGGTCAACACTGCAGATGGATCAAAGGAGAATGTTAAAGGATTGAATAGCAATCAGGAGTTGTTATCAATTATAACACCTATTAATTGATTAATTAAAATGCTTGTGGACTCGTTAATCAGGATAAAGTTCGATATTAAGAGTAAACGAAATCATGTTAGTTGATAAAAGACAATGAAACAGTTACATGCAAATGTGGCAAGGAAACAAAAGGATTAAATAAGGAGGCTTGTTTGAGTATTGTGTATGAGAATTGCAAATGGATTCCTACTCAATCAAGATGTGCAGAGTATTAGAGTTTATGTGATATTAAATGAGTCTCTTTGAGATTTTAATATTTTTTACAAACTTAATAAGGGATTATTAAAGCATATTAAAATAAATATATTAATGAAAGTTTCACTTGATCACGATGTTTATAAATGGCTCTTGTCTCTAACTATCGTTAAGCTTCAACAAGTTAAGAATACTGGGAAGGTTGAATTGGATGAGAACCAAAGCAAATTATTTGTTAATGGCATCAAATTTGGAGAGACTTTAAATAAAATGCTCGAAGCAAGATCCATTGTAAATATCACAACCTAATTTTAAAGCATGTCCCAAATCTAAGTGAACAAATGAAAAACCAACTGACTCCTGGAGTTAAATTATTCAATTGGAATATCTTATAAGATGCATTTCAAAAAATTAACTTGCCTTTGGACAATGATATTAAAAATCTAATTGTTAATGGAGACACAGAAATGATGAATGAACTCCTAAAAGACATGATGGAATTAGATAATCAAATCAATAGAAAATAATAAACTCGAGGCTCAGTTAGATCCTCAGATGACTCCTCCTTTGAAACTTCTAAGAAACCTCCAAGCAGACCTGCATCCAAATTACCATAAACTAAATATGATACCTAAGGAAATGCTAATGAGTTAATCTTAGATGAATTAGATACTAAAAAGCCCTTAAATGAGTCTAAATCTTTGCTTGAATTTTTTATCACAGGATTATCAAGACATCTAACCTTAAAACCTTAATAAGCTGCATCTTTAATGTCAAATGGCAATAAGTATTTGGCTCATTTACTTGTGAAAGGAGTCAAGGGAGAGTTTGAAACATTGATAAATTGGTTAAGTGACATCTATGCAAATATCTCAAGAGTCTTCAATTTTCTAGAACAACAGGATTCTAATGTGCATTATTTTTTTGCTACCATTAAACCAGGACTGTTGTCCAAAGAATAAGAAATTACTCTGTGGACTTTAAGAATAATGGGCAGAACCTATTTTGAACTCTCGGAAATGGAAATGCATCAATTAGGATACGAATGGTTCTGCAAGGAAAATGGAGGATTAGCAGCAACCTTTCTATGTATGCAAAGACACCCCAATTTACTGAGTTAAATTTGTGAGTTGTATAGTTAAGTAGCAAGATTTAATATTGTTGATTTCTTTACAGTCCAATTCAAGAAGTAATTATCTGATAAATGCGTTGAAATGTTGAATTCCCTGATTGAATTTCTCCATCAATAGAAAACTCTAAAAGAAGAATTGATTTCATAAGGAATCGTACAATATTGGGCCTAGGCAGCTTTAAAAATGTCAGATTCTGATCAATTGCCTATTAAGATGCAAGGCCTTAAGTATTTAACATTAAATTGGTTGCTCTACCCAATTTAATTTGAAGAGGACTAAAATTACCCCAATCAATTCTTGTTCTTAATGAAGAAGGGCACTAGAGATGCCTCAAATAATTTGAAATATTTCTCTTTGAATATGTTATTCAGATTGCTCGATAAATTGGCTACAGATAGAAATCCATATGCAGCAGTTCTCTATAAGAAATTGACATTCACTCTAATTGAGAATTACAATGAACTGGATATTAGGGAATTCATGTTGCACAATTTTATGTATCTAATCCAAAAATACTCATCAATTCCCATTGACATTCTGTTAGAACCTTTGATCAAGTAAGTCATGTTGAATGATGCTTTAGTCAACTTAACAGATATGATGCTATTTAAATTTATTAGCAAACATCCAAAGATGAAAATAAGATTGGCTATTTTGTTATTGGATTTGCTTGCCAAAATATATTTGAATAGTGTGACTATGTCTCATTTGTCATTAAATCCAATTCAAGTGCTATTGGCTCGTTTTGCAGAATCTCCCTTGCTAAGAGAGTATGCTTTCAAGCTCTGCAAGATTGGCCTAGCATTGCATTATGGCAGTTTAAAGAGTAAGCGACAATAGGTCAAAACAAACGATTTATCTATCCTAACTGCTTTGCAGTAGCATAACAATGATCATGAAATACTTGAAGCATAGAAAAGAGCTCAAATAATTGAATTAATTAAGTTTATAATAAATATGCAACAAGATGAACTGAATGAGTAAATAAAACCATTGTTATGTCATTTTTATATTGAATTGTAATATATTATCGCATATGATTAGATAAAATATTTCTATCAAGGATAAAGGAGTCATTACGCTATTAAATATGTTTGGCAATCCTGACAAAATAGTTTAGGCAATCAAGTAACAATGGGATGCTGAGAAATAAGAATAAGACGAAATCCTCAAATAATCTCAATTAATTATTGATAATGAATTTGTATAGAATTAATAGTATTTGAACTCTGCAGAGTAAACTCCATAAACTGTGAAGAGTGAAAAAATAAAACAACATGATGTAGATCCCTTCAATGATTTAAGATAAAAGGAATTGGAAGATGAAAAAAGATTTTTGGCTCAAAATGGTGTTGGGTTCAAAAAAAGAGTTGTGGAATTAGAAAGAGGAAAGTAACCTATAGCACCTACTCCAAATATTTAATAATAATAATAATAATAATAATAATAATAATAACAATAACAAATAAAGAAAAAACCTTAATAAGTGGATCCTAAGGTATTAGAAAATATTGCCAATATAAAATTAAAGAAGGAGGAAGAATTACTTAAGAAATAATAGGAAGAGGAAGAGAAGAGAAAAAGAATTGAAGCATTGCAAAAAAAAGCATAATAGGAAATTCAAAAGAGAACTAATGGGAAAGTAATTGAGAAAGCAGATGAAAAGAAGGTAGAGTTGATAGATCTTGATGATCATGAGACACATGATTATGAATCAATGAACATCGCTATAAAAAAGAATCATAAAGCAATGAAATACTTATTCTCCAAATATTCTAACACCACTAATTAGGCAAGTAAAAAATAGTATTTTGGGGAACTCTAAGAATAGTATGAAATTATTTAATTATCTGATATAATGAGAATGTTAAAAGACTATTAAGTGAATATGTCAAAGGAAGAAATTCAGGCGTATGTTAAGGCTATAAATCAGAAATACTCTGAAAATAAAAGTGATCAATTTAGTTTAGATTAATAAAATTTTGAGAGATTTCTGGCTTAAATCTCTATGAAAATTGAAGGATACACATTTCAAAGAAGATTCGCAGGTTAATGTTTAGAATAACTGATGTAAAGCTTTGGTTCAATTGCAAAATCTAAAAGTATTATTTTATAATACAAATATTAGATGAAAACCATCTCATATTTTTAGATCCTGATAATATCAATATTGATCCAGACAGAGATACAATTAGGCAGTTAAATTTACAGCTCTAAACATAAGATGTCCCTGTTCCTAGTAAATTCAAGAAAGTTACAGAAAAATAATTGAATCAGAGGTTCGAATATAGACCATAAGCGATATTAGGAGTTGAAAATGCATGGTTTGATTGTCATGAAATAGTGAATTAATTGATTTCAGAAACGTTTAAAACTAATGTAATGGAACCTTTGTCAGATATTAAGATTATTTGGAAAGTCAAACCTAATCCACAACAATAATAAGAACAAGTCGTTTAGGTGAAATAGAGGGATAATTCATAACAGAAGAAAGTCATGAATAGGGCAATTGAAGATAAATTATTAAAGCAATAGGAAGAAGAGTAAAAAAAGATGGATGCTGAAGAGAAGAGAAAAAAACATTAGGAAAAGTTAAAATAGGAATATCTGAGAAAAAAGAAAGAGAAGGAAGAATAGGAATAAATGAAGAAATAAGAAGAGAGATAAGAGTTGATAGAAAAAGCAGAAAGAGAGAAAAAATAACAGGAATAATTAAAAAAAGAAGCAGAAGAAAAAAAGTTAAAATTAAGAGAATATAAAGAGAAAATGGCAGAAGAGAATAAAATCAAAGAAGCTTAGAATGTTGAATTCTAAAAGCAGAAATAGGATCAAGATAGAAAATAACGAGAAGAGTTTTAAAAGAAATAGAAGGAAGATGTCAGTAAATTGCTGGAGTAGAAAAAGAAAGAGTTTAAAGATAAAGAATAATAAGAGAAATAGAAAGAGTAAAAAGCAAAAGAAGAAATGAAGGAATGGAAAAATAATGTTGAAACAATGCTTTAATAAGAATAGGAGGTAAGATAAAGAGAAAAATAGATGCATTAAAAAATTTAATAATTATAATAAAATCAGGAGATTCAATCTATTTATAAGAAATATGATAAATAATTATCAGCTATTTACCATGCTTATCAAGAGTATACAGATTGGAAGATTGAAAATGCAGGGGTAGAGAAAGAGTTATTATAATTTAAAGGATTTACTAATTTTGCTTCTTAATTCAGCATCTATCCTGCCATCATAACTCCTGAAGATGCATAACTAATTTTTAGATCAATAACAAGAGAAAGAGAACGAATACAATAATAATTGAATGAAAAAAATGGGTTTAACTCTGCACCACCTAAGGGAATGAACTATCATGAATTTCAATAAGCATTATTGAGAATAGCCATAAAAGGATAGAAATACTTTGATCTTCTGAATGAAAAATATTAAAATAACATGAAGACTTTAGACATGCTTGCATTAAAGAAGGACTAAGCCATTTCAGAGGAAGGACCTTTGGAAAAAAGAGAAGATCATTATTAATAAGTAGATGCAACAAGCTCAAACACAATGCAAGGTCTAATGTATTTTTTAGATATGCCTGAAGAGAAAACTGAAATGAATTCTAAATTAAGAGCATTGAAATTAGAATTTTAAAAAGTGGCAGCACAAAGAGATAAAAAACAAAGTAATTTATATTAGATATCCTAGTTGTTTAATAAAAGTTAACTGATGAAGTCAAATAACCAACAAAACGAAAATAATCAGTAGGATAAAGGGAGGGAAAGGATAAAAGTCTTGAAAAATGTATTTATTCAATTACATCATAGAATAACCATAAAGAAATAAGTCTTAAAATATTAGGATTGATTCTGCGTAGACCAAAATGAAAGCATCTCAAAAGGATTAAGTGCATCCAGTTGATGAAAATGAATTAAACAAGCAATCTCCTAAGAGTATCCAACATATATTATAAAATATTAGAGATAGAAACTACAGGACAGGAGGGAAAAAAAGAAATTGGGAAAGTTAATTAATAAAAACAATGATGATATATAACTAACTATTAATTATTTAATCTTAAAATTCAACAATTTATTATGTATTGTAACAATCATAACTCCAAGATGATTAAAAGGAGTTAAAAATCTTACCTTTAATCTCAGTGTGGTTTAATTAAAGTGATTATCCTTATTTCTTTATATTCTTTAAATTTTAATAATTTAAAATTAATAAGTATCCAAAAGTGATAGTGCTCCAACTACATAGATAGATACTATTATATGTGCCAGCCCTCAGGATTATAATGTCTGATTTTTAAATTGAACAAAATTATTAGCTTTCAAAAGGGCCAAATACTAAATATTATTATATAGGAGTCTATTTTCAAATACAATTGTATGATACAGATTATGTTTCACTTCTTCTAATAAGAAATTCATATTATATAATAATTATAAATTATATTGATGTTTTGATATATTTCAATAATCAGATTTCTACTTATTTGCTTGTTTAGCCAGTGCTATCATCTTCCTAGATTGAATGCTCATATCCATTAAATGAAATTTGGAAGCAAATACCTGTCATAGCAAACCAATTTGACACTGGAATGTTATAATCAAGGGAGGTATTTTTGAACTTATTATATTGTTAAAATATAAACTTCAGTTGTGTCTGACCCAATTCCCATTCCAATTGTTATGAGGATCCATCCGATTAAACTAACTCCTAATGATCCATATCCTAAGGCTGCTTAATCTATGGCAATTTTAGCTAAGCTTATCAACAACCCCAACAACAGACAACTTGCTCCTGCTATATTCATTATCACCCATGTTTAATAATGATCCATTCCAGTTAGATCTGCAATCTTGTAGGACTTAGCTTGATAACAATATTATGCCATCCAGCAAGAAACATACAACATCATTCCTATATTACTAATAAAAGCGCTATAAACATATTAATCTAATATTTTACTATCCTCTTGGCAACCTAAAATATTAATATTCATTACATTTGCTCTTCTTGCAGAATAATTTAAAAAAATAAATATTATCAAAATAATAATTCACAATCGCATTTAAATTAATCCAAAACAAGACTTATCATTTATTATCAATATAAAAATTTACTTTAATAAGAATAATCAAACTTCCCCTGTTCAAATAATAGAAAAATAGATTTTTAAGATAAAATACGCAATGCATATCTGTTCATTATTTAAAACAATTGAAAAAAACTATAGCTTAAATTTTATATCAATAAAATTGCCAAACAAAGTTATCAGAACGAATAATATTATACGATTTGAATTTAACGAATAAATATCAGTATAATAGTGCATTAATTTAATTATACATGCTATGTTTCAGATTAGTGTAATTTTATAAATAGCCATCTCTCCTGAAAAGTTCTTTCAAGTGATATTGTTTTATCTTACTATTTGCAATCTAAATGACCTGAATCTTTGAAAACTATCATTTCTTGATTGAATAAGTAGTGCTGAAATACTCATTTCAAAGAATTTATAATCTTTAAACATTCTTAAAAATATAAAAAAAAAGTGTATTTTAACTAGAATAGCAATCAATGTATTTAATTATATATAAATATATGTTATTATATTAATTAATGTAATTATCTCCATAATCACAAACTATATTTCAATCCTTATTCATTGAAAAAACTAAAGATCAAATTAATAATATTCTTCAATATAAACTATCCCAAGCCAATAAAGCAAGATAAAGGTTTGTAAAAAATTAGATCGACAGGCCTAATACTTCTATGGTTTAGTAACCAAATGAAATGGATTTCTCACAAAATCAATTTGAAAAGCATAGAAAGATTTCAATGAATGATTCTCAACTTACGGTTGTTACAATAAGAAAACCATAGAAATTAATGCATACAATAGAACTTAGCCCCTAAATCACACCCATTACTTCATTTCATTCTTAAAGAAAATATAGACAGTTATAAATGTGCGAAAAATAGATAAATCCGACATCTTAAGTTCATAGTCCTGAAAATGAAAAATAATTTTATTTCAAGCAAAAATAATATAGAAATAAATTGCAATTAAAGAATAGCGAGAATAATAACATCAAACTAAAATAATACGCCAAGGAGCAACGTTCAAATAGCAAAGGAGTTTAAGAGTATATTAAATATTAAGATGAAATGGATGATTATTTTAGAGATAAGTTATTTCAACAGCAAAGATAATTGATTGAAAAAATCGATAACTTTAAGATTTCCACAAAAAGACTTGATTAATAATTAGAACCAATTGGACGCCTATTAGAATTAAGACTTTAAAAAATGAAAAAGAAACAACCGTAATGATGATGATTGATATTTTAATTAATCTAATTATATTGATAATGAGAACTCTCAGTTCTTAACATATAAAGATTGAAAAGTTGAGTTTACCTATAATTCTAAACTATAAAACTGTTATTCTAAATTGAAAATAGGAATAAGTTCTAATTGATTAAATAAGGTTTTTATTTTAGACTAATATATAGAGATATTTTTATGATTAGTTTTTTATGAAATTAGAATATTTATATTTTATAGATCTAAATGAAAATTAGTTATCGATTTTGTTTGAATGGTCATTTTACTAAGATTGATCATTAAAACTACATTCAAAACCAAGTGATTGGTATCTGTATGGAATAAAGCTGTAAGGCCCAATAATTTGTTTGTTAAGAATGTATAGAAAGGGATCATTCTGATCATAATTCTATGATATCCACTTTCGATTAGATTCAATTACTAATTTCTAGTTATTTTAAGGATACCTTTCTAAATATTCCCGATGTATTTGATTAAAACTGTCAATAATAAGAATTTTAAGAATTAAAATAATAAATATATGAAGAATTTGAGAAATTAGAAACTCATTTTAACAAAAGTTAGGAATAAATTAAAATATTATTGGATGCTTACAAGATTATTTCAAAAATAAAAGATGGTTGCATCAAGGACATTAGCGTGGAAGAATTTAACATCCTTTTTGAAATATTTTAGAATCAGAAGATAAATAATTATTCAGCGCTGCATTCTAATTTGACTTTACTAAAAAATAAATCAAAATTTCTTAGTAACAAAGTGAAAGAGATTTAATAACAACTTACTTCTTCTCAGATTAATTCAGATACCTTGGATTTTAGCAAATTTATAAGTAGAAACATAAAATAGAAGATTATATCCTAATTTTATTCATAGAACCTTTTGAATTACTCTTTAGTACCTCAGGACTATTAGTTTATTAAAGGAGCAAGAATTGGGGAAATCGAAAATAATAATGAAATCTACTATGGAGAAATAAATGAAAAGTAAATCAAGCATGGAAAAGGTATTTTTGAATAATAAAAAGGTGTTTAAATTATAAAAAATGGTGATATTATATATGAGGGTATTTGGGAGTCAGATTAATTGCAATGGGGTTAAAAAACAACATTTAATGAAAATTCTGAATGCTGTATATTTTAGGGTAAAATGAATAATAAAAAACTTAATGGATTTGGATTAAAAAAAAGTTCATTTGATTATGAGTAAAATTGAATTCATTTTTATAGAGTTAAAGCACATTTTATGGATGATAAAATTTAAGGAGAAGGAATTCTTAATACTAAGAAAGGAGATTAGTATTAATATTATAATATATTAGATATAAAGGAGAATTTTATGAAAATAAGAAGCATGGCCATGGAGAGTTTCATACAACAAAAGGAGATAGGTAAGTCATTCTCTAATCTAGATATGAAGGTGAATATTGGAAAGATAAAAGATAAGGAAGAGGTACTTATTTCTTTCCTAATGGTGATATGTAAATTTACATTTTATTTAATTTTAGTTATAATGGTTAATTTTAAGATGATTAAATGCATGGTAAAGGAGAACTCAAAATATAGAATACTGGAGATATGTAAAAAATTAATGAGAATTCTAGATATACTGGTTCATTTAAAAATAACAAAAAAGAAGGAGATTTTGAAATCAAACATTCCAATGGATAGATGTATAATTAAATTATTAAATAAAGTGCTAAAGTTACCTTTAAAAATGATTAAGTAATAGGAAATGTAAAATCAATTATCTAAAAAGCAATAAAAGGATCTATATTTCATGATAGAAAACAATGATTTATATAATGAGTTTCTAATATTTCATTTCTATTATTAAATGTTAATCCTATAATAATGAATATAAATATATATAGATATCAAGATATATGATGCAGAATTCTATAATTTTATTTCTTTAATTTAAATCCAATAAAAATAATAGAATTTATATAATTATATTCAAATCATGTAAAATCAATATGGATGGAACTTGCTTCATAACCTTATTAAATTTTAGATTTTATAATACTCAACTTAACTTTGTTTAGCTGATCTACCTCCATAAACTAGAAAAGCAAAGCTACATATTATCTATAATCTGAGTTTTGGTAATAGTTTTGTAATTCTATACTTGGACTTTTTCCTCAAAAGTCAATACTATTAAATTTTTGTTCATCCATACACATAAAAAGGCTTGGACAGTTAATAGTGAAAATTGTGCTATAAGACTTGATAAGAAAAGAATTATTGAAGTAAGTAGAAACGGAAGCTGTCCTTCTGGAAATTTCTCACTTGTAGTTGGAGTTTGATGATGTATATGGATTAGTCCTAGATTTATTAAGATAATGGTTTTTATTAATAATTTTTTAATCATATCTAGGGACTTTAAGATTTGGAATAAAATCTTTTAGTATAAGAATTTATTTACTTAAGATTCTAATTTGTATTGATTCTGCTATAAATATACAAGATACTTTAATAGAGAAATCTTTTATTAATTTTTAACCCTTAGAATGAAAAACATGAATAAAATGAAAAATATAAGGATTATTTAGGCATATTTAGATAATTTAGATAACTTACAGTTTAGTGATCGAAATAATTAATTTAAATTACTAATTGTCTATCTCAGCACATTAAACTTTTCTGCTAATATCATAAAAAATATAGAAATTTCCTTATTATTATTTTAGATATGTCAATTTCCAATTTAAAATTGATATATCATATTGTTGGGCCCAGTCTGTGATCTGTCAATAAAGATTTTAATGATATCCTGGCAAAAGTATACTTAATAGACTTATTGTTTACGAAAATACACTAATCAAATTAAAGCTACTAATCAATCTGAATTCATTTATTTCGATAATGAAAAAGAATAAAATATGTTAAAATTTGATGGATTCAATCTAATAAGATCTCGACTTAAAAATATTGAACCAAAATAATTTTTGGGTTTCATTAAAATTATCCAAATATAATCAAAAATAAATTAGAAAAAATGTGATCTAAATTCTATTGATTATATTGTTATCAATAAATAATCTTTAAATTATATGATAAGTTATTTTTATCAAGGATATAGTGTTCTAATCTTTAATTAGAATTTAATATTTACATTTTATATTTAATTTCTTAGGATTAAAAATTGTTAAGAATTGAGACATAAATATGTGTACTTTAAATTACTTCTGATCTTATTGTTATTATATCGTAATTAATGCGAATATGACTGGATTAAGAAAATAAAAACTTGTATGATTTATAAATTAAATTATATATCAATAATTTGAATAATGAAATTAGTATTTTTGTTTCTCTTTGCAAGTTTTTTAGTATTAGCTTAAGAGAATATTGATACTAATACTAATGGAGATGATGCTTTGGAAAATATAAAGAAATTAGAAGAATAGGAATCGGAAGCGATAAATTCAACTCAGGATCATATTCCATAAGATAATTCTAATGAGCAAAACAAAACAAATTAAAAAGAAGAATAGAAAGAATCAATAGATAGCGAAGAATTGGCTGATATTATTGAAGAAGCAGAAGAAAATATAATTGATTTACTCGAAGCATTGAGACCTTTGTTTGGGGTAATTAATGCCTTACTTAATGTACTAGCTTAGATTCGGCGATTAAGACAGAGATAGTGATGGTTAGGTAGTTGAAGATCAAGCAGAATAAGATAATGATGGTGAGCAATAATAATCATAAAGTACAACTTAGGAAGATCCTGTTGAACAAATAGCATAACAAGTATAGACTGACCCCTTGATGCTGTAATGGGATCAATTAATGATTGATTTTGATCCTGAAGATTTACTTACTTTCGAATTACAATCTGGAGCTACGGAAGTAATCTAAAATAAAAACTAATTATAGATCCTGTGTGAAACAATCAAGAAGGCAACTACTATAAGAGGGGCATACTTTATTCCTTAATTCAGAGTTGATCAAAAGATTGATTTCTACATTAAGACTTCCAATAATACATTGTTATATTCAAAGGAAAGAGTTCAAGAGGGTATTTTTAAAATTGATGTTCCTGAAAAAGGAGAATATAAATTCATTTTCACAAACAAAAGAGTATTATATTATACATTATATTTTAGACAAAAGAACCATTAACGATAACTTTTGCAATCGATGTTCACGATTCTCATTAAGAGTTCCTTAAATTAGCTGATTTAGATCCTCTGGCTCTTAGAATAGAGAGGTTATCTACTGCAATGAGAGTAAATTAAATTTATATCAACAAGGATAATTATTTTTATGACAAGATGGCTGCATAGCAATTTGAAGGAGGTTTGAGAGAAGTTGAAAATGCTAACAATAAATTGTTGCTTTTCAGTCTGATTGAAGTCATTGGTATTATTGCTATTACAGGATGGTAAGTCTTTTACATGAAAAGAATTTTGAGTAATTAGAGAATGATATGATTATATATATCTGTTGTATTGAACTTTAAATTTAATATATATATGTATTCTAATGAATTATCTTTAAATCAATATAATTCTTATAAACATATGTTAGGTTGTCATTACTATCATCAATTAGAATCCTTTTTGAAAGATTGCATCTTTTAATAGTTATTAATTTGTTAATCCAGATTATAATGCGGAAAATAATCCTCAAATGAGTTGATTTTCTCGAAAAACTCCAAGAAATTGTTCTCGATTGATATTATTCTATTCAAGTTATCTTGAACCTCAACGTGACTGTTCACCATTGTATGATTCTTCCTTTAATCTCTATTTTTAATTTCAGATTGCACATCAGTGTGATATCGCTAATATTATTATTATTATTCATCCTTCTATAATGCATTTTTATTAAACCTTTTCTTCGTTTGTAACACACTGTCTTGTACTCTTTGTAAGGCTTTATTATTCATTGAAGATCCATGATCTTCAGTTTAATCAAGTCTTTAGAATTTGGATTGTGCAATTTCTTTGATTTCATTAACGAAGATTTTTCTGCTGCTAATGCTGCTACTCACACCTTGAGATTGGATAAAGAATTCTGAATCCACTTTCTTTGACTATAAGGTTTAGCCACTATGCGAATAATTAATGTAAGGAACAGAACTTATTTCTAGTTAATTCATGAAATTATTATTGTTCTAGCTTTGCAAAGAGTTGGAAGAGGGTAAAACCTTTTAGAATGATTCAACTTTATCGTATTCTTCTGAATTTAAAGATTCAGAGTCCTCCTTTACATCGATTTAAACTTAAGCTAGAAATCTTCTCTTCTTTGTATTTGCTTACTAATTAAATAATACAAGATAGTTACTCTTTTAAAATCAATAATTCTATTCTAATCTTTATTTAAGATATAATTATGAATGACTTAGGCTGTATTTAGCTTGTAATTTACAATAGGACACTCTGTAATATCATGTTCCTTAAAACAACTAAAACATTAGATGTTTATCAGGTGAGATTGATTTTCAATCATAAGAGTGTCAATAAGCATTCTATACTTTTAGAATTCTCTAGGAAATTATCGGATCAAATTCTAGAATTGATTAGAATCTAGAGTAGCTATTTTTGAATATCCAATACTCTTAAATTCTATTCCCTATATTTGATTCTTAAAAAAGGCAATGCTATTGAAGATCTAAAATGCATTTTAAATTTTAGCCAATTTAAATTCTTTCTAAGATGTTTAGCATTTTTAAACTATTCCTATTTATCCTTCCAAAAGAAAATGAAGGCATTGTTTCTATTGTATCACCTTGTTTGGTTATAAAATGTCTTCCTCTATGATTTCGCACAAATTCAATAAGGTGGAATGAGAAAATGACTTTTTAAATATAGGTATGTTTTATAATATCTTAAAATACTTTTCTCTCTTCATCTATTATTGCAAATGTATCGGAAAACTTTTCATATTGAATTTGTTAGATCCATTATCTTACTAATAATTGACTATGGACTTCAAAGTCTTAGGGGCATAATTAATCTATTCATCCAATGAAAGGGAGTGATAATTTATTATCTATCTAATTTTGTGCAGATAAAAAATCAATAAGAGAGTCCTAATCAAGTATACAATGAAATAATATTGCTTTATTATGATGGGATTCTGAAACAATACAGCAAATATGCTTTGGATATAGTTGATATAGTCTTGTTGTTGTTCTGCAAATATATATATAATTGTTTAGGCAATAAAGGTAGCAAAATGAAGTTAAATGGTTGTCTATATTATGAACACCTAATCAGATTAATTTATATATAAAATTAAGTTTTGAACGTAATCAGTAATTTTTTAGATTCTTATTAGATACAGCATATAAAATATTTTCTATGCATCACCTATATCCATTAAAAAAGCAAAAAAAGGTAGCATAGTTATTACATCTGCAAACATGCTCCATAGGCAAAATTTATTGATTATAATCTGATAAGTACACTCAAGTAATTAAAAGATGATCAAAAAATAATGGAAAATCTATTAATTGCAAATTTTTAATTAATTACAGCCCAATTCAATTAATAGGATGGTCAAATAAAATATTAAAAAGCATATATAAAAACTTTAGATTACTTGTTTAGCGAGGGAATCCTATTTTAGGCGATTTAGAATTTATTGTTTTAGTGGAATGATATAGGCTGAAGATAAGTCATGAATAATTTTGAATTGCTACTTAGTTAATATTTGTTGTCTGAACAGATTTGATCTTGATAAGTACAACAACTTTAATGATGAATGAAGCTTATTTGATTTATTCAAATTGCATTTTTGATACAGTAATTCGCAATCATTTGACTTTTTAATTAAACTTTGTGAGTCTTCTTTGTTGTTTGGTTCTTCATTGATGAGGAGCAAATCTTTATGATTATTAGGAGATATTCTATCTGAGGCTATCTATACACTGATCTGAGTTACAGTAGGGGATTTTTGATTAGTAATTTTAATTTAATTGTTGTCAATTTAGGCTTTACGACTCTCTTGGGAAGGATTGCGCACTCTCATTTATTACTGGTTAATTTGAGACATAATTTGAATGATTGGCTTACGAAATGAGTCTTCATTTGGAGGAGTGGTGGTTGAATTTTAAATCATTAATTATTATATTGAAATATGATTCATCATTCTATTTATTTAAGAATTTCTTGAAATAGTTTCACAATAGTCTTAATGAATTGAAGCAGCATTAATTTTTTTTTATGTAAAATATGAAAAATCACAGGCAGCTCTTAAATATTCAGCAAAGCAATACATTTATTTAATTGAAAAAGTTCAGCAATATACTGTTTTATATCATATTCTGAAATAAAAATTCATGAAACTCTATTGTTGCCATCTCTTAAGTTGTTTCATCATCAAATTTTTTAGATAAAAAGTTTATTAAATCTTAACAGTTATGAGATATATACACACTAAAGAAATATGGGAAATTAATGTGGCAATCTCAATCTTACCACATTCATTCATATCAATTTCTTACTTTCAATATCATATATGGTATATTGAATGAAATTAATTCTCTTTTTTATTAACATATTTAAGAATCCTTTTTATTTTGGTGGTATTTTAAATATATTTCATATTTTATATTTTAGAATTATCGGCCTTTGGAGAAAGCAGAATTTAAGTGGGAATTCCTCAATAAATTAAGAATAAATTAGTCCCAAAAGATCATCAGGATCTCAAAATTTGATACTATTCTTTACAAAAAATCAAATTTACATTAAATTTTCATCTATTTTTACCATCAAGACAATTACTATCGTAATCATATTTTAAGATTAACAATTATTTATAATTACTCATAGGTGTTTATATAATTTTTATAATTAATACTATAATATCTGGTATTCGACGCCGATGAAGCCATGTAATAGAACAACATCGGGCTTTTTGAATCCAAATTTCTTTAGCACTTGCGAGAAATTATTTGATTGATCAAACAAACTCAAATATCAGCAACAAGTGCAGAAACAATTAAATTGTTTATTCGATTCCTTCATCCCAACTAGTCATCGAACTACTAGCTAAGACATTTAGAATCTTATGGTTTCGGTTTACATGTGAAGTAAGTGAGATATATCACAACAATGTTCACGTTGTAGTACCGAAAACCTTAAATTAATTATTTAATTAATGAAAAAATATTTAATTTATTTGGTTATATATTAGTGGTTGTCATTCTTAAGACATTAAATAACAGTATATATATAATATTAAGTTACTAAATATACAATTTATGATATATAATATTATTTATTTCAAAAATTTCTTTTTTTAAAAAACTTATTATATTACTATCCAAAAGTATATGGTTTCTCATACCTCCTCTCTTCTAGACTTTCATTTGGATTGGCCCTTTGTCCATCTGACGATCTCATAATTCTTGATGGTATTCTGCTTCCAGGGGATTTTGATTGTGGTCTTTGATAACTTTTAGTCGTAGGTCTTTCAATGGAACTATTGTGGGTGAAGTTGGAGGTATTTTAGTAGAAGGTCACTTTGGAATTACCAAATGATTAGTTATTTTAGCTCAAATAATAGGGAGATTTATAAGTTGATGACAATTGAGTAAGTTGTTGAACCTTTGAATGTTGGGTTTTCTCGATAACAGAAGTGTTATTCATACCTTTGACACTAGTTTTCCTAGAACTCACAGTTCGTTTTCTACATGATGAAGGATTCGAAAGGATTTCTTTGTCTTACGTTAAAAAGGTTTGCTTCCTGAGTTGGAGATGACATTAGCAAGAGCAACCTACGGCACAATTTTGCGAGATTTGTAATTAATCGCATATTTCTCCCATGATGGCACTAATGTAAGGTTCGTTATATTTCTAGTGTTCCATTTGATTCAATTTCATAAGAGTCTGATTAATGGAAAACAATTACTTCTTCTACGACCCTTTTGAATTGTTTCTCATCTGCTAGTTCATTCTTGTAGAACTTAATTATTCTCCGCTATAAAATTTTGAGCAAAGAAGTAATCAACTTATTATACTAACCTTCCAGTTAGCGAGTAGCAAATCCAGAATAGACTGACATTAAGTAATATGAAGAAATTACAATATTATAATATTTCACTTTTATTTTAAAATGTTTCCTTTATTTCTCAGTAACGATTGAATGGTCTCGAACTTAAATGGAAAACCTACATTACAAAAAATTGAGTACATGTCTACTATTATTCTGTATTTGTTCTAGGGCGATTCTAAGGTGTTTTATTTTAATGGCCTTGCTATTATTTTAGTTTTTAAGAATTGATATAGGAAGAATCTGGAGATCGGTTATTTACTCTATAACTAATAGGAGTGTGCGAGTTCTATTTCTCGATTGCAGTCTGTCTTTCAGTTCTACAAACATCAGAAAGTAAGGATTTCAATTAATTGCTGTTATTTGTGGGACTTTATTATTAAGTAGGATTTGATCTGAGATTAGGGTTATTCTTATGAGGTTGTAATTAAATAGTCATGGTGCTATTAATGAAGTCTTAGGTGGAATTGATATTGCTATTGCTAGTATTACAGGGATTAGACTATTTCTTAAGATAAATACTGAAATCGAATTGTCCTTAGTTTTATTATTTGAGATTATTTCTTTAATTTGTGGGCGAGTGATCAGATCCTCTCTTTTGATTAATCATCTATTCAATCAAATCAGCTTAATTCTTAATAATAGTCTTAATTTGTGATTGCTATTGTGTTTTTGGAGGAGATCTGGAATTCAAAAATGTAGTAATGAAATTATTAGTTAATTTAGGAGATTAATCCTATTTAGCATTTTATTTATAATTGTTGTTGATTGGGATTTATATCTTTTAATTATGTTTCGATGTTGAAGAGGTTTCTGAATTTTACAAAAAAGCAGGTTGTTTTTCAGAAGTACTGGATAATATGGATTCTTCTTTTATTACATCCAAATTTATATTATAATGTTTGTGATAACTAGTTATTAGATGACTGATGTAAGGAGATTAAGTAGTTATATGTCTACAGGCTATTTCAATTGCTTTTAAGTGGTACATTTCACTTAATTTAAACTCTTCAGTATCTATTTTGTCTTCCTTCACACCTATTTACTTAGCTTTTTCTAATTCCATGAATCTTAATTCAGTTGCAATAGTAAAGTATGAAATCGAAAAGTAGATTACTTTTTCTAGGATTTATCTTTTAGCTAATTCATAAATCATCTCACCAAACTGAGTGAAATCATCATAAACTTACGGTTCCATATGCATGATAGATCCAATATTGAAATTCTTGATCCACTCAGCCAAATTCTAAATCCCTAATAATGATCGATATTCCTCATTTTGAGATACTAATTTTAATTCTTTTCTCAAATGCTTCTCATTATTTTCTGGATTATTCCTCCAAAAATATAACTACTTTTTAGCTTCCTTCAATAACTGTTTCTCATTCACTGGGATTTTTTCAAGATCGACTTATCTTATCATATCCTTCAATATATCTTTTGCTCCATCAATCACCAACCTGCCAAATTCAATTTCATCCTTCATCTAGTACTTCTGTGTTTTCTTCTATTTGTCTTAATCTTGTTATTGCTATTCTTATTGATTGCTTCTGACTGAAATATTTGATTATGAAGTAGTGGCAGTTCCTAAAGATCCGTTGTTCTACGACCAAGATTAACAGAAGTGATTCGCTATCTTGAATAACTCTCTCATTGTGGTTGCTGCCTTCTATGAATTGAGAAGTGCCTTGTTATGCCTATGTTTTATTAGTTTTGAAGCTTACTTTCCCATTTAACTTAAAATGGCTGTATATTGTAAATAAGCTTTAGCTAGAAAAGTCTATCTCTTCACTAACTGTGCTTACTTCTCTTGAGCAGTGGCAAAGTTCTCTAAATCTTGCTCGTCCTCCTTAATGGCTAATTCCATGTTATAGATAACACCATCCAAATATTTAGAACATTTATCCAAAACCCATTAGCTTGAATAAAAGCATTCATTACCATTGATAAGCACAGGCTTAATTATATAGAATTATTATAATTAGGTTTCTATCAATAACTCTGCCACAACTTGCAGCAAACTAAGATTATTGAAATCTATCATACTTCTAACATCTATTCGGATTATTATAGCAATTTCAAAGCCTCTTTGTATTTCTGCTATTTAATTTTAACAGTTGCCTATTCATTCAATAAATTGATCTGTTACATTAAAGAATCTAAAACTTATTGAGTTTTTGTGAAATACCTGAGTTCTTTAATAGTTATTTTAGGTTTTATTGTTTCGTGTATTATTCTAAATCTTCATCCTCCTCTTGTTTATATGATTCATCCTCTAGTCCCATGGAGTTATTTGAAATTGTTTGTTAATTATTCATTTTATAAAATATTATTTGATCAAAAAGGTTATTATTATAAAATAATTAAGCATGCAATCTCCTCTTCGATTGTATTCTGCCTAAAGAGCATTCACTTGTAGGAATATGGAGACCAAACCTTCTTTTTTCATTTCTAAAAGTATGATCATCAATCACTATCCTTAAAGAGGCCAAATAATCAAAGAAACAGAAAGAAATCGATAATCTCAACGAATAATTATTAATGGTCAAGCAATCCAACAATCTACTATTCGAAGAAAACAAACAATTAAAACAGCAAATATTGCACTTCGAGGTTTTCATACATTCTTACCTAGAAATAATTAAATAAACAAGAAAAGTTACTCATTTTGAATAAACAATCTAAGGCCGAATCTAAACATAGCGACTTAGATTTACAAATAAGAATGAAAACAGAAGAAGTACCATAATTGTTATACTAGACATGTTCCGTTATTGCATATCAAAAACAAATCAAAGATTTTAAGTCTAGAGACTAATATTATTAGTAGCAAATCGAGGAATTAAAGAGAGACACAAGAAGAACAAAGCTACAAGAATGTCAGGTTAAGTATTATACATATTGTTTAAGATAGAATGTAAGGTAATCAAAGAAGTATATGAAAAATTAAAATTTAAATACCAAGCATTAATGCATTAAATGTAATTTCTACTTTTACGATTCTTAGTTAATTTAGTCAAAAAGATGAATTATTGAGAGATAACATTAAAATTAGTTAAGAATTACTCATTACTTAATAAAAACTTTAAGAATTATAACTACACAATAAGAAAATTCAGCAAGACTTACACCAATCTGATTTTAAAAGAATACGTAGTGAAAAGTTAGTGTTTGATAAAGAAAAAGAGTTGAAACTAATATAGTTTGAATATAGTAATCCAAAAAAAACAATAAGTGATTTAAATCGATAATGGTAAATCAGATTAGAAAACCAAAAGTTAATATAGCAGTAACTTGAAGATGAATTGAGATTAAGAAATGAAAAAATCATCCTCTTAGAAAAGACTTTAAAAGAAGACAAGGCTGCTTATCAACTTAAAGAGGCTTTTTACAAAAGGGAAATTGATAGTTTGAATATCCAAATCGGATAATTAAAAGAAACTATTTAACATCTAGAAAAGGAGTAGATGGTTGAACAAAGTTCGGATGAATAAGAGTCTAAATCTGAAAAATCGGAGAGATAGACATCCCAGTCTTACCAAAGACAAAAAACACAACTATTAATGAGTAGAAAAAAGATTCAAAAAGTTAATTCATCTGAAGTAGAGATCATTGGAAAAGAGATAGCATTGAAATTCTAACTAGCTTAAATACCATTCTCTAGATTAGACTCTTACATTTATTCTAAATCATCGAGAGGTATAATCAATCTAAATGAAATCAATGAAATTCTTAAGCAATCTCCATTTGATTTGCCAGATGACTAATCTTTATTAGTGGCAAGGTTTCTTGCAGAACCTGAACAAGAGGAATGGATCTATTATGATAGTTATCAAACAAACGATGTTGTAATTGTTATTAGTATCTTCCGAAATCTGGTTAAACCTTTTGATTTGATCAACCCTCAGCTCTACGACACCATACATCAAGAATTAAAATAGATTTTCAGACTCAACAAGAATAAGTTAATTGACTATCTCATGCTAAATGGTGATAATTGCGATCTAAATTACTTTAAGAAAGCATTTGAGTATTGTGACATTCCTTTAAGTTAAGAGTAAAACTATTATTTAATTTAGATAAGAAGCATATATTGCAATAAAAATATATGAGAAGTATAGGCGAATTGTTAATTTGAAATACTAAGAAATAATTGATTACTTCAAATGATAATATAATGTAATTCAAAAGATTAAACAATTTATACAGGTTTCTGATGAACTCTCCTTTCTTTTATTCTTGATTTCCTCTTATTTCAATGGGTTTTGATATTTTCCTCTCTTAATTTCATAATGCTCATCTTCTTCGTAATCTTAAGATGCTGAGGATAGATTTTACAAAGATTTGGTCCCTAAAAATAGAGTTATTTAATTACTATCCATGATAGATATTGAATCATTCTTGGATTTGATTATTTCAAAGAGTTTGTCTCGAAGATCATCCAATAGATTGGCAATTTCTGAATATTATGAAATTTATTCTTGTAATTTAATAAATTTGGAATCATTTATGATGTCAGAGAATGATTATTATAATCTATTAAATCTTTCATTATTAAATGATTTTAATTATTAAAACTATTATTACAGATTTTCCACTTCATTATGATAAATTTAATGCAATCTGAAAATGCAAATCCCTTCAAACTCATTTCCATTGTAGTTTGCCAATTCATTTATCTCTATAAGTTCTGTAAGTTAATTAAGTTTAAGAAGTATTTTCTTTTGTAAACTGGCCGCAGTCCTATAATAATTAAATTGATATACTCTTTGCTTTCCTGTTGAATCAGCATATGACTCTTCTTTAAATTAGAGGGTCCTGGAATAATTTAGATGTCCAATGTTATCTTAAGATCCTACATTATTTTGTTTATTTATTTGAGCTATAAGTTAAAATAGATATTACCTCTAGAATCTTAGTACAATAGTTCTTCATGATCTTATCATCTACATTGTTAAATTGTTGTTTTATGAGATTAACTTTTTCCTAAAATTACACTAAACGAGAATAATACATCTAGTTAGTCCTTCAAATTTGGATAGATCGGTCTAGATTCCTTTTTGAATGCTTGAACATTATCTAACAAAGATTCAATGTCTTGTTTGAGTTTAAGAAGCATGAGTAATTTAATAATAATAAATTATCTTTAATTTTCCATATTTTAAGAGTATTGAATTCTTACACACTAGAAAGGAATCTAAATTAAACTAGAGCATAATAATAATATTGTATAAATTAAATGATTTCATAATAAAAGAATATCTTTTTCTGACACCTTCACCTTCGTATTATTAGCAGACAATTAAACTATTAAATATCCAGATTTTATTTAAACAATTTATCCTCGATATCCTTACCATTATCCAATTTTTAGTTGACAAATTTATCCAGTCAAACACATCTAATCATTCTATTTTGGTTTGTTTTGTTTACTAAATACCATTTTGCAGTTATTTGCATTTTCAAGAATAATTTAGTAAGGAAACAAATGGTTAAATAAATATAGCTTACCATTTATACAATGTTTGACTAATCCAAATTTATTAGCATACTAACCTGATATGATTATCACATTATCATTGATTCTGAATGTTTCACCTTATTCATTCATTTCAACTCCATTTATTGTGAGAATTTCTAGTTTCTCATTTCTTATTTCTTAAACCTCATTATTGATATCCAAAACAACAGCAGATTACAGCTTTTATTGAATAACACAGCCGATTTAAAAGTCATTGTTCCCAAATTTGACTAAAGAATTATCAGTTTAAAAATTCTTATGTCCAAATTATAACACACTGTGAGGTACCTTGAAAGTTCCATGTTAATTTGAAAGCACAACATAACCTTATTTGATACATATAATAACACCTACGTCTCCTTTGTGAGGACCATCTATAACTTTGGCTTCCTAATATAATTTAAAAGCTAATCGTATTTCTGATGCATGAACTAGATATGTGTATTCTCGATTATCTTTCTTACACATAAGTTCTATCATTTAATCATCAAATATTTTCATTATTTTGAATTTAGGACCTTTATTGATATCATCTTCCCCTATTAATCTGACTTTTTGTCCTTCTTTAAACTGTACATCCACTCTTCTAAGTATTTCTCTTTTAGCCTATTAGACAAGAATCTTTCGATCAACTACATCAGGGAAGAACATTTGTAATTCCTCATCAGTGATTGTAATATTATGTTCTATATTTTTAAGTGGACATCTTAATAGATTGAACCCATCAATTTTAGCACACTTGTACTCTTTTTCAATATCAGAATAAATGAATTCAGATTGATTAGTAGTTTCAATTTGATTAGTTTATTGTCTAGTTCTTTACCATGAAATAGGTTCTTTTTAACCTTATTTATTTCTTTTAATCACTTTTATTATAGCAAAGTTTTAAATTAAATTCACTCTTAATACTTTTCCTAAATCTTTCCCATAGTTTTTATGATTTTTAAATCTTACCCATTAGCCAACTTAAATATTGTTATTTTTCTTTATTTCTAATAAACTATCACAATCTTCAGGTTAAATATATATAGGTTATCCATACATAATGGACCTCATGAATTCCTTAACATCATTTTCAAAGAAAGATTCAAAAAAAATAAATCCTTTAACATTTGGAGTATAAAAGACAGATACAATTGGACTATTTTTTGGCAATAAATTTGAGATTTCTAATATTCTTTATACTTCCAAAATAGATCTACCACATTTGAACCTCCACACTTTTGGATCATTTAACTTAGGTCCTCCTTTTAATGTATCATCATCATCATCATTATCTTAATCCTCATCATCTTAATCTATCACATTACTACTGTATTCACTGTTATTTTGAGTCTCATCTATTGCATCCTATTCCATTAGTTCTTGAAGCCTTTTATTCAATCTTTCCTTAGCTTATGCTCTCCTACTCTGAATTTCCTTCAATTATCTTTCAGCTTCCTTTCTATTTATCTCAAATTTTGGATCATCGTCTTCTTCACTACTATAACCTTCAGAAGCCTCTTATTCTATAAACTAACATTTGGTTCTCTTTCTCATTTTAAAATTTTAATAACTAATATTCTAGTCATTTTTTTATTTAAATACATAATATAAAATTTCACTTTTATCATTGTAATGAATTAAATTTCTATTGTTTGATTACTTTTCCTTATTTATCAACTAATTATTTGCTAACAACCTAATCGTTTTCTTCATCCATCAAAAAATCATCATTAACTTCCTTGTGAGTCTACTCAATCATTCTATATTTCTTTAACTCCTTTTATTTGAACTATTTTAATATTCATTATCATTTACATTCTTTTTGCTTTTGTCAATTAAAAGTTCTTATTATTCTTTTGCATGATCATTCAAATTCTTACCAAATAATGAAATATATTTTTAATCTTTAGGATAATATTTGACATAATTAATTTTCTCTTGTATTTCAGATTCCTACTCCAACAACGGTTCCCTATTTTCTGTAGTTTCTAGCTCTTTTTGAATCTTCTCTAATTGTCTCTTCAACTTTTTCAAATCCACTTATTTTATTTTCTTATATTTTCTGGCAAAATAATCAATTTTTTTCTATTGCTACTTGTATTCATTCTATTTCTAATTTAGTTATTTTTATTTGGTCTCTAAATCTTATTGTTTCGTCTATTTTATTTCTTCATTTAAATGACCCTTTTGTTAATTAATTAATATACTTTATTTATCAACCTTTGAAGATCTCTTACTTATTTTTTTAATTTCTTACAACTCTCCCCTTCCTTTTGATTTGTTTTTGATCTTTTGAGTTGATGAAATTTATTTAAAGGCAGCTCATTTCTTCTTTTATAAATTTTCTTATGAGTTTCCATAAATTATTTTTATATTATAAATAAATTAAAATCAGCTCCTTCTAAAAAAATGATAATCAGGTTGTGTCGAGTATGGACCTGTATAGGGTTTCATAATCATTGATGATTCATACGGATCTGACATAAATGAGTTATAAAATAGATTTTTTGTAGCTTCTATTTATTCTGGAATCAGTCTTGAAGACAACCTAAAGAATATTGTCAATTTCAATACCTTAAATAATGCTTTAATTTTGGAATATGATAGGGAGTGAATTTATTATATGTCTTTAAAGAAAAGTCGACCCCAACCTAATCTGAATAATAATTATAAAACTAAAGTTTATAATTAGGAGTTGGCTTAGTATTCCAAAGCATTAGAATTGTTTAATTTTTTTATTATTCCTCAGATTCTTAATCCCTCTTTGAATTTTGGTCTGAGCCCTCAATTTTAGGGTCTTGTGACTAAAATGAAAATAATTTAAATGGTTAATTAGCCATATATATTAATTAATAAAATAAATAATAATTGATTATCTTATTGGAACAAAAGAAAATAATCGCCATTTTTAGATGTGTAATTTCATTTCAATATAAATAAATCAATACTTTTGTTCATTTATATGCTAAAACCTCTGCTTCAAGTGAAAAATTTGAAGAAGGAAAATTGCCAGTTCTACTTATTTGAATAATTTTTGTTTCATCAAGTCTAATTGAACAATTTTCACTATACAAAGATATAGCATTTTGACCATAAGGAATCATTTTAATTTTGATAATATCAACTTTTGTAGAAAAAGTCCAAGTACTTTGCGAATCTGTTTAACAATTTCCAGATTATAGATAAATATGTAGCTTTGCTTTTCTAGTTTATGGAGGTAAATCAGCTAAACAAAGTTAAGTTGTGTTTTATAAAATCTAAAATTTAATAGGGTTATGAAGCAAGTTCCATCCATATTGATTTTACATGATTTGAATATAATTATATAAATTCTATTATTTTTATTGGATTTAAATTAAAAAAATAAAATTATAGAATTGTGCATTATATATCTTCATATCTATTTATATTTCTATTTATTATTATAGGATTAACATTTAATAATAGAAATGAAATATTAGAAACTCATTATATAAATCATTGTTTTCTATCATGAAATATAGATCCTTTTATTGCTTTTTAGATAATTGATTTTACATTTCCTATTAATTAATCATTTTTAAAGGTAACTTTAGCACTTTATTTAATAATTTAATTATACATCTATCCATTGGAATGTTTGATTTCAAAATCTCCTTCTTTTTTGTTATTTTTAAATGAACCAGTATATCTAGAATTCTAATTAATTTTTACATATCTCCAGTATTCTATATTTTGAGTTCTCCTTTACCATGCATTTAATCATCTTAAAATTAACCATTATAATTAAAATTAAATAAAATGTAAATTTACATATCACCAATAGGAAAGAAATAAGTACCTCTTCCTTATCTTTTATCTTTCCAATATTCACCTTCATATCTAGATTAGAGAATGACTTACCTATCTCCTTTTTTTGTATGAAACTCTCCATGGCCATGCTTCTTATTTTCATAAAATTCTCCTTTATATCTAATATATTATAATATTAATACTAATCTCCTTTCTTAGTATTAAGAATTCCTTCTCCTTAAATTTTATCATCCATAAAATGTGCTTTAACTCTATAAAAATGAATTCAATTTTACTCATAATCAAATGAACTTTTTTTAAATCCAAATCCGTTAAGTTTTTATTATTCATTTTACCCTAAAATATACAGCATTCAGAATTTTCATTTAAAGTTGTTTTTTAACCCCTTTGCAGATAATCTTACTATTAAACCTCATTTTTTACCAGTTTTGATACAAATTAGAAGAAATAAAATTGTTTTTGATGTTCTCCTAATAAGCTAGTTTAACTAAATGGGCTTAATTCCAAAATTTAAAGTCCCTAAATTTAGATTCACAATTAATAAAAAAAAAATCAATTATTTTATGCAATATACTTAAATTAATTCATTTATATCCTAAAACTTCAATTACGATTGAAAAGTTGCCTGAAGGAAAATTTCCCTGTCTACTTATTTCAATAATTTTTTTCTCATCAAGCCTTATGGCAATATTTTCGCTATTAACTGTCCATGCATTTTAAGCATATGGATGACCAGAAATTTTGATCTTATCAACTTTTGTTGATAAAGTCCAAGTAACAGTTGAATCTCCTTAACAACCCCCAGACTATAGACATATATAGAGCTTTGCTTTTCTAGCTTGAGGAGGTAAATCAACTAAGGAAAATGATGTTGTGTTTGCTTGAATTTAAAATACTATAGGGTGCTGGAGCAAATTCCATCCATATTCATTTTACATTTTTTGATGAAAATTATGTAAATTCTATTATTTTTGATTAGATTTAAATAAAAAAAATAAAATTATAGAATTCTGATTAAACAAAAATAAATATTTCCATAATATGATAGGAATTTTAATTTAAAGAATTACTTTTATTAAAAAATCATATTAATATAATACTAATTGATTTTTAGGTTATCTTTTATTTTATTTCAACTCTGTCATGCATAATATTTCCTTATATCCATTTATATTCGTTATTACACAATTAACATAAGGAGGTATCATATAGAAATTCAAATTTTCATATCAAATACTGAAAATCTAGAGATCCATTTGAAAGTAACAATAAGTCTGTAATCTTTCACTTGTCAAATCTTAGCCACAAAAGAGGATCAGAATGAATATAAATGAAGGTCACTTTAGGTTTTGATAAAAATTAATTAAAATATTAAAAGGCATGGGATTTTTGATTATTATATATTTGTGAATTATGAGAGGATTGTGTTGAGATGATGAATCTTTAAGTAGGATGTCTAAAAGTAGTAATAGAATGAATGATTGTTTCTGATAATATATATGCATCAGTTATTAATTTAAATAATATGCAAGCATAAGCAAATGTTTATTAGTTTGAAGCTGAGCCACAAGTATCTCACCCAAAATATCGCGATTAAGATCTATATGAGGAACTCACAGACCTGCCTGATGATGAGTCGAAGATAAAACCAGATTATTATATTGATCGACCTGTATGTGTAACTTAATAGTCAAGCCAACTCCGGAATATAAGCCTTTGCCTAACGGAATAGATGTGGAAACTCAGATTGAATCCTATGAGCCTGATTTGTTTGATTACATTTTAGAGGTGGAGCCGGTGTTATAAGTTTTAGTGGGCAAATCAGTAGAATAGGCGAGGATGGAATTGATTGAAGAATTAGAAAGGCAGGAGTTGCAGATATAGAAAGCAGCCTTTGAAAAAAAGCGAAATGCTGAATTGATGGTAACTTAGAGAATGGAAGCAGCATATGTTAGGAGAAAAGAAGAAAGAGTATATAATTATAATGATAATTTCCTTAGGAAAGGAGAGTCTTGCAACACAAATTGCATTAGGATTAGATGAAACTGTCCTAATAAAAATTCATAGCGAGAACCCTATCCAAGAATGTGGTGAAGGGAGTGAATTATAGAATTCTCAAGGATCTTGAAAATTTGGGATTATTGAAAAATGATTATTTATTAGAATTAAAAGTTCACTCGTTGCCATGGTTAATTCAGAGAATAAAACAAAATTGTGATAGCAATTAAAATTGCCTTGATAACATCAATCATCTCTTGGAAGAAGTTCAAAACCCAATTACATAATAACATTCAGGTTTTTATCAGCAAGAATAACAAAGAAGAAAAGCAATCTTGGATGAGAGAGAAAGGATCAGAATTGAAATTGAAGAGCGTAAGAAGAGAAAGGCTGAAATCAAAAGAAGAAGAGCATTAAAAGAAAAAAGAGAAATATAGAGAGGGGCATTTTATAATCTCACGCTCTCTAAAGCAGAATCCCTCAATTCAATATTTTAAGCCAATATCTAGGAAGGAACCACAGAAGTAGGATAAAAGGGAGTTGTTGTACACTTGGATCTCTTTCTTCTATTGGCAGAAGGATTAGATTTAATTACTGGAGATTAATTGGATTAAATTGACGAATCAATCATTTAAACCATTTGGATGGATATCTTAATGAATAAGTGTAATGCATTCAATATCACTGTAAATTCTTCCCTTTAACAAATCATACAAGAGGCATTTGCAAAAATGGAAGAAGACTTATACATTTTTGAGAAAAATTCTAAATAAGCGACAATTGATCAACTTAAAAATTAAACACCATTATGGGCATCCTATGTATCATAATAATATGTACCCAACATTAGAAAGATCATATTGAATAAATTATTGGATGGTTTCTTTGATATCTATTTTAAATCTGTTAATTATAAAGAACCTAAACCAAAAACAGAAGTTAAAATAAAGACTGAAGAAGCTGACCAATAGTAATAATAAAATGACTAGCCTCCTCCTTAATAAGCAGAAGATTAATAATAATAATAATAACCAGAATAAGTTGAATAACAGCCAATAGAAGATGAATATCAAAAACCTGAAATTACATAACATGATTTAGATATGGTGGAAGCTAGAAAGAAAATTAATCTCATCTTCAAATAACCGCAAAATTAGCTTGAGAATGTCACTGCAGTAGTCAATTTACTTGTGCCTTGCTTTGTTGAAGAGTAACCTGAGTAATAATAAGATCAAGCCAATCCTGACTCTTAATAAGCATCACAATAATAGACCACCGATTTATAGTAGTAATAAGAACCCACTGAACCTGTTAAACCTGTTGGAAAATGGGATTTTGATCCCAAGACCATAGATATTTATGATGGAGAGTAGCCATTGATTCAAGAAGGGGAAAGATAAGTTGTGGATTGCTTATTTTAATATGCCTTCTAAGAGTAGGTCATTGTAAATGATGAAAGGGCAGTTGAATTTTGTAGATTTTAAATTTATACTTATCTGAAGGAAAAGTATTTTATTCTATTTAATTCTAGATTGGAATCCTTTTTAAATGTTCCTGAATTTTAAAGTCTTTAATTTAAGAAGCTAAAATATTCCAATCTTAATGTCCCAATATATGATTTCGAATTATGAATGGCATTGGTTCCTTTATTATTAAAAATACAATAAGTTATCTTAAATTATCAATAGTGTTATAAATATTTTTGTTAAAATCATTATTTCCTATTATTTATGGATGAAATTCATTTGAATGAGGTGGTGGCGATGATATAGTCCATTAATAAAAGCGAAATTCTATCTGTTATATTAATCATTTTCATTTATTTTCCATTAAACAATAAGAAGATTATTCTATGATTCTCATTCATTAAATTATAGATGATATATTTAATTGAATAAAATTATATGTAATCGCAAAGCCAAACTAGGAGTGATTGATGATTATAAATAATACATCAATTTTAATAGTAAATAATCAAAAAGAAGAAACTACTTAATTTTATGATGATATCATTCAAATCTTAGATAATAACAATTAAGTAATAGAATCGGTTAATTTTCATTTGAAATAATAGCTTATTTAAACTTAATTGAAAGAACAATATAAAATATTAAATGTAAATACATTGGTGGGTTATATTAATAATCAGCCTTTGCTTAATAGTAATACTATTTTTTGTCGTTAAAGGAATAAGGAAATTATTAGGGACAAGAAATCTTTATAAAAAAGGACATTCATAGAATCTAAAACATCATAATAATGTTTCTATTAAATCCAAATAAGAACCGTAATTAGAAGTTTATGTATTAGACGAAGCCATTTAGAATACTTTATCAGTTGTTAGCAATTTATATAAGGAAGAAAGAGTTTTAAATAAAAATAAGGAGGAAAAAAGTCTTGAGGGTTAAGGTAAAAGCGAAATGGAGGACGACTTAAATTCAGATAGAAGTCAAAATCAAAAGCTTATTTAATAGAATATTAAATTTTATTCCGGTGAAAGTAAGAATGAAAATAATCTCATTAATAATTAAGATATAGACAAGTAAAATAATGATGCTCAATAATTTGAAGCTGAGTAGAATTTAAAAGAAAATTAAATTAACTTAAAAAATAATAGTTAAGCTATAGAGATTGAAATAAGCAAGCTATAGGGCCAAGATAACAAAAGTTTAAATACTAATAGGGGAAAATTGAGCAAATAGATATCACAGAAAGATTTTCAGAGTTAAGATATATCATGCAGCGAATTTAGTTCAACTAAACATCTTACTTTATTGAAAGACCTTTAAATGAAAAAGTAGATAAGCTAGGAGGCAGAGAGCTAAAGTCCTTAAAAATCAATTGTCATTTAAATAACTCCTACTGATAATCAAAATTAATAGAAGTATAAATTCATAAGAGTTAATAAGAACAAACTTATGTATGTCGAGGATAGATATAATTATTATACTGGTCTTGCTTTCTATTACAAAGTATAGTATGATAAGGAATATAATCCAAAGTTTGAAATATACGAAGGATAGTTTGATAAAGGTAAGAAATCAGGCAAAGGTATACTATATGGAGGAAAGTCTAAGTTTATTAATTATGATGGAGATTGGAAAGATGACTAATAGCATAAAGAAATACAAGAATAAAAATAAGAATAAGAAGGAGATGTAAAAATAGAGATAGAGTAAATAGTAAAGCCAAAGAAAAAAATATAAATTTTTGAAGAAGGAAAACTCATTTAAATTGATAAGAAAAACCAAAATTAAATACCCTTTGATTAATAAACCTAATGGGTTAAGTTTAACCAATAATATTGTACGAAAGATATGGAGATTTTGAAAAAGGAGACAGTATGGTTTACAAGTTCAATAATAGATGGACTTGTTGAATACTTAAATATTTAGATGGAAAATTAATTAATAAACTTCCTTAAAAAAGATGTGAAAAGGTATCTATTTTGTCCTAGTTATCTTTACACTAATATGTCATAAGATAGGATCTAAAATAATTTAATTATTTTCTAAAACCATATTTTGGAGTTTGAACCAATAGATTTCAATCTTACGCCTTTATTTTAAAGAGTGTACTTTGCTATCAACAAAAGTAAGAGTCACTTTTTCTTATTATATATTGATTTCCCTTCGAAATCCTTAAATATTGTAGATTCTATATAAAAAAAAGAAAATGCCTATTCAACTGAAATTAAGATCTTTCAGAACATTTTCTAATAGCAAATAACTTCTACAAACTTCATATCCTGCACATAATAAAGAAATGGTTACGATTGTGGACCATATACTTGTCTTAATATGTATTAAGATTTTTATAAATTAATGCAAGTGGCATATCCAAAAAATAAGTAATAAACAATAAATAACCCATTAGAAATGAGGTAATTTTTATTTGATATTTTAAAGAATAATGATAATAAATGAATTAAAAAATAATAGAATTTATCAATAACTGAATGAATATTTAATTATATTTTAATCTTATAGTGATCTCAAAAATATAAAAAGTAATAACCTTTATTTTAAAGAAATAATATTTTTCATATATAATTAGTTAACTTAATTAAAATGCACCCAATTGATATGAAATGGTATCTATATTATATCTATTTTAAATGTCCTTTTCATAAGTGAAAAATTAGTATTCCTGATTTTCTGAGTATTCTACTTAAATAATTTTAATACTATTTTACACTAACATAATTCTTAACTAATTTTCACCCTTCGAGTAAAACAAGGGTATAGAGTTCCATTCAAAAAATTATTTAAGGTTCTGAGATGCTTTATTATTAAGTCCTTGTGTTAATACGATGACTTCTAATATTAGCATTTTTCTTTTGATTCTCATTATTACTAACGTATTATAATATAATTAATATATAATTTTGAATAATGGATGAAACGATCTTATCAAAATAAAACAACTATCCTGGTTGTTATATTAAGTAAGATTTAAAGGAGGCTGATGAAGAACACCGAAATCATAAAGAGTTAAAAGACAAGAAATACGGCTTTTATTTTTTATTGTTTTAAGGATTAGTTTATACAATTACAATCATCAGTTTTGGATTTGGGAATCCAGATCAATTAGGCAAGCCCTATGATTCCGATTGTATTCTAATCCACTTTATAAGTTAATAGAGAAAGTGTGTGGAGTTGATGTTGGATTGGAATAATACAAATTTATATACTTTACAAATCCATCAGATTAGAAGCATTTAGGCAGAACAGTGTGCGTTAAGGAATGTCCAGTTTTGGAAGAAGATCACAACGAAGATGGTTCTATATTCATTCATACATTAGAATCATTGGCTTTGCAGTGCTATCCAAACAATGCTATAAATTCATGCAGAAATAGACCATCGATTGATGATCCAAACTACTCAATGATTTACTATGATTCAGTGCCATTTATAGATGTCTGCCTCCCAAGGAAATCTAATTATTTCCACAATATCCAACATGGATTAGATTAATCAGAGATTATTAGCTTTTTATCAGATATGAGTAGCGGAAGAGCTATTATACTTGCTTCCCTGGCACTCTGTTTATTGCTAAAGTAATATTTGAGGAACTAATAAATCTAGTTAATTATTCTACTTTATGATGATCAAACTATAAAAGACATCCATTTGGGTGATTTCAATCACATCAATATTTGCTCTATTTATATCAGGGGTGTTAGGTCTGTTTTATTATTTAAAACAATACTAGTACTCTGAGCAAGAGATAACAACAGCCAAAATAACAAAGGAATAAGCAATAGGTATGATTTAAGTGTAGGAATCCAATATAACTATTATTCTGATCTCCAGTGCATTCTTCCTATTATGTGGTGTTTACTTTTTGATTGATCTGATAGTAAATCGAAAGAGGTACAAGACTATGGGTGTGAAGATTTCAATAGTCAACTATTTTTTTGATTTTTCATCATCAGGAATTAGATAACAGGAAGGCTAAACTTCAAGATTCAGAGAAATGTTGATATTATTGATGGGTAGTGCAGGTTGCTTGTTGGTTTTCTGCGCATTATGGATTTGGATGGCAACGTAATATCAATTAATAATATTTTCAATAGGAATCTGTTTTCTATAGGAAAAGCAGTATAAGGATATTACCCCTTTAATACTTATTAGTTGAATTGGACAACTTACCTTATGGGATTTATTCATATTTTTGAATTGGTAGTTGTGACTCTAGCAATTTTAGGAAGCGAGTAGATGCTATTGATTGGCAAGGTAGTTGAGGTGTACAAACATATGGGAATATAGAGATTGAAAATAGATTCTCAAGATCCAGAATAATCTTTGATGGACATATTGGAGATTTATGCTTTCAATAACTTTGGTTCCGTAGTGTTTGGAGAGGTAATCATCTTTTTATTGATGATTCCAAGACTATTCATTAAGATATACGTGTGGATCAGTTTGAAGTATGACGCTGAGTTCGAAATACCATCTTTTTTTTAATAGATATTGTGCATAAATGACAGAGCCTATTTACTGGCTTATTTAAGAAATGATGAATTCCTATTGAGTGCTAAATCTCAATATGTTTTTGATAAAAGGTTGAAAGAAACAACAGATGTTCAATATCATGGTGAATAGTTGTCAGTCACTTACTGCTTTGCTGTTGCTAATCTATGTGTTTCATTAACTTACATCTTAATCATCACTACAAGTACGAAGATAGGAATTCATTAGCCAGTTTATTTTCTTTTGGTTTCATTCATTTTTTCTTATTTCGTAATTATAGATTCAAATTTGCTTAGATATCTATGATGTTTTCAACAGTCTATGGGGCAACCATAGATAATTTGACTATTTTGTTATACAGAGACACCACACCTGATGGTCAAGAAGTCGGAACATGCGTAAGAAATGTAGTAAGATTGATGAAAGAATCAGAATTAGATGGCTAGACTCATTAACAATAACAATAACATGAAGTATAAGATTGAATAACTATTGCAATACAGTATCTAAAATACAACAAATAATAAACAATCAATTATTTTCTTCCTCTTGCTATCCTCCCTCTTCCATATCCTCTTTGTCTTCTTGTTCCATCTTTTAGATCTCCTCTCTTTCCTTCATACACAGATCATCAGTATTTTTTGAAGTGCACTATGAAATAAATGATAGATCATACATCCTCAACTTTGGGTCTTTATTCTGGAGCCACTCTATTGCTAAAGTGACTGACAATCTATTAACTCTCTTGCATATCCCAAACAAATAATTCCCCTTGACTAGATCCACATCCATAAGTCCATGGAGAATCTTAATAGAATTGACCACAATAAAGTGATTCCTAAATTCATAGATTAAAATCTTACTAATTTTGGGTTGTATGAACTTATCAATTGTAATTAACCATTCTTTATTGGAGCATCTGTGTCATAAACTCTTATCTTTCCATCCAAACAAGTAGTAGCCAATAATCCTGGCACTCCAGAACTCATGTGTACACTGCTGAGTGCCTTTTTATTTACATTGAAATTAGCTAATGGTTATTCACTTATTTTTCTAGCATCTAACAATATTAAATTTCCATCCTCAGTAGAATAAGCTATCTAATATCCCTTAATAGGATCCCAACAGGCACTTTCCAAAACTCCTAACATTTTATGTTAATGAATTGAATCTGGTGATCTAGCATCGAATAAACAAAGCTTTCCATCCTCACCTCCTGATAATATTACACTTTCCTCTTTTGTATTGAATTTAGAGATTTAAACTTTATCTTTATGATGATTGTAAGTAAACACACATTTCTACAACATCAAATCCCATAATTTAACTGAATGATCAGCTGATCCTGATAATAGGATGTTGGGCTTAAATGAATTCAATGACAAACTCAAGACTGAATCTGTGTGACTGTCAGGCTTATATGATTTCTTATTCTATTTCTTAAGGTTTTTCACTTTCTTATAATTCTACTCAATCTCTCCTCCCAAGACCATGGATGGTTCCAATACATTGACTACATCTAAATTCCAAATTTCAATTTCAGGCAAAAATGATGACACTATTGCATAATTTCCCTTGACTGCTGATGTGCTCTCGACTTAACCTGGTTAGATTGGTAACCATTCGACTGCCAAAGGAAATGCTGACAACTAAATCTCGTGATGCACAAATAAATTGGCTTTCTCTTCCTCATAGATATACACTTCCAATGAAGAAAACTCGTTTTCCTAAAATTTAGCATTCATTTATTTGATACGATCTTGGCTGCTATAACCAAAGCATCTGAAGATTTGATTTAGTAATCCTCCTTCTCTTCATCACTCAAATCCTCTATTGCCACTGGATATCCATCTTCTGGCATTTACTATTTCCCATGCATTTCCAAATCCTAACAAAATACTGGGAGATTGTCTTCACTCGAATCTTCGTCTTACTCTTGTATTTTACCCAAATCTTATGTCAAACTAAATCTTAATTAAATCTCTTACTTCTTATTTATTAGTTTTTCTTGCTTCATCTAGTTGATCTCCTACTCATCTAAGTCGAATTCTTTGGGCTGCTTTATTGCATACCCTCTTGAAACCCAAGCTATAGCTGAAATTAGATTTTATGCCATAAATTATAAATTTTTATTATTGTATAAATCAAATGTCATTACTCATTCTCATTAATCCCTTTTTAATTTAATAATGTTCATAGCTGCTCTTGCAACAAGGCATCGAGGAATCCAACAGCATCGCCTTCTCGATGTCATGCAAAGCTTATATGTATTTTCCATTCTTCAAGTATAAATTGGATCTCTTTTTAAAAGCATCTGAATCAGCCTCATTCTTTTCAATATATTTTGTTAACTAGACTTCTGCTTAACCAAATTGGTTTTAAGATATCAAATTGTCCATTTCTTTCATGAATAAATCCCTATCTTACACATTCCCCCCGTCCTGCATCAGTTACTTGTAATATTTAACTATTTAATTATTCTAACAATCTGAGTTGATTATTAATCTTAAATCATGAACTCTAATATTCTGCACCTTCTTTTGAGTATTTTAATTAAACAACCATATTGACCTACAAAAAACCAACTATCAATGTCACTCACAAAATAGTGTCTTACATTCATAACCGTATATTATTATTATATGTACCACATACTTTTAAAATATCATTTACGATATATAATACATTATATAACATAATAAATAAAATATGATTAATAAATTATTATAATATAGATTTATGTAGCAACTCAACAAAATATCGTATTTAAACTAGATACAATCACAATAATTTGATGTTGAATTGATGTCTGAGGAGGTAGGCTTCACTTTGGATTAATTAATGGAATTGGCAGGGTAAAGCATTGCAAATACAGTGGTTTAATTGAATAAGGAAGGAAAATCTTATAATAAAATTTTAGTTTTGTGTGGGCCAGGAAATAATGGAGGTGATGGTATTGTGTCAGCTAGACATTTAAAATAGTTTGGACTTCAACCTGAAATAGCCTTATTTAGAGAAGTGAAAAATCCATTTTTTAATAGATTGCTCAATCAATGTAAATACAATTTGATACCAATTCATTATGAATTGCAAGATCTTGAGAAATATGATTTGTTAATCGATGCTATTCTGGGATTCTCATTCAAACCTCCCCTCAGAGAACCATATGACAAACCTATTTAATAATTAAAGACCACAAAGACTCCAATATTGTCAGTAGACATCCCTTCTGGTTGGGATGTGGAGTAAGGAAATGCTCAGGATTTCTTTACTCCTTAATATTTAATTTCATTAACCCTTCCCAAGTTAGGAGTAAAGAGTTTTAAGGGGAGACATTTTATCGGTGGAAGATTCATTCCTTTAAAACTTTAAGAAAAATATAATTTTATTGTACCAGAATACCAAGGAAGTGACACTATTTTAGAATTATCAAATTTATGATAGTGATATTAAAAGTTCATAATTTTAAATCTAAAATATTGGACTTTAATTTTAGATCCTCTTGAAAATAGGCAGTCTCACAATACATTGATAAATTGCTATTTTCTTTATCTTATTGTGACTTTCTAGTGTTGTAAACATAAGTAGACAATGTATTGGCTGTAGCCTTCAATTTTGGTTCTGACTTCACAGAAACTATTGATTAGTGCTTATTAGTCTATTTGCTTTAAATATTATTTTAAGATCTCATATTGATGCTGGGTTTAAATGTTAGATCCTTATCTACTTCCTATTTAATGTGATAAATGTGTCTCTTCTTTTTATCCACATGACTTTTCATTCTTTCATAAAGTGATTCATTATTTTAAATTGATGATTGATCTTTAGTTTTATTAATGGTTTACTTTTGTTGGCTATCATCGAAAAGGTTCTTCTTTGATTTAGTAGATAACATATATAATCTATCAAAAGCAGGTTATTGATTTGGTGAAAAGTTTAAAGTAGTATTGATTTTAGGTTTGAAAGTACATTGTTCCAACTCCTTGGTTTCTTTGTCCAGACGTTAAAATGCTTGCACTTATTATTTTTCTGCAGATTCATTATGCAATCTCTTAAAGACTAGAGGATAATTTGGAATATTAATACTGTCATCGCCACTTCTATTTAATTGTCGATTTGAAATCTAGGGTTTAAATGTGCACTCCTATAATTCCTTTTATTCTCGAACAGGAGCATAACTTTGTTTTAGATTACTTCTTGAAATGGATTCTTAAAACAATCTATCAAAAATGTGTTGTTATCTTTAAAATTAAGTGAGTAATATACTTATTATCTGCAGTTTAGAAATTAGAAATGGATTCTTGTTTATTAATTGATGGCGTAAAAGTGCATTAACTAATTTCTTATTTTTATTTAATTTCAGAGAAGTCATTTTTACTAATTAGTTATGTTTTATAGAGTCGATCGAAAACTTCAATTTCATTCTTTCTGATTGCTTCAACATTGACTTACGGTTTGAATGTGCATTCCTTTAATTCTAGTTGTTATTTTTCTTATTCAAATTAGCCTCTATGTCAGTTATTATAATTATACTTTTTCACTTTCTAAATTATTCCATCCATGTAGAGTCTCTCACAAGTATCATTTAGACCCATTTAACTTAAGGCCTTTTTATTGATTGGTGATTGATAGGATTATTATTCACTAATAGTAGATTTTTAAGAATTTCGAATTTTATTTGGGCTAAATTACATCTTTTTGCTTTTTTAATATGCTTTAAGGGTTTTGAATGGTTTTCGAAGTGCTATTTTGGTTAGGATGGTTAATAGATTTGCTGGATTCTTCTTTTTGGTTTGTTGCATTTTCCAACTATCATATAATCTTAATGCCATATCAAAGGAATCTGAGGCAGATAGATTCTTCAAATAATCAGACAGGGAAAACAAGATGTTATTGTTTGAGATCGAATACTTATTAACAATGATCCCGATGTCAACTAGATGGTCAATAAATAATGGCATTTAATTAAAATTATAATCATTATTTGAGCATATTCATGAAGTTTTAACGTCTTAACTCTAAATACAATTTTCTATCCTTCTTGCCTTTCATCAATCTTGCAATCACTTTACAAGCCAAGAATTTTTCAATCTCATTATCATATTATTATTATTACTTGTTTCTATTTTCCTTGAGTTTTTCAATAATCTATTAAGCATAATGTTCTTTGGTATCCAAATCCTAATGATATTAAAATTCCTATTACATCGATGATGTGTAATTATTAATCAATTTTTTCTTATAATTGTTGCAATGTTAGACGAGCCAAAGCCAACTGCTCTTTCCTCTGCATATTAAGATCAATCATGAGTTTTTCCTTCTCCTTTGATTCTTACATTAAACTGTGTAACTAGGCAGAAGCAGGATCATTTTATATGATATTCTTTTCGAGTTCCTCCCTCATTCCTACCAACTCCTATTTTCTTTCTTTGGCATTTTTTGGTCTATACATAAATTTCTTTCTTTTCTTAGAGTTTTAGGTTAAAGTGCTTTTGGAGTCTGTATTAGTTTTATGTTAATTTAATTATTTTTTGTTCACAACTTCTAAAGGTTTCTATAACTACTTTTCTTTATCCTTCTCATCAATACCAGGAATCCTGCCCTCATCATATGCTTCAAATCCATCATTTCCATAATCATCATCCTCCTATTGAATTGGCTACTTTATGTGTTGATCCTCATCCTCAAAATCATTGCCATAATCATCTTCTTGCTCTGTTGTCCTTACTATTTCTTATTCAACCTTATGATTCTATCTTAACTACTCTAACTTCATTTGTTTTTATTGAATTTCAATTTATTATTGCCTCAGAATTTGTTCTTTAGGAGTTGATGCATTCTAAGTCTTTACTTTTTAGAGAAACTATTCCCTGTTAGATTATTCAGCTGTTTGCAGTCTTTTATTTTTTTCTTGTAATTAGAAAGCCTCTTTAATATAAAATTGCCCATCAATTTCGTCTTCCCAATCAAAAAGACCATAGACTTCCTTTTTAACAGGTTAGTCTATGGCCTTGAGTTGTAGGGGCTTATTATTGATGTTCTGTTCTTTTGTATTATTGATGTTCTGTTCTTTTGGTGTTTATTTTTTACATACATTGGAACTATTAGGTTATTTAGGGAGTTATACATCTGAACCAGAAATCAATAAATTAGATTGAATCACAGGAATAGTTTCAGATATATAGGTTTATCCAAGCGTAATCGCATTTGAAGTATTTTTGGATGTTGCTTATGGCTTAGGTATGATTTGAGGGGGTTCTTTTTTTTTTAAGTATTTGTGTTTCTCTTGATGAGTCTTCCCCTTCTTTGCCTAGGCACTCATAGGCCTTTGGGGAATCAATTTTGGAATTTGATTCTTCTACATCTCTTCAAACTTTCTCACATGATACATGTGATCCCTCATTTGATCCATGAATTCTCTAGTGTAATTCGGGATCTATTCATTATCGAATTTGACTTCGCTAAAATCTAAATTTATTAAAGGTTTCATAACTTATTTTATATTTATTTTGTATATAATATCAAATACAGTTATATTTTATTATACACTTAAAAGTTATTATGTGGATCATTGCTCAACAATTGAAGGGATATATGGAGATCCCCATAAATCAAAATATTAACTTGTTATAAATTTAATTTGCGCTTATATTTCTTTGAATTTAATGATAAAGTAATTTTATTAACATATATTATTAAAATTTATTTGCAAATGAATTAACAATTAGATGACTCAAAGGAGAGTGTTTAATCGTAATCTATGGAGAGATATCTACAAGCAGAATCAGTGGGCAATTCTCTCTCTCCTTAAAGATTAGTATAGACATCAAGGAATCCTCAAGTTGGAGCCTCAATATTAAAATTATAGAATGGGAAGTATAGCAACCAATCAAATGTATTCAAAGATGCACTCAATAAAAAGAAGACTGAATTGCATAAGAAATCGCAAAAGCCTATTGCTGAGGCTCCTAAGTATGAAATTGCAATCAAGTAAAAATAACCCAAAAGTATTTACCATGATCATTTTAGAAATGGACAAGGTGCATCAAAACATCAAGAATGTCCAATTAAAGGCAGAGGAAGTGAAGAAGAAGAGAGAGGAGGAAAAACAAAAGGAAGAGAAAATGAAATAGAGCAAAGCAGAACATGCTTAGGAGGATCTCGATGAAGGTAATCATAACACCTAAATCTAAGTGTTTTAAGAAACAGTGAACAGATTGTACAATTATGAGAAATAGAGATTGAAATAGTTGAATAAAATGGTGGAAGAAGAGAAAAACAAAGATAAATTAATTATGAGTGCAAGACCCATGATAAATGAACGCAGTTGTAAATTGTTGGAAAGAAAACTAAAACAACTAGTGGATGAAGAGGAGGATTACAAAATGATATATTAGTTTAAAGATGCAGATGTTTAGGTCGATCTCTTACCCAATTTACCTAAATTGAAAGATTATCTATAAATAAAGTATCATCTAATTATAATCAATAGTGCTAAAAAGACAATCAATGTGGGATAGGAAATACAAATCATTAAAGAGGAGAACATCATGGAACCAGTTGATCCAGCAGAGGATGTCTAATATAAAGAGGGCTCATGTCATGCAATTGTATAAACTAATGAAATCAAATTTAAAATTGGAGATACCATCAAAAAGTAACAGTTATAGTAACCACCCCAATAACAATAATAATAATAAACGACATAATTTGCAACTCAGGATACTCCCAATAAAAAGGTATAAAATCAAAGACAAAAACGTTTGGACTTCATGGAAGCACAAGGACAACGAGTTAAGACTGAATGTTAGTATTATGTGCCATTACACATTCGTTAATCAAAAGTCATTTAAAAAAAAGAAGAGTGGGTCAGGTCGTAGATTGAACTCAAAAAGTAAAAGGAAGAGGAATCCATTAGGGTAGAGTAGGAATAGTGGGAGAAGGAGAAGTAGAAGTGGTCTAAAAAGAAGGATCCAAATAAGTCGATGCAATAGGAAATTAATGTTGAAGAATTCGCCAACTCTTAAATTCATTGGTTAGAAAAGAGAAATGAACACATTTTAACTGAGTAGATGAAAAAGGACAAGGACATGTTATCATCATTGACCTTTAGACCTTAAATACAAAAGAAAAATATTGAGAACTATAATTCTCTCAAAGTAGAAGATAGATTACTTGAGTATCAATAAAAAAAACAAGAAAATCTACAGAAATTAGAGAATAAATACTTACCTACTTTTCAACCAAATATAAACTAAAAATCTGTATATATTACTTTATTATCTCTAGATGTTTACTATGGATTGGGCATCAAAAAGCTTCAATAGTACTTCGAACAACAAATTATGGCAATGATTGTATATATTTTTATTTCATTTTAACTACAAACCATTAATTAATTATTTTTAAATCATTAACTAGCCTTTTTAATAATCATATATATATCTATAGCGAAATAATTAAACTAATAATTTATATGATATATTATCGACTGATGGGGGATAATTTAAATTATTTTCTTAAGGATTTTAATTTAAGATATTACTTAATAATATTATTCAGATGAAGTTCATGTGTCTACTCATTTTGTTGATCACTGTTATAGTCAATGCAAACAGGATATACCAAGAATAGCCACTTAATCAATCCAATTATTTTAGGGATCAAGATATCGCTATCAACGTCAAATATACTCATTATAAATTTGTGAGTTAACAAGTTGAATCAAGAAAGCATATGATAGTAAATTCTAAATCGCCTGGGAATCAAGAATTGATTACATTATTCTATAAATTATTAACTCTATAAGTCTGAAAAAAACAGAAGTAGCTTGTCTACTTTATATATTTACTACTATTACAAACACGATTACATTGAATATTCAATGTCTAGATAACACCTACATTCTTCTTTCCAAATCTCTTGAAAGGGTGCCTTTTTTTTTCATTTATTCTTAATTTCTTAATTGCAGTAATATAACATTAATCTATAATAAAGTAATATATGGAATAGGACCCATGTATCTAACCATAGATATCATAGGATGTTGAGCAAAATCCAAGAATTGTGTTGCAATCATTTACTAAAATGTATTATTATTCAGGATCCCATATCATCTACAAAGACATTTATGGTTCACAACATTTTGTATTTATATATATATAATTATACTTTTATATAGTTCTTTGAAAATTATTTATATAATTCATTTAACTTTTTCAAGAATATCTAATTTCTCTTAAAATGGAGCCATAATGCCTTTGACTTTATTAAATACTGGTTTAAGCAATGTGCCAACAACCAAGGCTCCTTGGGTTTTTTCATGATAAAGCCAGATCGCATAAAAAGTCTTAAACATTGAGTATCCTGGGATCCTATTGACTTATAAGTAAAACATACATGAACAATATTCCGAATGATATTTCCTCTAATAAATATATTGAACTCATCAAAATCCAATACACAACCCAAATTTATAGTTTCTCCTGTAATTTATAAGCTTGGTAAGTCTGTCTCAGTGGGTAGATGATACTTGCTATCAATTAAAGGAGACAAAAATATATGCAGGCACTCATTATTTAAATATTAATAAATTAATATTAAATTCATTGAATAGGCATAAAAGTCTTAATTTCTAATATCAAGTATTACCCAAGGGGAGTTCTTCAATTATATCGAGTGTTCACATAATAAATGCTGATATTAAAATAACAACAACTAAATTTATATGAGATTGAAGGAGAGAGTCGGATTTAAATAAGAACAACCAATTTAGAGCATATGAAAAATACTAATCAATAATAGTAGTGTATCTGATTCAAGTCTAAGTTGAAAGTGACATTCTTTTCTTTATTCTTTTGTTTCTTTGGGGTTCTTCTAATAATTTAGAAATGACTCCGAACATGATGAAGCATCATAATCGAAATAAATACGATTAGAGTGACGATTGCCGCTATACAATATTTGCTTAGGTAGGGTAATGACTCTGTGGAGTGGTTCCCATATATCTACCAAATTAGAAACGGAGATTCCATAAAATTTAATTTATTTTATGAGTTATTTGTAAAATATAATAACAGAATTAGTAGAATTTTGAGAAAAACGAAAGAGACTAAAAGGTATTGAGAAAGAGGATTGGTTTGATTAAGTTGTGAATGACAAGTATCAATAAAACCAAAGATAGGGAGAGGATATCTAAGTAGTATCATAAATTAGATTGTTATAGGGGATTGTGGATGAGTAAGAAAATGAATGAGGAGGAGTTCTGATTAGTAAATGTGGAAAAATTGATTTTATTAATAAATAATAAATATTAATATTAATGACAACTGATTTAGACAATGATCTCTATAAGGAAGATGCGGACTTCCTTTATGATTAGTTAGTTCAGTTCAGTCAAAGAGACAAACTTCCTTTTCCTAAACAAGATGACTTCATAGGTATTTGTCAATATGATTATTAGATTATGAAATCAGAGATATCTTACATGCGCCAACAATTAAAATAGTGTAAGAGGGGTTATTCACTAGTTGGAGAAGATATGTTAGGTTGAATAGATTAGCATTTTATAAACATTGCAATGAGAGTGACTATAGTAGAAAGAGTAAGTGATTGTGATTAATTTAGTTAAATTGATACTGAAAAATAAGGCATTGGAACCAGAGAGACCAAAAAGAGAAGGATAATTGTAACAATGTTACAAAGGGTATTGTTTAATTGAAGACTTCATGAAGATCAATTTCAAACATGCAGAGACGAGGGAATTTGGAGACTTTCTGAATGTTATGGGTGTCATTAGACCAAAAGTTCAATTAATTAATTATCTACAAATTATTCGCAACACATATGTTAAATTACCTGTATTGGTTGAAATGAGACAATTCCAGAGTATTTACACTCATCGAAAATTTGATGAGGAGAATGCAGCTAATTTTATTTAACTTGCCTTCCGTAGATACAAGAATCATATGACTGAAGTGCAAAAGCAAATACGAATCATGTCTAGTCTTAATGCTGAAGAGTTGTTTGTTATTATAAAAGATAAAATCAGCAATTCAGACAAATCCCTTAAAGAAGTCTTTGAAATATTTGATTACAACAAGGATGGACATATTGAATTCAATGAATTCATTCAAGCATTCAGAGACTCTAATATCCCTGTTGCTGAAGAAGTGCTGCAAACTGTTTTTAAGTACTTCGACATCAATAACAATAATTCCATCCAATACATGGAGTTCTTGAGTAAAATCTAAGTTAGAACTGTGTCCAACGATTCTTTATTGAGTGTTTAATTCAAAGTGGAATAGACTGTTGAACAATTGAGATAAGTCATGAGGAGAGAATTCAAGGATCTATAAGAGATGATCAACTCACTTTAGGCATCAGACAGGTTGAAGATCAAAAAGATTGAATTTTTGGATTTTGTGATGACCTATACTTTACGTTTTTCCAAAATACAACTTGACAATATGTTCCACTACTTGGATCATAATAATAAGAACTATTTAACGATAGAAGACTTTTCATAAATATTCACTAGGCAATCCCTCCACGAGGTTCGAGAAGAGAAGAAGGAGAATAAGCAATAGGAACAGAGGGCAATTTAGAATATGCAATCTGAAATAGACAATGCTAAATTCTTATATCATTACATCTAAGCTGAAGACATGCAAGGTTTTATCTAAGAAAGAGATAATCAACTATTGGATCTATTGAAGACCAATTCACAATAAGGAGTTGCTGGAAAGAGAGTAAGTTTCAGTATGGCTGACATTGAAACCAGAGCCAATATTTACAAGAATTCACTTTTAAAATTAGAAATACTCATCCAATAGATTTCAATTAAAGTCCTCTTGAGATTACAATAGTCAGGATTAACAGTGAAACAGTTCTTTAGTTAATTTACTTAGAAATTCCCTGAAAAATTCATTGAACCCAAGGAATTCCTGTTGATGCTTAACGTTCTATTTAATTAAGTCATGGATGTCTCCCTTTCAAATGCCTTATTCAGAATCATAAGCAATTAATATACAGCACGTGTGAGTTTGGCCAAATTCGAAGAATTGATAATGATTGGACAACAAATAAGTCCAATTCAATTAAGAATGAAATTCAATTATGGTTCATATGTGGCTAAGTTGAAACCTAAACTATTAGAAGAATTCCAGAAGGTGGCCACTGTCAGTATAGACATGAAAACTGTTACATTGAAATAAACTTTGTCTATTTTAAATCAATTCGGACTTAAATTAGAGATGTTTGAAATTCAAAAATTAGCTGATTCCTCAATCATTAGTCTCAAAGACAGAATGTATACAGTAGATTACGGAAGACTACTTTAATTGATGTTCCCTGATGTCTATTTGGGGGAGCAGTTAGTTCTTAAGAAATTTGGAATGGTAATCTTAAAATTATGGAGAAGAATGAAACAATCCTATTTTCTCAAGAAAGCATCAGGCAAATTCAATAAGAAAGGCAATAAGAGACAACCGAAACCATTAGGTACTAAAAGATCGCTTAAGGAGAAAATGAGTGAAACCTTGCCTGCAGTTTAAAAACAAAATGAATATTCTAAAATCAAGAGTGGGGACTTATATTCCTTTGCCAAAACAATCATACTGGAGTGCGTAGAAGGAGCTGCATATTTTGCAGAAACCTAAATATTTACGTAATAAAAATAACATACCTTTCAGAAGAGACCTACAATCAAGGACTTATTTATTTTTCATCCTTTTTAAGCTTTTGAATTGCCAAATCTCTTGGGAACATTGTCCTATGATTTTTTAACTCAAAGATTATATATGCCTGATAAATAGAGTATCCTTTATACATAAGATGTTTGTGGTAATAGGATGTTGTAAAATATTAATATCGGTACCAAACTTCCATTCAATAAATCCTTTATTGTCGATTGTCTGATTTTTAATTAAAAGATGTTCATACTGAAGTCTAATTGGCAATTATAAATGTGGAGTATGTCCTAGAAAAGCGATAGACACGAGTTAGCTATTGATTTAAGAGAGGGAGCTCCAAATGCTTAACAGAATGCTCAACATCTATGGCAATGTGAAGATTTATTATTAGTGGTTTCGAGTCAAAGAACTCATGTCCACATAATATCATCAGTGTCGTTACACATAATAAGGATTGTCAATTTTGTTTGTATTTTGGATTTTCACTTTAAATATATGAATGAAATCATGAATAAGGTGGCTACAAAATTGATTCAAGATACTAATAGCAAGTTTCCTATTAAATTAGAAATGACTCTGGCAGAGATGGAGTAGTAAGAATAAAAAAGAAGAGAGTCCCTAAATTTTATGGTACAATTCAAAGACTCAAGAGTCTAGAAAGGTAAGCTATTGCATTTCTTTACTAACAATTAAACCTCTGACAAAGAGATTGTCAAATAATATTTTGATTAGATTTGTGATGAGGAAGGCTATATAAGTTAACAATAATATGAAGAAATATTAAAGGATAAATAGAAGAATAAGTATAATATTTACGATGCCCTAAATATAATAAAAATATCTAAAGTGAATTTAAGATAGCTTTTTAGTACTTATGATGATGGGAAGAACATTGTTACTTAAAAATAGTTATTTGAGATGTTGGAATCTTTCAATATGAAACCGCAAGTAAGACAGAATTTTGTATGTGCATTTCCAAATGGTATTTCATTTCAAGAATTCAGTAAGTTGATCGAAAGTCCTATCACTTATGATGAATTATTGCATAGATGTGAATCTAATCATATAGATTTGGTTAAATTATTTTAAGAGTGTGATGTTTATAATGTAGGGTTGTTAGATAGGAATGATTTCTATTTCGTATTGTCATCCTTACCTTTTGGTCTGTTGGACACAGAAATTGATTAGTTAGCTTCACAATAAGTGTATGATTCTGAGAGTGGCCGAATTAAATACCGTGAGAAACCATAAGCTATGAAATAGAGAGTTAAACAAGTTTAATTTATTAACGATCTGAATGTTGTTATTGCATCAGTGCATTATCCCAAAAGAGGTACCATCTTTTGTTTAAACGATAAAAACATATTGGCTCTATTGGAACATCATAAAGAAGCACCAATCCTACATTATGTGAATGAATCTGGATGTCTGTTGAGTGCTGAAGGTTAGGAATTGTGTATTTGGACAATATACAGAGATTTGACATTGAAGTATGATGTAAATCCTCCTTGGACAATCAAACCATAAATCAACATAAAATTAAATGCGCAGATATCTTAGATCGGATATTTGCCATTCAATTAATTAGTCATGGTGGCCACCACTGATGGAATTAGCTTTTATGATCCAGTTAGTTATCAATAATAGTCATCCAAAGTATAGGTGCGTATTAAACCAGGATATTATAAGGAATTGGAGGAGTTCACTGCCAATTAACAAGTACCTCTAGTTCATTAATTGGAATTACAAAAAATAGTGTCACTTAGTACAGGGTTGCTTTAAACTCCCTTTGAAAGTGAAGATGCTACACTTGGCAGTACTTTACTAAGTCTAGAATTTATGATAATCATGACAGAAATACCTATGGGTTAAAATTCAAAGAACTTACTCAATCCTGTTAAGATAGTTCTTGTTCATAGGTAATCATTAGAGATTCCATCAACACAATTAGATGTGGTTGTACCTCAGAATGTGCTTAATTAGATTCAAAGTGATTTAGAAAGAATCTTATAACAAGCATTAATGGGGAAGAGGGCAAGAGGAGTCATTGGTATAGAGAAGGAGTTGAATAAAGAATAGTTAAAAATCCACACAAAGAGATAATTGATAAAACTGAGCAAATAATTGACATTGAATAAATAGCCATGTCAATAGGATATTTTGAATGAGATCTCTCATTCTTGTGGTGGAATCTTGAGTTACTCATATGTGTATAATCTATTAAGATCTTGTTAGTGTCTAAACCCACATAACATATCGTTTGAGGAATTCAAATACATAGTTCAATATTCAGAAGAGTACAAACCAGTCGTTAAGATATAAAATCAAATTGAATCTAAATTATAGGGTTTGGTGAGAGAAGGAAAAATTGATTTACCTCTTGAGTTTGAATTACAAAAGGCTATGAGGTTAAGCAATGATAAGATATTGATGAAACATTAATTTAAGAAATTACTAATGAAGTTCAAGGCATATTCAAATGAGAAAGACTTAAACGATTTTGTTTAAAATGACTTTGTCAGTTTGAAATCATTAATGGATAAATTCGAAAATGACAAATTAATCTATAAATTAAGAATGATTTCGCGTCCTGATTAAATTATCAAAGAAATCCAAAAGCTCGGAATTCCTAGACAATTTCTAGCTAGATTGGCTGTGGCTGATGAGAATGGAGATGGAATTCTAACTAAGAAACAATTTATGAGTGCTGTGTCTGAAAACTAAGCTCTCTTTTCAGAATTTTTCGATCTCTATTCTGAAAATCTTAATGATGAATCTATAATAAGAATCAAATAAATTACAAGCAAGTTGTTATCAGTGTCTGAAGGACTGTAAATAAAGAAAATGCTTAATACTTTAGCCAAAGTGAAAAACACCTTAATTTATAGATAATTAGGTTTGACTCATCTTTTTAGAGTGAATGAAATGCCATACCACGATTTCTGTGATTGTGTAATGGATCTTAAAATACCAGATGTTACAGAAAAAGATGTTAAATTCCTAGCAGACTGTTTAGCTGTTGAATCCAATAAAATCATTCCATTCTAATCCTTCTAACATTACTTACATAAATTAAGTGCTAGTGATTAATTCTTATTGGTTGCAGATTATGAAGACTTGTTGCATACAGCTGAAGATATCCTACAAAATAAGGAGGTTTTAAGATTGAAAATACCAAATCAATAGCCTTGTTAACCATGGGATTTAAGAGGACTATTGACCTTCTTAGATTTCGATAGTGTTGATCGATTTTTAATTAAAGTATTGGAAATGAATGAGTTCACATATGATTAATTAATTGATAAGTGTGTTAATTTTGTGAATAAGATAAATTTGTAAAAAAAGGATGGCAAATCACATTAACAGGGATTATTACAATTGGTAACCGAAGATCCAAAAAACAAATATGTAAATGTGATTAAATTAGGCTCACTTGTGAAATCTCAGTCTTATGTCTAAATTCAAAAAATATTTTAGTAATGCATTCAATTGGACAATGATAAGAATGGATTCATCGAATTGCCTATATTTTGCAATATCATAGCCTACAATGTAGCGGTTGAGTAAAGTCTATTGGTCAATTTCCAATTAGAATGGAAAGCCTTGACTCAAGAAGATAATCTAAATTACAATAGATTCTTTAAGGAGTATGTGGAATTCGAATAGATTGTGAGTAATTAAGATAAGCAAAACAATTTAAACCAATTGCTCATAAGATTCGCTTATGCAGTGAATAAGAGTGGAATCAATCTTGGCTTTGTATTGAAGAGATTCTACAATTATGACAATCAAGACTTTTTGACACAACCACAATTCCTTTAGTTGTTGGAATAAGTTCAGTTGCAACTCACTTAAAATGAAATCAATGATCTCACATAATTTTTAGGCGAAGATATTACACATGCAAACCTACTCAAATACTACACAATCGCAAGTAAGAACACAGCTATTGTTTATGATTCTGCCATTTGGGAGACTGCAGGAACCCAAATTAGTATATCAACAATAAACAAATTAGGAAAATGGTAGCAATCTAAAGATTTGATGAAATCCATTGATTTTAAGAGATTGTTCAATTAATATGAAACATCTGAATAATAATAAATAATTAGATTTGCTTGTGTTGGGTGTCGTACAACCTTAGAGGAAGCACAAAAATTGACAAAAGAGATTAGATTGAACTAAGCAGACTTATCCTAATACTTTGTCAATCCTTTACTATTTTCTGAATCATTGCCTTAGATTGTGAAGTCGAAAGTTAAGGAACAAGTAAGTAAAACTAAATTTAATGGAGCAGAAAAGATGGCTTAAGAACCTTTAGATGATTAGATTTCAGTATTGACAAAGAAGATTTAATAAGCAATGAAGAATTTGAATAGCACAGTGCTTAAAATATTGTTAAATCAAAACATTATAGTCAGTGCAAATGGTCAAATAACCAGAAGCGAATTTAAAAAATTATTGGATTCCTTGCCTTATGTTTGGACGATGAAGGAGAAACACAATTTATACTAAAAATTTAGAGAACCTATAAATATATTGGATTTTATATGCTTATTCGATGCTCGTGATGATATATCATTTTATATTGATATCATTATCTAGAAATTGTTTATGGGATTGTATGGATTGTAGCTTACTCTATATACCTTTTTCACTTAGATTGGCAGAGTAGAAGTGAAGTAGTCAGAGTTGTCAGACCATTTAAAACAATTCATGTCTGGTTGGGAAGCGAAAGCATTATTAAAATAGTTGTTTTAGGATGAAACATTGATATTAACCATTTCAACATTCTTGGAAGCATTTCGACTTTATGGATTTAATGATTTGTAATTGCTTTTGAGATCAGGATTATAAGTGTTGAATGATTCTACTATTGATGTGATGTTTGAGATTGAGTAGAGTGGAAGTAATTAAGAATTGACAATCTAATAAATCCAACAGTTATTCAATAGAATGAATATTCACATTTCTTTACAAAGTCTCTTTTGTCTTCTGAATAACTACTTAATGGATAAGACTAAAAAACATCCAATGTTTGAACAGAAGATGATCAAATACAATATTAAAGAATTCCTGTAATTCTTATCCCAACAAAAAGTTGCCAAATCTCAAGTCAAACAATTTTATGAGAAACTTTAAGAGTCGCATTTGTAAATTTTTGAATTCTTCGCAGTTTGTGATTCTCATCAAGATTATGCCATAACAGAAGATGAATTCAAATATGGGTTTACACAACTCCAAATTTAAAGAATGGATAATATTTGGTTAGATTTTGAGAAAGTCGATATGCGAGTTCCATTCTAAAATTTCTTGAAAGCCTTTTTATAAACAGGATGCATCCAATGGCAGGAACAGGAACACTAAGACTCATTTATTCTCGCTATTAAGAAATTAGGAAATCTAAATGAATCCTTCATTAAATTAGCAGATGGAGATTAAATCACCTATAAAAGTTTAAAGCGTTGCCATCAAAAGCATAAATTAGACATTTCCTTGGAAGAATTATAACTATATTACAGTAAGTTGAAGTAGAAGTATAAGACTTTAACCTACAAGGAGTTTGCTCAAGCGATGTAAGGAGAAAGACAAATTGAAATCATTCATCAAGCCTTCAGCAGTTTAGTAAATGTGAAAACTCGAGAGTTCCCAGAAACAATGACCTTGGATCAATTGAAATAATTCTTAACGAAGAAGCAAATTCCCACTTAGCACATCAGTGTTATCGTAAATTCATTTGAAAAATAGACTATTACAAACAAAGAATTAGAGCAAAAATAATTAGATTACTCCAACTTATCCAATTTAAAAGAATAATTAACAAGTGAAAAGTTATTACAATTTTGTCATGCCATCATTAAACAACTAAAAGGATAACCAAATTAATTTAGCAAAATCTATACACAACATGGTTTAGGTTCAATTAATCAAATTACTTATTAGAATTTATACACTTTTCTAAATTATTTAGATGTGAACACGACTTCAGATATTCTCAAACTGTTCTTCAATACTGTTGACACTGAATAGAGAAATATTGTTAAATCAACTGAAATTGAATCCTTATTAAGAAGATCTCAAACCCAAGCAAGAGTTAAAACTTTGGATCATACTAAAAAGGCAGAAGTCAATGAATTACTAAGAAAAGGAATCAAAAACATAGTTGCCACTATTTAAAGCAAGAAGATCAGATATGACAAATAATTAGATAAAATTGAATTGGCAGAATTTGTTAATCAGTATTGTATTTTGAATGAGCAGTAAATAGATTTATTAATAGAAGCCATCAGTGATAATTCTCAAGTTCAAAAACCAACATGGGGAGATTTTGCAAGTTATATGTTAGAAGACAATCAATAAAAGGCTAATGTATTCTTTAAAGAATGTTTGGAATTGTTTTAAGATATGCTTCGTAGATTAAACATTAGAGTTAGTTGTGCAGTGAAATACTTTGGACAAAAAAGAATTTTCATTAGAGAATTCATTCATATGATGTTGAGTCTTGGATTTAATCCATTGAAACTTAAGCTTAATTATAAGAAGATTAAACTTATATTCGAAAAACATGGGGGAGATGAGATGAGTGATTTAGAGTTCCTAATGTTGATGAGTGAACAGGAAGGCCCAGGAACCTAATTGAGTCAACCTGTACTAGAAGTCTTAATGAATTTGTATCGATTTGCTATTAAGAATTAACTATCTAAATAATAATTGTACAATCTGATGAACCTCAATAAATCAGGATGGATACAAAGTGAAGAATTGGAATAGGCAATCCATATGATTGATCCACAGATTTAGCTTACTTAGATCAGAGCTTTGAGTTCTTACCTAACACAAGAGGATTAGTTGATAAAGGTGGGAAATCTAATTAAGTTGATATACATAGGAGGGTCTTTAAATGACAATTCAATCGAAGTCAATGCCTTTTTCACCCGAGTATTCGAGCCCTCCTTACTACATGATATTGTGCAATTGGAACAAATAGGAACAGGATTTGATGGTCTGGTGCCCTAGATAACAATATCTTTGTAGGATTTCCTCCATTTGGTTCCCAAACATAAAGAGTAGGATATTGCTTTAATGATTAAATCCTTTGGATTGAAATAAGATTAATTAGATTTAGAGAAAATTTATGAATGTCTAATCAATATAAATGAAGATTTACAAGTGGGCTCTAAATTGTAATGCAAGGAAGGGAAGTAAGAGTAAATTATTGAAGAGATGCCTCTTGAGTAGAGTGTCGTATTAAAATTTTAGGATTAGAGAGTGCAATAAAATACCTTGAAGGGGTAATATGAAATGGAAATCATTGAACATATTTGTGCCATTTTGAATTAAAATTAAATGTCACTAATGAAATCAGTGTTCTAGGAGAAAGGGTATCTGAGTGTCCAAGAGTTCCAATTATTACTGAATAACATCGGTGTTTGTTTGAGTATTGATTAAGTCAGAGCATTAATAAAACTATTTGATTTCAAGTCTGATGGCAATATCTTACATTATACTGAACTATTATCTGTAATCGAACAATAGGGTTATTAGATAATAAAGGATGAAGCACAATAGGTCAATGTTTATAATAAATTATTGTAAAAGTTCTTTACTCTTGAATTCGGAGATCTGAATTACAATGATTAAATGACTGTGAACGAATTTTATAGATTGATATCTTTAGAAGGAGAGAGACATCCATTCGATGATAATGAGTTTTAGAGACTTGCTAATTTATTTACATAACAAGGAATGATACAAAAAAATTTGATTCTTAGAATTCTGGGAACTCAAAAATAGAATTTCGTTGATCATGACTTAATTGATAAATAACTATTGAAAAATATCTTCTACAGATTCAATGGATTTGAATTGGTCTTGAATTGCATCAAGAAAATAAGGGAACTATTTAATTAAAATGTTGAATCTATCAAATAACAAGATGATAGTGGTTTGATGTAGGTCTCTTTACAAATTAATGTAAATAACATATACTTAAAAATCTAATAAATCATGAATTACATTTTAAATGACATCCAATTAATTTAAGCAGGAGTGTTCAATCTGTTGAATCAATAATTTTAAGCTTAATATATTCAACCACATCTAACAATTCGATCTGAGAGAACGAAAATGTCTCAGATGTAATTATCATTAACTAGTGTATTCTTAACACCTATTCCTGAAACCCAATTTATTCCTATTCATATACCATCAATCGAAGGAAAATAGATGTATTACATGCTAGGTAGAATAGCTGCAAACAATGCCCCAGTCATAGTTAGTGTGTGGACTGTTCCTATTTTATAAACAGTGTGTTATGATGGAGTAATGTTGAGATAACATATAATGGAAGTGCTAAGATTTTAATCCATTCTGAATTAGACATGCAAACTCTACGGAGTATGTGAAAAGAAGAATAATATGGGAACTGAAGTGCATGCATTTGTTCAATTTGAAGGTACCAATCTAAACACTGTATGTTAATAAACTGGAGGATTGCTTAAGATTCCTCAGTTAGTTTTAAGTGGCCAAATGATCTACGTGGCTAAATTGTGGTTGGGATAGATATTATCTATTATGTGTGATATTCAAAATTATGGCTACGCATTTCCAATGATGAGGACTGAAATTTTATACCTTTTTAATGATGAAGTACATTTAAGCGAATTGACTGGCATCTAATCAGTCAATATCAACAAATTCTAATCTGGAGTTGACATCAAACTTTTGGTTGAAAGTGTTCTACAATAAGAATACAAGGATCTTTCACTGGCTCCTGAGTTCTATAGTAAATCTATTTAAGAAATCACCAACATGGCTGATACATGGTCTTTTGGTGTCATTATATTTGAATTGTTATTTGGACACAAACCCTCGATTATTAGCAATTCTGGTTGCTACTAAGGAGACAAATATCTCTCCTTAACTGAACCTTCAGATTATGAATAAGGGGATTTACTGTAGAAAGAAGTATTTTAGAATTTGAGAAAGGAATTAGCTGATATAATAGATATGAAAAGTTAGTCAATTACCTAGTAGATCTTATTATAATTGGATCAAAAATCATTAGGTGCATATATTAAGCATTTGTTTAAGAATGTCAATGCTGATGAGTCGATGCTTAATCAAATTTCAGAGTTGATTGATTTGATGTGTTCTTGTTTATAATATGAACCACATAATAGACCACAATTATAGTCAATCTAAAAGAGTAACATCTTGAATGTTGATTTACAAAATGCAAGGTAGATTGCAAGGCCAATTATCAACTATAAAAACCCAAGGATTATTTTCGAAAGTCAAATATACTAACCTTCTAGATAAATTGCATTGGCAATAGTCAAGAATAAACCAGTTGAAATCGAATCCGTTGTGCAAATAATTAAATTGTTCAATCAAACCATCTTATTCAGTATCATGGATGAATAGAAACTAGATTTGATAAGCTATCTATTCCATAGTAGAGTGTTAGACATCTTAAATTTCATTGTGTTGCACCTAAACTATAAATATGATTTACCACAATTAGTTCAATAATTCTCATAAATATTTATTGAACTTTAATAGCATTTGCAGTAGCAAGAGTCACCAGCTAGTCAACATGTTGAAGCCATTATAACCACTTTAGTCAAATTTACTCTTGGAGAACCATATAGATTAATAAGTGATAAAATGTTCATGGCTCCAGAGGCAGGATTCTTTTCAATTAGGGATGACGAGTTAGATCATGAATTTAAGGATAAGAATCAATTTTATTCTTATTGGACTCCCAGCATTTATAAAATAGTAGCTCCAATTTATAAAGATATGATAAGTGAGAGTGGTGTAGGTAGTGGTAATATGGTTGCCATTAGAAATTATATTCAATTATGCACTGAAAAATAGGTATCTCCATTTGATATGAATAAATTTGCTGTTAATGTGGCTCCTGTTAAGTATAATACGATAGCACGCTCATCTGAATACTATAGTGAAGTTATGTCAGTGTCAGATTCGCATCTCTAAATTGCCAATTATCTGAATGGATCCTTTAGTAAATCCTCTGTTAAGATTGCTCTTAACTATGTATCCTCTTTGATCAAATCAAACAAAATTAGCAAATTATAGGTTTTAGTAGATAGCAGAATTACCAATCTCTTGATTTAACTAGTTACTGATCAAGAATTCAGAACTAGTGTTCTATAAATGTTTGCTCATATTACTATTGCATTCCGTAATGAAGTTCCTACGAGTTTGAGAATTGAGCATTCCAATTAAGGTTTAGTCCAATAATATTAATAAAATAATGCTGTCCATTTACTTCGAAATCTTTCTATTATTAGTCACATTTTAACCAATAAAAACAAATTATCAAATGAGCGATTTTTGTCATTCCAACCAACAGAATAAAATTAATCAGAATCAAATAAAATTCAATAGTTAAACTTATATGTTGCTGAATAAATCTTTGCATTGCCCACAATTTATCAAGGCCTCTTTGTTGACATTAAGACTGATCCTGACTTGGTGTATAAAATAATAGGCAACTTATTATAATGGCCTAAAGTTGGCAAATACGCCCTAGGTGGATCTACTTAACAATTGCTCGTTGAGATGTTTAGACCTATGGCATTGTAAGCTGAACACAAAAAGTCAAATAATCTCTAATTAAGCTTAAAACTGTATGATGAAATTATCACCATGGCATTACCTAATACTATAGATTTAATACATTCTAGCAAAGTCAGAATAATGTTACAAACTCACAATTTGTTAGTTCCTGAAAAATCATCCTCAGAGAAGTTTGTTAAAATATCGAAATCCCTAAGCAATCAATGGAAGGAGTAAAAGTCAACTATCATTCAAGAGATTAGGGATTAAGTATCCATCCTAATGAATGGAAGAAGCTTGACTAGAAAATAAATACCACCTATATTTGGATAGATTAAGTAGGCTCTTAAATAAATTCAAGCCTATGTTGTATACACAAGTAAAGATAAATTATTAAGTAATCAGGAGGAGAGAAGGTTCATTAGCAATGCCTTTTAGATGATCATGAGCATTTTCAATGATCTATTAACTTTCGGGTAATTGCATCAAGAATGCTGCGATTTATTACAATCTCTTGCAGATTTTATCATGTACATTACTCTAATTTCACCTCTGTTAATTTTTGATATTGAAGATATGCAAGGTACTAAGAATTCTATAATATGGCTCAGAGATACTGTTGATTTTATATATGAATTCCATATTGAATGGGATAGAGTTAATGAAGAAAGACGAATGAGAATAGAAGAAATTAATAGATTGAAGTAAGAAGAATAAGAAAAAAACTAAAAGTTTGTTGAATCCTTATAACTAAAATAAAACATTTAAGAATCTAAAATAAATAAAAATGTCACTTTTAAATTACCAACTGAAAAATCTATGATCCTAAATTAATAATAGTTATAAAGCTAATCTTAATCATAATTCTAATCGCAACTATAATCTATCAAGCATTCTTAGTAAGTGAGTATTGCCATGTAAAATTAATCATTGTAATAGTCGCAAATTACTGTGAATAATCAACTGTCGCAAACTCAATTGGTAAAGTCACAAACCAATTAATCATAAATAAAAAATATTAGTAAAAGATTGCAAGAACCTCCCAATTCATAATCTTAACTTCAATTAGAATATGCAGTCAAATTGGAATTAAGACCATACTCTTCAAATAAATTGATCTAGTGTGCTCTTAATTTGCTTAAATGTTTAACAGCTATTATCGATTCAAATATAAACTAATATTTGTAACTATTAACATTTTTGAATATCGGAACCTGGTACACAAACCTCACATTTAAATAATGGATAATTTTCGATAGAGTTGTTGGCCCATCTTTAGAAGAAACCCTTATTATAAAAAATTAAGTAGATGAATCTATGGTCAGAACTTCCTTATTTGAGGCTATTGGCAAATGCTAGAATCATGGGTTATAAGAGCAATTAATAAATGCAGGATTTATTAAAGGAATTTTCAGTTATCTACTAAATAATACAAGATCTTTTGAAGTTTAAAAAATAGTCAAAACGCATTCCTATGTTCCATTTATACATTGGATGCCTTATCGACATGAAGCATTAATTTATTTTACTGCAATCATTTGGGAACGTAAGAACTGTGTGAACTTTTACAATGAAATGATGATTGAAGTACATGCACGTAACACACTCTAAGAGGAAAGCAATCATCTCACTACTAAGGTTGACAATAAAAGTAAGGAAGCAAATAGTACAATCATGTTCACTAGAGTCTATATGCTCTGCATTTTGATATCAGCCAATGATAGTGGACTTTTATTCTTGATGGTAATTTATTTATAATATCCTAGAAATAACTTAAAATAAGTTAAAAGCTATTATAATTGTTCCAAACGAATGAGGACTTTAGGCAATTATTTTAGGGAATATATTAGTATTTAGTCTCTGAAGAGTTGGAGCTTTGAAGTATTTTTTTATGAATAAATATTATTGAATGACAAAAAAATATTCATTTGAAACAATTATTTGAAGAATCACTCCGTAACAAATGTCACTTATGTGATTTCAAGGAGACTCTCCCTTAAAATAGGAAATGCTTAACTAAAGTGTTTATCATTGTATAAGTATTCAATAATTTCAGATGCTTCATGCAGTAATTTCATCTTAGATTATTAACATGTAACTATATATAGTTTTTGTTTAATTTCAACTAAAGTTTGAATTCGTTCTTGTAAGTATCCACCTAAAGTGTGAGTATCTCCGACCAATTCTAAATATAGAGACAACCGTTAGCAGGTGAAATCCAATTTCTGAGGTGAAATTCTTTCGCTTATCCTCATTACATTGCTTTATCTTCTTTGTCTAGAAGTATGACAAGCACCCATTAAATTCCTAGTTTTAACTTTTTTTCTATAGATTAAATTTATTTATTATTACTAAATTATTAAGGTGCTTTTTAAATTTATTTCAATTTAATTCAACTTCTATTTCAAGCCAGATAATTGATATTCCTATCACAGTTGAAGAACAAAAGCCCATCACTACTGAGTAATATAAAGAACATAGTAATTTTCGTTTAGAATGAAAATTCAGAGGTCTTTATGCTATTAACTTTATTCTAAATTAGTTATGCTCATATCCAATATTTATGTTGAAATTTTTGGGAATTCTAGAAACGACTTAATTCCTATAAAGCAAAAAACTTATAAGAGTGTCAATAATCTTAAAGAGACCTTAAAAAAGGTTTCCTGAACAGATATGGTATTATATAATCAGTATTATCGATGTTTTAGACTAATTAATTCACTTATTTTTAGTTAAAACTGAGGTCCATTCATAACCAGATCAAAGATATTGTTACAAGATATAAAAATAATAAAAAGAATATTCTTAAGATAATAATTTGCACTATTCGTTGAATTTCATTTAGATTTGAAAATGTTCATTAGCCGATATTTCCAAAATACTTTAGATAATAATATTGTTTGGTAGCATAACAGCAGGTAGAAAATATTAAAAAGACTTAGAAGCCTATAATTTATGTATAAATTAAATATAGAAAAGTATTTCATTAAGGATAGATCTTGAAGAGTGGCTTAGAGATGATTGAATGGTTTTTAATGTGAATTATGGTTTTATTATTGTAAATAAAGGATAGATTTGTATTAAGGAAATGAATTAGGTTAAGTTATAAAGATGCTAAAGATGTCATATACATTATTGATATGGAATAAATTAAAAAGGAGGATTAATCAACTAAAATAAATATTCAATTAAGATTCTTGTAATACTTTAGTATATATAATTGAGTATAAAAAAGTGGTTTAAATAATTAAAATTTATAATTAATATATATATATATATAATATCATTTTTTTTTATTTTCTTTTTTTTCAACAGATTTAATTACTCCAACTGCAACAGTTTGTTTCATGTCTCTTACTGCAAATCTACCAAGAGGTGGATATTCAGAAAAGGCTTCAACACAAATTGGTTTGGTTGGTATTAATTTAACAATTGCAGAATCTCCAGATTTAATAAATTTAGGATTTTCTTCAATTACTTTAGCTGATCTTTTATCAATTTTAGATATTATCTAATCGAACTTACATGCAACATGAGCTGTATGACAATCTAAAACTGGACAATATCCATTTTAAATTTAACCAGGATGATTGATTATTATCACTTGAGCATTAAATGAAGTAGATTCTTTTGCTGGATCATTTTTAGAATCAGAAGCAACATATCCTCTTTATAAATCTTTTACTGATACACCTTTGACATTAAAACCTACATTGTCTCCTGGTATGGCTTCTGGGTGATCTTAGTGATGCATTTCTATGGATTTCACTTCTGATGCTATTCCTGAGGGAGCAAATTAGATTACCATTCCTCTTGTCAACACTCCAGTTTCTACTCTTCCCACTGGAACAGTTCCAATACCACCTATTTTATATACATCTTGTAATGGAAGTCTAAGTGGCTTTTCTGTGGGTCTCTTTGG